TTAAATTCTATTTTTTTTTTTTTTTTAATTCCTGGTCCAAACCCTTTTAAACTTTTGCATTTTTAAACTATTACGGTAATTTTTTTTTTTTTCCCCCCCCCCCCCCCCCCCTTCCCCCAAAATGGAAGAGAAAGAAAAAATGAAACCAAGAGCAAAAACATTCTATTAATGATATAAAACGCATCAAGTATATAAAGGCATGATCACATCGAAACGGACGAATATTAATTACCCCTATTTCATTGATCGGGCAACTGTTTAATATTAGCTCCGCCTTATTCTCCTACGATTTCTTAAGAATGCTTGGAAAACTCCTCATTTCACTATTAATCTCACACATTTTGAGTTTTCACAATTCACCATTCACAAAGTTCCAATTTCATTTTAAATCAAGGAAAATTTTTATTAATCAAAAGACTAAGTATGTGTACAAATGCATGTAAAATGCGAGTATGCTCATCCTCGCAGGATTATTCATTGCGCCAATGTAAATGCTTTCACAGAGAAAAAAAAATCCCTTTCGCTGTTCCCTTTCGCAGAAACTCCAAACAGGATATGCTAAGTAGAAGTATTCGTCGCGTTGGTCGTCGTGGTATGGTGTAATTAGGGGAAAAAAAGACATCGTGATGTTGAAAAGGAGTGTTGAGGATGAGATAAGCACATTAGTGTGTGCGAGTGAAGGAGTGAGTGGGTTCAAGAGTGGCGAGCCGCTTACTTAGTTGATGGCGATGCGGCGGCTCTCGTGCTTCTTGGCCTTGGGCACGACGACAGTCAGGATGCCGTTGTCGAGCGAGGCCTTGACGTCCTCGTGGTCGACGCGGCTAGAGAAGGTGAAGGAGCGCGAGAAGTTGCCGACGCTGCGCTCGTAGACCCAATACTTGTGCTTGGGCTCGCCACTAGCGGCGTTCTCCTGCTTAGGGGTCTCGGTAGCTGTCGTAGCCGTGGTGGCAGGGGTATTCGCCACCGTGCTGTTGTCGTTGTCGGCCGCGCCCGCACCCTCCTCCTTCTCATCCTCAACAGTTGCCTGGAAGGACTTGTTGGAGCGGGTCTCTGCTTCTTCCTCGTTGTGAGGCTCGTTGGTGATGGCGCCGCTCATGGCGGCGTCACCGAGGAGTCCTGCAGGTGGGTTCCCGGCTGTGTAGGTGCGCTCGCTGTGGCCGCGGATCACGATGGTCTGCGGGTCGCTGAAGTCGATCTCCACGTTCTTCTTGTCGACACCTGGGAGCTCGCCGTGGAGCTCGTAGGTCTGCTCCGTCTCCTTCACGTCAAAGCGAGGAGTGAAGGTCTGGACTTGGCGGCGACCTTGGCGGGACGGGGAGTTGCCATTGCGGCTGTTGGGCTGGCAGAAGGTCTTGTCCCAGTCGTCGATGAAGCGGATCAGGCTACCGAAGTTGCCAAGATCGTTGTTGTTGTTGCTGTTGTGGACAGTGTAGAAGGGGTGGTGAGTGAAGACAGACATTTTGTTATCGGTTATTGGCGAGTTGTTGATCGAGTTGATGTAGAGAATTGTGTTTGAAGTTGTAGTGATATGAGTCTGTTGTTGCCGTTGCTTGCTTGCTTGCTTGCTGTTCTTGTTGTGTTCTGTTGAATGAAGGAAATCATCTCATCAGGTTCAAGAGCACGGTTATATAGATGAAGCCGTGTTTCTACCATCTTCACGAAACATCGAGACTTCTGGCTTTGAATAATCATATCGAAATGCCATCAGCATACAAGAAACGTGTGGACGTTTCTACGCAGTTCACCAAGCTTACGATGATGCCTGGTCGTCTCACGATGCTGCGTGGTGTTGCTGGAACGAACTAGAAGCTTCTACAACCTACCGGATTGGTCCATCATCCCCTGTCCGATACGATGGTTACTTACCGTAGATCAAGATGCACATAACACATTAACTATTAGCTAAGTGCAACCCGCCGAAATAAACTTATCTTGCGACTTTATTTCATTCAATCGAATCATTCATTATACACCGGTATTTGTTTGATCTCGATTGTTGGAAGGCGACGAGTTGCTGTTCAGGCTGTGAGGCAGGTACATGACTCAAGGTTGGTTGGTAGCTACTACCTACCGTACTTAGGTATCTAACTAAGTACCTACTGTACATATGTCCCTATGTAGTTAAGTTTGGCTAAGCCTTCGGTCATTCATCTTTGTCAGCATCCCATCCATAAACTAACTACCTAGGTACATACCTAGCTTTAGATTGTGGCTGGTGGTTATCTACAGTACATATTAGCGCCTTGATCAAGTACATAGTTATGTAGTAAGTAGGTAAGTAAGTACATATGTAGGTATTCTCTACCACTCGGACTTATCGGAGATCCTGGCTCTGACTGTCTACATTAGGCACTGACGGACTATGGCTCTCTCTCCTCTCTCCTCCTCTCTCCTCCTCTCTCCATGGCCAAGCGGTGCTAGGCAGCTTTACTTTGTTAGCTTCTTTTTGCTACCTAGTCGAAGGCTTGGTAGGGTCTAACATGCTAGGGCAGTATAGGGTCTGCTAGGGCCTCTTCTGAACCCCTCCAGTCTGCCTGCCTCCAGCCAAAAAGTCCAAGGGAAATTTGCTTGGCAGGGGACCCTTTGACGTCATAATGGCCATACCCAGCCTATCTCATCTTGCATGCTGTCGAACTGGCCGGACACGTCTGGTTCCTACCGAGAATCTGCCACTTGCGGGACACGTTCATGGGGAAAATACAAGGTTCCGTGTCGATCACAGCCGACTTCGTGGGATTTGGATATCTCGCTAGCCCGCGCGCGTTGCAGCCCAAGTGCCGTGCACCGTCACATGGTCCCTCGTCATCCCGCTGCGACGACCAGATGCTACTGTAATTACAAGCAGAGCTACACGCCGTGCAGCGCGCCAGGGACCCCCAAAAAGCCCCCAAACATACAGTACTTAGACACACCTACGTAATGGCCCTGCTAGCCCTACAATTCTTGAATCGAGTCGTCATTTTTCCCATCTCCAATGCCGCCCAATATGCTTTTCCATACATGGCCCATTATACCGCATACCCGCTGCACCCAGCCGCCCATGTACCGCCCATGTAATCATGTAATATGTAATGTAGGCCAAGGCGGTGCGCGCATGTGGAAACCCGATACAGGGAGCGCACTTTGCCATGTCCGAGTCGTATGATCGTTTGCTGCTATGACGTGGCTTCTTCGTGCCTATGATAGCTAAGACCGGGCGACTTTTAGGCCTCGCTTTGGTGCTACTGTAGGTGCAGCGTGGTAATAGTCTTCAAATGACGAATATACATAGTCGGCCGCCGGAAAGGCGGGCTGATGATGCTGATGACGATGCGTCGTGGAAATGCCGTCTGTCTGGAGAAAAATGCCATGCCGCATTCGACCTCACCTACAGCGTTGTGGCGATAATAGCTCCCTGCTTTCTAAGATTCGCCACCACGACGTGTCTAGAATCGCGACCCCACCCCGCCGTGTTTCGCCACGCCGTCCTCCGCAGCGCAGGGCTCGGGGGCTCGACTGTCACTCTATCATGATACCGCTGTCAGACACGGAGAAGAAACCGCTTGGGGGGGAGGAAATGGTTCGTGTATTCTAGTAAAAATTGTTTCACTGTAGCGTACGGCTATCCTCGACAACTCGGTGACCGGGCTGGCACATATCGGGGAATTTATCTAGTCGCGATACTTAAAAGGAATGTTAATTAGTAGGGCCTTTGTTCAACAACTAGGCGCTATCGACAAAACACAGCGGAACGCGGTGAGTACCCTGTAGATGACTGGCATCGCCAAGGCCATCCCGTAGATTTTGTCGATACCTTTCTTGCTTTCTTTTCTCCTTCGGGTCGATGGAAATTATTGGTGAGGAAACGGCTGTGGTGCTTGAGGGTATCCGGCAGCAATGCCCATCGTAGGCAAGGCTACTGGACTTTGAACCCGTGCAAACAGCCCGATGAGCTTCCTCCCCACGGTAGGTTCGAGTTCTGTCCCGTCTCGAGCGATCTTCACTTCGCGGTTCGAGTTCCAAGGGTTTCGTAGGCCACGCGTCTTGTAAAATGGGAGCCTCGTCGTCGAAAGCCACTCTAGCTTGAACGGCTTTCCCCAAGCTTTTTGTGCACCTTCTCCATCGTGCGCACTCCTAGCGCTTTCTGAATCCTCAGATACTGCGTCTGACCCGCCGTCAACCTCGTCTCGTTCCACTTCCCAGAATATCGTCCCTCGGGCTGAGTCGTCAATGATCCGTCCACGGGGGCACGCTGCAGTCGCTTGAGTGGGTATCGCCTTTGGTAAATCCATGTCGTTCGTAGCCTGTGCCCTAGGCGCAAATTCAATCGCTGCGGCGGGGTCGTCGTTGATTTGCGAAGTCATCTTGCCATATCCAAAATACTCGCCAGATTTATTGGCAGAGAATATAAGATAGACATTATCGGCGGCCTATTGTGTATACGTTGAGTTAAATGTTCGTTACTAAATATATATTAGCTTACTTACCCCAAACGCTTCGTTGAGTGCCTCCTCATTATGCGATTGAGTTGCCCATACGCCATTTTGAACGCTGAGCTCGAGATCCTCCACTGTCAAACTCTTCAAAATGAAGAATTTGTCTTTTTGTTGCGTCCCATTTGCATTGAATGTGCTCTTAGTATTCGCTCCAACTTCTTTCGTGGACGATAAATCAGCAGATTTACTAGGTGAGTCGGATGCAGTCGTTTCCGGTGATGCGGTTTGGGCGTTGGGTGATATAGCGGCTGGACCTGTTGGTGCAGTTTGGCCCGACGACCCCTCGACAGTGTTTTTCCGTAGTCGACTTACGAGTCTGATGGATTGAAATTTCGAGTCGTGTAGTTTTTGCTGAGCCGTGACGCAGCTTGTTTCGTCTTTAAAGTTGGCAAAGGCACAATTACTTTTCGAAATTAGAAAGAGAGACTCCAATCCGGCTGCCTCTTCGCAAATGTGATAAACCAAGCTCATTAGTTCTGTCTGCGGTGGGAGATTTCCAATCCATATCGCATGCCCTAAGGATCATGTTAACCAAACTCGGTTGGGTGGGACGTACGTCAAACTGACCACTTTGACGAGGCTTGCGCGGCGGACCACGAACAATACTCGGCCGATTTTTTGCCGATTCTGCGATACGCTGTCAATCAAAGGCTAGATGGGAAATTGGTTTCTGATTTAGTCCATACCCTCACTGGGTCCAAACCCTCCCAGGCCATCCATGTGGTTGTTGCCTTGTAAAGGCGACGATGCCCTTGGATCTCCGGAAGAGCCATCAGGCAAGTAGAATTGCAACTGAGCCAAGTGACTGTGTATTGGCGAAGTCTGTGCTGAGAATTGGCTTGAAGGGGGGTAGTAATATCCAGGAATCGGAACTTGGGACTGGTTCGCCATAATATTGGTATAGTACCCCAAACCCATACTACCCCGTAGCGATCCAAGCTGTTCATGGTGCTGAGTACTAGGAGTATTGAAGTACGGCTGAACCTGCTGATGCTGTGGGAGATAATATTGTTGGTTCGTAATCTGCGACATGTGCAGCTGATTGGGAAAGTGGACCATTTGTGGCATTAAGCCGGTGCCAGCAGGCGTGTATCGCTGATGTTGTTGCCCACTACTATATCCTTGTCGGTAGCCTGACTGTGGCAGCGCATTTGCCATTCCGCTCATATCGTACGGTCCCTGGCGGCCTGATCCTTGGGCAAGAGGTAGTTCGAGCTGGCTGGAGAAGGCATTCGACGGCGGAGCATATATTTGTTGGTATTGTCCCCGGAACGCATTGTTATCCGGTGGACTGACACTTTGTTGGTCGAGTGATGAATCGCCATCCAACTTTACTCCATGAGCAGCATCACTGGGTATTTCCGGATTCGCATAGTTGCCGCCAGAGGTTTCAGATGGCACATGGTCCCCCATTTCCAACGTAGTTATAAATGTACTTCGAAGATAGGGCTGTAAGGGATTCGTAGAGGGATCGAAGTCGAATAGTTTTTGACGACGCAACAGCTGGATGCTTTCCGACTTTTTGTTGGCTTAGTGGTATAGCGGAGGAGACGAAAGATATTGATAGACTCTTGCGACCTCAATGCCTGAGGAAACAATATTCCAACTAAATAGGCGCTTAACCGAGCAAAGGAGAATTTCGTGAAAAGAGTGTTCAAAAGAAGCCCCCTGGTAGTAAGGATGTTCTGTAATCCGTACTGAAAACCTCAGAATTTCCAAACGGCCTTTCCCGTTACTGTCTTATTCGGAGAACTCGACACTGCACAATGTACAGCTGCTTAAAGTAATGAGCTAAGCGAAGGAAAGGAAGTCTTTAAATTGATAACGGCGAGAGCCTTAGATTGTACAAACAAGGACGGAGGAAGAGTTGAGCTTTAGTGAATGGAGGGACGGTTGGGATTTTTCCCTCTTTACACGGGGGACAAGTAGTTAGAGATTCCCAATAAAATCAAAATATATAGTATGTAAGTCACCAAGAACGAAATAGGTCGAGAACTTGGCATACTGAAGAGTACTAGATATTAGGTGGTGTGGCTAGTTTGGTCGACCATGTGGCCCAATGTGATTTCTACAGCCCCAACCAGGGTATGTACTTGTACTGCAAGTACTCATGGGAAATCGAATAGGAAACACCATGGTGTAGCGACAATCTTTGCCTTTTTCTCCTGCAGTTATGCAGCAAGGACACGAGAGCAGGAGCATGAGACAGGCCGGGAAACTAAACAGGGCACAACCGCATCATTGTGGGTGGCCCCAGGCTATTAGGCCATCTTCTAGCACGTCGACTCGGAAGTGGTACGGAACTACAGAGTCTAGTGAAGTCCCGCTGGGACGCTACAGTAGGAAGGGTTTTGAGAGGGGGTTCTAGGAACCGTCATCGCGAAGGCAAAGAGGAGCTCCCGGGCCCCGTCTTGAACACATGCGCTGGAATGGGAAGGGTTGGATACCTGATATGGACCGAGAAGAAGTCCATGGTAGTTTCGGGAGTCAGTGGGCACAAACAAGCAACCAATGAACAGAGAAGCCGTCTGGGCAAAAGATGCGAAACGGGGATGGAGCCATAGGATTGCTTTCGCCTGTGTAGTGTCGGCGTCGGTTTTCGCCACCAAGTACGATCAAGTGCCAGCCCAGTATGGGCAGCTATTCGTGTTTCGGGGTTCGTAGAGAAGGGGACCCTCATTGGTCCTGTACTTCATGTCTCCCAATGCATTGCCCAACAAAAACCCTAATAAAACCGATACCTTTGTTTTTCCCAGGGCACACATATGAGGTCCCCTAGTCTGATAGGCGCCGGCCCAGCCACAAAGGGTCTAGACAGGTCTTTTTATCAAGTAGGCCGGTCGATCACGCTTATGGATTCCTGCCGTGTACATATGAAATCGTTAAGTCGCGCAGAGTCGCGCAAGGGGAGCCAAGTGACCCATCAAGTGCTATGGGTTAGAGGCTCTTGCTCGTAGCGATCTACCACAATGGGTGGCTAACCCCGGACAGAAATCCTGTTCCTGAATGAGCCCTACTCATCAATTTTCTGGCGGCTATTTAGCCCTACAACAGTAAGGAACCGAGACCCAAGGTTCAGGCACATCGGAGAATGCGCCATCATCTCGGCCGGGGCGGAGCGGAATTCGAGCACCGGGACACTTCCCAGAAGTTGGCTAAAGACTTGATGAATATCAATACGTGTTTCTATGGGGGCGCATCTATAAAGGCGTGCTTAGTGCCATGCCCGGCAAGTGCTTCATACAAAGCCCAGTCCTATGTAGGTCCGTAGTGTAAGTAGGCACAGATAGCAATGTCTATCGAATTCATTTGGTCACGTATATAGCACCGCTCGTTATTTGTGATATTTGATACAAATGTAGCCGAGGTTGAGTGGTGAACAAGGAATGTTGTGCGGTATTCGCGTCATTTGGTGATCGGCAGTCTAGCGCCGTAAAGTTGGGTATGATGAAATGTTTCCAGATGGTGTGGAGAGAGCCGCAATCGATTTCTGGTATCCAGAGGGGGAATTTGAGATCGGAGAAATAACGATTTCCCATACTCTCGACCTGTCGGTGGGCTAGGGCAGAATAGGGGACCGAGACGCCCCAGAACATTGGATAATTCGATGCGCTACCGGGCCACTAGTTGCGTGGCTTCTGATACGTGTGGACAACTTGTGCACTAGGTTCCTTGACCAGTCCTTGACGTAGTGTTGCGACCAGGTCACTGCCATGGCATGCCGTATCTGTAGTGTACCGCAAAAGACTCCATCCCATGACAGTATGGCGCGTCAGCGGCGTTCCAGGCAAGGATTGACCTACTTTGGCCCCTGTGCGGAAGATCGGTAGATGCACCACCTGCCACTCGTGTCGGTACTCTGCATGGTGTAGGTAGACGCAAGCGTGTGTCCAACCTTACTGAGTACATACGAGCACATTCGAGAGAATGGATAGACACCTATCTGCTGTATGTACTTACCAGGCGAGCCAGGCAGCGTAAGTGAGTTTTGAGGCTAGAGTTCGAGCACACCAGGATGCACCCTCGGCACCTAGCTAGGATGCTCGATGTTGCGTTGTTGTCAGCATAGCGTAATGCATTGCTAGTAACCGGCGATGGTGTCTCGCTCAGGGCCATACATAGTACAGTGCTCTGCGTGTCTAGGTATGTACGATGTATGTGTAGGTATACCTACCAGAACCTACCTACAGGTCTGCTACAGGCATGTAGGCAATGGAGGCTTTCTCGTATGTCTTCGTGCATGTCACATGATTCCGACGGCCGAGAACGAAGGTTTTGTACGATTGGACGAACCTGGTGAGACGAGACTCCCTAGGCGATTTGTCATCTGATGGTGTTCGTCTTAACAGAATCTGACTGTCTGCCCGCCAGATGTGACTGATCTTGGGAAACGGCCCAGCCACTGACGAATCTGGACGAGTTTCAAGAAGTGCCACAGCCGAGAGCTCCCTGGCGCGTGGTACATGTATCTGTAGGCACCGGAGCGTTGCGCGATGCGGTGGGGGCTGCGGAGAGCTTCGGTACCTAGGTTGGCAGTTCGGTAGGTTGGTCTCTGCTCACGCTTCGATCCGGTACGCCCAGATACGCTCTTCGGTGCTGTACAGAGCACAGAACGTTACCGCTCTCCCTTGGTCAGTCAGTACCTGGGCCAGTACCTGATGCCGTACAGTTAGGTACAGCCCGGGTAAGGTAACTCAGAATTGATCTTGGCGACGGTCCTCGAGCGTCTAGCCATCACTCTGCAGGAGGTACCATGCAGCGGGCGTGGCACAGACCGAAGTAGCATCATGTACAGGCGATCCCACAAAATCCCACAAAAGCAAGGATGTGGCAGCAGATGTGGGAGAAGAGGGAAAATGGGGTCTGATGGGGACTGATGGGGAGGCACCTGGGCAGGGCCGAGGAGGGCGAGGAGGGTAACAGCCACATCGTGGCAAATGATAGCCATCTCCTGCCCTCTCCTGCCCGAACGGTCAGGAATGGATGAGGCGCGACTCTGCGTGACCTTGCCACCGACATTTCGCCACTTCCAATCGCTGGCTCTGATTCGCGTCATTGTCCCATCACTGCCACTTGCGACTTGACAAGCTCTCCATAGCTGACCCGTCATAAGGGCCAAGACGATAGGTCCCTTTCACGGCCTTACGACGACCACTTACTGTATCAGGTTTTCACCAATATACATAGAGATCAGATGCAACTAGCCCTCCGTCCAGAGTCCGTCCTTGTACCTGGTGCGTCTGTTCCAAACTTGATACTGTAACCATCGTTCGTGACCCAATTTAGTGCCGGCAGTCTGGTATTATATCCCACCTACTCAACCTACCCCTTCCTACTTCGCTCATTGCCAACTGTGATTGAATCATCATCGCTTCACTATTCAATAAGGTTTCTCTGGCCTTTGGGTCGCAGTTCACGTCGTCTGGCAACCCCATGCACACGTAAGCTTAGCAACATTAGACCCGGAGCAAAAGCTCCGATAAGAGCGTGTTAAGCAGCTTCGCTGAGCAACTCGGATCGGTCTATACATAGTAAGTACGTGTACTATGTATCATAATGTATGTAGCGTCTGTCGTTAGGTAAGCCACGTTAAAATTGGCTTGGGGCCTTTGTGGGTAGCTATGAGCACTATGTAGATACATGTACCTAGCTATTATGCCGCTACACGGACATATACTAAACGCAGTATCGGCTGTTATCTACCCGTTCTTAGCTCTGGATTATCTTGGAACTTGTGGATTGGCCAATGCATTCGCTCTCGGTCTGTCTGCTGGTAACAACGTCGTCCTAAACTCGGTGATCTACAAGTATAGGAAACCCCCAGGCTTCGTCGTCAACAGTAATCAGGATGACGGCATATCGGCCTCGAAGATGTTTGCCAGAGTTTTGGAAGGAAATTGGTTGTTCTCGAATATCTCTATGTGTGGCATTGGTAATAGCCAACAGGACTGGCTATCTGTAAGACTGTCTTATAACTTCAATACTGTGTAGGTTCGTACCCTACAAGTATATCATGGTCCAGTTAAGTGCTCCAGAGACAGGCTACTCGGCTACTGTATCTCATCTGAGCATGGGCATCTACTATGTACATGTACAGTACAGTGCACCAAGCTCACTCCGTCCCCATCACCACGTCATAGCTACTCTGCCTGATTCTAAGAGCTCAATTCTACTTAATATCAATCCGACGACCCGCTTCACAAGCAAACAGAGATCAACGGGCTTTGGTTAAACTCTAGCTGAACTCTACGTACATAACAAGTGCACTGTTGGGCCGGTAGAGGCTGGTAGAGACCCCTGTCTATTCACTTGCTCACTGAGTAAGTAGGTAATTATACACTATCTTGAGGACATTAAAAACATCCCACAAATTATGATTAATTTCGTATCTCCCTGCTTACTCAACTTTGGTGGTAAGCTTAGCGGAGCTCTCATCAGTGTTACTATGTCGAGACTATCTATGCCAGCTGATCTGAAATTAATGGACTTCCATTGCGAATATTGATCGTTCTAGATGGGCTATCCCGATACTTCCCCGCAATGAAGGATATGTAAATCTATATTCATGTACGCTAAGGGCGTCGATTAGACTCTTGCGAAAAAGGAACCTCCAAACCCCCTACCTACACGTAGCAATGCTGACCTAGGTACGATTTTCATATGCTTAAGGGTGTTATGAGGATCTATTTACTCGGGCACAATTGTAAGCCGCGGCCCTCTGAGAAGGAACCTTGTTGATTGGAGGCGAAAGCTAAAAACTTTCGACAGAATGTTCATCATGTTTCATTAGTGTCGATTCAAAGCTCCATCTTCAACATGACTAGATGGCGAAACTCCAGATTCTCAGATGACCTGTAGACAAGTATTTCTAAAATGTCTAAAACCAAGCTTTGGCGTCAGTCGAACTTTGATTGTGATCACTATAATTTAGTCATATTACATGAGTTAGGTGTTTGAGATTGTAGGAATTTGTGGATACACCGGTATTGACTTCAAACACAAGACATCACTGACGGTTGTTAGTTTCTTGGCCAGTGATCTAGTTCATTTCTTATACCAATATCTTAATATGAAAATGATAACAATAATTACGCACTGGGTTGAAAAACAATGAAGGCAGAGATGAAAAAGAAAAGTGAAAGAAGGATAAAACGAAATTTCCTGGACCGGTACTCTGTAATATGCTCGGTATGAGGGTCGAACTCATAGCCTTCGCGTGACATGATACATATTCTGTATCATTGTGTTAGTGCGACGCTGTAACCAACTGAAAGTGGCCAAAAAGTGGAAGCGTTGTAGAATCACTTGATGCAAACATATGTACTCCACGCTTCTATATACCTAGCAAGCGTGCGTCTCGTTGTTCCCATTGCGTTCCGGTACTCAGTGTTGCCACATGGTCTCATGGAGGATGATGCCCCGCAAACTGTGCGCCGGGAAAACAGACTTACGATGTCTGGGCGTGGAAGCACGGCCTACACGTCCCCCGTATTGTGAGCCAAGTGATGTTGGAAGGGTCTAGACGGCACCATTCGAGATAGCGCTTCGTTCGAGGAGGACGACTAGGTCATGGCGCGAAGGCTCTGTGCTGAGATATTCCATCATAACTGCGACTTAGGCATACGCATTTCATTCGAGGTAGGACTCGCTATTAGGAGACGATGTCAACAAATATAAGCTGAGCGTAAGTAATCATGTCACGAGCAAAATAGCGTATGAAGATTAGTCTGCTGACAGCCGTAAACATTGTATAGCGAGTGTTATCCCATGCTGTGTTCTGATTTCTCTGCGAGCATGTGTGGCGCAGTAGGCTGCGATGCCTCTAGACACGATCTACACTACCATCAATACATATATCTGCCCGAGAGTTATTGGTTCACATGCCATTATAGGTATAAGCGGATGGACTTCGCTTGCAACTCCCATAGTGATGATACCGAGATGAGATGGCATGCTAATCTGCTGGTGATAAAACAAAGATCGTCATCAAGATTACCAAGAAAGGAGATACTCTCTAATGCCTAGTGACATGGTAGGCTTATAGTTAGCATTACGACGTTGCAAAAGCAGTGTTCAATGTCTTGATATTTCGGTAGTAAGCTATCATCGTTTTATTTCATTTCCTCAATGCCCGAAGTGTCCGGGATTTGAAGAGCTAACAATGTATACAACGCAAAGCTCGGGACAGTTGAATTGAAAAGGTTGATATTTCTGGAGTTTATGACCTCAGCCTAACATTATGTTAGGCTTGTGTTCAAATAAATTGGATGTACTGATGTAAAACGGCATGCCTCACAAGGACAAATTTCAGTACCAACCAAGATATGTTAAGCAAAATACCAAAGCAGCAATCGCGGACGCATTTTGTAGCCCTGCCTTACAACAATTCAATAAAGATGTTTACCACAGGCAACTGTATTCGGAATCTCGTAGAATTAACAGATGCGCCCAGTTGGAATCTATCTTGTAATCTCGCTAAAGTCAAGCAAGTGACATGATCTTAGAGGGGGGCCAGAACCTCAAAGTTTGTCGTCGAGGTGCACCTTTAGGACGCAATGATAGCCTTCTGGTTTCGCATACTTCGATATAGTACGCATGACCTTACCCCGTGCGACCAACCAAGTCTTGCTAACGCAGTCCGCCATAATCGCTTAATCCCTCTTCAATGGCAAAAGTCTCTCCTCGATACCGTCTTTGGTAATAATCATCATTTGCAAACCATCACCAACCTCGATGTGTCGTTCCACAGCCGAATCAAAGGCATCCTTGACAAGCACCTCGACCTCATCGCGGGGTAGAGGTACACGTTCACGCTCCTGCAGTTCATGGCCGATACCACTGCCAGGGATGTACTGGTTCTTAAAGTTGACTTGGTTGTCAAGGAAGGGCATAATAAGGGAAGCAGCTGCTCCGCCAGCACGGCACTGCTCACGCTCATAGCTGCCAACGGGGTCGTATGAGTAGACGGCACCCGTGCCATCCTCATCGATACCGCCGAGGATGGCGTGGACATAGTATGGGAAGAAGCGTTTTGAGTAAAGGATGGTGGAGAGCCGCTTTGCGCATGCCGAGACACTCATAGGCTTTCCGTGTCGGTACCGGTACATCTTACAGACGGCATCTAGCCTCTCCTTCAAGGCCTCGCCGTCTGCAGCGAAGCCCACTACCGACAGCAGGATGTTGGCGTCATCCTGTGATGATGTAGAGCCTCCAATCTTGAACACCTTTGGTGCGTATCGTGTGTTGATGCTGTACCCTGATGTTAGACGGGTGTCGCCGGCTATGATAGCGAAGTCGGCACCAGCAATGGCAAGTGTCGAACCACCGTTATCGGTATATCTGCAGTGATAGCAACAACGTTAGTTCCAAGCTTGTTTCAATTTCCCACTAGATCTAGTGCACTCCTTACGGGTTGAAGCGGTGTTCCCGAAGACCATCGACAGTATCTTTGGGGACTTCGGCAAACGAGTAGTTGGGTCCGTTGAGGACGGGGTTCTGGCTGAACATGGCCATGGTGACAGAGTTGGAAGGCCTCTCGCTTTCGGCTGCGTATTATTTCGGGCTTCGGAGATTCTGAGTATTATCGCACAGCGGTTGGATGCTGCCAGTGGTGTTGCAGATAAGTCGATGATGGCTGGCGGGTTATGGTGGTGGTGAATGGTGATGTCGCTGGATGTTGGAGCTTTCTAGGTAGCTCTAACGCACGCGTACAGCTTGCAGCCTTGTTGGAGGCACCTGCCGCACCTATGCACCTGCTGCACCTACCAAGAGCCATCCCTCATTAGCGGGTCTGCAATGGAAGTCGCAGGGGAGAGCTCTGTATGACTAAGCCTTCCTGCCTGCCCAAGTGGGCATCTGAACAGGGGTCGACCAATCAACCGTAACCATGCAATTATACCTACATGGCACAGCTCCTTCGAGGTAAATCTGGCTGGCTGGCGAGCGTCCGTCTCCTATTGGGATCTACCGTCGCTCAACAAAATCGACGACGGTATTCACGATTGTTGCCCGAAGCTGTTTTGTGCGCTGCTTGGCTGACGGCCACAGACATTCGAGAGCGCAGCAGCTACCGTGTCGGCTGCCTGCTTCGTTGAACTATCTTGGTTCCAGAATTTTGATGCCTTACACGTCACTGGCGTTTGCTCGGCCACCATGGTACGCGATATCCGCCAACGGGCGCTCGAGAAGATCGCAGCACTCTCAGCATCGAACTCGACTACTTCTTTCGACCGATCCGATCTAGACCGCTTGTGCAGAGCTACATCATTACATAACAGGGCAAAAGAAGCTGTCAATGGCGCAATCAAGAGCACACCCCCTTCACTGGGCCAAGTTCCCATGGTAAGAATACCAGTTAGAGAAAATAATGTCCCCGTCTCTTACATGTTGATAGACCATTCGCGAATATGAAGTTCTCATCGCGCTTTGTAAAACCGCGCCTATGGTTCAGAGCTGTCAAAGTGCCCAGAAACTCGTCAACCAATTGACGCCCTACATTCTCGAGTCTCACGTTCAGAGCTTTCTGCCATCGCCCGGCTTCAACAGAATCGAGCCTTCCCCAAACGAAGCTCTCACAACAAGCTTGACCGCTGCTCTACTATCCCTTGGTACTCGTCATGAAAATCTACACGAGACCGTGTCCGACAATATTCGGGGCTTCTTAGAGAGTTTGAAAGCAGCTATACAAAATATCGCTCCACCTAGACCGGAAGGCGACTCAGAGCAGAATTTGGAAGATGCGATTCGAACTGCTACTTTGACCATTTCTCTCCTTGGGTTTCTAGACGCAGCCTCGGCACGGGCTGACTTCTGGAGGAATGGAGGCAGGTTAGCCCTGATTCAGCGAGTTCACAACCTACTATCAGACTCCTTCCTAACGACCGTTGATGGTGCCTTCTCCACCATCCGAAATTCCCACTCTTCAGATCGTCAGGTTAAAGAATGGAAAAGATGCCTACGCCATTATGCTAGCAAAGGTCGTCCCCTTGGGCCGATGCTGTTACAGAGGAGCTTCACCTGGTTGTTAGTAGCGGCAACATCTTTACTCACTGTTGATGCAAAACATTTGAGAGATACGCACGTCCTGGACGTTCTCATCTCGGACGGTGGTGTTCTGAAATCAGACTCTCTCAGTAGCCGTGATGTCGATTTCCAGTCTATTGAAATGTATGCTAGACTTGCTCAAGAAGAGATGGAGCGTGTTGAAGCCAGTGCTGATTTCCTCGAGCTTGCGCCTGTGTCGCAACAGAGGTTAGCACATGCTGTGAAAGCATCGGCCTTGATCAGTTTTCTGAATTGCTCCATACTAAACGAGGAGGCGGCGGATCCGGATCGTCTCATGAACTGGCTTGCAGAAACTCTAGAATCCGATCAGATATCTGAAGATACCTTAGCATCTGTTGTTCCTCGAGCTATGGCCATTCTTGCTAGATTTATGCCAGATTATGCGCCAACTGTCATCCGACTTCTTCCCAGATTTATCGTCCAAACTGCGCCTTCAGCTAATACTGTTGCTATAACCTCGAAATGTCTGGCCTTCACTTTGCACAAACTCTCCAACGATGCGGTTATCTCTACGTTATATACATTGGGTAACGTACTGAGCCCAAGTCCGGAGCATGGGATGCCGAATGGATCGAATGCAGACTTAGCTGGAGAGAATACCGGTTCATCGAATATTTACCAAGGGAGACAATCTACTGGCAGTGACATCTCCCTGGAAATTCAGAGCGAGGGAGATACAGCCGTTGTATACTCTAACATCATCCAGACAATCTGTTGCATTGCAAACGCTTGCGATGATGAAAAAATCACTGCACTTGCGCAAGCCATGCTTTTGCAGAAGCTGACAAGGGTCAATCAGGCGGTTGATGCACACATTCTCGTCGGAGCTAGCATACTCTCACTCAACTCGGGACAGCTGGAATTCAGATCGCTTTTACGACTGTATTCGAAGATATGTCATGTAGCTGTGGCAGAAGACGACCCCATCTTGCTTGGCGCGGTAAGATTATGAGCATATTATATGAAAGGCTACGACATGCTAACTACGTGAAGGTCATGAAAGCTCGCAACCACATTGCGGCTAACATAAAGCGCCACTCTCCCTTATTCGATATCTACCTTGAATATATGCTAGAAGACTTAGTTTCAAAGGGAGACATCAATCAACCCAATCACATGAAGGAGACGGATATTGAATTTGCCGCACAAGAGATTGCTCAACTCCTTCAACCACTAGCTACGCTGATGGCAACTAATGACTTCGCTGCTAATATGTCAAGCCAAGATGACGATGGTTTTGCTCTAATACGCGATGCATGGTTTAACATCGTAGTTCACGGTTTCACTCCCACTACCGAAAGGGGTAAAAAGTACATCAACGAACTACGGCACATGGCGATACACTCACCTCCACTTGTAGCAGAACAACGTGGAGAGCAGGTCGAGAGTGACATCGAACTCAATACCGTTCTCCGACGAGCTAACACATCGGAACGAGAAGCTAAGCAAAAGAAATCATTGGCCAGTCTTATACCATCCAGGGCATCCCACATTAGAAATTTGAGCTATAGGAAAGTGATATTCCTCCAAGCTGCTTACTTAGTAGAAAGTCTACGAGCCGATTCTGGCGATTGCACCAAGGCCCTTTCGTACTTCCTCGAGCCCAGCATGCGAAAAGATGATGTCCGCAATGTCATGGAGGGTATCGCATCGGCTGTAATAGAAAGATACCTGAACAAAACACTCGATGCAAAAATCTCAATGTTCTCTGCACACTACGCCGCGTCCCAGCTTGCAAAATTATTCTGTGGTTGTTGCCACCGCATCCAGCGTGTTCAACAGGCGGCGTTCTACTGCGCAGATAAAATGGTCCGCGAAGTTCCTTCTGCTCTCTGCCAAAAGTCGTCACTATTCGCACTGTTAGAGCTTCTGTCTCTTATGTGGTTGAGTTGTTTTCAAGCGGAAACCGAATTGTATAGTCCTCAATCAGTTTTCACGTCGGAACTGGGACAGGTTACAGTTGAACTGTCGGATGACTTTGCATTCAGAAAGACAACCCTCAACAATCTTTACAAGCAAGCAAAATCTTGGGTAGCACTCGCAATTAACCTTGCACCTACTGATGTGAAAGGTCTTCTTCAAACATATTTATCAGAATTTGACGATGAGGGTGCATACGGGCACATGTCGCTTGGCCGCTCATTCGCGGTAGAAATGGGTTCTGCTATTCCAGCAACTGACCAGAGGCTGACATCAATGGACCGAATTGGTGAAACCACCATCAACACGGCTTCTGACTTCATTGCCCAGTATACCACTCGTCAAGAGTATCGTTACGGAGAGACCCTGCCTAACCAAGGGGTGGACTTGCTTAACATCATGCCAATGGTTCGAAGGAACTCTTTCATGAAATCCGCGCCTTCAGATCGTGCCGACGCCGTTGCGGCACTTGCCCACGTAGCATCTCGTTTAACTGGGAAAAAGATCACGCCCTTGCAAGATGTTAGAGATATTCTCCGACGTGCTGCTGCTTTGCTATGCCGCAGCCAGAAAGACGAGAGTGCAGTGGCGCATTACCTTGTCACCATCCCGTTCCGCATTTTCAGCAAAGAGTCTATCAAATTCGGAGTTTCCCTCTGGCTCGGTGTAATACACGAGAATCCCCGGATGGAACCACGTTTATTAAGTGAAATTGCTCAGCAATGGGAGCTCACAATCCAAAGGAAATTGGGCCTTTTTAATCCAAGTTTCATGTAGGATCAAGCATTTCTACTGCCAGTCGCGCATACTAACCCAGTTCAACCAGGCATCCAGATCCATTTTTCCTGAGGGAAGAGTTTGCCCCTAGCAACAACGAAGCTCTTAACAAGCAACGGCAACAAATACATAACCTCCTGGCTCCTCACAGTCATCTGATGCATTTCTTCAACAGCCACTTCAATGCTACTCGTCTAGGCAGCTCCGATACCCAGAGAATCTTCCTTCGGCTACTCGACAAAACGCTAGACGCTTTGAAATCCTCGATATCGCACCCTTTGGCTCGAGAAATCCGACTGAGGATAATTTTATTTAGTCTGAAAGTGCTAAGAGTGAGCGAAACCGCTGGTGTGACAGCTCAGGTGCGCCTAAAAGACAAGATTCTATCAGCAGGTTTAAGCTGGTTCAAGTTTGCACCAAAGTGGTCTTTTGGTAGCAACTCGCTGCAGCTAAAGACAGAGGTAAAACTGATTAACGATATTAAGAATGGGCTTAAGGCCGTGTCACACATCGCTCATGCCCAGCCTGTAAACGGCCTTGTTTCTGTAGCCCAAAAGGAGTCACTTTTTGAGATCCTTCTAGACAGCGAACAAGCGAGGCTTAACGTTTGGGTCTATCCTCTCAATGAAGGGCATCTGCTGCGACCGGAAATAATGACAAGTCATGGCAAAGCTACACTCGAGGTAAGTCTATCATGGTGACTTTTAAAGAGAAGCCCGCAGCTAATTTTTAGGCCGCCTTGAAACCATTGATACGCGTTGCCTGGGCTGAGAGCCCTTCGCTGGCTATCGAACTGGTGAGCAGATTTACAATGCCTAGTGTGCATCAGGAGGTTCGTTGGTTGTTATTGAACTTTCCTGCCAAAGCGCTATGTGATGCCGAGGCGCTATCAATTTTGTTTGGCGGCGAACTTCCTCAAGATGTTCGATTCCAACTCAAGGTAGGGTTCTTGACCTTTAACCATAATACAGTGCTAACAACTTCAGTATTTACTATACTGGACACCCGTTAATCCTGTTACCGCTACCACCTATTTCCTGCCAACGTATAAGAACCACCCATTCCTTATCCAGTATGCCATGAGAGCCTTGGAGTACCATCCTATCGATGTAACATTTTTCTACGTTCCCCAAATAGTCCAAAGTCTCCGCTTTGACGCTCTGGGCTACGTGGAACGGTACATTATTGAAACAGCACAGTTCTCTCAGCTATTTGCACATCAAATCATCTGGAACATGAAGGCTAATTCTTACAAAGATGATGATGCTACTATTGTAAGTTATGAGTATAAAATACCGCATTCAAGACTGACGTGTCGTAGCCTGACGCCATCAAACCTGCGCTTGATAAAGTGATGACGAAGCTAGTAGACAGTTTCTCTGGAGAAGATAGGAGCTTCTATGAGAGAGAGTTCGCTTTCTTCGATGAAGTTACCGGTATCTCTGGGAAGTTGAAGCCTCTAATCAAGCGTGATAAACCTGAAAAGAAACAGAAGATCGAAGAAGAGCTCCGCAAGATTCAAGTCGCTGTGGGAGTTTATTTACCCAGTAACCCCGATGGTGTAGTTATCGGAATTGATCGCAAATCGGGTAAACCTCTACAATCCCATGCCAAAGCGCCATTCATGGCCACTTTCCGTATTCAGAAGTCTCTCAGCAGCGTGGAAGAATCTGAAGAAATCGTTGAGGAAGTGGGCAAGAAAAGTGAATTACAACCTCAGAAAACAGTCGAGGTCTGGCAAAGTGCCATCTTCAAGGTTGGCGACGATTGCCGTCAAGATGTCCTGGCTCTGCAAATGATTGCCGCTTTCCGCGGCATTTTCCACAATGTTGGACTCGATGTTTTCGTCTTCCCGTATCGCGTTACAGCAACTGCGCCGGGTTGTGGCGTGATTGATGTTCTACCAAACTCCATTTCCCGAGACATGCTGGGACGTGAAGCCGTCAATGGCCTATATGACTATTTCATCAGCAAGTACGGAAATGAGGACTCACTCCGCTTTCAGCACGCTCGTAGCAACTTTGTCAAGAGCATGGCCGCCTACAGCATCATATCGTTCCTCCTTCAATTCAAGGACCGTCATAATGGCAACATAATGATCGATGACGCGGGTCACATTCTCCATATCGATTTCGGCTTCTGTTTTGACATTGCTCCGGGTGGCGTGAAATTTGAGCGTGCGCCTTTCAAGCTTACCCACGAGATGATCCTGGTCATGGGGGGCAATATTGAGCACCAAGCTTTCAAGTCATTTGAGGAGCTCTGCGTCAAGGCCTTCCTTGCCTGTCGACCATACGCTGAGAAGCTTAGCCAGATCGTTCTCTTAATGATGGAAAGTGGTCTTCCATGCTTTAAGCCTGAAAGTGTCAAGCATTTTAGAGAGCGCTTTGTTCTTGAGAAGAACGAACGAGAAGCGGCCGAATTTGTCAAGGACCTTGTCCGAAGGAGTGCTGGAAGCTACAGCACGATGGTCTATGATCAGTTCCAGCTTATGACGAACGGCATTCCTTACTAAGATACGCGAGAATGTGACACAACGGATCTACTTATATGTTTGGAATAGTTCCTGTTCGCAGACCTAATCGAGCTTCTGTTGTATTTAATTCTAATTCACTAATCAGTTCTAGTGTAATACTATTTATAACGAGTTACTTGATCATTATAATACTCTTTGAATGGGGTTTATTGATATGCGGCACTCAAATGTTTTCGCTTTACAATACAAATATTTTGTTATATTGAAACATTCTGTTCTAACGATTTGGTAACTTCTAACTTCTACTGAAAAAAAAAACATTCTGCACGAGACCCCCGACCATGCTCAAGGTAAGAAACGTCGGCTTGAGATTAGTTTCGAGTCGAAGTTCGATCCTGAGCTCCAGACTGAGACTGACTTTGGGTACCGTCGGAAAGGGGATTCTGGTTCTTGGACTGACTTGCCTGTGAACTAGAGTTTTGAAATCCTGGCACCTGGTGATGGCACTGGTGCGGCGAAGAACATGGACATACTTGTGGGCGCTGCTCGTATTTGGCGCCGCCGGATAAATCGTAGCCACTTCGCATTTTGTTTAATTCGAGATTTTCGTCTGAGGTTGTTTTAATTAGGGTAAGTGAGGAGTGAGTTCGAGTAGGTTTTCGTGAAAACTGCACATGTACAAATTCAAGGGGAGCGAGCGTGGAATTGTCTGGGCTTATATACTAGCATGCCTGCGAGTTGTGAAAGGGGCTGCGGAGGGCCGCTGCGTGGGGGAAGGATTCGCGTTGGATACAATAATCTCATTGACATCGGGAGGTTTGCTAGAAAAGGTCTTTCTCGCATTCATTGCTTGAGTCTTCTAGATACAAGGTTCATGCATGGGGTTCCTGGAAGACCACACATAATAATAATGTACGCCCGTTTGACAATAGTACCTATTCATGCACCCACCCGCTTGTATCTATTGTTCGTATTGTTCATATGACTGGAACACTATCTCAAAGGCGGCTAAGCTCCCTTCCAAACAAAGAAATAGACACTTCCACAAGGCCCTTGTGTGTCTGAAAATTTGTCGATGGGGATGAATGATGGGGTCTGCTTCTAACTCCCATTGTCCCCCCTGTTATCTTAATTGTGCCTTTCCACGCAGGACCTAGGCGAAATTCTAGGAGAAGGCCCATTTGCCGAATTTAGACTTGACTGGTCCTCTCCAAGGCATTCTCTCTATGATTGCCTTCTCAGAGCTGCCTTCCTGGTAGACAGGCGCATCATCTGCTTCGGAATCGGGCTCGTCTAGTTCCGGCACGCTCTCGATTCCTTTTCTGCTCGCTGGAAACGTGACGCTCGGCCTCGTCGAGCTTGTTGTAGGGTTCTCAAGCCGTTCCATTCTCCGAGCTCTCCGACTGTCGCGGGTGATGCGCTCTTTCATCCTCCTGCTAAGCTCTTCCGAGGATAAGGTATCCTTAAGGCTGGTTTTGCCAGGCTCCGTCTTGCCTTTGATCGTGGTAGCAGCGGATCCTGAGGGGGTGTATTTGAAAAGCGCGTGTCGCAAGTCAGAACCAAGAATCGGTAATCCTCCAGAATCTCCCCCATCAATTTGCATATGCTCAATTGCTGCTATCGCGCGCGACATGGCCCCTTTCAACTCTCTGTTTTCCCGGTGCAGTGCTTCATTTGCATCTACTTGTCTCTGCCACGACGTCCTCAGCTCTTTCATAACGGCGTGATTAGTCTCCAGCTCAGTCTGCAATGCTTTGAACTTCTTCAGTCGCGCCGCTTCGATATCTACCGGCGTCTGGGGAGTTTCTGCGTGGGGTTTCTCCGGCACGAAGGTAAGTTGAGGAGGTGATTCACCTGAAGGACTTGATTGTTGCTGTGTCTGTGCCGGGTCTTGGCTAGAGAGCTGTGATGTAGATGCGAGATCATCTTGATGGACAAGGAAAAGATCGTTCCTCGCGGCCGATGTGTCATTCTTTGTGTGGTCTGTGATGTACTGATATAGACGCTTGTCTTTCTCCTGTATGATCTCCCATGCCCTTTCGAGTTCTCGTCGTAGTTGAGCTACTTGACCCTGCATGAAATCGCTTTTGCTTACAGAAGTTGGGTCCGTTGACGCGCCATATTGAAACGGACTTTCTTGGACAGGATGTCTGTTCTCATACGACGTTGCAACAGAGTACGTTGTCGTAGATGGTGTGCCACGGTCCATGCGCTGGCTAAACACACTAGGGGGAGGTAAACTGCTCGCAACAGTCTTCGTATCATCATCTGCCTTATGTCTGAGAGGGGCTAAAAAATCATAGAGTGCTTTGCCGATATCCCCTTTGCCGGGAACCGGTTTGGAGTCAGGGCTAGGACTTCTGCTACTATCAAAATTGCGCTGTAGGTTCCGAGCTAGTTGTCGTTCTGACATGTCGGAATGGAGCGGCGCTTCGGCAAGCACTCGTCTGCGCAGTAGCGAAAGCATTGACTGTAAAGCCGGCCTAGCAGGAAGCAACAAACATGACACGGAGTTCGGATTTCCAGCTACAACGAAACCAGCCCATGCCCCCTGACCATCGTATGCCCAACTACCGCTATCACCGGGGCGAAGCGATGTACTTAGTCGTACGCTGTGTAACTCTAAGAAATTGCTCGTCCCAGGAAGTCGGCCAAAAAAGGGCACCTGGGAGCGTTGCCCCTTGATCTCCCATTGGTGCATAGTTTCCACCGTAGTAGACGTGTTGGTTAGGTCATCGTTGAAGAAATCGTGGATGAAATCGCGGTTGAGCGCATCCGAAATCGAATGTGTTAAAGGGTCGGCCTTTCCATAGGTCTCTGCGTCCACTTTAACCACGGCAATATCCATTTCAAGGTCAACAGCAACCACGGTGCCGATCCGCACGCAATCTAGAGGTAATTCATCCTCGCACTCAAGCTCATTGCACTCACATGCATCAACAGCAGCATCATCTTCAAGAATAACAGACGGTGCGCTAGTGATGCGTGTTCGGGTACTCATATCAGATGAGCGTTGTGAGTCGTGGCGTTTAAGCAAACTCAGCAAGCTTTCCTCAGAGTCGGACAACTCTGAGGGAGTTTTGCTCCCTGGACTTGTGATAGCCGTTAAGGTCCTGTTGTCTGAACCATCTTCCTCGTCATCCCAATCATCCATCCCAGTGATCTCAAAATCATCCGAGTCGCTTGATGAGTCGGTCTGAGCTTCCCATTGCTGGGGGCTCGTGTTGGCACAATGATTCGGCTTGATAGCATGAGCCATCGTAAGAGCGTATATGTCACCCTCAAACCTGAACAGCCCACCACAGGTGGCAGAGGCCAAGCAATGCGAGTGCAAGTGTGGTGATGTGTGGAAGTAGAGCCGGGTAGGTTTTATGCCGTTCGGATACTCGAAGGCACACACCTCTGCTGAGAGCAAGCTTAGCACTTCCGGTCCAGCACCATATTCATCTCCTATGTATTGGAGACCACCATCATCCTCGGTAGATTCTAGGATAGACGCTGACGGGCTAGTATCCGTCCCGAGTGGTTTGAGATCCTTGAATTCGGCTGCAACGGAACAATGTCCCAACTCGAAGCCCGGATACTTGGATAGGATCTTCTTTGTCTTGACCATCTGGAAAGCCGCCTTCCTGCGGACTTTATCATCCGATACGATCATTATAGTGGGCTTAGTTTTCTCTGGAACTTTCCCGACCATGAAGAGCGAAAACCCGACGAAAGAGTTAGATTCCGGGAGACATTGTTCCAGACACTCCTTAATCTTTCCCGCGATCTCATTCGTGAAGGTGTCTCTCACAGAGCCTTGCGCATCCCAACAAGGATACTTGCGAACTAAAAGTCCCCGATATGGCCCCGTTGAAGAGCTCGCATACGGGTACGTCTGAGGTCGAAGGAGACTCTGCATCGCGAACTATAGCATCAAAACAGCCCGAAAATGCATTCTACTTACGCCATAAGATTTTACTGAGATAAAGGCTGAGGTATCACATTTCGATGACTGAAGGGAGTTCCCCGCACTGTTAATTCCAGCTTGCTCTTATATAGAATGCCGTTGGGGGCCGTTCAAGATGCGGTATGAATGGGGCTGAGATCCATGTCCGCCTAGTCAAGGCATTCTCGACATACTGCGCCACCGCCAGCCAGTCTCGGAGGTTCGATATCGAGAGCACCAATAGAAAAGGCATGCTCATCCGCTCTTCGCTTGATGCCGAAAATCTTCGTATCTTATTGATAAATACTTAAGCAACGTAGTATCATCATGAACGCACGATTAGCCGTTCCTTTAACGGGCCCAATTTACTCCGATACGAGAGATGAGCTTCTTCTCAAGTTATGGGGTTCAGCAAATCCAACGCAAGAAGATCTTGAGTACATGGACTTTTACTTTAACTGGTATGTAGAAAACACAACACCTTAAGTGAAACACCCAATTACGGAATGCATCATCAAATCATGGATACTAATACCTCGCAGTGAGTGAAATGAACAAGGAGTCGGAATATGGCAATTAACACGCGCTAGACTACGCCTCCCAATGTCATAAATTCCTTCTAGACGGAGGCCGACACGTCTCCGTCTCAACTCACGCGGACGTAGTCGAGATCATATCTCAGATCCACCAAGACAAGGAGCGAACAAGCCTTCACCAAGAAGTCTCAAAGAAACTCGTCGGAGGAAGCTCACCAAACACCCACAACAGCGTCAACGGGTCCCTAAACCTGTGCTCCAGACTCCTCATCATGACGAGCATCGGCGAGCCGCCCCTGGGCACAGACGGCCCGAACACGATCCACTGGGACGCCGGCACGCTCCGGGACTTCACAAGCGCGTACTTCGGGCCTGCCAGCAACGGCGGCGTAAAGCTGCACCCGGACAACGCGCAGATCGGGCGGATCTTCACGGCGCTGAATCTGACGAGGATAGGCGGGATGCGGATAGAATGGACGCGGAACCTCGCGGACCACCTCCGGCTCGTGGACGACGACAAGACGGTATCCATCTTCGACTGCGCGGCGTTCCTGAAGTTCCAACGGGCCGTTGACAACCCTTTATTCCCGCCTGCCTTCGTCGACGAGACGCTGCGCACGCTATCGCTCCTGCTCCCGCAGAACGACAGTAGGACGGCGTCGTGGCTGGCGGCGCAGGTCGCGACGCACGATCTGGACCCGGCGCTCGCCGAGTGCGGCAGCCTGAACGCGCGCGCGCGCCGCTTCGAGAACTTCGTCTACTGGCACGACCGGCTCGTGGTGCTGAGGCAGGCGCTCGACGAGGCGCGGCCGCAGACGCTGTCGCAGTGGTGGCACGACCGCCGGAACGGCGTGCAGTGGTACACGTTCTGGGTCGCCATCCTCGTGTTCCTGGTGACCATCTTCTTCGGCCTCGTGCAGAGCGTCGAGGGCGCGCTCCAGGTCTATCTCTCGTGGCAGGCACTCGGGCAAGATGGGTAAAACGAACACGCACACACACACACACAACATGGACGGGATAATGACAGTTTTGTTATTCTTTTCTCACTCTCTCTTTCCGGTTTCCCCCCTTCCCAGCTATCCTTGCAAATCGTAAGGATGAAAAGTTGGGGAAAGGATAATATACTTTTAAAAGCGACCGAGCGAACGAGTTGAGCGACTACGAGACGCCTACCTACTACATGACCTTGAACTTATCGAGAACGCTGAATAATGGAAAATGCTAACGTGCTGCTAAGAGATAAATAAAACATGGGCGATGAGACTCACACACTTTTTTTTTCTTTCCGGTTTTTAAAGGAATCGTGTGGCTGGCTTTACTCCGCGCTCATACCATACTTTTATGTCCAAGGCGTATTTTTTAATGTTACAAGGAGGGAGGAAGGCGGTGGTTTGTCGGGGAGCATTTCATCCTCAGCACCGCCTCTTACATCTACCGCCGATTTGGGGGGCTAATCTACGGGATACCGCACCCTCTCGCCCAGCTCTACAAGACTTTGTTTTCTGAGAAAGAGGTGGCGGCGATAAACACGATATCTATCCGCTCTGCTGCTCCATATGTGTCGGAAGGAAGTTGTAGCTCGAGTAGTCAGCGTGCACGAACGCGCGATCGACAATCGGGACCGACTCAAGCACGTAGCTAAGACTCTCGCTGAGATCGTGAGAATCCCGCAATGTCGTGCTCGCGTCGAGGATGATGTCTACCTCGGCGATGAGCTTGTCGCCGGAGTGGTAGGCCTGGATGCCCTGGATCTGGCGGATGGTCTTGGCGAAGCGCATGGTGAGATAGAGGAGGATGTTCCGCTGATCAGCGGTGGCAGAGAAGCCTGACAAGTTCTTGATATGCTGCAGCGAGGTCTGGGACCAGTTCTTGATGACGACCAGGGAGAGCAGGAGACCGCCCAGCGCGTCGAGCCACCAGATGCCCAAGTAGAAGCCGGCAATAGGGAATATGATGGATCCCGTGTTGAAGATCACGTCGGTCATGGCGTCGGCGGCGAGGGCCTGCACGCTCGAGTTCTTCACTAGTCGACACCAGATCCAGCAAAGGCCCTTGATCACAACCGTACCAACCATGATCGAGATCTCGGGGATACCAAGCTCGATGATCTTGTGGTCTCCCGATGCGAGTCGCTGGATAGATTGTAGTGCTACTTGCACAAAGGAGGTGATCATAATAACGGAGAATACCAGGACACCTAGGGGTTCGAGCCTCCGCCTTCCGACGGGGTATTTGTACTGGTCTTGACGGGATATCAGGGCCGTCGTTATCCACACGATGACGGTGGACAGGAAATCCAGGATCGCATCGACCAAACTTGCCAGTACGGACATGGACGAGACGGAGATCATGACGACGATCTTTCCGGCAAGCAAGAGGAAGTTCGCGGCGAAGTTTACGTAGATAGCAAGTGTGACAATTGGATCGCTACTATCGATGTCATCGTCGTCCTCAGGTTCGGGGACCTCAGGTTTAGGTGTCTCGTCTTCCTCGTCTTCCTCTTCGTGGTTGAACAGAGGTGTAACTTCCGAGGGCCGATAGATGTCCTTGGGTGTGCGCTTGACCTTCTTTGTTGAACCTGTTTTTGGTAATGAAGAATTATCATCTGGGGTTGTGAGGCTGCCGCTAACACCGTCCGAGCCGGTGTCGTTCGAGGATCTGTTGCCCACGGGAATCGTGATAGATTTCGGTAAACTCCCAGTCTCTTCCGTAATGGTCTCGGGAACTTCAACAACACCTTTGGATGAGTTGTGTGGGAGGTCATTGTATTCATTGAGAAGGTCGTGGGGTAGACTGCTGTCTAGTAAGCGGTCAATGTATAGGTATTGTTGGACGAGGTAGTTGATGCGCTCGTAGTATTGCCGCACGGGCTTCGAGAAGGTCTTCAATTGCTCTTCCGACTTCCAGTATCGTTCCCATTTGTAGCGAGGGTTTGAGTTTCCAATCAAACGCATGGACCGCACAGGGTCACTGTTCAGGATCTGGCTGAGTCGGCGCTCATCAGCCTGGGATCGGCGATGCTCATCATCACCGAGCTCGTGAGAGGAAATGGAATGTGCCAGCAAGGCTTCCTCATCGTCAATGACCCCCCCGCGCCAGGAAGTGCCGTAGGTGTGACTTGGATGAGAGCGGCTCAGCAGTTGCGTGAGGGCCGAGGCACGCGGGTGGTCAGAATGGCCTCTGTGGGTGCTGTTGTTGCGGCTACGGCCGCGAGAAGGGGATCTCCAAGTCGAGGCCGAGCGTGTGAAGTCCATAGTGATGATTATGACGAGGTAGATTGATTGATTGGTTGCTTGTTTCTTCCCGCTTTTGCTTCGAAGCTGCAGCTGCTTCTTACTCGATCAAGGTTTAAGCTTTATCTGGTTTGCTTTGCCTCGGTTTGCCTTTCCCTCTTTTCTTCTCTCTTCTTCTCTTTTCTTCTCTTTTGTTTTATTGATGTTAACGAGCAAGACGAGAGGGAGCTCTTATGTGTTTTGCACAAAATAAACAATGGGTAGGCGAACCAGAGGTCTGAGCGCAAACTCAGTTCACCTAGGTAGGGACTGACTAGGGTACCTGGTATTAAGTAGAGGATTAGAGGGTCGCAGGAGGAGCTCGAGGGTTTGGAAGGTGATACTGGCCGTTCCATACAGTATATACTCCCCAGATACCAACCTAGTCCTTAAGTAAGTACCGGTAAGTAAAGTAGCAGCAGGCAAAGGTGCGGCGAAGTTGCGGTATTATCTACTAGACTACCTACCGAGACTACTACATTACTATGTACAGTAATGGTAAGTCAGATAGATCAGCAGCAAATAGGAGAGAGACTACACTATGTAGGTAAGTAGAGCGAGTGTGCGCGCGCGCGCCGCCGAGCACATGGCTGGGCGTTCGACTGCAGGCGCCATTGCGTGCAGCCCGTAACACAGTGGGCGGCGTGATTCCGAGACGAAGCTCCGCTAAACGGGGTCCGATCTTTTGCAGAATCCAGCCTAGGCCTGCGCTTGGCTCCTTGGCCGTCTCCAGGGCGCACGGCTGGAATGCTACTCTAGGTAACCTCTGCTTCTGCTCTGCTCTAACCAAGCCTGAGTTCTCTGTCCGAGTTCTCTGTCCGAGCTTGCAAACGTAGTCGAGTAAGGACTAAGTCTCAGCTACCCTTGCTATACTACGTAAGTAGGTAGGATAAATACACTAGTAACGGCAATTGAGGTATATTTGAGTAGGTAGGTAAAGGTAGACACTGATCCCCTCGATACACACTGTAGTACACGCAGGTCATGTCAGCAGTCAAGGCTTCACGGCCTCGTCAAATTTTTCCACTGTTATCATCAGGCATTCTTTGCTTTTCATCACGTCGAATGCGGGGGGTCTGCATACGGTCACCATATCATGACTCGTATGCTATGTAAGATAATGTAGGTATAAATGCCTGTCAGCCCGCTTATACCAGGGTAATTATGCCTGGGCAGGAAACCAGCACGCCTTGATTGGCTTGGATCAAAACAACCTACATACCGTCTGCGACCCTGGACCCTCCGAGTACGGATCTGCCGCAGAAAGTGCCACTTTATGGTCACTTCGTTTGAGAACAGACTCAAGTGGGACCCAAAATCATCCAAAGTCCCTGGATGGTTTGGATGATATCTCCTGACCACTCGGTGCGAACGTAAAACAACCATTATACCTGGTCATGGAAAGTCTCTACTGGTAACAGCAAGGTTAAAAAAAAAAAAAAAAGGCACAAACAGTGTGAGTTTGTACAACTCCTGGAAAATTGACGATGCGCAGTGCGTCTAGGTAGGCTTTGGAGCACATGTTGCGTGAGGGGAGGTCAAGATGCAAAACTCTCGCTAGACCTCGACTCTTATCTCGAGCTACCCGGCACCGTGGAAGGCAATTGGATGGTTTGCTACCTGAATCCTGTTCGGTGCCGTGGCGGTGGAGGGAGATCTCAAATGCATCAAGAAGCTGCAGTAACATCCCCGTAGCATATCCGCTTCGGCCTGCAGAAGATTCCCGAATGGGAGCCCTGTTCAAGCCTTCTTCCATTCTTCACACCCCGTGCTTCGGAGCCTTCCGTCCTAGCTAGTTGTAGATCCTTTGGCGGCTACGATCTTCTCTGCAAGCAACGCCGTGGCCTTCACAATCAACTCGTGCTCGAATCCATGTATCCTTTGCTCGAGATCTTCTAGACTCTCTCCCTTGCGTATTTCCACTTCTTGAGTCAAGACAGGCGCACCACGATCGACTTCTTCCACAACGTAGTGGATCATGATTCCTGTGATGCCATTCGCAAGTTTTCCAGCTTGGAAGTCATCATATGCTCGTTTAATCTACCAAAAGCCAAGGTGTCAGTTATTCATAGCGTAGAACCAAAGTAGGTGACCTTTCGGGCATAGTGGTATCAAGCAGACGTGGCAGAAACTTTGTCCTCAGTCGTAGTCAAGAATGGTGATGAAGAGAACAGTCTTACCGCCCCCGCGCCATCGTACATGCCTAGTAGAAGATTATTAGACAGTGAACAGAATTCTAGAGTAAGTGATAACATACCTGGTAACGCAGCTATGGATTGCTAGAGTCAGTATTTCCTCTTTCACGTGAAAAGGGGGAGGGTTGAAGGAGCTCTATCAGGAATTTTCGCCTCTACGGGCAGCTAGAGCAAGTTGAAAGTGACACTTGGGGGGGAGGGTAAGCATACGGTGTAAGTTGATTATTGGAACGCCAGCGGCGGCCACAGGGTTGAGAAACCCAGGGCTCATTACTACGTTGTTCTACTTTAGCCAGAGTATCTTCAAAGAAAATAGCAATGCGTTATAGATGGCAGTGCGTCCATGATCCAACATAGTTGCCCACTGGGATAGAGAAGAAGCGCATCATCACTCACCATGCATCCATCCAGCCAGCACTATTAAGTCAGGTTTATCGGCTAATATCCGCGCGGCGAGAGCTGTGTCGTAAGCGAAGCGAGCCTCCTTGACTTTCTCGGGGTCCTTCTCGCCCGGCGCCAGAAAGCCATGCTTCACAAGGTTGAAGTAGTCGGTAGGGATCGATGGCTGCGCGCTTTCCGCTCGCTTTACCGCATAGGCATCTTTTCGGTTGACGGTGACTTTGACGATGGTGCCTGCGATGATACCTGAAGCACTGGCATCTATAAGCTATAAAAGTTGACGACTTAGTTAGTGATGCTTGTAGGTAACATGAAAAGTAGCTAGCTTCTTTGATGTTCCGGGGTTTCAGAAGCAAGCTACCGTATTGGCCAAGGCGGAGGAGGAGTTGGAATCTGAAATGCGTACTGCTTGTAGATTGCTGCCATTGCCTGAGGCAAGGCAGCTGATCCTCGCCTTGTATTCGACCATGGTTTGAAGCTCGGGTAGAACGGGGAGTTTAAGGCAGGAATGGGCCGAATGAGCGGTTGAGGACCAAGGCCAGGGCCAGCCAACCAGTCCACCGCGCTTCTTACTTGTGAAGAAGGAATTACGTACTTAATTGGTCGCAAAAAGATCACACTGAGAGAGCAGATGTTTCCTCTCTATTGTGGGTGTGAATTATGTGGAGGGGCACAAATGTCTTAGCTCGAAAATTCATGGCGGGGAATGAGACGGAATGAGACGCGTGCGCGACGAGTGCTTCCGATAAAGGGCTACGTTTTTCAAGTTGTACCACAAGCTCCCCCCTCATCCTTACTTACGGCCTTAGGCACAGACTTGACGATGCAACTCGGAAGTTTCGTAACACTACCAATGCTGCACATTCACATTCAATTCCCTGCCTACACATGTCACATGTACAGCACTTTCAAAGAGGATACTTTCCTCGAAAGACATGAGGAAGAAACAACAGGCCAAGAGGTCCATCTACATACTTACATGTGAATAAGTGGGGATGATCTTGAGATGAATATTTTGGCACGATTGGCAATGAGGAGATCTAGGATGTAAGTGTATGTAAGTACTATCATAGGTACAAGTGTTTGCAGCATGTATACCTCAAAATATGCACATTTCGGTGATCAGAATCATAATGCGTACAACATTGGGACTACTGCGGTAGGTAGGTCAGAGTAGGTAATTGACGGGCTGGAAGCTGTCATCTGGTTCTACGAATACCATAGGAACCAGATTTCCTGATACATACTAGGAAATGCCTCGAAGTACATGTAATGGATTTCTGGATAGGAAATACTATGTACTCAGTAGACTAGAGTCTAGATTTATGGGTACTGGGTTGAGGAGGGATGGGCAGAGGATGGGTAAGGTGGCCTTGGGTTATGATGTACCAAATGACGATACTATGTCTCAGACTCGGCTGTGACGCTGCTAGGTTAGCTCCAGTTTACCTACTACTTACTTCGTAGTGGGATATAAAACGTAGTATCATGATTCGTGCGTATCTACTTGATTCTCTTAGGTTGCACCACTGATCTAGCTGAAACTACAAATCTGGGACTGCATTGCTACGTACATAAGCCGCTTCCCACATATATGTTTCTTTGGGAACGTTGATCTCCTACGGTAGTGCGAGAAGGCAGCCATTGTGATGAATACTACGTATACCGATCAGATGTTCGACCTGTTCGGAGAAATTTGACCATTGGCGCCGTGGTATGGTCGGTAGGGAGCCCAACCGGAGAGTCCGGACCCAGGGGCTTGCCGACAAACCTCGTCAATGAAATCCCATCCTTACATAATCGATCGTAACCGTACCGTCACATCGCTTTCCCTTTAGTGTCTACTACCTAAACAGCTTGTTGGGCATCTCGCTGTGCATGCTAGGTATGCTCTATTGGATGGCTTCGTTAATGTGAATCTGGCTCATGCCCGAGGAATTTGGTTGAGATGCGGGCGCAATTCAAGATGCCACCATGTGACCAATTTGTCGATGTACCTAGTAAAGAATGGGTACTGTACACTTATGCAGTGCCTCTCCGTAGAATGAATGGGATGCGTTGAGATGGCAGAACTTGGCGATCCGATGGCGAGATGAAATGAGATTGGGACGAGACGCGCGGATAGTAGTACCACGACCTTTTAATATTCATTCATGTAAGTGCCGGATGGTCTTCCCTTTACATAGTACCTACACATATAATGGATCACCGATATGGAATAAATACCTGCACCCCGTACACTATTTATCGTACTAATTATCTACATGCGGAATGTGGTGTAGTGCAAGTCCATTTTTACTGTAGGTAAAGTACCCATGATTTAGAAAATCCCGGATCTTGCTTGCTTGCAAAAGAAAAACCGGGTAGCCTTTCAGCCGTAACGGCATTGATTGGTTGAAGTTGAATACGAACCTAAGATCTACACGCTAGAGCAGACTTATGGCTCGCTAACTCAACAAGTAGTAGTTGCACAAAGTCTACTTCGTACATAGATGATGTGTGGGGAAACACGGGCTTCTTTTCCATGTAGGTAGGTATTGTTGGTTTTATTTATTTTATTTTATTCGCGGCCCTGTACCTTTGGATTTTACGCCCGGTGAATGCTACATTCACATAGCAGTGGCAGTCCTACCTATTTTACCTATGTGTTGACATCCTTCATTGCGGTGTGTTTGAGCCAAGAAGACGGATGGGTAGGTAGCTAGTTACGCCGCATCCGGGAGCACACGTACCAGACTCGGCCTTTTGTCCACTGACAATAAAAGCAAGAGCCGAGAGTATCAAGCATATGAAATCGACAAAAAAGCCATGGAAAATATATTGCCAGTTACCTGGTAATCAAGAAAACCTGCAACAGGCGGCTTGCGTAATGTGTTGTCATGCGCACCGCATCACATCACATGGAATGATACACACTTACATACTCGCCCAGACAGGCAATATCGTCCAGCTACTGTGGAACAGTTCACACAGAGTGTAGTGTCGTACAACCTAAGTAAACTAGGTACAGCATAGAGACCATACGTATACCAGACCCACTGCGTTCAGGGTTTTTTTTTTTTTTTTTTTACTTAGAATAGCCGTCCAGAAGCCGTCCTTGATGATGAGTGCTGTCATCCGCGCAGGTTCTCTAAGCATCTCGTCAGCGGGCATTCTCTTCTGACCCATTGATGTCAATGAGCCTAGCGAATGATTAATCTATTTGTAGGTATTCCGTCCATCGTGATGAGCCTTGGCCGTAGATCTCGAATCGGTGGGACTTTGTGTCTCCTGTCGATCCTGACGTAGATAGTGTATGTTCCTCGGATTTTTTTTTTGGGGAGTAGACTCCTAAAGTATGTATGTATATGACCTGCCAACTGGACTTTCCATGGTATGGGGAGAACGAAGCGGAGAATAGAAGAAAAAAAATTAAGAATAAAAATAGAATAACAACGTGTTCCGCGTAATACTTAAAGCGTGAGATCGTGGTGGCGGGGCACACATTGTTCGATGCGTCCTCCTTTTGGACTGTAAGTCCGGTCGTATACTTCCCTACTATTGCTTATTGAGGCGCCGTCCTCCAGCATACGGGCACGCCACTGAGCAAGCTTTTCCTAAAACCGCCTGGTGCGGCCGAGCCTCCTGCAATGCTTCGCCGATTTCAGCAGCTTGGCCAGCCTTCCCTGTCCTGAAAGTGACAATGCCAGATCCAGGCAGGGCAAATAGTGCCAGGGCCATCAAGACAAAACAAAGCCGTATGGGCACGCCGAAGCACGAGCAGCAAGTCCTGCCGTAAGCCACAGCCGTCATCCCAAGTCGACGACGTGTTGAAGAGAGATGGCGGCGACGGCGGCGACGGCGGCGCTACTGCAGATTCTCTGGAGTCAGAGACGGAAATGACAGCGGGGACAGATGCTCGGTTCCTGGGACCATACCTAGAGTAAGTACCTCACCTAACCTACAGAGTATGCATATTGATTGAGAAGAATCCTGTTTTGACATGGACGTCCTGTCCTGGCACCTCGAACTCCCTCCCCCTGGCGTCTTAACAGTGCTACTAGTATGTAAACAATACCAGGTAGTGCCTAGAGCCTAGAGCCTCTTAGAAGTGGCCAAGCAGGAGGGCGATGTGGACACCCAACACGTCGCTTGGTACTTACACGTGCTGCAACCTACGCGCTAGATATACTCAAGAACCAAGCGAGTTACATGTATACGTATAATTATACAAATATATGTACCGGTATGCGTATACCTACTCTAGGTATTTACATAGTAACTCCGGTACGTGTACCTACTTGGTGAGTAAGCGCGTGCTAGCATGCTCTCCTTTGATTGATTGATGGATGTGCATGTAGTGTAGACTCACGAAGATAATTTCAACAGCTGCCCGTTTTGTTACCAGTACTGCTGCCCAGGCCTCTTGCCCATTCACTTATTTCTATGTACCGCCTAGTGGTGTATTCCTAATATCGGTACCTGACCTGCTTGGATTCCCCCTGGCAGTACCCCGGGGTAGCAGGCGATACAGATATTGTGCCGTACCTACACTAAGTACTTGTTTTTGTCGAGATTTCCGGGCCACCTGGCTTGGAAGTTGGATTTACCATACCTCGTTCAGACTCGTTCTAAGTAAGTAATACCCGACCACGCGCACCCACGAACCAACCGACTAACGGTACTACTTACTTAGGTACAGATACAGTGGGTAGGTAACACGTTGAGTATGCATGGTGCGTGCTCACTTGGAACGATGAGTGATGCTATGATATCCGGATCCTTACAGTGCTCCGAGCGTTCTGCTACGATTATGCACCACGCCGAGGTTCTACCTAGGTACTGTACGCGTAGGTATATGCACTAGGTACTTTGCTAGCACCACAGCAGGCGTTACAGTGTCCGTGAAGGGGTAACGTCACTGTAATGGCGTGCCCAAACTCCTCACCAACCCTATCCGTAGCGCCCAGCCCACACTGTGCAATATGCCTAAAGCAGCAAGTCTGCGCTGCTGTCCTGCCCGTGGCGGACCCGTAGCGTACCTTGGTAGCGCATGTAGGTACCTCACCTAGCCGCCATTAAGTCATTCGATCGCTTTCTGCTAAGCTACCTCAGGTGCCCAAGGATGTGTACGTACCTACCTAACAACAAGCAAGCCCATTTCCCCCAAAATCTTCCGTCTTCATTCCCAGTCCCAGTCTCCTTGTCTTTTCAGCATCTCGCAACCGCATATCGTGTCCGGTATTGTTGAGCTTGGTGCAAGTGTTCTCGACGACCTGTTGTTGCCCTGCTGCAGACCTACTCTGTCTTTGCTCTCGTTTTACACAATACAGCTTATAATTTCCCCTTCATCTTCATTTTGCATTCTCTGTTTACAACATACTGTAGGCGACGATCCTCCCCCTATTTTGCTTCTTTGCAGCAGAGCCCTTCGCTGGTTGTCTCGCCGACCTTGGTCGAATCCTCGAGCCTGTGGTACCTTATTCAACAACGCTCTTGTTCGATATCCTCATCCTGTTGTCATCGTCCGACCACACCATCATCATACACAAAAAAACACTAGTCAGCTCGTTTCCGTTCGATCAACTGGCCTATTTGCATTTGTCCATCGCATTGCGTACTTGCTTGCCATTAATATTAGGACCATATTCGTCTATACACGTATATACACTGCATCCATTCTCGTTAGTGAACTCCCATCACTCCGTTTCCCGCCATGTAAGTAGGAACCTTTTTGCATGTTGGTCGTGAACTTATTTTCTTCCCACATCCTGTACCCTGGATAACCCCTGGTGTTCTGACTACCGAGCTCAAAATACCAAGTCTGTATTACTCATGGGGCGAGACACTGGCGTAGTTCGTGTTGTATGATCCTTTGTACCACCCTATGTGCTTGGGGATTACGCTCGTCGTTCTCCCTAAGCTTACTCTAGTTCCGCTACGCCCATCTCATGACAGTCTTTCTGGGTGTATATTCCATGCTGGCCTTGAGACCGGTGGGCCTTTACATGAGAGAAAGATAGCTAACCGCTCACCATGCAGTCTTTCACTTAGTGTCACAGTTTCCTGACGCCTGTCTAGACTCCCTAGTTCGGGGTTTATTGGAGGTGTCACAACTGTAGTCTCGTATACTTGCCTACATTTCTCCGACGCTCCGCCCAAACGAGCCTCCGGACGACCATTAGCAGTCTCGACTAGCTCCCGGGATTTATGGGTTCGTGGTAATACTACTACAAATCGAGCTGTTCTATATGCCTAGATTTCCAGTCAACTTTCGGCGGAAATCGACCGCAGCCGATGATCAAAATGGGTCGGTAGCCGAACCGTCGTTCCGAGTGCTGGAACGACCTAGCAGCAGCCATATTAAAACCTTCGACGGTGGCGTGAGGCAGAGTAGGACAGCTGGTGGTGCACCGAAGAACAATATTCACGATTTGACAATGGAAGATAATCTCTTTGCAGGTTTGAACAGTAGTCGGTATGTTTCCCTCTCCTCTTGCCTTGTTTTCTGGGAATGATGCCTGCATATGTTAGACGTCAGTTACTGGTGGATTGTTTGTTCTCAATATTACACCGTTCACCAGTAAATTGGTGGCTACGCGCCTAGGATCCTAGCTTTCTAGGCCTGGTCATGGTACATGACAGAGCGCTCACCTTCATGCCGCCATAGCCTCGTTAATAACAGCCGTGGCTGATTTAGTGCTGAGCGATTTTGCTGATCTTTTCCTAGTGGCAGTGGCAGCTCGAATACTACTAAAACGGGGTCTGACAATTCCTCCCGTCATAGTAATGTATCAATGACTCCCTCCTCTACCGAGTATATTCCTCAGCAAGATGAATGGCGGAATGCCCCTAGCAGAAAACCCTTGCCTTCAAGTGATAATTTCGATGCGATTCCCCCTGCGCCACCTGCACACAAGAGCTCTGGCTTTCTCAAACAAGCAACCAGGACATTTTCGTTTGGGGGTAACAAGAAACATACACTGCCGCCAATACCATCAGAGGAGACCGTTCCTCCTATGCCAGAATACAAGACCCCCCAAACCCCGAACGCCCGCTCTCGGGCTGCGACGGCTTCGACAGTCACCAGTGCGACGCCGCCGAAGCTTGAAGATTCAGATTTCAAACTAGATCTAGGCGGTGAATGGAGCAGCGGTATGCTGACAAAATTCGACAAACGTTCGAGTGTCGCAACCTTGAAAGAACGAGACGCAAACAACAGTAGGCCCAACCAGCCATCGCCTCTCCATCTAGACCACTCTGCCCCCATAGAACCGCCCCCAAAGTCGTGGAATAGCCAACACTCCAACGAGGGACTACTTGGATCTGGTCGTGTGTATTCGTCTCCTGTCCACAAAGACGAAATTACACCACCTCCACCAGTCGCAGACGTCTCGAAACCAATTAATAGATACCCTGAGCGCCGTGCATCGGAGGAGGATACGGAGGACACGACTTTATTGAGCGATTTATCAGCAGCTTCCAAATTTTTGGCAAGTGGTGCAGCTGATCGTCCCTATGCAGGTCGATCAGCTCTTCCCGCTGGTTCAAAAGGATCATACTCCAAAACACGATATGATCCTAACGAGGATGAGGACAATATCTTTGATAAGTCATTTGGCCGGCCGCCGAGGGTTGCAACGCGGGTTGGTAGCAGCTCCAATTCAACGCAAAACAACGGAAATAAGGTTATGACTCCACGGGAATTTGAGAAGTATCGGGATAATAAAGCAAAGGAAGAAAAGCTCGGATTAATAGGCTCTAACGAGTCGGACAAAGAAGATGATGAGATCAACTATGATGATGATGAGGATGATGAGTTGGAGAGGTCCAAACAGATACAAAAGCAACGTCAAAAGCAAGAAGCCCATCTGTCAGTGTACCGGCAACAAATGATGAAGGTTACGGGTGAGAGCGCAAATCCCACACCGCGACCCGCCATGTCCACGTCATTAAGCACACCTAATCTACCGATAAACCATGCTCTGAACACTGGCAACACGCCTACACCACCGTCCGATGGTTCCGAAGAAGATGAGGAAGTGCCACTTGCTATACTTGCGGCACATGGGTTTCCCAACAAGAATCGCCCACCGACTCGCCTCAGTACTATGGGCTCACAACCAAACCTTCGAGCTTCTATGATGCAACAGTCAGCCACTGCCGGTGCAAATTCAGTGGCTGGTGATAGTAATGCGGGAGGCGCGTCTGGTGGTCGTCTTCCACCTTTTGCTCGAAAATTACCACAAGATCCATATCTTGGGGCTGGACTCATTAACCAGGCCCCACGGGAATCCATTGCCTTTGCAGGTGGTGCACCGGCTCCATCAAGATCACTCCCAACCGGCGGTCTAGTAGGAGTTATTGCGAACGAAGAGCGGGCTCGGGCCTTAAGACGAGGTAGTCCCGCCGTTGACAACGCCAAAAACAGTATGACTCAATTGCAAATGAACCCGGGATTCGACCCTATCAATGGCATCCCAGCACAAATGATGTACCCGATGGGCATGCAGCCACCACAACCACCAATGCTTACGGTCGGTGAGCAGGCACAAGTTCAAATGAATCAGCAAATGCATCAGTTCATGCAAATGCAAATGCAATTCATGCAGATGATGGCCACACAGAATTCACAGACTCAGGGACAACCCAGACCCATGGGACATATGCCAACGCAGTCAGTCGGGCAAATGGGTGATATGTCGCGCAATTCAATGATGGGTGGTGATCGGGGTTCATTCATTGGTGCGTCCATGACTGGCGCTCTGGGATCTGGGCTGAGCTTAGATGTGCCTCATCTAGGGCCACAGATGAGAACCATGAGCATGGTTCAGCCAAGCTCAGCATCCTGGATTCAGCAACCTCCACAGCCAAGTTATGTCCCTTCAATCAACATTCAAGCGGGTGGCTACGCTCCGTCAATTGCACCCTCGGAACGAAGTAACATCGGGCTGCCTGGCCGTTATCGACCTGTCTCTAGTATTAATATTGACCAATCTGGTCGAACGTCCACCATGGGGGGTGCTGCCCACCATATCCCATCCAACCTCAAAGCTGAACCCAAGGTGGCTACTGTTGCGAGGGACGATGACGAAGACGATGACGAAGGATGGGCAGCCATGAAGGCCAAGCGAGAGCAAAAGAAGAGCCTGTGGCGGTCCAAAAAAACCTTTGATTCCAGCATCGGGGCTCTTATTAACTGAATGCATTCTGATTTCTGCAGTTCCCTAACATCAACATCATTGTTTGGCTAGAAAAAAGAAGGAGCATCTTGCTACCACCTCATATGAGCATTGCGTCTATATCACCTTGCTGCGGTAGCATGCTTGTTTTTCCACTTTCATTGTATCCGTGGGGGGGCCATGTGTAAGGGAGATTTCGATGGACTATTGTATATGTGTAGGGATCATGTTGGATAGAGATGTGATGGCACTGGTTTCTTTGGCCTGCACGACATGAGCAGAAATTGCCACACTGTTAAAGAAACAGCAGTTGCCGTGAAAGGTCTCTTCTCGCTTGATCATCAGGGATCTCAAGTGGCGACGGGGTTGGATTTATGATAGACTAAGCCTACGTACCACTACATTTAATCTAATATAAATTTGCAAAGATGTTGCAGACGGGCATCTACAACGGAAAAGCGCAAACATTTTCTTTTGACGGCTTGTCATTGTGTAATCCCAACATGGTTGCTTGTCGACTGTGCTTTGAATGTGTAGGGATCGGACACTATTGTATCCAAAGTTACAGTTAATGCAGCATACGGCCCGTCTGTTTGATCTACCTGTCCACATCGAGGTCCCGGTATTCGAGCTTTATTCTTTTATCTTTAACTAGTCGCATAAATAATCGCCAACGGACACGTTCAGTCCAGCTTTCCCTGGGCCCAAGCCGCACGTTTAACGCCCAACTCGACGGCCGCAAGACCCCAGTCCTCACCGTGGTTGTGGCTCCCGCTGAGCAGCCCGGCGCGAGCCTTGGCCTGGTCGTCATTAAGCACGGTGAGGACGCCGAAGATGACGGGGATGCCGAGGTCCAGGCCAACGCGCATGAGGCCCTGGGACACGGCGTCGGCGATGTATTCGAAGTGCATGGTCTCGCCCTTGATCAGCACGCCGATGGCGACGATGGCGTCGAAGGGCCGCGACGAGGTCGCGTCCGGGCCGAGAGAGGTCAGGTCCGTCGTCGAGGAGCCGAGGAGATCGCCGGCCGTGGAGGCGCCGCCCGACGAGGACTGCTGGATCTGCGAGGCCGTGTACATGCTAGAATAGATCGAAGACGGGGGTCAGAGGTTCACAGGAGCGCGTATGTGGATGGATGTAGGACGGAGACTTACCGCTGAACGGCAATGGGGAGCTCCCAGGAGCCAGGGACAGACTGCACGACGATGTTGGAGTCCTTGACGCCGCACTTGGCGAGCTGGGCCTTGGTGCCCTCGAGCAGAGGCGCGATGATGGTCTCGTTCCAGCGCGCGTGCACGATGCCGATGCGCAGGGCGCTGCCGTCGTGCTCCTCTGGCTTGGGACCTTTGAGGGAATGGGAAGCCATCTTGGTGTTCTTATTTTCGTTAAATTGTATTGTACGGAGAGTGAAGGTTCGCTTGTTAGGTCCTCGAATGAATGTGATGAAGGCTGCGCGAGCGTTTCAGTCGAGGTGGGGTGATGGCGGGGTGACGATATCAAGGAGAGGCTTGTGAACTAAGAATTGGTCAGCCATTGATTGATTGCTAAGGGTTAGGGAGAAGGAAGTAAATGAGATTGCTTCGCTCACAGATGATTTGTGATGGTAATCGGGAATAATTGAAGCAAAAGTGAGATGAGATTCCAATGCTGGTTTGAAGCGAACCGGCTGAGCTGAGGTGAGTGTGTGCAACAGTCAAACGACGAGCATAGCAGTGACACAAATGCGGGGCATGACGCAGTGGAGACAGGGGTCTAGATCCCAAAGGTTACTTCGTAGGAGCTGTCGAAGCTGTCGGATTGATTGGTATAGGTAGCTTCAGCGTCGTGAAGCACAAATGTGACACGGACACAAGCACGAGATCATAGTCGCATAGCCACAAGTGCGAGGTGCTACTCGTCTATCTGCAAATCTCCCCGTACACCAGATCGACGCGATTCACAATCGGGTTGAGCAAGTGCGATGGAGAGCTAACTGGATCGGCAATTGGGTGTGAGAGGAAGCTGCCTCGGGGGCCGCACCTGTTCTGTTACACCAGGACTCGACACGGAGAAGGAGCTGTGGTTGCTCTCCGAGTCACTTCCATTCATGATGTTGGGTTGTTAAAGTTCTTGTGAAAAGCACCCTGTTCATTTGTGTGGTAGGATACATGTATATCCCACCAAATCACAGTTCATACATATATCCATCCTAAATTTGAAAGGGGACTGACTATAAGTGAATATTCCTTTTAATACACTTTTTTCCCCTACTTTATATTCTATTCCCTAAGAAAAGCTGTATTTGTTGTATCATTCAATCCAACCAAATCTGTCTGATATCTGAAATCATAATTGGCCATGTCTTCGTCCATATCTCCTCTAGCCGACTCTACAGCTCAACTTATAGGCGCTCATGCGGTAGTTGTTTCACCTACTACAGTTGTGAAGGAGTTATTAGACAATGCAATCGATGCTAAAGCCACTTCAATCGAAATACTTATCTCTCCTGACACCACCTCCAGGATCGAGGTCCGAGATAATGGCCTCGGTATTCATCCCGATGACTTCGATTCGCTAGGCAGACATGGTCACACAAGTAAACTCAGGAAGATCGAGGAGCTTGCAACCCTCGCTGGGAAGAGCCTCGGTTTCCGTGGCGAAGCTCTTGCGAGCATAAACTCTGTGGCTACTGTTACCATAACCACCAAAGCCTCTTCCGAGCCTATCGCCGCCACTTTTCAATTAACACCTAACGAAGGCGGTGCCCTAGCTCAAAAGCCATCTTCTGCCCCTGTAGGGACAACAGTGAATGTCATCAACTTGTTCAGTCGCCAGCCCGTACGTCAGCGAGTAGCTGTCAGAGAGGCGAAGAAAAGCCTCGACCAAATCCAGGAACTCCTACGATCCTATATAATGGCTCGGCCGCAGCTTAGAATCATATTCAAGATCCTGCACACACCAGCAAAAGTATGGTCTTATTCTTCCAATTGTAATGTGACTGTGATTGAGGCAGCATTGCAGTTATTTGGGGTTGAGGTGGCATCAAATTGCCTCTTGAAAACATTTCAATCGAGCCACGAAAAAAACGGCGAATCTTCGTGTCAAAATCTGTCAGAATCAACGACTAATGGCTTTCTACTTGAAGTGCTTCTTGCCAATCCGGAAGCAAACCTTCAGAACGTGCCCAAACGCCACTATTGCTCCATTGATGGCCGCCCTTTGAACGTTAGTCGCGGCGTAGCCAAGCGATTATTAAGGATCTACCTAGAACATCTGAAACGATCAACATTGGTGAAAGATATTAGTGATTGCTTCATTCGCCTTGATCTACGCTTCCTATCCGGTAGCTATGACGCTAATGTAGAGCCGTCCAAAGATGATGTCTTGATCTCGAACGAACAAGCCGTCGCAGACGCATTTAGACATCTATGTAGTGAGGTATATAAGCCAACTGCAACTGATAAACAAGGTTCGCTGAACACCAAGATCTGTCGAAAGACTAATATGCCGATTAGAGGGATATTAGACCATAGCCAACCTAGTTCAGCTCAAAGTTCGCAAACTCGACCCAATCTTTCCGACCCTGCTACTCAGGAAGCTTGGAAATCTTCCCAAAGATCCTCCGAGTACGCCGCTGATCAAGATACAGCCACTGAGAAATCAATAGCCGGTGGAAACCCCCAAAAGGCCCAGATGCCAACCTCGATGTCATTTACACCAATAAATGCGGCACATTGTGCTACCTCTTCGCAACCAAGACGTTCCAGCAATGAACAGAGGAAACCTCCTGCGACAACGCACCAGTGGAATGTCGATACGTCAGTTGATCTCAACGAGCGCCCCGAACGAAGACAGCAGCATCGACCTCAAGCGATGCAGAAATCTCTGGACTCCCAAGATGTAGAAATAGAGAGGAACCCTAGAGTAGGGGATCATCTTAACCCTTGGGTAATTGCAAAGAGAAATAATTTGAGTGAAGCACCATTAGGCTCAATTCTGGATTGTTCCTCGGGACGTTCGTTAACACCAGAACCTCCGGTTCTCCGTCACATAATGGCACCACCAGGCGATCTTGACGTTCCTAGAAGCCACCAAGACACGGAGCGCCGAAAACTTCCTTGCCTTGAACGAGCTACTGTTCCCGGTGGCCCTTATCGCAGTCCAATGGCAAGTCCTTTACAGGGCAAACCAAAAGGCATATCCGTAGTATCCCCCAACTCACATACATCTCGTCGTCGTCGAGAACAAATACCATGGACCCCGCCATCTTCGATTGAAAAGCATCGTTATCTAGACGTATCACAAATCGATGTGACGAAATCATCACGTGCAGACGGTTTCAAGCAAACTCAAATATCTTTCGGTGGTACTCGGCCAAATCGCCGTCAAGATGGAACGCAAATTGAGGCGATGTCGGACAAAGGTGAAGCTGACAAGAATGCTCAATCGCAGGACTTCTTTTCGGCAGCTAAAAGAAATTTGAACTACCAGTTATCCCGGATGGATAAAGAGCATGAAGATCTAGTGACACAGGCAACCCCCAGTAATAGATCTCAACGGCATCATTATCAGCAGCCATCACGTCAAAGACAACCCTTCAAAGTACTCCAGAATAATACATTCGAGAACAACAATAATCCACAAGAAGACCGGCAACCAATTCCCACGACTCTGCCCATAGGTGATCCCAGGGCCTATCTCCTACGTAGGCAGAAGTCCATAACTGCAGCGGGGGGTGATGCGAAGCTAAAAAAGATGAGCCGGGTGAAGAGCTCTCTTATGCCATTACAGCATACCCCTCCGGAATATCAGACTTATGTTCTCTCCTCGACTATTAGTATCAGCGGCGACGATTTAAACAAGCTGGTACGACGGATTAGTGAGTATGATGACTACGTAGTTTGTGGCGCTAATCTTGAGGGGCTTGATATGAGTCTGTCTGAGGGACAAGCTGTAGAATCACAGTTGCAGAAGCTTCTCGTCGCACAGAAGGAGAACATTGATACGCCTACTCATGAGAATGATCCTTTAGCTATTGGTCTACAGACCATGTTGAAGGGCAAGGGCGTTTTGAATGAGTGATGACTCTGTATCGCTTATCATGTCTACTCGCTTAAATAGTCCTAGAAGCGAAAACTGTTGTTTGCTGCGCTACTTGCTCTTAGGAAAATAGGGGCAAAAGATTATTGGGGATGTCATACATGGGTGCGCATCGGCATCGAAAAAAAGAAAATAGTTGCAGGTCACTGTCGCATAAACTAGCTATTTTACCTGCTGAGTCAGTCTTCAGTACATCTAGCTGGTGAAGAAACAACCAAATTCATTATATTTCTCCATTCAGCTACCTAGGAATGATACTCATCGCAGGATGAAGACGATGTAATCGCAAGCAAGATATTAGTAATATATAATGAATATTTGCTAGTGATTTCTTGATTCTACTTATACTCTCTTTTAATAAGATAGAATGCTGAAGTATACCCATCTAGACACCAATCCCCTTGTCAAGGTCTTGTCGCGGCCGCATTGAAATGGCATTGCATTTGCACTGCTTTTTTAACCCCCTCAAAGGGAGCTGCGTTAGGCTCATCAATTGTCTACTTGATGCTCACCCCGGCGGAGGCTAAAAAAGCAGTGAAGAGCGGCGCAGGAGCGGCGCAGCTTACCTCGATTCGCTGATTGGTGACCCGAAATTCTGGTAATGTGCACTGCTTTTTTAACACCCGCGGAGGGAGCTGTGTCAAGACGAGTCGAGTCCATCGCTCACACATTATCTAGGTACCTACTCGATGCCGCCCTGGCGGAGGCTAAGAAAGCAGTGAAGGAGGCAAATCAATGCAAATGATATGCCTTACCATCTGTTTAGTGGAAGCCATGTCACATTATGGCAAATTCTACTCTTAGGCATCTTAAGTGTTATGAATGAATCGATGGTCATGCAATCACTACGCGAGGTCAACACAATGGATACTTAGATTAAGTCCTTCTTAAACAAAAAAAAAAAAAAAAAAAAAAAAGAGAGTCATTTGCAATGTTAGGCTAGCTTCCGCTCTGTAGAGGACAACTATCGACCGCTGACTCTCTGATACACCCTGTATTTATATCCCCGACCAAGCTTTAACCAGGTATTTTAGAAAGAAAAACCAAAAATCCGGCACGCATATTCTTTTCTCCTGCTCAAACACTGCGTCCTAGAGAGCATTTGCTAGCATATTCGTAATAGACGCCTAGTAGATAGTTTACATCGATTCACTTTACCCCCTTAGACCTTGGCAAATGATAGCTACATGCTACATGGGGAGTGTAGTAGCAGTCACATATGAGCGCAAGACTACAAGTGTGTTATTTATTAGCATTAAGAATTGAGAACCGCTGCCTACTTTTTACCGTAGCATTTGCAAGCAGAAGATAAGTCAGGTACCGCTAAATCCAAGTTGAACGCCCGCTTGCTTCGTAGATAGAGAGCCGGCCATATTACATTTTACGCTAATTCGGTATTCATTCTTCCCGTACGTCATTCATGTCACGACCCGGGTTTTCCCTGGGGTTTCCTCGCTCCTGGTCTTGCTCCTTCTTCGTGGTCGTCGTCGTCCTCATGTCCCCCTAGTCTCAGGGCTAAACTCCGGATCTGCTGCGCCGCGGCTCGCCGTCCGCCTGACAACGCGGTGCGATGGATGTCGCTTATCTCCCTCACCAAGCCGGAGATGGAACTCGTCGCATGGCTTGTCGTCGCGTCGATGCCTTCTTGCGCTGCCCGCCCTGTGTCGTTGATCGTGGATAGTGCGCGCGCGTGCTGCTCGCTGGCCGCGTTGTCGAGGCGCCTTCGCTGGTCGTCTACTGTGTCGTCTAGCCGCGCGACTTGGCCCTCGACGCCGCTTACAGCGGCTTGTTTCCCTTCCGTGATGGCTGCGCGGGCTTGAGCTTCTCGATCCTGAGCTTCGCGGTCTAAGCTTTCTACACCTTCTCTCGCCGTCTGCTTCCCTTCGGTGATAGCGGCGCGCGCTTGCGCTTCGCGATTCTGGGCTTCGTGATTGAGTCGCACTACGTGTCCCTCGACACTCTCCTTTGCGTCTCGCGCTGTTTGCTTCCCTTCGTTGATGGCGGCGAGGGCCTGCGCCTCCCGCTGCTTGGCCTCGCGGTCTAGGTGCGCCTTGTGGCTCTGCACGTCCCGGATGACGTCCTTCTTGAGATTGTTGACCTCCTCGCCTATCTGCTTTTCGTGCTCGTGGATGGACTTGGTGACATCCTCGGTCTTGCGCGTGATGCTCGCTGTTAGGCTGTCAAGCTTTTCGTTATCGAAACCCTTCAGCTTGGTCGCAATGCTTTCGAGCTTTGACATATCGATGCCGCCAATCTTCGCCTCCTTCTCGTCGCCCACGCGCCGCTGGTTCGTCACCGACGTGTAGCTGTCGGGAGTGTTCAACTCAATATCGGCCTTAAGGTTGTTGTACATCTTCTCGATTGTGTCGATCACCTCGTACACGTTGAGATTGTGCCCTGGTCGCATAAAGTCGCGCTCGCGCTGTTCGATGAACTCCCGGATCTTCTTCCACTCGTTGCCGTAGTATTTCAACCTCCCCGGTAATCCACTTCCTTTGAGGAACGTTAAGAAACCTGCAATAACGGTGTTGAGAGCACCAAAAGCGGTAACGGCGCCCGAGTTTGCACCCGCTGCTCCTAGAGCCGTCAGAGCGGCGGCTATTACGATCTGTAGAAAGTAACATCCATTGATGACTACCGAAAATACTTTGAAACTGTCTTTTGCCTTTTGCTCTGAGTGGACGATGCGCGCGTAGAGACCGATATTTGCGGCGGGACTGCGTGTATGGGGGTACGTGTTAGTCAGGAGCCTCTAATACTACAATGCAGAGCTCTATTCTGGTACGCACCGTGTTCCTATCGGGCTCGACAGTGTGAACCCAAGGTAGGGTGTAGACTGGATGCCCAACATCAGGCGGAATAGAGTGAGGGAATCCTCATTGGAGTTGAGGTATACAGGCCGGTTATCTGTCCGTGGTACGATTGTGCCAGCACCAGACTCCTGGTGGACAGGAGGTATCATGGAAGGCTCTCCTGCCTGGGGTCTCCCAGCGAAAGTCTGTTCATGCTCATTACTCATGTGGCCTTCGCTCGGCTTTCTCTGCGTGAGCAGGCGCATTGCGGCGCTGAAGAACGAACTCATCGTGTCTCGGTCGTTTCGGCAGCGACTCTACGTGTGTGGAAAGCTGATACTATCCAGGCGCCTACATCGACAGACGCGAAGAGTCAGGGAGCAAAGAGCAAAGGGAGCCATGACACGCGAGGGACGAGGCTGCGTTTTTCTTTTCCCTTGAGCACTGACTGAGCACGAGCACTATTGCCTATCTACACTACTTACTGTACAATGTACCCTGATCTACTTAGTTACTCCTTGAGCTGGCACAGTAGGTAGGGTAGGTATTTCCATGAACCACAACAGCTCGGTTGAGTCTTGCGCAACACAAAAATCCCCCAATACCACCAGCTTGCGAGATATGGGAAGCGGGTGTCATTACGCTACGCATGCAAGCCTGGTATGGTTCGGGTCTAGCCCGCTGGTTCAGCTCGACGCCACCTTGCGAGCTTCCCGAAAGGGGAGCGGTAGCATCCCCGAAAGGGACCTCAAGACACCTGTCATTGAGCCTTTAGATGTGTTTCGGTATTCATGGAGGGCCACTGAGGACGCTAGGGCAGTGATCTGAATTACCGGTGCTGGGGTTCGCGAAGGTGACAGCCAATGGTCGACGACGTGTGTACGCCGCGGGACGTACCGCAAGGGAATACCTATACTCTTATTATCCCAGAACCGGCGTATTAGAATCCTACGCTAGCCCATCTTCTTGTTCGTTTTCCAAATTCTGGATATCTTATACTTACTTTGTATAGTAAATATATCAAAATCGAGGTGGCATGCGCTATATTATAATCAGATATGTTAGGAATCAGATGTTGTAGGAAAGGTAGATATGCACTACTGATATGTCTTCACAATCAAACAAAGTGGAGTTACTCCCCATGTAGAAAAATGTCTTACATATACACCTTGAGCTCAGGCAGACTAGGATTTAGCTAGCTGATCTGACCCTTGTCAACCCCGGCGACCTGGGGCATCAAGCTGTCGATCATAGTTCGTCCTCCGGGCGCCGTTTACAGCGCAACGGGCGAGAAACTGCTGTTGGAGTCTCGACCAGTCAAGCAACAATGGCATTACGTCGGGGAAATTTATGTGCTCGCTGAATGTATGCATTATGGTTTTGCCAAGTAGTACTGAAGAAAAGTTAACGGGATGCAGAGAATTCAAGAGTAGGTCAAAAACATATCAACGGCCGATCCCAGCTATATCTTCGTATATCTGGGGACTAATGCCATCACCTCTAGCTTCTTCGCCATCGGCTATTTACTATTAACCTACAGTAGGTTGTAACCACATATTATAGTAACTAAGCTTTAGACGAAGGTGCGTTCCAGGCCATCATTTTCGTGGTATTCATGCCCAAGGAGGAGGGTCGGAGAAGTTATACCAGGTCATTGGGCGCATACGCCTAAGCATAAGACGCATACCACCTTATTACAGCGTTCCATCTGCCTCACTCACTATTAGAAGACAAACTATGTATAAGCCAAGCTGTTCCAGAGGTTTACAGGTTGAGACGCAAGAGTTGGCGAGGTGGTTCATATGCAATGCGACACGGTGGTGGTATCAAATGAACCGCTACCGTGACATTTGAATTCAGCTTGGGCCTTCTATACTCATCTCGTAGTCTACGATTATACCAAGTTCCAGTCTATAGTATAGAAGACGATATTGGACCCTAGATACCGACATTACCAGCCTAACTGTTATTCTCTCTTGCACTAAGGCCGAGCTAGAACAACACTGCCGCAAGCTTTGCATAACAGTTTCCTCTTGGTTATACTGTAAATAATTACACGTGGATAGAAGCCGGACGCCAGCACTGTACAGGATGGCTAGCTGAACGGGACTGCATACACTAAATTTCAGAAGTCTCGGTAATTTGTTCCCGCTTTCCACTGCCACATGTCTTCTCGAATCATACACAACCACAAGATAGCAGTACCGTGTAGCACTGGAGATACTACGTTTCATTTTGTGGCAATAGTACGCGAGAAAATCTAAAGCCTTAGTAGGTATCAATTTGTCACTACATCGCTTATCTAGGGTTATCCTATAGATCCGTGAACCTGTAGCTCTCCTTGTGTGAGTTTGGTATAGCTACACGACTCCAAACAGCTTTCATATTCACAATAGCGCTCATGACATCACTTCAAACAAATCAAAGCCCTTCTAATAGTAAGACTGATTACGATAGAAAAATTTCGAGAATTGTGTCTGTTCAATTTATCTATTGGCTCTTAACTTCTGCTTCAGTTTCAGACACCTTTTGAATGAATAGAGCCACGCTCAGACCGCAAAAGTCAGATTACAACACCATAATAACCTCTAGCTGGGAAAGAGCGCTTGGTGCGAAAACTTAGACCGTGAGCCGAAACTTCAGTAGGTCCTTGGCAATAATCTCCTCCTTCTTCTGTTCAAGCTCCTGCATATCCCAGGTGACGCTCACAAAGCGACCACTCAACCACGTCCTCCTCTCCTTCGCGAGCCAGACGAGCGAATCGCCGGTCAATTCGGGCTTGTCTTTGAAGATGGCGGCCATTTCTTCGCCCATGATGCCCGCCATACCCGTGAGAACGTCGCCGGGGTGGACGGCGAGGACCACGAGCTCCTCCTCCTCGTACTCCTTGGCGAGAAACTCGGCATAGCGACACAGCGCCGTTTTCGTAGTCTGATAGCCGAGCATGTTCCCTATCAGCATGTGTGCGCCCGCGCTCGAGGTGATGAGGACGGTGCGGATACTGCTCTTTAGCAACAGGGGGAGAAATGCCCGGGTGCATACTATTTCCACTAACGTTTAGCTGGAAGCTCACTACGCGTGTTATTCTGCTCATATATTTCGGGTTCCCTAAGAAAGGCAGTGTCGCTCATAGTCATAGGTTACGATTACTCACAGTATGTCGCGCGTATGTTGACATCCCAGGTCCTCCACCACTCAGCAGGGTCGCTTTCAGGCAGAGGTACCATGGCATCGACGTGGCCAGCATTACTGATAAGGATATCGAGGACGCCGCTAAAGGCATCCGCGACAGCGCTCGCAGCCGCATTGACGCCCGCCTCCGACGTTACATCGAGAGCGATGGGAAGGACATGGGGCTTAGGCCTGCCTGCCTTCTCGGCCGCCGAGAGGATCTCTTGCTTCAGTTCCTCGACGCCCCTGCGTGCGGCGACGGCGATCCGCGAACATCCTGCCCGTGCGAAGCTCAGCGCCACACCCTTCCCAATGCCTCTGGACGCCCCTGTGATGAACACGGATTTGCCGCCCAGGTCGACGGCACCCGTTGAGATGAAGGGATATGTGTCCTGGTGTGCTGTTGGGACGAAGTCCCGGATAGCGGGCCAGTTCGTAAGTCGGGCCGGGTCAAGTAACATGTTTGGAACGTGAGAAGTTTTACTTGCGTATTTGATGGGAAGTGATGGGAGTTGATTTATCTGCATTCACAGATGACTCATGAGGATCGGGCAAGAAGGAGGAACATAGTCGGTTTTATAGGCGAAGCTATTCGCGTCTTCATCGACCGTCGAGTTCCCCACCAGGATCTCGCAATATAGATGTGTAGTCGGGCTGTCTACCTCTTCATGCAAGGATAGCTAATTCCAAGCCACGGGCTAAGTATCGCGCCGAAGACGATCTCCTTGGTAAAGTTTCTAGATTGTTATGCAGCCGGGTTATGGTCTCAAAGCATCTTACAACTTCCATCGCTTTGCCGATTCTTGGAGATGGTATCATCTAGTAGGCGGTGCCAAAGAGCATTGGCTCCGTTGATAAGTCCGGCATGTTTCCTTAGACGGGACGGAGGTGTAGCTGCTTGGATACGATAGTAAGGTTTTAGTGGAAGCAAGTGTCATCAACTTGCATTCTGCAGACTCTAGTTAAGCCGAGCTCTCCCGCCAATCCCAGAGTTTCAAATGAAGATCTATGAAAGATCGATGGATCATGTCAATAGCATTCTGTTCGGACTCGTCACTACCGAGCGGGTATAATGTAAGCGATATGGATTCAGCGCCGGTGTTTGCCGTGTTCTCCATTGGAGGCACATAGAGCTTACTGAAGGAGAAGTTGCACGACATTTTCGAAGTGGTTTCTTTCTTCCCGTAGATCAGATATGATACCACAATGTGTATCCGAACAGCGCGAAATCACGACTCGGCGGTCCTTTTCAAAAAGGGGAGCATTTTCCCGGCGGGGGGGGGGGGTTCGTAGCTTTCATCCTTCTTCAGCTCCCTGTTTAAGACACATTAACCCCAAACTACTTACATAGACAACAGTATCTAACTTCTAGAGCCTACAAAAGCCTTTTACACATGCACAAGAGGGTTACAGTAAGTGTCTCTGGCTTGAACTTCTAACATCTCTGATTCATAAGGTTTCCTCTTGGCAAACACAACTTACATAGCAGGTAGGCAATCGATACGGCGCTTATACCTTTTTCTAAATGAACGGAAAAGACGTATTGCGCTGTCTGCCTAACATCCCTAATCGGAGAAGAATAGGTAAATAGGATGACGCCAACCGATTGATGATGAATAAGCAGCAACTGGAGAAATTTTTGAAATCCCCGGGGGTGTTTCCACGCCAAGCCGTCGACCAAAGTCCGGCCCCTAACCCCGTAACTCACCGGTTTGAGAATCGCCATGTCGAAGCCGTGAAATATATTCCATTACAATTGCTTAAATCACGTGAAGCACGAGGTATCATTGCTTCGATGACACTGGCCGGGTATTCGTTGATTGGTATGAGACTTTAGCATTTTCGACAAGCGGCCCTAGGTTATTCATTATGCGGAGCGAGAAAAGAGAGAACCTCGTAGACCAGGACAAGGAACGTACGGAAGTCCGCCAACGCCCGCTAAATCTAGTTGATTAAGCCGCTCGGCAACCCAGTCAGACCCAGTCGATCACTTAATCCAGGCAGACACTAGCAATTAGTTTGTAAGTGGAATGCGGACGAAATGTGTATCGTATTCGTCCGTCCCCGACCCTCTTTCACATAAAAGGCGGCGGGAAGACAACATCATCGTGACTTGTTGCGTGATTGCATTGACAGCGAGCGTTGCTTCTTTCTTTTGTGGATGTACCGATACACTGCGTTCGGTTTAGTTTCAGTTTCAGTTGCATACTTAGACAGATTTGTCTTTTCCTGATTCGAATTGGATCAGCATCGATCCCGTCGCCATGAGCGAACAGCCAGACACCAAGATGGAGAAGGGACAGGGCGGACAAGATGCCCCAGCGCCCGAGCAAGCACAGAGTTGGTTGCGGCGATTATGGAATTCGCCCACCTGGCTCCGTCCCCCGCCGCCACCGAAGAACACATACCCGCCCATCTCGAGTATTCCCCGGACCTCGAATGAGCGTCTCGCGCTGGCCTCGCCGGACAACGGCTCGGGCGACGCCACCGCCAAGACGATCCTGTATCTCGCATACGGCTCGAATCTCTCCGCGGAGACATTCCTAGGGTACCGCGGGATCCGCCCCATAAGCCAGATCAACGTTTCTGCGCCCGCATTCGACCTCTCCTTCGATCTTCCCGGGATCGCCTACAGCGAGCCCTGCTTCGCCAACACGCGGCCGCGGAAGATTCCGTTCCCAGGGAAGCCGCCCAAGTTTCCTCCTCCCCCGCCACCACCCTCCAGCAGCACCACCGCGAAGCGACCGACGTGGTCCAAGGGCTTGTACGGCGTCGTCTACGAGGTGACGCCCGAGGACTACGCGACGATAATCAAGACCGAGGGCGGCGGCCAGGGGTACAAGGACGTTCTGACGCCGTGTTTCGAGCTGCCCCCGGCCCTGCACGTGCCGGAGAAGCCTCCGATCCCCGAGCTTCCGAAGCCGTTCCTCGCGCACACTCTATACGCGCCGTGGCTGCCGGATATACCCGACGATCCCGAGAACCCGGGCAAGAGCGTCGAGGAGAATAGAGAAGAAGAGGAAGATGCTGGGCGCGACGACGGGGGCAATGACAGAGACCCGCGCAAACAGCCCTGGTTCCGCCGCCTGTTCCTCCCCGTGCACCGCCCCGACGACGCGGAGCCTTCAGCGCGCTATCTAAAGCTGATCCGGGACGGCGCGCGCGAGCACGCCCTGCCAGACGACTACCAGTCGTACCTGGGACGCCTCCAGCCGTACACCATCACGCGCGTGCGCCAGCGCATCGGACGCCTCGTGTTCATGCTGAGCGCGCTCCCGGGGTTTCTCATGATGATCGGGCTGGGCCGGCTGCTGGCCGATAAGGACGGGCGCAGCCCGCGCTGGTTGGGCGTCGCGACGACGGTGTGGATGAATCTGCTCTGGAAGACGTACGATGGTATTTACAAGCCTTTGTTCGGCGATGGCGAGCGCACCATGGCGGACGAGGAGATGGTCAAGGTGAGGGTGAGGAGGAGGAGTAGGGCTGCGCTGACGGAGGATGAGAAGAGTAGGTTATTGCGTGATTGGTAGGAGTTTTTTTTTGTCAGATTTCTTCTAGTTTTATTTTTGTTTTATGCCTCAGTTTGATTTGTAACGTATATATACATACACCTGGATAGAGTCGGGATCACGCGATCGTGGAGGTCGATGGCGAGAACACGCCCCTCCCTGCATCATGAGCCGGACTTCCGGGTTTCGGTCTAGAAGAGCTTGGATGGAATGTCACTGTATTAATAGATCAGATGCGTAACTACAGTAGAGAAAGATATCCGAATTGCTTGAGCATAACATCAGGGAAGATGTAAGGTGTCCCATTACATGTTTGTGTATTAGATCAATCAGTACCGTCAGTGCCTAAGTCATAATATCGTATCTTCCAATAATTATACGGGCTGGAGCATAGTATCTAGGTCTAGTTGCGTATATCTGAATTGTAACCGCTGTAAACCCGTCCTAGTCTATGATTGCGCCTTTGCCAAAATCGCCGGAATATCGTCTACTGTTTTCCGGCCCTCCAGAATGTCGAACACAGCCGTAAATAGCGGATAGTCATTCTCTACCCCGCGCTTCTGTAAGAATGAGTATACTTCAGCTGCCGTGCTTGTTCCCTGTAGCTTTTGGCCATTAAGCTCTTTTTGCTCGATCTCTTGGACCGAGACACCTCGCTCTACGGCAAGCTTGGCGCCGTTGAAGTTACGACCTCCCGAGCAACTCGTGATCAGGTCAGCAACGCCTGCACTTTCCTTTGTGAAGGTGGCAGTAGACACAGTCTCGCCGAAAAACTCCTTGCCAAATTTGATCATCTCTAGCAGCCCAACACGCATGATGGCTGACTTGGCGTTGTTTCCCCAGCCCTTGCCTACAACGAAACCAGCAGCCAGAGCTACGATATTCTTCAGCGCCCCACCAAGAGAGGTGCCAGCTACATCGGAAACCATGCTAACCAAAAAGTAAGGGCGTTGGAACAGAGCTTTGAAGGTGTCATGGTCAAGTGGGGGGTACTCTGGCGGCACGGGGGTCAGGCGGGTTTTACTAATTCTCCCACGAGCGTCTCTGTGCTGCATATCAGTTAGGGGTGTTATGCTCAGCTCCCGCGGGTCACCACGAGCCGGTGTGGCTGATCGTGGGGTAGCATTGCGGGACGGATTGCGAGAGTTGTCCATGGGCGGCGGATCATATGCTATGGTAGTCTCGGATAGCTTCTCTTCAGCAATCTCAGAAGCGAGGTTGGCTCCGGAAAGTGCACCGCAGTAGATGCCCAGGCCATCGCCAATCCATTCCGAGAAGAGAGACACGCCTTCGTCTGAGACATCGACACCTTTGATGCACGATATGGCGCGAGCATATGGTACAATCTTTCCCTTCAGCGTTGTGCAGGTCTTGTGGATGAACTCGTGAGGGAGGTTGAAGATCAAGATAGATGAGCCCTGAACGGCATCTTCGAGGGAAGGGTTCGCAACGAGGTTGGTCGGCAGCTTGATTTTCGGCAGGTATTTGATATTTTCATGGTGGGTATTGATAACATTTGACAGCTTCTCAACCTTGCCCTCATGCATGACATCTTCCTCATATACCCACATCTGGACTTTCTCCTCGAACAGCTCGGGGTGGGCTTTGGTGTTTTCAGCAGCAATCTTGGCTATGGTCGAGCCCCTGGCGACACAGACTGTTAGCTTACTCTTCTTGGGCGGAGAGTCTCCGAGTGACGACCAACCAGTTTCCTGAGCCGATGACTGTGACTTTGTGTCTCTTTTCCGGCCTCCCATTGCCATTTACGTTGAGTAATCCAGAGGACATGGTGGGCAAGCGGGTGGAAAGTGGTCTGGAATGGGAGATATATCGAATAGCAGGAAACCTAGTCGAGGCAGAGAACGCTGAACAAATGGATGGACGAAATAGATAGGTAATGATTCTCATATAGGACAATTTTGGTAGGACGAGAAGAAGGATCGAGCGTGTGCGATCAGTTTTATACGATAAGGTAAAGGCAAAGGTAATTTGTCTCCTCACTCAGTCCATGTGACCACCTCAGAGACAGCACTATTAGTCTCTATTACTGCCTGCCCGCCAATGGTTCTGCCGCTTCTACACCACCCTCTGCGCTGAGCTCTGCACCACTTGGAATGACGCACAGGATGGGAAATACTTTACCGCCTGCCACATTCGGCTGTAGCGACGAGGGGTGAGGACCCAACAAAACGGATCAGGGGCCGGCCAAGTTCGTATTGAAAGATTTGATTCGACGGCCTGGTTATGACGGGACCGGGATTCCAAGAGCAAAGAGCACGAGAATGGACATTTGATTGAGCTGATGCTCTCTCTCTCTGCCTAGGCAGTGTGCAATGCCGATGATTGCCACAGCTCTTGCAACCGAGGAACAGCTCTCCAAGAGATACACTGTCGTTCATTTTCCTTTGTTAACCGTGCAATTTTCATTGATACTCTAGGTAAGTCTAATCACCGAGGCGAAAGTGATCCGACGACCAAGACAGCGCTAGCTGCTATCCGAGGCACTGTCACATGCTCATTCACTTATAACGGCTCGGGCGTTGGAGCAGTCACTATTTTTAGGTAGGTAAATCATCTTGCCAAGGTATATACAACAAGTATATCTAAGGGGTTTGGATATTTGCGTCAAACAATGCTTCTCGTTCTGAAAACCAGATGTCTATTGCCTTAACAACTCCCCGACGACGGCGGAACAGCCGTTCAAGCTCGCCGAGGTTCAAGGTTTGCTCGCAGTTTGCAACGCTGACCCTTCTGTTACCCACAACACGATTACATATACCTACCCGTCTCTGACAACAAAACTCGTCGAGTTCACAGAATTTTTCAAGCAACTATTAGCGAAGCTTTCATCATTAAGCAGCCCCATCAACAACTCGATAAAGCGTTTCATAAACGCTGGGTACTAAATATGTAATAGACTGACCGCCTGCAAAGCCTCCAGTTATCAAATGTCCAAAGTAATTGAAATATTAACTCAACTAGTATTTGAGCAACTGGATTTTTGCTTTACTGGACCGGGCTAGGCAAGATGGAAATGTTTGAGGCGTGTAGCATCGCAATTAGCAGAGTAGTATTTCAGCAAGGTTAGCCTTCGCTACTACTACATAGTAATACATCTCAGCAGCTAGAGGTGAGCTTGCGAAGCTCATGTACGTAGCACTCGATTCCAAGACTTCAATGGTGGAATGCTAGGAGCCGCGTTAGAACGATCTAGATTGGTTACCAAGCTCCTAGTTTCGCCTATTACCTAGGTTGCAGGGCTTGGTAACCTGCTTAAGTCTGCTATCTTTTGCAGCAAGCAATTCCTCAGCACCTACATAGTCGTGGTGCACGCCATAGTTTCTAAGTCTCAATATGTTTATTCGGCTATTGATAAAGATCTATGACTGCTGTTCATATGATTGTCTCCTTCATTGGCAATTGAAAAACTACTTATTTTTGCACCTCATCGTCCAGCCCCGTGAAGAGTGCCACAAGTCATCCGCAAGATCGAAGCACTGGCGGTACTCAACGATGCTCTTATCCCTTGACCACAGACTTGGAGTGGATCGAGATGACGACATAGCCAATGCTATGAATCGTGTATACTTAAATGGCGATGCCATGTAGATGTTACTATCTTCTAACACAACATTGCTAGAGAGAACGGAAATACATATCAAGCATCTTCGTTCAATACCAGTATGTTGGATACACCAGTTTCCTCTGTTCTGCGGCCAAGCTCGCTAGCAAAGGCGGCATTGCAGTGCGTTGTGGATGTAAACGTTTCTCGGACGATACGATGGGAGTAATGCCCGCGTACCTGAATCCTTAGTAAGTTGTCAGAGGCATGCGTGAGAGTGTCTCTTGCGCTAGGGTTATCACGATGCACAGCATCGCCGATTGCCTGCAAGGGTGTAAAGATCCACTGGCGGTACTTATGTCGCGAAGAACTATTATTCACCGCCATTTGGGATAGAGAATGGATTGAATCATTGATTTACCAAAAGCTGGTTTTTCTCAAGATGGATTGTAAGATGCTATCAACATCTATCCCAAGCATAAGTTTATCTCGTTCATCGTCAAGACGGTATGACTAATCTAGTACAACATAATGCAGCCAAATTGATTCTCAGGAACAGGCAACTATCCGCAACCGCCCCTCAACGTAGCGAATAGCGTTGCATTAGGCATGTCCACTAACAATGATAGCCAAAGAGACTATTATAGGCACAAGTTGGGGCTTTGGAGGTATCTACCTCGCCTACATGATGTGTAGAAACCCAGGTCTCTACCTCGCCGTACACTGGACAGTTACTTTATGAGTAGATACGTATTATATATACATGACGTCATGGCCTTACATTTACAAGGGATGATGCCCCGCGCGCCGCACGCACAGCATGGGATGGGTATGGGACGGACATGGGTAGCTCGCGAAAGAACGCCTACTTATCGACAGAAAGCGCTGGCATGATTGGTCAAGGGGCTCTTCTTCGAGGGGTCATCGTCGCATACCGCGTGATGATGGATGATGCTCCTGCAGCGGAAGTTGCGCATTGCTTCCCGCGCCTGTCCATGTTGCAGAGTACTCTCTCTCTCTCTCTCTCTCTCTCTCTTCTACTAGGTGCTGTGGACTGCGTGTTCTTCCTTCCCTTTCTCCCACCATCAGTTCGTTGGTATATGAGGGGCTTGACACTGGTTGCGACTCGTTGCGTCTTCTGACGATACTTTTGACGATACTTCTGGCGACTGCGCGCGCGCACGTTGCATTCCCGCTACTACTAGCTGCGCTACTTACCTAGTCCAAGCCTCCAAGCTTACATGTACTAACAGAGACCAAGGGTGTTTCCAAGGCGGCATCCAACTAGCTCTGTCATAACCGCCATTGGATATATCGTCAGTTGCCCTACCCAGCTTCTCTCCGTATAACTACCTTGAGTGCCCTATCTCCCTCGACAGTTCTCATCCTCTTGCCTCTCTTGGTTGTTGGGCACGCCGACATCGCTCTCCCGTCCAAATAACCAAGCACTTTGCCTAGCTTGACACTCCATAGCGAAGCCATCGCCGACACAACTCTTTGCTTTCTTTAAGCCTAATTGCTCCTCTTCCTTGCCATACCCTGGTTACCTTCGCAGCTATTCGTTTCGTGGGATTGCATTTGATCAATGCCAATGTTCGCTTAGTGCTCACAAGTGTTGAACCTGTATCTCTTCTCACACGTCAGTGTGAGAGTGTCTAATAAACCATGGCGCCTCGAACAGTAACTTCGAACGAAGTCTACCTTCTGCCTCTCAAAGATAATGGAGCCCCTGATGTACAAGACGAATACATATACCTAGCTCCAGCATCCGATGATCCGATAACAATAAGATTCACAATCGAAGGTACTTCTTCGATATGTCGGAATGGCAGCCTCTGGGTCAACATCCCTACGAAAGGGTCCGAGTTTCATCGAAACCAATTCACTGAGTACAAGTACGTGTTTGCTGCAGTGTGAGGGTTCTGAGTTCGCCAATATTCTAAACTTCAAAAACTAGACTCGTCCCAGACTTCAATCGAAATATCGAGATCTCCATCCCCATATACGGAGCTGGTGCCTTTGCATTCTATACTACCTATTCCGAACTCCCCGAACTCTCAAATACGATCGACTCCGGTAGCACTCCGCCGCCGAAAAAACAAACTCCTCTATACTACATCGATGTCGCCCCTCGCCTATCTCTCGACGGCCGGCCTCTGCCTTTGCCTGCACTGTCCATCTTCTCTGTCATCAGCAAATTCATGGGTGAATACCCATCGAGCTGGGAAAAGCATCTGCGAGGTATTAGCGGCCGCGGATACAATATGATACACTTTACGCCACTCCAGATACGGGGTGCTTCGAATTCTCCTTATAGCTTGTATGATCAATTAGGCTGGGACCCTGATTGTTTTCCTCGTGGAGAAGAAGACGTACAACAGATGGTTAACAGCCTGGAGCAGAACCACTCTCTGCTTAGTCTGACTGATATTGTTCTCAATCACACCGCTCACAACAGCAAGTGGCTATTGGAGCATCCAGAAGCAGGTTACAACCTGACCACAGCCCCGTGGCTGGAATCTGCTTACGTCCTTGACACTGAGCTGCTCAAGTTTAGTTTCCAGCTTGAAGAGCTGGGATACCCCATTGACTTGAAATCCGTGGACGATCTTGTTAAACTTATGGACGGCATCAAGAAACACGTCGTTGCGGAAATTCGGCTTTGGGAATATTACGCTTTAGATGTGGACAGAGATGCCGATGCAGCCGTTCAGTCTTGGGCCCAAGGCCAACCCAACGATGTGAACGGAGATGCAGCAGACTTTGATCGTCTGAAAGATGCCAGCCTTAAGGATCAAGTCGAATACATATTTTCGAAGGGTTTAATGGGGAATGATAGGCTAGGCGAGCGATTTCGACGTCGTATCGACCCCAACATCTTAGCTTCTTTCTTAGCGGCTACCTTTGGGAAATACCGAGGCGAAGCTGATGAGTCTACTATCCGTGAAAAGGCTGTACAGATTTTGGATGCTATAAACGTTCGGTTTTACGATGAATATGACAAGGAGATAGCAGTTATTCTACAGCAACTCTTCAACCGGATCAAATATGTCCGTCTGGATGACCACGGCCCCAAACTAGGAGTTATCAACCACGACAACCCACTGATCGAATCATACTTCACCCGCCTCGACAAATCGGAAGCATCAGACCAGCTCAAGGCAGAAGATTTAGTTCTCGTCAACAATGGCTGGGTATGGGCTGGAAATGCATTGGTCGACAACGCGGGCCCCGAATCACGGGTCTACTTGCGCAGAGAAGTAATCGTTTGGGGAGACTGTGTCAAGCTGCGGTACGGAAAAGGTCCAGAGGATAGCCCTTGGCTTTGGGAATATATGACTAAATATGCTCGAATGCTGGCGAAGTATTTTGCAGGATTCAGGATCGACAACTGTCACTCGACTCCTTTGCATGTTGCTGAGCACATTCTAGATGAAGCTCGTCGTGTTCGGCCCAACTTGTATGTGGTGGCAGAGCTCTTCACCGGATCGGAGGAAATGGATTATGTATTTGTCAAGAGACTCGGCCTCAGTTCCTTGATCAGAGAAGCTATGCAAGCCTGGAGCACAGCTGAAATGAGTAGGCTTGTTCACCGCCATGGTGGTCGCCCAATCGGCAGCTTCGAGCTTGATGAAGCGCCAAAGGGAAGCTCTGGGAGTGTCCCCAACAGCGCACCTGGAAGTCCTAACCCTGCGAGCGATGAAGTTATTACCCGCGAGAGAGTACATAAAATCAAGCCTGCTCCAGTACAAGCACTCTTCATGGACTGCACGCATGATAACGAAGTGCCCGCCCAGAAGAGGGATGCTCGGGACACACTACCCAATGCGGCATTAGTATGTATGTGCGCCAGCGCTGCAGGAAGCGTCATGGGTTATGATGAGATATATCCTAAACTCATCGACTTGGTTGGTGAGACGAGGCTCTACACGTCTGAGTCTTCTGAAGCGAAAGAGATCGTAACCGGCAGTGGAAAGGGCGGAATAGGCGGGGTCAGGAAACTGTTAAATCAGATTCATACGTTAATGGGTAAAGATGGTTATGATGAAACATATATTCATCATGAAGATCAGTATATCACAGTCCACAGGGTACATCCTGAGTCAAGAAAAGGTTATTTCTTGATTGCCCATACCGCATATCCTGGTTATGGCAACGGCAATGGCGCATTCAGCTCTGTCAATCTGAGCGGTACAAAGGCACGTCACTTGGGAAGCTGGATGCTCGAAGTTGATGTAAGCGACGAAACCAGGCAAGATGTGGAGGGCGACAAGAAGTACCTCCGAGGTCTCCCTAGTCGTGTGGCTGATGTCCCCGGAATTCGTATGGAAGTCAAAGGAGATACTACTGTGATTACTGTTCGCGACAAGTTTCCGCCCGGAAGTATCGCTCTATTTGAAACGTGGATTCCAACCGCAGAACACTCCGCTGGTCTGGACAACTATGTCACATCGGGCTCAAAGGCGGCCATGTCAGAGTTAGATTTGGTGGATCTAAACTTCCTCTTGTACCGATGTGAAGCAGAGGAACGAGACGGTAGCGACGGCAAGGATGGCGCATATGACATACCTAATTCCGGGAAGATCGTATATGCTGGTCTCCAGGGCTGGTGGAGCCTTTTGAAGGACATCATCAAAGAAAACAACCTAGCACACCCGCTGTGTCAGAACCTCCGTGATGGACCATGGGCCATGGATTACATAGTCGGGCGCTTGGAGAGAATCAGCCAGAAGCCGGAGTTTACCAGCCTATCAAAGCCAGCAGAATGGCTGAAGGAGCGGTTCAACGCTATAAGAAGCATTCCAAGCTTTCTTATGCCACGATATTTCGCCCTAATCATTAGGACAGCTTATACGGCCGCTTGGGAAAGGGGTCTTGAGCTAATGAGTGATCATGTACACAATGGCCAATGGTTTCTTCAGAGCCTTGGTATGGTCAGCATACAGCAGACAGGAATTATCAAGTCAGCGTCATTATGGCCGAAGAAGCTTGTCCCTTCGTTAGCTGCCGGGCTTCCCCATTTTGCAGTTGAGTGGGCTCGCTGCTGGGGACGTGATGTGTTCATCTCCCTTCGTGGTCTTTATATTGCCACTGGTCGCTATGAGGAGGCTGCCGAACACATCTTTGCCTTTGCAAGTGTTCTTAAGCATGGTATGATTCCCAATCTTCTCAGCAGTGGGAATCTCCCACGTTACAACAGCCGCGATTCAATCTGGTTCTTCCTGCAGTGTATACAAGATTATACCCGATATGCACCAGATGGAATGAGTCTTTTGACCAGGGAAGTTAAACGAAGGTTCCTACCCTACGACGACACCTGGTTTGCCTCTGACGATCCAAGAGCTTACTCTACCAAGAGTCTTATTCAAGATGTCATTCAGGAAGCTATGCAGCGACATGCATCCGGGATGAAATTCCGTGAAGCTAATGCTGGTCCCGACATTGACATGCAGATGCGGGACGAAGGTTTCAACATTGAAATCAATGTGGACTGGTCAAACGGAATCATATTTGGTGGCAATCAGTTTAATTGTGGCACATGGATGGACAAGATGGGTGAAAGCGAACGCGCTGGTTCGAAGGGTGTGCCAGGGACTCCCCGTGATGGAGCAGCCATTGAGATCACTGGGCTTCTATATAGCACTCTCACATGGCTTGCTAAACTGAATTCCGAGGGGAAGTATCCGTATAGCGGTGTCAAGAAGTCCGACGGCAGCGAGATTACCTTTTCAGCTTGGGCCGACTTGCTCAAGTCAAGCTTCGAGTACAGCTACTATGTGCCCAAGAACCCTTCAGACGACAACAAGTACGCCGTGAACTCTAGCATCGTGAACAGACGCGGTATCTACAAGGATCTGTTCCGCTCCGGCAAAGAATACGAGGATTACCAGCTGCGTCCTAACTTCGCCATCGCCATGACCGTAGCTCCCGATCTGTTCGATCCAGACCACGCAATGGATTGCCTTATCCTCGCGGACAAAGCCCTGCGCGGACCCACAGGCATGGCGACCCTTGACCCCTCAGACCTCAACTACCGCCCATTCTACATCAACAGCGAAGATTCCACGGACTTCGCCACCTCCAAAGGCCGCAACTACCACCAAGGCCCCGAATGGCTCTGGCCCACAGGCTTCTTTCTCCGCGCCCTCTTGAAATTCGACCTCGCGAGACGCACGACGAAAGAAGGACGCGTCGAAGCCTTCCAACAAGTCACGCGCCGCCTCAGCGGCTGCAAGGAAATGATAGAAAGCAGTCCCTGGGCAGGCCTAACCGAGCTCACGCAGAAAGATGGCCAGCACTGCGCTGACTCGAGTCCCACGCAGGCCTGGAGCGCCGGGTGTCTTGTTGATTTGTATATGGACGCCGCTGAGTACGGGATGGCGTAAAACTTACCTTACCTTACTTACCTAGCTGATTGTGCTAGAAGAGAAAAGAAGTACGTAGATAGATGGATCAATATCTGAGCGGATGGAATAGGTGTCTATCGGTGGGAAGGAGGGGGTGTGATAAAGGCTTTGAAAAAAGAACATGAACATTAAAATAAATACGATGGATGGTAAATAGAGCATAATTACGAGTAATTTTAAATCAACGTACATGGTCCTGGGATTTCAGAATCTTTTCTTTTCTTGTCTGCTTTTTTCTCCTTCCTTCCTTCCTTTTCTTTCGTTGTAGACACGATTAGCTCTTAACTGTTAACTGAATTAAGCAAAGCACGCAAGACACCTTCACGAAAGCAATTGTTCTTTTTCTCCATAGTGAGTGATTCTTACTCATATTAATACTGAGTAGTTATTCATAATCATACATTTTCAAAAACTCCTGCGTAATGCCCTCCCCATCAAATCCATTCATCACATCGTCATATCTTTTTCGTACATTGGATCATTTCAACTCGGGCATGATTTTCATGCGTATAAGCTAACGTATATAGTTGGATACAAGCCATGAAAAAACGTTTGGAAAAATGCATCGCTTCGTCGCCCATATCTGCTGTGCTGTTGCCCCGATATATTCCACATCTGAGTGAGCTCTGAGCTGAGGTCGATCCTCTAGATGATGATGATACACTATGCACCTTGATTAGACTAGAGAGCCATTGCGTCGTCGCAACTAAACTTTCGCGACCGAATTTCTCGCACCCTGACGAGATGTCGGTGATTTTCTCAACTCAGATGGCGGCTCAATCAAGGTTTCAACGAGCGCTTTTGCATCACGGTAGAGCTGTTGAAGAAGCAGCGCTTGTTTCGCAGAAGTCCTCATGGGGATGACGGGATTAAATGTCTGCTTTGAGTAGGCTGCAAACACAATACCTCGATTCTTAGGATGGTCAGCTGGGAGACCGCCTCTTGCCTTTGGTGACGATGAGACAGGAGCGTATTCACTGTAGAACGGTCGGATCCACCCACGAGAAATATCATCGGGGCGCGCATCGACATTTCGGTACTCGTTCCAGTAATCGCAGTTTAGCGCAGCGAGGTGAGTGTCCGTGACGATCTCAAAAGGTGATGGAACTTCGTTAAGACCATATGCAGCCAATAGACGGCCACTTACATTTGTTACCTTGGCAGAGGCAGCTAACCTGTCTTTGGTCGTCATATCAACGGTCTTAGGCCCGCTTGTTATGGTAGTACCCATGATGTCTAGACGAGAGTCACCGTCTACAGGCCAGAGGCTTAGTACGTACAGAACAGCAAAGTCGTATTTCTTAGCGAGTGCCGCAGCCCGAAGCGCTCCCAGAGTGTCTCGGGGATTGGTGGGCGAATACGTAAGTGCGAGAAGATTGCAACGTGTTGGTGTGGTAGGTGGAGTTATTTCTTCCTGAACTGGCTTAAACGTAATATGTCGTGGACTTGGATTTTTTGACACACGACTCTTTCTATAGGAGTTGCGAACATCTTTGCGAAGGGACGTGGGTGGGGTATGCACGTCAAGAGTGAGTGGTTGGTTTTCGGCAATATCATCATCACTTAAAGCAAAGAAGTCATCGAATGTAGGCTCTTTAAGAACGCCATGTTTCGAGGGCTTTGACGCCGAAATGGAGAGGGTAGATGTACTAGCGGACCTTCTTAGCTTTGAACGTGGAACATATTCACTATTACTCGCGAGAGAGCTGCGAAATGGACGATCCACTAGCTTACTACCCCATGTTTCTCGCGAGCTATGCCTGCTTTTGGAGTTGCCGACGTTCTCAGATAGTGAGACGTTCGTTAATGCTGCACCAGCCGTTCTAGGACGCCGAGGAGCAAGGCTATTAAGAGACATGGATCGATGAATCACTGGCTTCCGACTGAACTTATCAACGTCGAAAACAGGGATGCACTCTGCTGTTGCCCTTTCATAGAATTGTGAAGACCGTTGTTGTAGGTTTGAGGTCAACTTTTGTACAGAGCAGGATGGAACGGCTTGCAGGCTAATATTGTCGATAGAGTTGCCATTATCTGGTAATATCATCGATGGTGCGAAATCAGGGGAAGGAAGCAATGAAGGTCCTATGGTATTATTTTCAGGTTCCGGCTGATGGGGATTGGAGGAAGCTTTAAACTCCAGTGGATTGAAAAGCAGGGATATATGAGTTGGCGTCCAATCCAGCAATCCTGTTTCAACGGTACGTGAATGCGGTGATTGCTCTCGTGATGTATTAATCCGGTCGCGATCATCCGGGCTACCTATTGATCTCTTGTTCCTGAATAATGAATCTTCTGGGAAGCGAAAGCGGGACGAGCGTGGTTTGGTTGGCGATCTCTTACTGTTGGGCCGCAAAGGGGAAGACGGAGGATCTGATTGACTGGGCCGATTAACAATGGTAATACTAGAGGCAACCGAGGACCACTTGACCAATGCTTCTTGTATCGTTGGTACGCTTTGAGAACGATTTATGTCGCACTCCGGTCCGTCAATAACTGCCTCCCTTGGTGTCATATGTATGGATGTAGGTCTAAGGTACGACGGCGATGGAAACATTGGAGGTGAGGGGCGGTGGTCGGCGAGTATTGATGCATTCTGTTGCTGCTGCGTTGACCTCTGCCTCTTTTGCCCCCTCCGTCTTGATCCAGTAAAGAACTGTTCCAACTTTTCGAACCCGTGCGCCATTCTCCATGTATTAGCCAAAGATCTGTGTGTTCTTGTTGGGCTTCTCTATGATCTAGTCAGCTTTCAATTCCAAGATCAGAGTATAACGTATACTCTCACATACCAAGATGTTTAAGGGAAATGGAAATCACGTCGTGGATAGACACAATGGTAAGAAATACTGTGTGGGCGAACGCAAACAAATTGGGGTATCAAGGCTTTATGCTGTGTCTAACTTTGGGGACAAGATTGAGACGAAGACATTAACAGGTAAGAGGCTAGTCTGCAAGTGCTGAATAACGGGATCCAGGTAATACAAATAATAACAATGGGCAGCACAAATTATTCAGAAACCCACGGGAGTAGCCTTACACAACTGAAAAACGCCGACAGCTGGTGCTCGATTGTACAAGTGTAGGAGCTCGAGGCGAACCCATCCGGGCTGGTTATAACGGCGGAAATGAGGGGACGAAGGTCCCTTGATTCACTTTGTCTCAACGTTAGGCGGAGTATAAGGGGCTAGAGGGCTTAAGGACTTGAGGACTTGAGGGGATGCAGGTAATGTGTAGTGATCTAGAAGAGGATGGGTTGTCTCGGATATGTCTAGAGCTATATCACACTCGTCTTAGGTGACATGAACGGTGGCGTCTGGGGTTGCCGATTCCTGATGGTGGCTCCAAGAGCTGATGGAAATCCTGTTGGCTGAGGGCATGCACGGACAACCGGCCATGCGAAATTTCGACTCAACATGCGGCGTGTCTTGGGAGTCGGTGGCTGGCAGAACACAGTATGGAAGGGAAGTCGAATGATGCAGAGGGAATGAGAGTTGAACCAGTTTGTAGACGTAGGTCTTGGACTAACAGAAGCCGAGTCCAGCTCATGAAGGCAGTAGTAGCAAGTAGTAGCAAGTAGTCTGTCGCACATAAATTATAATGCCGACGATACAAGAAGGGATTGCGCGTGGTGTAAGTACAGTAAATCCCTTGGATTTGACTTGGTTCCTGTTGGGGGAGGTCCTTTTTTTTTTCTTGTCGTCAATTCCGACTTCTTCTCTGCTTCACCAAAAAGAAAGACAAGTCGGTGTAAGTAGTCTTTGAAGGCGTTGTAGAAAGGAATTGTTATGTTTAATTGTTGGTTGGACGGTTTGGACATTGGCTGGGATCTGGCTGGGGTTGGGCTGGTGGGTGCGTGCTGGTGGTGGTGCTGGAGGGAGGCGTAACAAAACTGGGATGCCGACGACGGGGGCCGGGGACGGGGATGGGAGGATGGAGGGCGGGAGGCTGTCACGATTGGTCGAATTGGTTGTTAACTGTTCGTTTTGGGAATGTACACTTACCGCTGCGGTGGTGGCTTCCAAGACAAAAAGGAAAAAGAAGTTGCACCTGCCCCATTGCCAGACCAGGTTGCTACCAGGCTGATACCAGGTTGCTACTGGATTGCTACCGGGTTGCCCAAGTCTGTGCTGAGGCACATGCCTAAGCGACATGGCATGATGGCTGTAATGTAGGTAATGCAGAATAGTGTAAATACCAGAATCCCACCATCAGACGGACAGCCAAGGTGAGGGTTTTGTGTAGGTGAGCCGTACTTAGGCATACATGCGACAGTTACCTACCTAGTCCTCCTGCAACCTGGAAGTGCAAAGTAGATAGATATTCGACAAGATACTTGCCCAAGTACTTCAGCTATGCAAAATGAGAGCCGACTAATAAGGCAAGGGAGAAACCTCAACCACTCGTCGACTCGGTCTTGGGGTAGCTATTCAAAAAAAGGTTCGAACTCGTAACAGATTGCCCCTATCACATCGCAAGCTCCAATATCCAACTGAGATAAGCAGCTGTCAATCGTCATGTGTCGTCACCTATCACCAGTAGGTAGCCATATCGCTAGCATGAAGAAGAAGAAAAGACACCAAGATAGGCAGCCTCTGGCCAAATTGGTAGTCTGCACATCTGTCATTATCTGTCATTCGGTGTGCATATTTCATAACTGCTGTCGGTATAGGAACGATGCGAGCTTCGCCACCTGCAACTAACTGTGCAGTACCTATAAGCAAGCAAGCAAGAAAGAAAAAAACAAAACAAAAAAAAACCGTCGGACAGCGCATTGCAGCAGCCATGAGGCCGTCCCAATGCCATGCCACAGGTTCCGCCACGGCATCTGCCTATACCGAAGCACTATTGCCATATCTGCAAGTCCGGTGGGCACTGCATGAGCCGCCAGAAGCAAGGAAAATAATAGTTGCATGTGTCGAGAGCGAATATTCGATAGACGGCACTTTGTGTCAAGGGCCGTTATGCGGGCCAAGCGCGTTGAATTCATCAATTCATCCACAGTGATCAGGACCAAGCTTTGACTGGCTGTGTAGTCGCCCTTGTGATCTTGCGTCAGGCCAGATTCCCTGGCTCGGATGTAACGCTCTGGTTGACGGGCCAGGTAACATTGCATACCCGTCAGGGACTAGGTAACCTGCCTACCACTAGATACTGCAGGTGTACATAGATGTGATACTAACACCCATCAAGACGTCACAGAGAGAGAGAGGAGGAGGGGAGAGGGGGGTAGAGGGGGTTGACAGCGGAAGATAGGGAAACAAGTGAATCATGATTTAAGCGCATGGCAAGCCCTTCATCAACTCCACCAAAAGCAATCGTCGTAGTCGTTCATACACGTTACCTACGACGAAAAGAGATGATGGCCGCAAGCCACACATACTATGTACACAAAGTATGTACCTAGGTAGTTGATACGAAAGCAAGGGCCACCTAGCGCACCCGGCCACCCGCTGCTCTGCCGCCTTGAATTAGGAACTCGAATCAGTTACTTACGAAGTATGTACAACCTCCCTGGTCCAGACTCTGCTCAGTTCTACCTAGTGTAGAAAGTAGAGAGAAACAGTCCTGTACCCAAAGAGGTAATTGATCCACGTAGGTATCCTCTCTCAGCACTGCTCTCCGTAACTGGACCATACCTACCTTACTTACAGACTATGTAGGTACTTACACAATAGTACGCTAACCCATACAAGATTGCCCGTCAGACTGGGTTCCTTGGATCACCAATTCACGGTACTGTTGGTCTAGTTTGATTTCCTCTCGCCTCCAACGGCTTCAACGATTCAATTGCGTGTGAGCATGTACACTATATATGTATGTAAGTAATGGCTGGGTTAGGTACGCAGAGGGATTTGCATTAGGTACTCTATTGGACACTTGGGCGGCAGACACCCTTCCATCACCTACATAGTGTCACATCGACCGTCCAATCTCCATCTTTGTCTCTGGCCCTGTATGTTTCCAAGACTCAAGTCAGTACCTACATTGTCACATTGTACTAATCGGGACATCCTCTTTGCCTTGCTTCCGTCCTTCTGGATCAATGTCTTGCTGCAATCATGCTTTGATCTACCTACCTACATGTGCCTTACCTACCTTACCTGCTTTGCATCAACCGTTTAGTGGCATTTGGGCTGGTTGCACTACCTAGTATCTGCTAGTACGATACAGCGCTTTACCGGACCGGCTTGCTTCATGACTGCCAGGTCCCGGTTGCGCGACGTGGTACGGGATACAATGTGACAAACGGCGATGCATTCATCATCATCATCACTCCCGGTTCTACGGCATCCTCGGACAAGAGGTAGAAGAACTGGTTTCTTCTGATGTATATGTGCTCGGCCGCAATTTCTTCTTGGAGGGATCCTTAGGTGACGAGTCGATGATCCAGAAGGCTATTGATTTTGATTTCAGCTCCCAACAAAACATGCATCAATTTGTTTAGCGCTCTGATAACCCATCCCTCAACTCGATCCGTTCTTTCGATACTGCAAAAATTTTTCCTTCATGTTTCTGCGTAAAACGCTGACTTGTCATCGCAACGGCGCGGCTCTTGCTCAGCTGGCAATTACGCATCCACAGTGTAAGTGCGCCGTGGGACGATCGTTGAATACACTGATAGTTCGTGTTCTATCTCCTCCCTTGCATCACGGCAATCTTGTCTTATCCACGGCAGCCTGCTTTATCTGTACGAGCCAATCGAGCTTACACAAGCGAGACAAGCGGCCCACCGATTGAAGCAAGAGCACTTCTTCGAATAATGGCATACATAGTTAGGCGGAACACTAGGCTGAACGTAACACTTACAAGCCATTGTAAGCAGTTCCTGTCCGCCTCGGGCTCAGGGTTGGTACCAACACGCGGTGACAAGACGCGCAGACACCAGTTTTCTATGTACCAAACGCACCAGTCACATAACAATAAGCTCAATAGAACGCGTCGAGCCCTCTCACGATTTCGATTGTATCTCAACGATGTCCCTTCGCGTATTATATCCGATAGACTATTTTGAGCATATTCGCTGGCCCTGGCTATCTGGCATTGTTGTCCGAGCTATTCTCTCCCTTCCTAGCCCTAGAACTTCAAAGATCCATGGCAGCTCCCAAAATCCGTGAGTCTGATATTGAGTAGTTGCCGGTAGGTGTGATATTGGTATCCCTGCCTTCACTAACCTAGCACCTGCTTCTAGGTACGGCATACACATTGCATTGTACCTTGTGGCATAACGTAAGTACAGCATTTGGCAGCTCATGAAATATGAAATCAGACTTTTCACGTGGCTATCCTTCTCCAACTCACCATCTATAAAGCATGTGCCCAAACAACGGCATTGTTCTTGTGCTTGAACTTGTCGAAATCTATAGGAAATCAGACATAATACAATGTGTTATTCGGTGTCTATAAGACGTTTATCATTGTTTAAAACTGATACATGCTGCTCATTAGACACACCAAATTTCTGTACTGGTGAAAGCAGATGATTTCAGTGTTTCTTTGACTTCCTGGGACGATGAAGTCCGTAAGCACGCTGACACATTCCGCCGCCGAGAAAGGATGTTAAGGTTGAGAATGGAAATCATATGGTAAAAGAAACAGATGCTCTTTGATCTAAACTTTTAGTGTAGTACGTAGTATTCCAATCCCCGTTCGCCATCTTTCCATTCCCTAACTACCTCCCCGTCCATGTAGCCATCAACGTAGGCGTCGCCAACCAAGCGGTATTCTTCATCTTCCCTCTCCTCCGTATAATGATTGGTGTCTTGCAACCCAGAGGTACACAGATAGCGTCTCTGCGCTACATGAAGCCCGAACCAATGCCCATGAGCCCACCTTCTGTGACGAAAAAGCTACGTCCTTCCCATCAGAGAAGCGTACTTATCTTGCAATATCACCCGCCTCTCTTCAGGTTCTACGCCTTCTATATTCACATACTTCTTCAGGTGGTCATTTAGGCCTATGGACGGAAAACGCTCGCTAAGGAGGTGGTACTGAACACTTCTAGGCAAAATGCCTAATGTCCCAAATACCTTGTCTCTCGGCTCAGAAGTAAGCCTTTGACCTGTATACACGGAGCACGTCTGAAAGGGATCCGGGTCCCTCTTTCTCCCGGGGTTTAAGAATGTGGAGGTTCGTGGGACCTTGATAACCTAGATAGTGTATGGGCATACGACCAGCCTTGACGTGAACCTTGTATCATGGCTCTCGGGAAATGTTTTCTTATGTCCGCCTCACGGCATTTAAAAATGGAAGAAACAGTAGTGAGTACCTATATTCCAGATAATTCTAGATTCGCCACAGTAGAAGTGGACCGACTGTGCATTCAGAATCTCTTGCACTATCTATCCAAAGCCTGCTCCCAAATTCCCTTTCAAAAAAAGATTGATGGTAGCAGTGATATGGCGCCTCCATTGCCTGTCTTCTAGTATGCCTGATATTGAATTCGAGTCTGCTTGGTCATATAATTTTCCAATTAGCTCGAAAGCTAGCTTACTGTGATCTGATTTCCGTCATTAGCGACACTTGTTGAGACTGTTCTTCTCTGTCTCGTTGATTGATACACAATACGTCCACCCACACCGTGACAGGCCGGTCTCGCTCCCTCATATGATCAGCTACAAGAAAACTCACAATAAAAGTACTGGCATGAAAGGCCGGGCGTAAGGAAAGAAGACCATCGCCGCCATGAGACGTAATGTCACCACCATGTCGTACCTGGACTCACCCAGTTGACATACGTGGACGTTGCAACATGGCGTATGGAAGCGGCCGGGCTGTTTCTAGGCTGCGAGGGCTATGCTATGGGCACGGGAGCAGACCTGACGATAACGATTGTAGTTCCCGGGCCTCTACGAGACGAGCATCTTCGGTTACAACATATTGGTTACATTGTATGAGTATAGATCAAGGGCATACGTAGAGAATAGTCTTAAATAAACAAATACCCACCGCCTAAGATATTCAATTAGACCAGCTCCTCTGAACTCTAAAGTACGTTAATATGTCACATATTAGCGAGGCCTGGAAGCTTCATATTCGATGTATGTCTCGACGTCCTCACCGAAGCATGTAAAGGGACTATCATTGGGGCACAGTCTAAATTGGTGCTGCGGCAGACACGCAGTGAATATATGAGCATATCAAGAAGAAATCAACAGTCACGTAAGCAAGGAATACACAGACGAGTGAATGATACTATAAATATATCGACAGAAAGGCAATGAAGAGATGCGATTTCCTGATGCTTTTGATGTTGCCTCCTCACTGTGTTGAGTACCTAGGTAGATACTCACTTGTTAATAAGGAAAAGTCACTCGTCGCTCGCCATCTCGAAAGCTCCCACTGATGACTCCTAAGGGTAATAGTATACCATTGTTTGGATAGTAAGATAGCAGTACTTTGGCAGTTCGTAATTCACTCGTGAGAGAGCTAGGATCATGAGTTCTGAAGTCACCCTGAAGTCACCCTGTTGAACTATGTAGGTCGCTCGAGTAATCAAAGCCGATACGCGAAGTCTCTCGCCAAAAGGATATGGACCACCAATTTCGTAGCAGGCGTGTATTCAGATAGCGACAAAAGCACTCAGTGCGTTAAATCCTGGAAAGGCGGGAAGATAAGTCTTCGACTGCGAAACTCTCATCCATCTTTGAATTTTCCTACAAGATTCTCTCACTTGGGGTTGCTCTAGGGCTTGGCGTTCATGATGAGTGAGGGCTATGGTGTATGAAGCAGCCCATCACTCAAATATATTGTTTGTTCTTTCCACTGTTTACACCACCCTATCTATCTCCTTAAGCAGCGATGAATCAATATCTTCATATATAAAAATGTTTCAATTTATCAAATGCTTCATTCCTCTTTTACTAGTTAGGTTTAAATGCTGGATACAAAACCTCCCGGCACTGCCCCTCCTCATGTTACCTAAACCTCCGCTACTGTAGGTACGGTACGAAGGGGGAAACTAGGTAGCTCCGCATTTCCCGAGCCTTGACATCATTGACCTCCGTCATGAACTAAATATCCATTTAAGCAATTCAAGTTTATTATACCAATATAATTCCGAGATAGCAACAGCCTGTGACTTTTCATTTTTACTTAATTTCAATCAATCCTTCGAAATTCATATCATTTCCTTTTTTTTTTTTGCTGCCTTGCGACGCCATTCGTGATTTATCGCAGCTCTCTCAGATGACCAACCGGTCCAGCGAAATGTCGTCCACGACGAAAGAGGTTTTGAACAGGGTGCGCCAGATGGTGCCGCCCATGCTCGAGAAGTTTCACAAAGGTTGGTGTGATTACATCTGTTTGAGATGTCTTATGATCGCAATATCGAGAGATATATAGCATGGAGGAATTGAACCGCTGACGAGGGCTTCTAGGTCAGTTAGGTCGTGTGGCCGTCATCGGCGGCAGCGAAGACTACACGGGGGCGCCGTACTTCTCTGCGATGGCAAGTGCTCGGTTAGGATGCGATATGGTGAGTGAATATCAATATCAATGTCTTCCCTCGTCCTAAGCGTGCGCAAATCTTCATTCGATTAACATCTATCTATCTAGTCACACGTCATCTGCACACCTGGCGCTGGCGCCGTCATCAAGACATACAGCCCAAACCTAATGGTGCACCCGCTGATGCGGCAATCCCCCTCTCCCGGGTCCTCAGATAAGCAGGAGGACCCAGAGCAAGTCGCAGGCGGCATCATAGACATGCTATCGCGGCTCCACGTGCTCGTCATCGGGCCCGGTCTCGGCCGCGACCCCCTCATGCACGACATCTGCGCGCGCGTGTTAGCCGCTGCCCGCGAGCGCAAGATGCCCGTGGTCCTAGACGCCGACGCCCTCGCCATCGTGACCAAGTCCCCCGAGATCGTCATGGGATGGCGCGAGGTCGTCTTAACTCCGAATGTGGTCGAGTTCGGGCGCCTCTGGAAAGGCATCTTCCCGGACAAGGAAGACCGAGGCAGTCAGGGGGCAGAGGAAGCCAAGCAGGTCGAGGCTCTTTCGAAGGCACTCGGTGGAGTCACGATAGTGCAGAAGGGCGGGAAGGATCTCATCAGCAACGGCGAGACGACGCTCGTGGTCGATCTGATGGGCGGGTTGAAGAGGTCGGGCGGTCAGGGCGATACGCTTACTGGTAGCATTGCTACGTTCCTTGCTTGGCGGAAGGCGTATATGGATGGGCTCTGGGACCATGGTGGTCGGCTGAAGGAGGCGGAGACGTTGGGTCTTGCGGCATTTGGTGGTGCTTGTATCACAAGGGTGAGTTGTGTGTCCCGCGGTTGATGTCAGGAAAAGAGGTGTTTCTTTCGAAGTGCTGAGGGCTGACTTGATGTGTAGGAATGCTCCCGTCTTGCTTTCGAGAAGCATGGCCGGAGTCTACAAGCGAGCGACTTAACGGAGCAGGTTCACGTTGCCTTCATGAATATCTTCGGCGAGTCGACGAGGTATGTTGGTTTGGCCTACTTTCCTTCTAACCGTAGTGTATTCTTCGAGGACATGGATAATTGCTAACGAACATATTGTAGTTAGAACACAAAACGCCTCACATCTCTGAGAATTTGTCGTAGATCATTGACGCAATGGCCGCCGGATGATTTATAGCTCTTTGAATACCAAGATGAATTTGTGATACAAGATACGAATATCTAGTATCATAGAGAGACTTAGCACGATGGCCATGGCCTCATGGATTGATTAATGCGTAATGAAACGTTATGAGAAGAGTATGGTATAGGTTAGAACCATCAAAAATTGCACTAGAGGTATTAATCAATACCAATATCCTCTGTTTCTCTCAAAATCCGGCGTGCTTACCAAACCATGAGCGTGCAATCCCATCATTATGTATACACCTAGCTTATTTACGACTCTAATGCTTATAATCTCTATCCTATAACCACATCTATGTAGTCAATTGAGCAACCTCAATTCTGTCCTATTCTGTTAAAGAAAAACCTGCACTGTTGACGCTAATCCTACAGCTTGATAGTTGTAGTAGGGTTAAGCGGATAATGAAGAAGAGAAAGAGGTCCACGGATAATATAAGAGATATAGGAGGATACGTGGAAAGCAACTTGTTACCAAATCAAGTGTTCTCAACTACCTCTTTCCCTGATTGCTTACCAAACTATATAAACCATACCTAGGTATGCACGAATGGACGAATAGTGAACACAATCAGGCAATCAGGCAGCAAGACACAGTTTAACACTTTTTTTCATGATCCAACTTAACAAGACAAAAGGAATCAGGTGCTCTTTGAGTTTTTGGCTCTAATTTACAAGGGCTGGAACTGGGAATCTATCCACTTCTAGCCCGGATCCTCGGTATTCAGCACCATCCAGCATTCGCCGCCTCTAACAAAACAAGATCATTCCACTAAAGATCCTCAGGTATAGACAGTAGCCCCTCCGCCAGTCTCCTCTCTAATATAAATCAGGTGCTTTACGACAGGAAGCTCTTGGTGAAGCTTGTGACAACATCCCGTAACTTGGCCTCAAGGTCTTTGCTGATGGAGCCCTCCTTGTCAATAGTAGCCATGAGCTCGGACTCGTTGGTCTTCAGGTGAGACAGGAAATCGGCCTCCCATGTAAGAATCTTGTTAACGGGGACGTTATCAAGGTAACCGTTGACACCGGCGAAGATAAGAGGAACCATCTCGTTAACAGCCATGGGGCTGTATTGCTTTTGCTTCAAGAGCTCGGTCAACTATAGACGACATGATTAGTATCACGAAGCGATCATCAAGCAAAACAAATTGGACTACTTACACGCTCACCACGGTTCAAGGTCTGCTTGGTGGCAGCATCAAGATCAGAACCGAACTGGGCGAAGGCAGCGACCTCACGGTACTGGGCCAAGAAGAGCTTCAAGGAACCAGCGACTTGCTTCATGGCCTTAAGCTGAGCAGCGGAACCGACACGAGAGACGGACAGACCGACGTTGATGGCAGGTCGGATACCCTTGTAGAACAACTCAGCCTCCAAGAAGATCTGGCCGTCAGTGATGGAAATGACGTTGGTAGGAATGTAAGCAGAGACATCACCACCCTGGGTCTCAATGACGGGGAGGGCAGTCATGGAACCTCCACCAAGCTTGCTGTTCATCTTGGCAGCACGCTCCAAGAGACGGGAGTGCAGGTAGAAGACATCACCGGGGTAAGCCTCACGTCCGGGAGGACGACGGAGCAGCAGGGACATTTGACGGTAGGCAACGGCCTGCTTGGACAAATCGTCGTAGATGACGAGGGAGTGCTTTCCGTTGTCACGGAACCATTCTCCAACACTAGCACCGGTGAAGGGAGCAAGGTACTGAAGAGGAGCAGCCTCGGAAGCAGTAGCAGCGACGACGATACTGTACTTCATGGCATCGTTCTCTTCAAGAGTCTTGACGAGCTGGGCAACAGTGGATCGCTTCTGACCGACGGCGACGTAGACACAGTAAAGCTTCTTGGTCTCGTCGTTGGAGCTGTTCCATCGCTTCTGGTTAAGCATGGCATCTAGAGCGACAGCGGTCTTTCCAGTCTGACGGTCACCAATGATAAGCTCACGCTGGCCACGGCCAATGGGAACCATAGCATCGACAGACTTAAGACCAGTCTGTACAGGCTGGTTGACGGACTGACGGGGCAGGATACCAGGAGCCTTCAATTGAGCACGACGTCTCTCCTTGGTCTTGATAGGTCCCTTGCCGTCGATGGGGTTACCGAGGGCATCGATGACACGTCCGAGAAGCTCCTCGCCGACGGGCACATCAACCTACGATTTCGGATAATTAGATGTGTAAATGGATGCCATGTATGAGGAGCTACTCACGATTTCACCGGTACGCTTGACAACCTCACCTTCCTTGACAAGACGATCAGAACCGAAAAGCACAACACCGACTTGGCCAGCCTCCAAGTTCATGCACATTCCCTTGACACCGGAAGCGAACCTATGGAAAGTTAGACGCTTTTGATCTCTAAAATACAAAGAAAGGAAAAAAGACAAACTTACTCGACCAGCTCCTCGGCCTGGACATTGGCCATACCGTGTACACGGGCAATACCATCACTGTTAGACTCCCGTGTTAGTGATAAAATATCCCTCAATGATTGAACGTAACATAATAGCCGTGGCGGTAATGTTCAGCGTAGGAAGGCGAATGCGCCTTCGGCCGGCATTGTGGTTGCGGCTTATCGGCGTGTGGAGGTGATGTTGACGTTTGTAGCTCGGATGTCACGTTGACGGAAAATCTCGCCCTGGTGGATCCACATACCCGACAGACAAGACACGGCCAGTCTCAGCGAGGTTGGACTCCTCGGCAACACCTCGAATTCTCTGCTCTAGGATGGAGGACACCTCGGTGGGTGTGGCCTTGTCGGCGTAGGTCCGGGCCTGGAAGTTAATGGCGGCGGGTGCGGCATTTCGTGTCTGCGAGAAAAAAAACCAGGGTTAGCCGAAAGTGTCCGAGAGCTACAGCACCACACCCCCCCAAGCTCTTGCCAGCTATGCAAGCTCTCCGGCGACATGGACAACGGAAGTTGCACGCCCAATTGAGTGTCGGATATGCATTGTAAATGGACGGAGCGCAATTGCATGCGGCTATCGATGGCATGGAGATGGAGACAGATGGCTTTCGGGTCGACCTACAGCAGCGACTCTGCCGCTGGCAGAGAGAGCGCTCACGGCGCGCGAGGACTGGCGGAGGGCGTTGCGGAACATATTAGAGAGGGATGTCAAGTCCTCGGAATTAAGGGGAAATCAATTGCAAGGGGATTGCAATTGAAGGAGAGGAGATGGGAGGACGTTGGTTGGTTTGGGGGTTTGGTAATGGAGACTTTTTCCAGAGGAAGGAAGAGACTGACTGATGAGAGCGGCCAGAAAAGCGAGCGGCAGAACGGACAGAAACGGGTCGTGCACGGACCAGATCGGATCTAGGGCGAGGAGAGCTACCAAGGTTGATCCGGGTGCCCTACAGTTGTCTACAGTGGTGACGCCAGGTACTGTAGGCCTTCTGTTCGGTCACTGTAGTACACTGCTGTTGAAGTCTGCTAATATTTGCTACGGCTAGGTAGGTCCTTAGTGCAAGTGGTGCTGAGGGAGAAATGGAAGCGCTAGTCCCGAACAAGTCGCAAGCAGTGAGAATTGAGAATTGCTTCGTCCTTCAACAAATCCGCTCAACTCAGGCCCCACCCTCCTCATCTCACCTTCTTCCTAGTCGATGCACAGTGTCTGATACAGTTATTGTACCGGTAAATGGCTGCTATGCGCACGGTACATTAGAGCTATCTAACCTCGTCCAAATTGGCAGGCATAAGAGCTATCTAGCAATTGATTCATTTTATGATCTACGTAGCCCTTAAAATGTATTTGTAAAATAAACCCATCTTCACAACATCAATTTTCGATGTCCTGGTCATATGTTGAGCGATATACGTGCTGCCCGAGTCGCCCTGAGGAAGCGTCGATATCAATGATATATCAGTGAGATTATATACACCAACAGCAGTTGAGAATCGCCTCGCCATCTTAACCGAATATTAGAAATTGAGTTTGGGAGCGCTTTCGTTGGATCTGTAATTTGTTCACAGATACTAAGGCATCTCGTAATTGAGCCGTATCAAACAAGAGAATTGTCATCATTCATTGAGTCTCAGTCGTTGGTTCATCTTATATGCCGGTTTCACTTGCCCTTCCTGGGCTCACAGTCCCTATCAAACATCCATCGCCTATAACTTATAAAGGCCCAATTCATCTAGAGTCTCATGACTAGCTGAGGCGCTGAGGATATGAGCAGACTAACAATTGAAGAGGACAAAGAACCGCGACCGAAGCGTCGTCGAACAGATTCTGGATACGATGACCTCTCTCAAAGCTCCCAGGTTGGCAATACCTCTCTTAAGCATCAGGACAGCGGTCTAGGCTCAGGCACAAGAGCCTGCTCGCCAATCTATCTTTCCGATGAACCTGAGGTCACAATCACAGACGAATCCAAGCCCTCAACACAAGAGCCGACCATCACCATCTATCTAGGCTCTGCGCGCCAACAGGTCGCCCAATCGAGGTACCTGTCGCATATATGGAAGTCGGGTCTGGATTCACCCTGTGCTGTGTGCCACCAAGACTTCGCTGATAGAGAAGAACCGCCAATTCGGACAATCACCTTCGAGACGTCGGAGGAACTCGGTGAGGATACGAGCGATATCACGCAGTTACCCCTAGCTCCCCACCCGATCCGAGTTTTCAATCGGCATTTCAAGTGCTTGAAAGCGAAAAGGATCAAGTACATCCCCATCTCCCACGTCTGGCACGAGGGAGTATCGCAAGCCCAGGTAGCTAGGGAACCAACGCCCAATGCAACAAGACTCGGTTACCAAGTTCCTATAAGATCACTCCTCGCGCTCACCAAGCGCTACGGCCGTGTAGAAGTCTGGCACGACTACATAAGCGTACCGCAGTGGCAAACTACCACACAGCAGCAGCTCCTGTTACAACTTCCGAGTATTTATTCTTATCCTGATCACATGGTTATGCATCTCCATGATGTCTCGCTATCGCACCTTAGTAATGTGCTGGAGCCGTCGGGCTACAGTAGTTTCCTAGAGAGCATTGCAGAGTTGACGAATTCGACCTATTTCGAACGCATGTGGGTCGTGCTCGAGTATATACAGAGCAAAAAGGCCATGATTCTATCCCGATACTACGACATATTCGACGAGCCCGCTGCAGAGTTATGTGATATTGCAGGGGCGAACCTAGGGAAATACATCAGCAGACTCGGGCAGAACCGATTCAACGAACTCGCCCAGGCAAAAGGATTCCGATGGTCGAGGCGAGCCTGCTGGGACGATCAACAGACGTGGAAGCAGCAGGACCCCAGATTTCGCACGCTCGGCGCAGCCATGTTCATCATCGGCCAGAAGACATGCCGCGACCATCGCGATTACTTCTTCAGTCTTAGATTCCTACTCAATCTGCACCAGGACGAAGTCAAGATCAGTACTATCCTCTCAGACGATACATTCGAGTCGTATCGAGCGTTATGTTGGGATGCTCTCAAGAGCGGGGACTATTCACCACTGCTGTTCCTCCCCCTCGACGCCGAGGAAACGGACTCAAGAGCCCCGTGGCTCCGCGGACACTCAAGAATATCACACCACGTATGGGACTACGGCATATGTCGCCAACTACCCAAGTACCCGACCATCATCCGCGGGGATAAGATCGAGCCCAAACTAGAATCCATCGGCGCAATGCAAAGCTTCGAACACTACGATTTCTTCGGCAGTGCGGAATCCGTCTTCTACAAAATCGCCAGGAAGATCGTAGACGTGAGCGGGCCATGCGCGAAGACTTTCCACGACACCATATCCCGCATTTTCCCCACGGCCGCCGCAAAGGGCGTCTTTTCAACCCCGTCGACAACAATCGGCGTGGATAATGAAAAACTTCAACCCGTAGACCTGGAGCCTATCCGCAAACTCGTCGAGCGCCTCAGTTATCTCTCATTCAGGGGCGAAACCCGGTCTGAAATGCTGGCGGTCTCCAATAAACTGCTCTCGCTGCTCGGTCTCGGGCTTCCGGAGAAGCAGTCGTCGCTATCCAGGATCAAAGCCGCGTCCGAAGAGGCGCAGTGGTACAAGACGAAGCTCGAAGGCCTAGCAGCCGTAAAATGCAAAGGGTGCTCGCGGGACTTTCTCTTCAGGGCTACGGTCTGGGACCCTCCGTCTGCTACCGCCGCGGCAGAGATGTATCGGATCCCTGGATTATTGTACGACGATACGGTTGCTGAAGGCGTGGGGTTGGTGGTTTGTGGAGGGCTGATCGTGGGTAAGATGGCGTATGGTACGCCCGCTTGTGATTGTAGGATTAGCGAGTTTGTTGAGTTCAAGGCGCAGCGTCAGTGAGGACTCGGTCGCGCATTCCATATATTTCAAACTTGCTCATTCTGGATATAGCAAGGCTTAACTAGTTTTGATAAGTTTATAAGGAATGGTCAATCATTGTACAAACCTGTATTAATAGCACCATAAGCAACGTACATACCTGCTGATGATATATACCCAGGAATTAACCAACGTACCTACTTCAAGTGAGCATTGATATTACAAACGGACACTGATTATACGCAATTATTGAGAATTGAGAATTATCAAACAAGGAAGAGAGATTGTTCTATTCTATTTCTGTAACGACGGAGAACAAACAGATCTATCCGTCCCTCTACATTTAAAAAAAGGAACACCGATCCGAAATGTTCTCCTCTGACCTGGTATATCTCTAGCCATCCATCTAGCGCGTAACATAGCGATATATAGTATAGTATATAGGGGTATCGAAATCAAATATAAGCCTGTTTTTTACTCCTTTTTAAAATTTTTGAAAAATGCTGCCCGTTCCGTTTAAACGCCGCGGTAATGCATATTGTACAGCTGGATATAATGCCAATGATAAAATGATTGAAACAGAAGAAAAGGAAAGATCTTGCCAGTCGGGCAGTGTTATGTCAGGGTTGTGTAGGTGTCTGGTACTTGAGCCGATTACATAACCTCGGAGCGCTCGTATCCCTCGCCTTTCAGGATGGGCCTAGGAGGGGCTCTGTCGCCCTTGTAGTCACTGACGAAGGGGTTCGGGTCTTCTTTCTGGTCGAGGTTGCTCAGCGTGTGGTTTACTCCGCGGTGGCAAGCTTCGTCTGCCCTGACACTACACGTCAAAGTTAGTAACTATTTTTTTAATAAAAAAAAAAGGGTGAGAGGTCCGTTCGAGATAAACGTACTACATGATCAAGTCTCGCATTGTTCGCTTGCCCTCGGGCATATGCCAGTACTTGACAGCAATGTCAGGGACGACAAAGTCCGACGACGACCACTTCGGCAGGTGACCGTCGTCAATCTGCTTGATGGCCATCGTGTACGTGTGCACGGCTTCTTCTTCCAGGTATCCGACGAAGCGGTGCGTGATCTTAGGCGAGATCAGATACGAGAGCATCATGCCATTGAAATAAACGCCCTGTGCGCCGAGGATCATGAGTTTCATGAACCAGCCCGGCTCGCACATCTTCATGAACGTCAGTAGATGCATGCGTTCATTGTAGCTTTCCTCGAGCAGCGTCTCGATCCACCCGTTGTCGCGCTTCAGTCTTCGAAGACTGTGGAGATGGCGCAGCATACCAGCTACCATGCCCGGCACGCCGGCAATAGACTCGAGGAACAGGAAGCGGATCATCCACTGCGATTCTGTCAAGGGTTTTATGGCGTGGGTTGCGGTTGTGGGGTTTGCCTTGTCGACCTTCTGCTCGCCGCGCATACCTGTGGCGGTATCCATTCCCCATCGACAGAAACGCATGAATTTCCAGGCGAAATAATCACCCCAAGTCTCTGGCTTACGATGTGCCGGCACCACCTCTAACATTTCCTTCTCGGTGTAACCGTGGTGCGGCCATGCGGGCAATGTTTCTCGGATGTGTTCTGTCTCCTTAGCTGGGAAGAAGTCACGCATATGATTTGCGGGTGTTGTTGAGAAGGCTCTCGTGCTGCCATGTTGGTGATGGAGGTTTTGTGAAGCAGGTACGAATGCAAGACGGATGCCAACTGGACTACCCAATGTCGAGTTTGACGTTGTTAGGAGCGGTACTATAGCTCGAGAAAGCTGAGCAGCTTGCTTTGGCGAGCAAAGCCTTGTTGTGTGTGCTCGAGTGGATAGCATGGAGGAGATCAAGCCGTGGCGTCTAACGAAGGTGAATTAATAAATTCTATAAAGTAGGTAATGTATACAATTGTTGATTATATTGCAGATGTCTGTGGTCTGGTAAGCCAGAAGAGAAGGGTAAGCCGTGCCTCAGGCTTTGCTTATATTTATTTCTTTAGCTACCTAGCTATTGCTACCCTTCCCGGCGTCCTGACTCGGACGGGGCGCTGACAGACAAGATGACGTGTGGCTCTGACTTGCAGATGGCGCCCAGGACCGAGGAGACAAAGAAATCCTATTTCCGCCGCCATGGCTGGTTCTGGCTGGGCCATTGACCATTGACCATTGACTAAACAGTGCTGGCTGTGGTGCGGGATGACATGTAGATGCACCTCGTACAGCAATGAACCAGTCAAAGGGAGGAACCCGGGACACGATCTATGCGATCGCCAAGGCCGTCTGGTGCCCGATCCCGACCCCGAGGGATACCAAAATCTCGGGTTCTTTGCGTGTAGTCCTGCAATTACCGTGGACTTAGTTAGGAGGTAGTCTAGAGGTAGATTTGCTCACACGTGCGGCGCAGACACGGCGCTTTCATGCTGGACCCGCAAGTCTGGTTGAGTCACCGATCCAAACCCGCCAAACCCAGGGTCTAGGCGAATGAGAAGCACGGGATTTGGAGATGGAGCAAGTTTCGGCCAATGCCTAGAGTACTGATTTAGCAGGCGAGAGCAGGCTAGGGCAATTGCTAGTCAGGTGGTGCTGAAAATTGCCTCGAATTGCTTACAGCGCCTTGGCACGTCGGAAATTTCAGGGCCGTGATAAGGGCGACAGTTCCGTTGCATTTTCGCGCTTTTTGGGTCCTTTTTACGATCAGCTGTCACCCTCTAACCCCATAAGTCAATATTGATCCGAATTCTGTTTTCTTTATGCAGCTAGCAGATACACTTATGATGTAAAAGGCGTATGGATCTAACAGGTATCGAGTGTTTGCGGGATGTCCGCTCTTCTTCCGCATCACCTCTTCCGCCTCTCGCCCACTTCAAGTACCAGAAACGAACTGAAAAAAAAAAGACCGCGCATGGAGTAGCTAACTTTCTTAGCAGCTTCCTACATTTCAACTCCCCACAGCGAGCCGCAAGGCTGTGTCATGACTAATGCATAATTTACATAGCAAGTACTTTATTGACTGCATCCTGATACGCTAACCATGATATCTTCACCAGCATAGCAAGTTCAACTGCCAGGTTCACCTTGGAATAACCCCAAACTGGTGGCCATGGTTTATAAGGGCCAGTAATGGTTCAATCTCCAACGCGCGCAAAAGCATGTCTTCTTCGTCTGAGATTTCGAGCCCGGTAGCCCAATGGTCAGGTTGTCCTATATGAATTCAAATCAGCAAGCCACAATTTACGCCAGGGTACCAAGAAGGTTAGACCCAACGAGCTATTGTAGGCAAGAATTGCTTGAAAATGAGATTCGATGGAATGAAGAACCAGCCAGTACTTGCACCTGAAGAAGAGATTATACGCCGCTGCAGAGACAGTGAGAGACGTTAGACTTAGTTAGCAGACATTGCCCATGGGTAATTCCATGAGAGGATGACTTCTCAGTCGAAGTTGACAAGCTTATTTTTTTTCCTCTTTTTTTTTTCTCTCCCTTTTCTCTATCCATTGCTATGGAGTGAGTCTTTGGGTAGGTAATTTCCCGGCCTTAAGTACTAGGTAATGTCTCCCATCCTGGTCGTTTTATCTGTCTCATGCAGGGAGGGTTCGAATTGGTGCTGTATCGTTCATTTTTCATACAAATGCACTTTCTTTTCTTTCTTTCTCACTGACTTGCTTGCTTACCTGAAGTGAGGGGATTATCTCCTTTGTGACCTTTGTATTCCTCAGATCCATTAGCATTAGACAGACCACTGATACTAACCCCAGATTATCCATCCACTTACTTAGGTATTTATCCACTTCACCTGCATTTGACAGCTGGGCCAAGCACCTATGCAGCAGCAGCAGCAGCAGCCAGTCCCGCTAAGTGTACCTAGACTTGGCTCCACAGTGCCCTGGAACACCACCCCTATCAACAATGACGTACCAAGCCACCAACCAGTTCATCTCACATCACGCAGACCAGCCAATCAACCCGGTGCAAACTCCGGAATATAAGTCCCCTGCGTCTGTAATACCTACTTAACCCCCAATAACTCGCCGTCCTTCAACGCGCACCGGTTTGTAATCTCAAGAGATGGGCCCAGTAGCTCAGCGGTTAGCTGAGGAGCCCTGGTGTAGGGTCCACGTGGACAAAACACTAAGTCGCCAGGAGAATATTGCCTTCAGCTCGAATACCGATATGCTTCACACATTTGTGTGTGAAGGGAATCGTGACGATGGGGGATATAGCACATACAGATTATAGAACAAAGGGGTATGAAAGGGATTAAATGGAATGAAATCCGCCTGCGCCGACTTATCGGGAAATATCGCCCGCCCGATGCGTCCTCCCAGAACCGTTCACCCGGCCTGAATTGATGGCGAGGGTTGGGGTTCGGCTTCTGGAGCCGCTACCGCTGCCTACGGCCGTGAGGTGCGCCATGGTATGGTTCATCTCGAGATTACAAACAACTTTTTGATTTATTTGATTGTGCTCATTTCTTCTTTTTTTTTTATCATGAGATTCCCGCCCGTCAAAAATGAAATACACTTGGGAAGGGAGTGCTCGAACCTAGAGCCTTCTGAGTTGGCCTGTGCTTTCTTGTATCCCTTACTACCTGGCCAAAAACTTATGTGTATGCTTAGTTATCAATCTATTGATTATTCATTGTCTTGGTCAATACGCTAAATATTCCATCGTATTCTAACTGTTTACCAGATTGATATGATTAAAAAAGAGCAGCCCGCCCATCACTGACACCAGCGCAAAGAACCGATGGCCTCTTCGAATGCCTGCATTATTTCATCGTAGAGCCCAACTGTCGCTTCAGGTGAATCGTCCGTGCCCGTCCAAAGTACCCCATCCCGCAAAGGAAACAAAATTCGGCGTAGATCTCTGGCAAGTGGCTTCAAGGGAGAGAAATCGAGAGGAAATTCCTCCAAAATTCTCTCGAAACCATCCTGCTCCATATCGAGAGACTTGTGCATCGCCAGCTCGTTCCAATCGCCATCGCTCCATCGTCTAAGCCTACTTGTCTCCGGCAGACGCTCTGAGCGGTTCGTTATAATCGTCCATAGGAAAAGGTAAAGAAATGATTCTAGATCGTGCCGGTAGGTGTGGTGTTCGGTATTCATTACGCCGATGGCCAGGAATAGCCTGGTGCCTACGATGTTAGACCCCGTTTCCTCTCTGTCCGCGAGTTCTATTGCGGAATCAAGGTCTATTAGGATCCCTTTCGGCTTGGTGTCGTCTTCGTCATCTAAGATGATTAAGTTTCCTGCCGATACATCTTGGTGAAGAATTCCGGCGTCAAGATAGAGTGATCGATGGCATTTGATAGCGTCATGGAACACTCGAAGAAGCTCTGATGGGGACTGAAAAGTATGAAGAGGCCTGCCGACGGGTGACGTAACCACGCATGTAAGGATACGATTCATAAAGGAGACTCCTTCATCCTCTGTGTACCGGGCCAGTCCGTCGACATCGTCTTCAGCATCCTGCTTTTCGATGCTGTCATGCCTCTCGGGAGGAAAAGGTGTTTCGGAGAATTTCTTGCTTGTCCCCCACCGGAGCCTTGAACGCAAGTCTGCGGTACTTTCAAGTTCTTTGTAATAATCAAGGGAAATTGCACCCCAAACACATTTCTCCTTAGCCCGTCTTAGAAGCTCGTCTTCCGGACGTTTCCTAGCCCAGCGCCATTTGAATTTCACAACGTAATCCCATCGGCTTGAGCCACGCTTTCTAGTCCGGTAACAGGCTGTTCCGTTACCTACTAATCCCCCACGAGAGGCTATCGGCGGGTTATCGAGATAAAGCTTTCGCAAAGAGGGTACTGTTACACCGTTACTATCAAGGGTGATGTAATTGCCGCCTTCGTCCGTCTGGATGATGTCGCTTTTTCCCAATTCCCCATCCGTCATTCGCTGGTAGCTAAGAATAACAGAGAGGAATTGGATGAAATCTTTCTGAACATGGAATACTTCGCTGCAATATAAGCCCGATCGATCAAAGGCCCAGAGCTCAATTAATGAACCACGTATGTAGAACCCGTGCAAGAAGAGCCGCGTGGGCTGGGCAGCGAAAACTTGAAACGCGGACCGACAGAGCTGTAGTAGTCCGTCCCGGTAACAAACGTGACGGCGATGGTAAAACTGGCTGACGACCTGAACATGGTCCCATTTCGCTTCTACGATGGGAATTGGCGAAGGAGGTATGGATAGGAGGAGACGTGCACCGTCTTCAACATCCTTATGCTCGGTTGCAGTATTGCCGCCAGATATGTGCCACGACCCTCGCGCGCCATCAAGCTCGCTAGATACATACTCGGCAAACCATCGTAGGAAATCATCGGGTAGCGGCGCAGCTGACGGAACACGACACCGACTAGTCCCGCTATCACTTGTCTGGATCTCTAGAATGCCGTCTCGGTGGACGTATGGGAAGTTGCCGAAGTATTTCTTGATGAATCCGTCCATGGGGCCGTGCATGTAGCCATTCATGTTATCTAGAATCTCCTCATTGTCGAGATCCTCTACAACCGCTGAGAAGGCCTGCATTCTGGGAATATCGTCACGTCATATAGAGACGTGTTTGTGTAGAACTTGCGCTGCGTGTGGTGGTAGTTGGATCGTGGTAGGAAAATGCAGGGGATATTGTTATATGCATGTGTAAGTACAGCCGTACCACTCACTACAGCAGTTGTACCTTTAATCAGATCATCTACATATTTCATACATTTTGGCGATCAGAATACTCAATAATTTCAGTAAATCGCCTTACTACCTTGATCGCACAGTTATCGCAACCCGTTCAGAGCCTATCTTAGACATCAGGCAGCCATAAAATTCACAACCGCCAAGTGTTCAATACGAGATTCTTGGCTAAGCCGCTTCCGCCCTGACATACTAGTGTAACCTCAACTTTGGAATTACGGACACCTAACCCAAAAGCTCTTTTGTCAGATGTATCGGCAATCGACACGTAAACGGGTAATGGGCTATAAGTCAGATTCGCGGTATAAATGCCTAATGCATTCGATATGCAAGCCTTCTAGTAACTTTGGGAATTGAAATTCCCACTTACGCCTTCTACCTACATATTAAAGCGAAGTAAGAATTTAAGAACAACATCATGCAACCAACACGCCGAGGTCTACGGGGCGGGATCGAAGTATCGATATTGCTTGCACTTGCGTTGCTGTTTTGTCCAGTTGCCGCTTCTTGTGGATGCCATAGGACCGAGAGCAACCGAACTGTAGCCATAGGCATTGTAAGTGTGGCCCCCAGTTATTTTTACAAGACGTATGAAACTAACAGATAGCTCGAGGACATCGGAAATGTACGTAATATATTGAGAATATTCATTCGTTCTTCCGCCTGACAACTCCTAAGGTTTACTCACGAGTCGCGTACGGACGGAACATGTCCAGTTTTCATATCGCGCCAGATGAGCAAGGTCATACGTTCATACCATCATGTGTTGCGTTCACCGAAGACGGTCCTCTCGTGGGTTACGGTATGTATATCCGGTCCTTCTCCGACGCTCGTCTTATCTCATAACATTCTCTCGAAGCTGCACGACGATGGGCCATATCACACCCTGAAACAATGATATGCAATCCCAGAGCGCTGCTCGGGCGGCAATGGTCTGATCCGGACGTCCAAGATTTCATCAAACGTCTTCCTTACGAGGTATCGAGCGGCGATCAAGATCAGCCCATGTTCAAGCTCAATGTTGGTGGCGAAGAGAAGATATATGCACCTGAGGAGGTCGCAAGTCTGATAATTGGGGAATTAAAAATCATGGCGGAAGCTTCGATGGGCAACAACGGGACCGTAACGGAGGTCGTTATCACAGTACCTAACTATTTCACTTACGAACAGAGACGTGCAGTCATGCAGGCTGGAGAACTAGCCGGCGTCGAGGTTATCCGCGTTCTTAACAACCCCATCGCTATCAGTATGGCTTATGACAACGACTATGGTAGCGATTACGCGCCTGAAGGGCGGAATATTCTGGTAGTGGACGTAGGGGATACAATTGATGTGGCTGTACTGCGTTACGAAGACGGATACTTCGAGACCCTCGATATGTCGCAGGAGGAAATCGGTCGCGATATCTTGGATCAGCGGTTCGCTAGATAGTGAGTCTTCCTTCGAATGAAGCAAGCTATATGAAGGACGATCGTGGTTAGCTCTCGTACTGACCTTAAACAGTCTGCTTGGGGATTGGGAGGGAAAAATCGGCGAAGAGTTCTTGATGGGAGTTATGAGTGCTATATATAAGAGTTTAAAGGGTTTGTTCTTAGGACACTGCCACCTTGTGTCTTTTTATTGACGTGTTATTCAGATGCGGAGCTTAATTCGACTGATATCGACGACGTAATATTGGCAGGTGGTATAGGACAAGTTCCAGAGGTGTGTGTGTGAATATCATGGTTTTTGACTACATCACAATGCTGACCTTCTTTCCAGATAGTCGAGACGATATCGCGAGAATTTCCCGGCAAGAAGTTATACAAAGATCTCAGAGCTGAAGCGATCGTTCTTGGTGCAGCTCGTCACGGTGCTTTCATGACTCTCTACGATGATATTTCCTTCGAGCCATATATTCCTGATTTTAGCCCACTTGACCTAGGGATTGTAAGCTCTGATGCTGTTTCTCCTGTTATGGACGATACGGTGTGCTAAAGGAACCTGCTAGGAGACCGTAGATGGATATATGGCCGTCGTCGCCCCGCAGAATGTTGTACCCTTCTCGACCACCTTCAATATCTCGACCGCCTTCAACAAACAATCTACACTACTGATCAAGGTACTTCAGGGCCAGCGTGTCCTAGCTGCGGATAACAGGGTTATCGGCGAACTCGAAATTCCCGTTACGCCGGGGCCGGCGAGTATCCCGCGCGTAGAGGTTCTTTTCCAAGTTGTGCGTTACTTTCGGAGATGGCCTTGCGAATGTCGTTTTTGTTAAGTGCGCTACTAACGAGGACATTATAGACCAGTCAGGCTGTCCGCGTCACCGCGACTGATCTAGGTGAGGAACTGCTCAGAGCATGGTATACGGCGGAACCCATAGACTGACACTCAATTAGAAACGGGGAAGAGTGAACAGATTATAATAGTCTGTGACACCAGGCCTTTTAAACACTTTTGTACTGACAATGTGGTTAGGATATCGACCCAAGTCTGCAGGTTTGCCAATCTTGGGAAGAGTTGGACTTGAGCAAGGCTTTCTGTAACTGGTACGATTACTCTCTAACTATGTCTGCGCCTAACCAGAGGTCTACGCCGAGGTACTGACGCGAAGTAGGCCGGATTGGAACAAGGAAAGCGCCGAATATAATATCGATAAGCCCGAGTTGCGCGCCGATGTCGACGCTCGTTTCGACCTTGAGAACTATATTACCGCTCTAAGCGAAAGACTTTCCAACCCTGAGAAATGGGGTGTTGAGGATGTCCTGAAATATTATGCCTCTGGGCACCCGACAACACTCACAGATGTGTCGAACATATTTGAATTTGAATGGGTAGATCTTGTTGTAGATCGCGAGATATGGGAGCTCAAGGACGTTGATGAGGTGAAGACGCTCAAGCAGTGGTTCTTACGCTTGTAAGTACAATGGCTATTCAGTGGGATGGTCCGATGCTGATTGTCTGCCTTTGGTGGTCTAGGACCGAACTATACTTTGGGGCATTTGAATACGAGTTTATTCCCAAGGTAGGAGGCAAGTCTTGGATACGACATGATGAGCTTTGAGAATACTGGTAAATCTGAAAAACTCATCGCGATACTGGTGTCTTTGTTATATAGAAGGGGCTATATGAGGAGTATATATCGTTGTGGGTAACAATATATGCCAACAATAGTAAATATATAAACTAGCCCTACCTGAGGGGATAAGATTGCTCGTTATGTATCACATCTATACCGCGATCAACTTTACCGCCCGTGTATTTAACAAGGTACAAAAGTGAAGTTATCGTAGGGTTACTGGTGAGGCCTCAAGCTTGGAGGGGTAGCCAAGGTCCATAGGAAATTAGCGTGGTGCAGGCTAAGATTGCGGGAGTCGATGTACTTCTACTTATCTTTCGGGCCCTTAGATAGCTCACAAGCACTAAAACTTCAGCTGAGTATGTAGCTGTACCATCTCATAGCCCGTCGCCTGTCACATGCAGCCACAACCAGACGACGTCATAAATTCTTTCAGTAGGAAAAAATCGCGATACTTGCCCCGCGTTTTCTGCCATCTTTCTGTCAAGTTGCTGGCATCGGTAAATGAAAACCAGCGGAGCACACCCATCTGCTGATTAATTCAAACTACTACTACTCTTACTTTCAGGTCTAAGCTGACTCGAAGTATCTATTATCTAAAGATTCGGGTAGGTACAGCCGAAGCTACATAAGGTGCAAGACAATGCGCCGGGCTGCTAGGGCTTTCCCTGTAGGAGTCTATCTATTCGGCGAAGTATCTCTTGGAGAGGTTGAGTCACAGATATTAGCACCTGCAATACATTACCAAGTGACTGGCCGTGACCAACTCACGCCCTGACTACTGACTAAGGCTTCACTCGGTAGCACATGGGTGCTATTATTGGCCTCGAGTCAGCTTGATAAACCGCCCACACCACCCACAAAAGAGATGATTTTTTATGCCCAACTCCGGGTCTGGGGTAGGTACCGCATCGTAGTGCTGTAGTAAGTACTATATGTACTCGGAGGTACTGTCTGTAGGTAGGTAAGTATGCGGGTAGAAATGGTAGCGGAACACGTCTGGCGTCTGGCGCCTGGCGCATAGAGACCACACCTACTAATTTCAATTTAACACGCCCTGGCTTAGCCGCTTGCCTTGACCTTCCGCCCGCCAACTTTTTACCCTCCCCGCTGGCCCTTCAACCCACCAACTTCGTCTTCTTTGCCCCTCTTCCGACCTCTCTCGACAACATCAACTAAAACACCACGATCCATTCGCAGATCAGTTTTACGGATACGATTTATCTACTACCAGTGAAATTACGCGTATCACAACCGTATTCCTGCATACAGAAATATTCCCAATATGCCTCCTAAGAAGTGGGGTAGGTCTTTCGCACTTTGTTCTGCCCCGCGGCCTCAATACAAAAAAAAAAAAAATTGCGCGCGTCTACAAATGGTCACATCAACAATCTCTATCACCCCCAGGAGACTCAGTTGTTGTTAACGTGACCGTGATCTTCCTGAAGCATGGATAGATCCGGATACGACCCAGTGGGTCGGGCTGTCTTGATGAGGCCCGTCCACTGGGGTTCCGACTGATGCGACCGACATATCTGACCCCTGAATATGCATCTGCCGTCGCTTTGTGCAAACCGGGCTGACCACTGTTTCTTGTGTACAGAAGAGGAGGAAAGCGATGAGTCCTCATCGCCGGCTTCTCCAGCTCTCGGCGCCACTCGCCGTAACAAGTTTGAAGATGAAGAGGATGACAGCGACGTAAGTGTCCCACAGGGCAATAACACCCTCTCTCCACTACTGCCATAGGAATCTCTGGCCAACACCCTTGTGCTATTAGGTCTTAGAATCATGGGACGCTGCCGAGGATTCCGAGGTCGAGCGCGAGAAGGCCAAGAAGGCCGCCGAAGCCAAGGCAAAGGCTGAAGCTGAAGCTGCTGCGAATAAGAAGTCCCGAACTCAACGTATCGCCGAGCGTCAGGCTGAAAAGGCTCGTCGCCTTGCTGAAGAGGATGAGTCAAGCGACGAAGAGGAGACTGCGGCAGAGCGTGCTCAACGGCTAAAGCGTGCTGAGAAAGAGGCGGATCTCAAGCACGCCGAGGATCTCTTTGGCGGTGCGGGACTAGATCTCAGGGGCGGCCGTAAGGCAACGACTGCCGGCACTGCCGTGCAAATAGATAGCGACCCGAACAAGACGGTCAACTTGTCTTCCCTACCTCTTTTCAACCCCTCGACCAAGTCCCAGTTCGAGGCCCTTCGCAACACCATGGTTCCTATCATTGGTGGCAACCACAAGAAGGCCCACTACGCTTTGTTCTTGCAGGAGTTCACTAAGCAGTTGGCTAAAGACCTGCCCAGTGACCAGATCAAGAAGATAGCTAGTGCCATGACTGCCCTTAGCAACGAGAGGATGAAAGAAGAGAAGGCTAGCGACAAGAGCGGCAAGAAGACGAAGGCTCAGAAGACGAAGACTAGTGTTGTTACTAGTCGAGCTAACACCACTGATGTAGGGACCTATGATGATGATGCCTTTGGAGAGTAAGTTTATCAAACGACCAAGCAAAACCTTAACGTTGTATACTGACCTCCGCTTAAAGTGACGATTTCATGTGAGGAACAAGATAGAGAAAGCATAACCCCTTTGCGGCTTCTTTCACAACCCTTTCTCTCACAAGCTGCCTTGGCTTCTCAGTTGTTCCCATCGCAGATCTCGGGGCCCGATCATTCGCACAAGCTCTCACGCCAAACTCGCCGCATGCTGCTGCATTCCGGCCCTTGATTGATATAGGCCTGAAGGTCTTGTTCCTAGATTTATGATGAAGTGCAGAACAACCTTGGTAATAGGTATGTTCAAATTCGGAGCAGTGTGTTATGAGGGAGAAAGATCTTCACTATCTCGTGGCGCCGCGTGTCGAGAAAATCACCCAACGGGTCTTTGCGTCAGACCTGAACTGCATCGCTGTTGTATCCCACATGTCGCTGGACACCGGGCGCGGTGTTAAACGTATAATGGAGTTTTAGATAAATGAGAGAGATGGGGAAAAAGCATGGGATGGGTAGGGAATTGGCGAATTGGGTTGAAATTCGAATACATAGAGATTGCGACGCGCAGTACATATCATAACATCATTTTCATCATCTTTGCTTAGTGATCCCTTCCTAGGTACCTAGTTGACTAGAGTGCGACCAGGTTATGTATGTGCATTACTGAGCAGACGGTGTTGTAACGGGAATAAAATTATTATCTTTCTTCTAAACACCGAGGAAGAGATAATATCATTCGTTCGTTTCACATCATGCATTGATATTTATTTCTCTCCATTCCATTCCTCTTCTCACTAGCCACTTCCACGCGAGCCGAACCGAGCCGAGCGCATGTCTCGCTTGCTGGCGCGTGTTCTAAAGCCAGACTTATCAAAGAATAGGGTATAGAGAGGATATAATCTATATCTATATGAATGTATAGATTTGTAGATAGATGAGATAGAATTTAAGACAGGGGGGAAAGGAGGGGGAGGGGGTATTTCCGACTATTCATCCATTCATGCCCACCCATACTTTATCATCATCATTCATGCTTTTTTTGCCTCGGAAAAATGACTAAGTACCCATGAAATGCCAGAAACGACGCCGAATACGCCTGCCTGCCTAGGTATTCATTACATAGCATAGTTATTGGCTTTGCTTTGCTTGCTTGCTTTTTCTCATGTTCATGAAATTTATGCCTCCCGTATGTATAACCCGCTAGAAAAACAGAGCCAACCAACCAACTAACCAACAAACGCCTCCTTTTTCTTTTCTTTGTTTGTTATATATGCGCGGTTTTCGAGCGCTGTTCTATATACAGTGGAGGTGGAGGGGAGGGGGGGTATCATATCATGCGTTAAATATAGGGAGGAGAACCTAAACGAAACTCAAGAGTTTTGAAAGCCAAAACGGAAGTTCCAGAGTAGGTAATAAGTCTTTATATGACGTTGCCGGCCATGCCCACGAATAGAGCGTGTATGGCCAGACTGAGTGTCCAGAAGCCGACTTTCTTGAGCCGGCGGACACGGCTCTGCTGGTCTTCGACATCACGGGCGAAGGCGGTGTAGACTTCGGCTGAAGCATCGTCCATTAAACCACAGTCGAAGATGCTCCATGACCCGTCGAAATCTGACGCTCGCTTGACGATGCGGCACCCGATTGGAATGTAGGTACGTTTTGCGTTGATGTAGGCTACGATGGGTCGGACTAGTGCTTGGTTTACGTATGATAAATTGGATGTGAAAACGGGCACTGTCGCCTTGACATCATTAAGGTGAATTCGCAAGTCCATTACCAGGTACCGAGGCGGTTCCTCGCCGGGCCGTGGCGGGGTGGGAACTGATACCAGGTCGTCGTCGTGGTATATCTCTGGGTGATCGTTAACCAGGTGGACCGCATTCGTATTCGATGTATTGGTGCCCTCAAAGGTGCTGGGCTCGTTGATGATAACTGTCTCTTGTTGACGGATTGGCCTATCAAGAATACGTAGGTATCTATTTGACGTTACCGCTTCTTCGAGACGGTCGTAGAAGTCAGACATCACCTTCGTGATGCTATCATCACTATCATGTGGAAATCGGACATCGGCTACGATATCGACGTTGCCTTCGTAAATCCAGCCAAAAGGCCCTTCCACCCCACGATTGAGATGGTCGATTTTAAGGCCATCGATCCGCAGACGGCTATGCTTCTTCCAGGCATCAGGCTCTCCTAGGGGGTCGGCTGAGCGGTCCTGCCCAGGAAGAACGCCATGAATCTGCCGAGGATGTATCGTGAAGAGGGATCCATCATATGAGCCCGACATATGATTTGCGGACAAGAAATCGTAAAACATAAATTGTTTACGGAGCTGAGGTAGTTCGCATGAGAATATGCTGACGGAGAAGGGCCTGAAGCCTTTCGGTTGGTGGATTGTAACCAGGAGGTCTTCCATCTTGAAAGAATCAATCTCGAAGTCTCCAGGCTGATGCTCATGGCGATAGGATAAAGGATCCACATTTTCACCCGACCATTCCACAGATGTTCTGTCTATAACACCACGAACGCCCTTGATCTCAACATCTTTTAATAGGCCTTTACCGTTCCACCACTTGACGAATGATAAAGTCACGTTGACAGTGTTGAGCGTAACATCAAACTGTGTGTAGTTCCCATCGTCTTCTTCAACAACAGGAGCGTCTTCTCGTTCCGCAGCTGCTACTGCGGCAGCATTGGATGATGATCCTTTGCTCACAGACGATTTGATTTGTCCAGGCCTTCTAGAAACGAAAACATTACGGAAACTGATAACACCGTCCTTCCATCTTGGAACAATCGCCGACTCGAAGATAACCGTCAATCCAGCGGACTCGGTCAGGTAATCGCCAACCCATCGGGCAAGGGTTTCTGGATAATGTTAGTGTTGGAAAACTTGGCGCACTTTTCACTGTACTGACCTTGAGCGACAACTGTGTTGATGGAGAAAATGATAAGCGAGAAGAATGTTGTCGTTCCAACTAGAATCCAAACAAGATGGCCGAAAAGAAACCAAGAGACGAAAGCACCCCATTCATCGATATTCCAGGGTCTCATGCTTCGTATCGAGGCCCATTTAAACCGTACTTTCAGACGTTCCCAAAAGCCGTTGGCTGCCGCCAGGAACTCTTCTTTGGTAGGTCTGTGAGGCAAATGCGGCATTGAGGGTAAATGAGGTAAATGAAAATATTTTGACACGGATGATTCTCCAGCGGGTTGTTTTACTGGTTCTGGCTGTGGTTCGGAAGCAGACTTCTTCTTCTGCTGAGCTCCAGTCGCAGGTGCTTTTTCATTATACGAGTTGGACGACTTGGCTCTTCGATATACCCTCGTGGTCCGGCCGCGGCCACGGCCGGTATGTATTGTTCGAGGCCATGCCTGCCCCGCGAACTTGGCAGCGTTTAAGATGGAGGACGTGTTCCCGGTTATAGTAGAATCGGCAGCGGCCGAGCATGTCGCCGCGACTGTACTGGCTGTTGAGGGGTTCGGGGCCAGACTGACGAGTAACAGTCCACCCGATGTGTATTTACGACGAGCATTGCTGGTGTATTGTCTAGATATTCGAAGAAATGGTGACCACGGGGCTCTGGGAAAACGAGGGCCAGGCGACATGAATAGAGAAGCAGGTTGATTGAGGGGAGGGGGGTTTATAGGGTATCGTTTCGGTGAGATTCTCGAGGACAGGTCGATAGATTCGTAGAGGGTTCGCAACATCTGGCGCCCCAACCATGGGAGGGTTGGTCTAGCCGAAGACATTACGGCAATATTTCATGGTGACCGCTTGACTGGCATCATTATCTCCATACCATAGCGTTCCTCTCTTCCACCAAGCGAATAAAGGGCTAAGCGACCAAAGACGGTGCGGCGATGCGCTCGCGCTGTCTAGTAGAACCGTAAAACAACAGAGGAGGAGTATACCTAGATAGGTAATGCGCACTGACGGCCGACAACCAGACGGGTGAATTGAGTGAGAGAGGTATGATGAACCCGCGGAGTGATCAGCGTAAAATCCGTCATTGGTAGAAACGATGACCACGATAACGCGCGCTAAATCCGAAAATCTTGGTTGACGGATAGCTCACCTAGCATTGGCACAGATAGGTAGTGTTAGTGCAGTACTTAGCGAGCAATAGCAGCTAGGCCACGCGACGTAGGGTCGGTATTGTCCCACTTTAGCATCCTACCGCCCCTACCTCCGCTAAGGATTCGGTAGGGCCCAGCGGCACAGGCTAGGTAGGGAAGCAATCCCTGTCACATTCATGCTTGGAGGGGTTTTTGCATATGAAATTCTGCTTGTCGATGGTGTTATCGATAACACTTTTTTAATTGTTCGCCCAGACATCCCACCAGTCCCACGTCTTATCGATTTTCGTTGCTTCAACCATCAAAAGCCGTCGTGTAGCTGGACGTACACCTTCAAATCCGCGACTGGACGAGGCTTTCCCGTCTTATCTCCCCATCGACAGCCAACCCATCGACTACCAAGTTCGAATACACTGCGCAATACCGAGTTGAATCCCACGAGGAGAAGCAGACATCATGCCCGCCCCAACTGCTGCCCTCAAACCTCAGGTCGACGACCCCCCGGCTGCCAGCGCCAATTTGACAGAATCCGACCAGAATGAGGACTTTGCCCTCGAGGGAATGAATGATTTACCAGAACCGAGTGCCTTCCAAGCGCCTGCCACAGCCGAAGGCGAAGACATGGAAGTAGTCGATGAGGAGGATCGGCCGCATTTCCCCCAGGTCCAGAATGATGATGGCGCATTCCGCATTCAGTCCCGCAAAGTTCCAGTACCACCTCATCGCTTTAGTCCGCTGAAAAGTGCTTGGCCACAAATATATCGTACGTCGTCGGGTTGTTGGCTCGTCCCATGTACAAATGTGCAGTCGTGGAAATGGAACGTTGACCAGCATCATCTATAGCTCCTCTCGTTGAGCACTTGAAACTTGCGGTCCGGTTAGTCGATGTCCTCTATTTCTGAAAGTCTCGAGAACTTTATCATCGCATTTTTTCTGTGCTTGAGGTCAGGCACTAATATACGCCTCAGAATGAATATAAAATACAAGGCAGTCGAACTACGAAACTCGAAGGCATCGAGTCCAGGTGCCCTTCAGAAGGGCGAAGATTTTATCAGAGTAAGTAAATACTCCTCGCTAGCTTTAGGTATCACAGAAGCTGCGCTTCTGGGTAAATGCCTAGGTGATGACAATTGAACACCTACTAACAATTCTACAGGCATTTTGCTTGGGTTTTGATGTACAAGTTAGTCTCCTGGAATCGAGCATTCTCCCCTAGGACATGTTCTGGACCTCAGGACTCCTACTTGCTCCGAACATGGGCAAAACCTCTGCTCTCTCTACTGATCACTAACACCACGAAAAATACAGGATGCTATAGCACTCCTCCGTCTTGATGATCTGGTAAGCTAAGGCGATCCTCAATCGATCTACAATTTTTCTTCACAGGGCAATTAGAATACTAACTCTTGTGTAGTACCTTGAGACATTCGAAATCAAGGATGTTAAGACTCTGCAGGTGCGTGTAATCCTGACTAGATAGCTGAGACCAATCTATACTAACTAATTGTTGAAGGGCGATCATCTCGCACGTGCTATCGGCCGAATAGCCGGTAATCAGGGAAAAACAAAATTTGCTATGTGAGTACCGTCTATTAAAACGAACCAATAGTTGTGTGCATCTATCACTAACGTCTACTTGTTCTTAGTGAAAACGGTATGGAAATGAAAGCCAATGTTCTATCAAGCTCAACTAACCCATCTCAGCATCAAAAACGAGAATCGTCCTGGCAGATAGCAAAGTGCACATGTAAGTTGACACGAACACATCCATAACATCTTACGCGAGACTTACATCGATTAGACTTGGGGCGTTAGTATTCTGAAGACCTAAAATCTTAGGCTCGTCCGACTGACTTATCCAGGTATAAAAATATTGCTATCGCTCGAAGTAGCGTCGTGAACCTAATTCTAGGAAAACCACCTGGCAAGGTCTACAACAACTTGAGGACTGTATCAGCACGCATGAAGGAGAGATTCTAAAACAATGCGGAAAGACACCATTATCCGGTTGCTGATCTACACCAGCCAGGTAGATCACCGGTTATCAGCTTAATGCATTTGACATTTATATGAGCCAACACCGAGTTACATCAACACTCCCATATATACGTCTGGTATAACCGGTGCAGCGTTTGTCCGCGCCTTTCATCAATCGGCTTGGCCAATCCATAGTCTCAAGGCAGATAGACGGGCACGATTTCACATAGATGTTGGGCCTAACCAGGTCCGCCCTTCGATTTCTGTCCTGGCTAACTATTTCCCGGATTGTCATACGATCTTCTACGGCTCGGATATGGGCGCCTATCAAGACGGCATACCTTTATGTTCCAGGACGAACTTTTCTATACTCTAACCCGCGGGTTTTTATCTCGTCGTCTTCAGACTTGGGAGTAATCGCCACACATGGGTTCATATGATATCACTACGAGGAGGAGTTTACGGTTTGGATTATCTGCACTATTTGACGATACTTCGTCTTGAACGAAGCGTCAAGAATCATGAATTATCAAGTTGATAATGAAGTCAAAGATATCGCAAATGGCAGCAACAAAATGTTGAGACGATACTAGGAGTCAGGAATGAAGTCTAGAACAAACCTTCATTGCTCTCAAGATCTTCATCGTTCGTTAAGAGAAGACGAATCAACGAGGCTACTATTTGATATTTTGGCGAACTCTGCATTGTGGCATAATAGGAATAGAATTTGTTACAATCCCCATCAGACCATATCTTATAAACGTTAATGCATGCAGTAACCTCCGATTCTTTAGAATTGCTAAATCGAAGAAACGTGTAGATACACTAGACTACACTACACTATGGCAAAAAAAGATAGGATCAAACAAAGCATGTTCTTTCAGCATCGCCAGCCAAGAAAAAGGATTCTTCAAATTTGGGTTTCCCACGGGACCTGATACATTCATTCATTTGCATGGGGGATGTAGGATGAAACATGCAACATTCCAGTGATCTAGACCAGTCTACCTACCTACCTAGGCAGTGAATAGGATATGAAAGCCAAGAATCGGATCGTCGGCACTACAAATACTTAGCATGATAGGTAAGTAGTTACTTTATGGATGTACTGAGTGCATGTAGATATGCGCATGGGCATAGATTTAGGCATGTATATTCCTTTACCGGTAGTATATTCGAGGCTACGAGTTGTCCTTGGTAGGCATTTTATTGGACCTCGTTTAGATTCCTATCTATTTATTTCTTTTTATCTTTTGTGAATATGCCGTTGGTTATATCGTTAGGTAGGCAGGTATGTCGCGCATTACGCTGCCTGATAACAAGCAAGCAAGTAAGGCAAAGAAACAATAGTCTACTTCTATGGAAGTATACTGGACTATGTACGTATATATCGTGATGAATTAATGTTTCTTACACCATGCATTGGTCGCAGTTTCTGGTTTTGTAATATACAAATATTAGTAATCCCTACGAGGGCATGCTTACTATATTAATCTACACTCCTCTGAGTTAAGTATACAGATATAGGGTCCGGGATATGGGATGTTGTATTTTGTTGTTGTGCTGTGCTGTGTTTCGTTTATGTGCTAGGATCAGGTATTGAGCTTTATATTCTGGCAGACAGGGATATCCCGCGCCTCGTCCACTCTTCGTTTCATATTCCTCTTGTCGAGAATCTGGTAGAATTCAACAGTAGTGTTCTCCCGAATTCACAGCTAGTGAAATTATGAATGCATCATCTTTGGTGAGGAACAGTTATCACAAGCAGGAAGTATTCACAAAGCAATCATGAACAACGAATATTACACCAGCCCAAATAATATTTTAATGTTAGATTTTTTTTTTAAATACAACGAGTATTAATCAAGATATATACAACAGAATTAGTTAAACTTATACAGATGAATAGGCTTTTATGTCATGCTCTTCGCGTAAATCTAGTGTCCGCTGAGGATAACTTCAGAGGCCTTCTCGGAGATCATCATGATGGGGACCACGACGAAGGTACCGGGGATCTTGGGGAAGACGGAGGCGTCGACGACACGGAGGCCGCGGGTGCCGCGGACCTTGAAGTTGCCGTCGAGCACGGCCATCTTGTCGTCAGCCCGGCCGATCTTGTTGGAGCAAGAAGCGTGGTGACCCCAGGCTTCCTCCTCGACCCACTCCTTGAGCTGCTCGTCGGTCTGGTACTCCTTGGGGGGCCAGAAGACGTCGGGGAGACCGTCAATGTCGGGAACCTCCTCGTAGAACTTCTGGGCCATGCGGATACCCTCGACCATGGCGTAGGCGTCCTTGTCAGCCTCCTCCTTGGGAAGACCCTCGTACAGAGTGTGGAAGGTGATGACGGGGACGTCACGGGGGTTAGCGCTGGCGAGCTTGACGGTACCGGCGTTGTTGTGGGTGTGAGCCTTCAGCACGAGCCATGACCACCAGGTCTTGTTGTCGGCAGTGGCGGCGTTGGCGGAGTAACCGGGGTAGAAACCAGTGAAGAGGGCGGGGAAACCACCGATCCAGAGATCCTGCTCACCATCCTCGGAGTACTTGGATGTCCAGAAAGCACCGGCGAAAACCTGGTTGGAGGCGTAGGCACCCTTGGCGGCTCCCTTGTTGTTGGGGTTCACGTATCGGTCCCAGCAAGGGTCGTCCTCGGTGGCGAGGTAAGTGCAGTCGAGGATGCGGGTGAAGTTGGTGGGGTAGTTGGCGTTCACGGAAACTTCCAGACGGTCCTGGAGGTTTTCACCGACACCGGGCAGGTCAACAACGACTGGGATACCGAACTTCTTGAGCCTATGAAAGGGTGAGTTAGCAAATGAGCAAGCTATGAATAAAAGGGGGTGAAGGTTTGAACATACTCCTCCTTAGGACCAACACCGGAAAGCTTAAGAATCTGAGGAGAGTTGAAGGCACCACCGGCGACGATAACTTCCTTGGTAGCCTTGACGTGGCCGGGTGCACCAGTGTCCTCAGTCAAGCTAGAGCGGGGATCAGCGCGGTAAAGGGACTCTCCGTAAAGGTAGTCGACACCGTTAGCCTTAGGCTTGACACACTTGCTCTTGTGCTTGGTCTTCTCGAAGGTAACCTTGGTCACAAGGGTGTTGAGGGCAACGTCCAGCTTGTACTTCTTGGAACCGTCAGCGTTCTTGGCAGTGACGGTATCGTAAACGTAGTCACGAGGAGATGAACGGCGGTAGTGAAGGTTGTCCATGTGCATGGGGAGCTGGGCAAAGAGCTTCTTCTTGTCACGGCCCTCAGTAACCAAGTTAATGTCCTGGAAGAGCATCGAGTTCAAGGCATCAGCCATAGGCTTGGAGACATCCAAAGGCAGCAGCTCTGAGTAAGGGTCGATGCTGCCACGGGCATTGGCAGTAGCGATGGTGCCGTTGACGGCGGCTTCGAGAGCGTCGGTCTCAACACCGAAAGCCTTGGCAGCACCGAGAAGAGCGGCGGTAAGCTTGATATCCTGGGTAGCAATGCCGACAGGGTCGACGGTGATATCGATGTAACCATCGGATCCGTGGCCCTCCTTGCTAGCGACCGGGTACTCAAGATGCTCGATCTTCTCGAAATACTTGCGCATGTTGTCGTTGTTCCATGACTCGTCACCAGTCAACTCAGCCATGAAGTCGAAGTCGTTCTTGCTGGGAAGAATGCTGACAAGAGCGTTGTGTTCGGAGCAACCACCCAGACCACCGTAGCGAGGGTAGAAGGTACCGAGAGGAGTAGAGCCCTCAGGAGGGTTCACACCACCTATAATTCCGAAGCATTAGTGATTGTTTCAGACTATGAAGTCCGGGACCAGGCCAAGTTCACCCAGCGCGCCTGTCCCACGGTTTTGTTAAAAGGGATACTCACTGTAGTATTGGCCCTCGGGGGTCCAGTAGGTAAGCTTTCGGTCCTTGAGAAGCATGGTCTCATTCTCATAGTGCTTGGTGAAGAATCCCCAGCTGACCTCGTTCCTTTCGGATGAAGGGTTGGCCAAAGCGGGACTCTCGACCTCTCGAAGGTGACCATAGTCACCACCAGCGTCAATCAGCAAAACGCTGTGTCCAGCCTTAGCCAGGTTGACGGCCAGGGGAGAACCACCGGGTCCGGAACCGACGATGATGTATTCGTACTCCTTCTTCGGGGGAGGAGCGGGCTTGAGAGTGGGACCAGTCTGGGGGAACTTGTTCTGGACGGGAACACGGTCGATGAGCACATCAATACCGTTCCGGTCGACCCTGTTGTAGATGTGTATTAGTTTCCGTGCGCATCTTGCCGTCTCGGCTGGTGAAGATATGTGGGCTTACCCGGCCTCCGTGAAAGGAGCAAGGGCGCTCAGAAGCGCCAAGTAGGAGAAGGACTTCATTGTTACTAGATACTAAAAAGATGAATAAAAATTCTGAAAAGTCTAAGTAAAAAATGAAGTGTATTAAGAGGTATCGGGTTGCGGATGAAAGAATGGAATGGACCTGAACAAAATGGCAAATGCCAATGCTGCTCGAAGGGGAGAAGGAAGAGAGAAGGGAAGTAGAGAGCGTGAGGGCTGGTGCTTCCAAATCTCATCTGAGAGAGGCGGTAGGAACGCGACTCTTATAGTAGGATTGGACGAAGAAGCCTTGGAGCCTGTCGTGGCCGTGCCTCGAGGAACTACTCGCAAGCCCATGCTCGTGGATGCGTGCCCACAAGCGTGATTACTCGAGGCTCACTCCTCATGATGTGATGCTTACGGGTCGAATCAGCCAGCGAGATGACTCGAGTGGACACTGAGAAGTCAGCCCCAGATGCCTGGAGATGGGCATCCTTGACCGTGGGGATCAGGTTCGGGAGAGATGGTCAGGGATATGTTCACTAGTGTAGACAGCGGCGAAAGTTTTGTCCAGACCCTCGAAGAGGAAGGATCTCGACAGATGCCCGACGACCAGGGTGTGAATAGGAGAGGGCAGGGCGAGAGCCTGCACAGCTTTCCCAGCAGCCGAGAGAAGGCTCACCCCATCCGAGCGACAGCAAGAGACAAAAGTAGCATCCTTGGCTTGGCATATCTGGCATGCCAATATCAGTATCTATGCATACCAGCGTGAGCGGGGCTTCAAACAGGTTGGTGGTGACATTGTTCTTCATCTTATTGTTGGTAGACAGGAGTAGGCATGTATGCTGCCCAAAAAAAAAAAGGCTTGTGATAGATACCTAACTACTTCAACCTACCCGGAACGGTATTTCTACCCAGTAGATTATACCAGCAACATAACCCACCTAGGTAGGTACATGGAGCTATCTACATCTATAGTGACACAGGCTAGATTCCCTTGATCAGAGACAGCAATGTCCGATGTTGTACACATCATATTTGCCATCGTGATAACTACCTCTTACGTGCTTGGTAGCTTAGGTAATGTGTAGTGTAGGTAGTCTACCTATTATAATAGAACACTTGGTACACAACATAAGCCCATATTGTGCAGAGTCGTAGCATGTCATCGATTCTATTCAAGGCAGCTAATTGCTGGCGCCATGAGGCTAGTATCGATCATCACACGATACGTAGTAAGTAGAATCATGATGTTTAGACCTGAAAGCTCGAAATGGCGTCTTGACTTCTGGGCCTGCTATGTAAGCCTACCTACCTGACCGACGACTACGCTACTTACGCTACACTGCACACTAAACCGCCAGGACCGGGTTGAGTGAGGTGTAGCTTAGCAGTAAGTATTGGCAACAACATAAGTAAGTGGCCCAGAAATTGCTGTGATCAAGGGCAAGCGAGAACAAGCGAGTCTATTTTAGGAGTTCTCGTAAAAGATGGAAGAACACCATACCTAGCCCAAGAGAAGGGGAAAAGGGAGAATTCGCTGTCCTGCGGCTTAGATTGCATACTGGCGTAAGATTAAGGACGCTCAGCAAGAAATCGTCGTGAGCGACCAAAATACGTGCAAACCACCAACTTGGCAGATATTTCTTACTCAATATCGTATGTTGGTCGTTCGACTCTGCTTCCTTCGAGCCAACACTAACCTAAAGTTAGCTCCCGCCAAAGTGCTGAGCATAACGCAACGGTGGTGGAAGATCTTTGCCCAATTCGCCTACCTCCAGCTAGCGGATCGCCCGCGCTACACCTGTCTTTGCCTAACGCTTTCTCACGATAGCTTATCGTCGTCGTCGTCGACTGAACGCGGAAATATTGTGCATAGTATGTAAGTAAACCCCTGTCGACATCTCGATGGGTAGTGCCCGCGACGCTGGCCTGGTGGGTTTGCCGTTGTAGGCAGCTGGAGCTGTCGTTGTGGAGGGCGTCCCGAGGTCCTCCGTCCTTTCATCTTCCCGGCCACTTTCGCTTGTCCGCCGGGCTCTCTCGCTTGAGTCGGATTCTATTTACGGCAGCCCATATCAGCACCTTATCCCGGGCTGACCGCAGCACGAAAAACGTGTGCATGAGGAAACAGTGGAGATCCATAGATTGGTGTTGATGCGCCCAGGCTTGTCAAAAATATGGTGCCGTCTGTCTCTCTGTCTGTGCTCTTCTCTCATACATTCTGGTGAGTACTGGCCTCCACTGACCCGGATGCCCGGTCTTGTTGCTATTGGACGGAACAGAAGATCTCAGGTCTCTTCTTCGCTTTCTTAACTTACTTACTTACTACGGCACAAAGATGGCTGTTCCCTGCTCGGTTACGGACGGTGCTGGGTTCTGCATGGGGATGCTACGTCTGAGGTTTAAGCTTAATTCAGGTCGCTCGCCTCACCCAATCAATCTCCATAGCCGACGAACCTGCATATTGACACGCATCAATTAAGCATATTTATGTGGTAACTACAGCATTGCGTCGTGTTATCGCAGCAAGGTCATCGACGATACAGACGTTGCAGTACTATACAACAATGTGTTTAGTGCATTGCACGTTACTACTACTACTGCTAGTATATCATAGGCGCCATCGAGATTCGAAGCTGGTCGGACATGTGAAGGATCCCGTGTATCTACAATATCGTTAGGTAAGTAGTTTACGGCAGAACCTACGTGCTGTAAAATGGCATATCGAAGTTGACTCTCGAGAGTATTCAAGATGGCCTGATCAGTAGTAAAGATATCACAGATATCCACTTATACCCGTCGGTACATTAGTCTATATCGGGACGCAATACGGCTGTATTTTTGGACTTACTAAGATAAAGCTCAATACTTCAGTCAGTATCGAATGTTAAAATTCCCAAACAGGTGCTGATGTGTGCGAAAGATAGGTATGAGTGACTCGAAGGCGGCACATGCTCGCCTGCGGGTCAATATGCAGCCACCCCCTCATAAGTAAGCTTATTGAAGCCAGAGACTACACCATGCTCAGCTTCAAGTGCCATGCGTCTACACTATCCATCTACCCTAGCAATCTGGGTGTCAGTTGAGCACGGTAAGTAATCTACATTCTACTGTGATACTATAGACCTTCTTACACCAGGATTCTCATACGGCTACACGGCCACGATAAGCGGGACATGTTATCCAAACTCTGCCTCCTTGTAAGTCTCAGTCCTTACGTGAGTACGGAGTGGACACTGTCTAGATCCGACCAGGTTCAGAAACAACCCTGCCTCCCCCTCGTGATTCTAGATGCGGTATCTACAATAGTTTACGGTAAGTGTACATGGAAACGATACCTACACTACTTTTGCTGCTTACATCAGGTAAATAAATAAGAGAGATATAGTACACAGATCAGATCAAAAATCGTACGACCAGCAGTAAACTCACCTCGTCGTACTCAACAATATAACTGACGATTCTTCGCATCTTCGGCTTGTGTTTCTTTCTTCTCGTTCCCGCCAAGTGATCATCAGCCCCCAACGGAAGCAGAAGGCGGATTTCGGCAGTAAGAACGAGCTTGTATCAGATTTCACGGTATTACTCTACACTACCTATTCCCTAATATCATGACCCTTGATGTTAATGCTGGAACGGGTGACAGCCAATAAAACACCCTTGGTGTACTAATGCGTCCAGCTATCGGAGATAAAAAGAAGGCCTGGCCTTTAAACGAACGCTCCTGCTAGGTTACCTGCTCGGGGCCGGCCGTCGGAGGCTTTCCGTTCATCGCAAACGCGCGGCCTGCACGCCTACACTAGGAATCTCTCTCCGCCTCATAATGCAGACGCTATCTCGGTTGTCGTGCTCGGTGTGCGATGTGACGGTCACCTGCATCTATGTTCACCATGGAAACGCGCTGCTACTGAACCTACTTTGTTCCTCGGTTTCAGCGTTCTTTCAGAAGTTCTCCTCGCTGAAGAATACTGAAGGATTCAATCGGCACCTTCGGCGTGAGAAATAAGCAGACGTTGGAGCCGATATCACGGCCAGAACTGGCGTCGGTCGATCTTTGCCCCAAACATACTGCACACCTTGTGCGACGATCCAGTCCACGATGACCCCGACCAGCCCCCTGGCGCCTCCCCGACGAAACCTAGATTTACCACAGAGCCAATACATGGCTCGGGCCATACTGCTATCTAAGGATAAGTCTCGTTGCCATCAAGAAGGACTGGAGGAAATGCTATGCCCACAACTTATACTAAATTATGGCCAGTGCATCGAATTTCTGTTCCCCCAGGATGGCTCCCGTACAGCGTAGGTAGGTATCTAGTGTAGCGCTACTCCTGAGTGAACTATGCACGAGAAGAAGCGTACCACACGGCAGAGCACAGGGCGAAGGGGAGAATCATAACCCTACCCCTCTGCCAGCATTGCAGGAAAGAAAGAATCTCTATGATCGACGAATCTAGACCTTAATCTATAGATAGTATAGTAAGCTGCTGATAGATCGAACTCGGGACTGTACTACACACCCAATGCCATATCCGGAAAATCTGCACAATAATTTGTTCTAGGTATTCCCGACCAGCCCTATTTCTGGCCCAAGCTTTCTTTGGATCAGCGAGGGCTGGCGGTAAGGCTTTAGGATTCGCGCCGCTCCCAATCGGCATTTGCGTTGATGTGCTTACGCTATAATCTCACGATGGATCAATCTTTCCACGTGGTGGCGCACAGTACTTAGTGGAAGTGCCGTGCAGCCTACGAGCGACACTAGGTAAGCTAATATTGTTCTTGTGCGACAGTGAATCTACCCTCTTCTACCTAGGTGTCGCAGGGGAAGAAGGAAATAGGTACTCTAAGATAGAGAGAGGAAGAGCTGAGACTTGAGTGAGGTAGTATACGAGGTAAATGACCACAGATAACAGTTGCGATACAAGAAGGTCGTGAGAAGCCTCGTGCAAACAACGAATGTGATTCTACTATGGCTGCATATCTCGCATTATCTGTATAGCCCACAAAGCCTATAGGTCGATGACGGGAAAGAGAACTGTATTGTGACGGTTGATACCCCGGTTATATCCTAAATAGCTAGCTGTTGTAACACGATGATCTATCTCCAAGGCAAGTTTGAGTCTACTACCTAGGTACCTAAACTTAGATACATACAGAAGGGCTCTTCATTGCAATATCTTGACGAGCTCGTGAGAAGTAGGTACCTAGATATGCATTTCCACCATCATCAATCAATCAATACCATCAGCATCCCTTCTCTCCCCCTTATACCGCCCTAGCACCCCCCGCATTCATGGCGCGATCGAGATTGAACGCGGCCGAGATGAGCGCGAGATGGCTGAAGGCTTGCGGCGTGTTCCCCAACTGCTCTCCCGTCTGCGAGATCTCCTCGCTGAACATCGAGTGGTGGTTCGAGAAGCCCAGCATGTTCTCGAAGAGGTTCACCGCGCGCACGAGGTACTTTCGGTCGTACGCGCCCGCGCGGGTCAGCGCTTCGACGAGCCACTGGGTCAAAAGCCGGGGTTAGTTGGTCATTTGTTCTTTGGGGGTTAATGGATGTAATATGTGCGTTTCGGAGGCGAAAAGTCGAGGGGGGGAGGGAAGGAGGGTATAGTGGAATTACTCGTGTCGAGGCAGGATATGAGTGAGTTGAAGGAGTACTTACGAATGTACACATTGAGAAGGCACCTTCTTTACCGCCGACGCCTGTGTAGTTGATGTTGAGTTAGCTTGGGGTTTGCGGGCTGAGTTGGTTAGGTAATGTGAATCGCAGCGCTAGCACCTTGAAAACCAGAGCTAGTAGAGGAAATGACAAAAAGGAAAGCATTACCGTCATCTGAGAGGTCGCTATTATACCGATGAACTAGTCCAGTAACCGTCAAGCCGCCTTTCTCGGGTGGAAGGAGAATTCGCTCGACGGTGTTGAGGAACCTAGGGTCATTAGGCGTGATGAAGAACACGAGCGGCGCGATCAATATCGACGAGTCGATCATGGTACGGTTTTCGTAGCTCTGGGTGAAACTTTGCAGCTCGACGTTGTACCCTGTCACGTCCGACGTCAGCTGAGGAATGTCAGGCATGTTTTGAAAAAGAGATTCTTACCCTTTTCCATGATTTCTTCGTAGATGGAATCTCGAGCTTGGAGCCATTTCACGCGGTTCGGACAGGGAAGGCAGCGTTTGTCTGCGAGTCGGAGGCCGCGGTCGAAAGCTACCCATAACATCACCTTGGAGTATACGAAGTGCTGTTTGTTGTTCCTTACTTCCCAGATGGACATGTCGGGTTCTAGAGGTACAGGTGAGTTTGTAATCCGTGTGGACGGGTCAGCTGTATGATCACTTACGGTCTATTATAGTCAAAACGTAGTCTGCATTGCGGTAGTGAGTAGGTGGTCTTCGTGTGTAAATGGTTTTTTAAGGAACTCACCTAGCATCTTCCGCACAGATACCCAAGTATCCCAAGATACCGGTTTCCCGTATTTATTGCTATTAAAAAATGAGCGTTAGAAAATAAGTGCAAACAAAGGGGTTGGTATGCGACACATGGTCCATGAATGTCAAGGTCACATACTATAGGTATATCCCATCCATTAACTCGCCGTAGATATCAAATTGCTGGTGAAAAGCTGCGCCATTGCCAATTCTAACGGGCTTGCTTCCCTTGTAGCCGTCTAAGTGGTCAAGCTCATGTTCGGGTATCTCTGTATCTCCCCTGATAGTGAACATGATTGGTAACGCGCCGTCATCAGTTAATGACTTTTGAAAACGATCGCTGATGAAGCCCATGTATGCGTCTGCCTCGTCCGTAAATCCCACTATAATAATGATGTGAGTTGCTGTGGGGTGGGTGGGGGGAATGAATATTGGTGTACTGACTGCGCAAGAGAATATATATCGTGAAGCTTGAATCACGAACCCAGCTATTTCCAGTTAGTCAATGGAGAGCTCTACCATTGGAAATGATACAGAGGAGAAAGACAGTCACCGTTGCTAGTCTAAAGTGAGAAATCGAACCAATATTACACTTACGAGAAACGATAATCCCAATTACTGTAGCGGATTAGCACCATTCCCAAGAGGCTGAGATAAAAACTCACCGGACACCCCCAATGGCTTCGGGGATTGAAAATGTCGGGGCGGCAACGATAGCTCCGGTAGGTTCGTACGTGAGCATCTTCAATATCATCAAGCTCCTGCTTACAACTTCCCTCCAAGCTCCCTTGTATCGAGATTTGGCAAGCCAGTTATACCAAAACTGTTGCGTGTCATGTTGCTGTGAATCCAGTACGGTACACGTGATGTTAGTAGTTATGTGGTCCGGAAGGTCCTGTCGGAGGATAAAGGAGACACTTTGACCTTCCTGCAGCGTGACTCTCGCTACTACGCCCTCGCCTTTCATACCGCTGCGCTGAACCTTCTGAAAGTCTACGATCGGACTACTCGCCGATCCATCGACTCCTTGATCGGAAACGCAGATATCTAGCTGGAGCTTCTCTTCCTTGCCGTGGAACGTAACAGTCTTGCTCTGAATGCCAGGTGATGCCTGGACTCGTTGTTGCAAAATCATGGTCTCGTGGGACCCTCTGCCATAATCGAAAGCTGGAAATACTTCGACATCTGCATCATGATCAGCGATCGGACTCGTTAAAGTTATACAGAATGAATTATTTTACCTAGAGTGAACTGTCCACGAATACATTCGACGCGCCGAACAAGCCATTTCTTGAGCTCCTCTTGGACGCTACGGGCTTCGCGGTATGAACTCTGCGAGGTATTGGTGGTCAGGATATTCGCGTACTTGGGACGTGGAAAGAAGTCAAGAAGATTGACAACTCCGTCCTCGCTTATGTACCGGGTCTGGAGGATAGCAGAAGATGGGAGATATTGTTGTTTGGAGGTGCATGATGCTGACTCTGGTGGCGCGATGCTGAAATGGCCTCCTATGTCTTTGTCTAGGAGGCGGCAGAATATAGAGGGTGAGTCAAAGTCGGGCCTATTGAGAACGTCAGTTATTCTCATATCTTGAGTCTGCTTTGAGTAGCTCTTGGGGAGATAGGTAGTCCCGACAGGAACCGCTCTCACGAGTGATTCCGGAACACATCCTGCTGAACAGAATCACACTGGCTTACCAACACATAAAGTCTGGTGCGATACAATTAGTATATTGATATAATATGAAATAGTAACGTCGAACGCACCTATACTACCATCCAGGCTCACTAGCGCGCATGTCCTCATATTTCCGATCATCCCATAGTGCTCTATAGGAAGATAGCCCGAAATATCCCGTGTCGAGGCACTCATTGCATTGCATTTGTGATAAGACATATCAATCGAAATTTGGGCTTAAGAAGTGGGCGAATACCAGGCTCTACTGTTAAAATCATACCAGTGACCCAAGTGAGGGAGGAGATAAGAGCAAGAATGAGTGAGCTGGCTCATAAGTAGTAGGTTTATCGTCAGCGAAGGGAATATTGAAGTGATCTTGATAGTTTGGGGATCGTAGTGCTAGATCCTATGTGGACAAGTAAACTACTGTTAACGGTGATAATTCATGTTACCACTTATTATCAGTAGAGCCTGTGACTTAAATGGCACGAGATTAACCAGTTTTCGAGTGCGGACACAGTCGGGTTTGCGATTCTAGTTACTTGTTTGTCTATGAGGTAGCTTGTTCTACCGACTGACATCATATATTGTGATCCTGGGCCCGTTGAATCCAGCCATCTACGAATTAGTGGATCGCTTCTTCTCGAAAGTATCGAGTTCACCAGGCACTCACTCTATTAATTCTTGACATGTTTCTCTTCCAGATTGAATGGATACATTTGAATATTGCCTTTGCAATTAATGAAATTTATAGGAACCATAGACGTCGTAAATCATGACTATTCTAATGGCTGTAAGTATCTGGGTACCCTCGTTAGGTGAACGCTCCAAGCTGTCACATGCAAGCAGCATGTACCCTTATACTTGGTCAATTGTAGAGCGTCTCATCATATAGATGCTCAAATTCGTCCCATAGATAAGGTTTCAATCTTGGGGCTAATATCTACTATACTTAGAAGTTCGGATACAAACTGAAACAAAAATTCAACTATGTTTCAAACATTTCCAGTGCTTGGCCTGCTCGCCTGCTTGAGTCTCGCATTCCATTGTGGTGGGAGTGGTGGAAAGGGCAATATAAGCCACTAACCCGATTTGGAAGATATATGTCAAAAGCACAAGCACTAATCTTAATTAAGTAGGTATCTAGTGATTTACCGGAGGTACCTGCTTATACTTATGTGACCTACTTACTCTACATTAGGTATTGATATGTACTTTTGTTTGTTGGTATCATGAACTACGAATACCATGTTACATATAGATACCTAGGTAGATTGAGATATATACTCTCTTTACCTCTTATATCAACTGGTAACTGGTAAGTTGCTGGAGTTGTTAAGAAATAGGGCCTCTTGCATAGGTAGTATATTTCCGTATTTGAATACGGAGTGTTCGAGGTGCTCGGTATAAGTACAAAGAAGGCCTAGCGGGGCTGACAGAGGGCGAACAGCTAAAAATAGATACTTTACCACGGACAGCTGGAACAACCAACAGACGAAAGAAAGGGGAAGAAACCAACAACACCACCTGGGCATGCATACCTCTGCCGCCGCTAGACTGCTTCGCCGTAGATGCACATCTGGCGATCTCTGTCTTAACCTCTCCCAGACTCTCCCTTCCGCTTTAGCCATGCATCTATTTTCTCTTCTTACTTACCCGCGGCGGGAGATGATATGATCGATAGAGACGACGACCGGGGATATTGGGGGTCAGGTTCCACTTCCGACGCAAGGTGCTGATGACATCAGCTGTCTGGGTTACATTGTCTTACCATCTAACGGTGCAAAGTGGCACTGCCGTGTACTTAATGGTAATAGGTAGGAAGAGTTATCTACTATACTCGCAACTTGATGCTAATCTCCCCATCCACAGGAATCGAGCACAGATGATAAGAGCAATTATTTTGTAAGACAGACAGTTTGGTTATTCTGTATGTGACCTACCTTCACGACAGACAGCAGCAGTAGTACTTACATTATGCTTACCAACGTGCTAGGTTCATACCTTGTGCTGTTTTGTTTCGTGGCCCCCGGATTCCGACCCCGACTTGGACAAGCTCTATTGGACCACTGGGTCGCTAGCTGGCCAATAAAGGAACCGGCTCCTTTTAAGCAACGGAAATGGTTTCGTGATGGACTGACGGACTCAAACCTTGATACTGTATAAGTATAAGTACAGTAGGTAGGTAGTACTAGGTACCTAGGTAGAGTCTGCGTAAAGTACAGATTGTCATAAATGTAACAGCAGCAGCAGCGATATGCACATCTTTTAGCATCTTAAAGCGGCAATAACCCTAAAAGCTGGCTCTATCCGTACGTAGTACTGTACTGTACTTACTGTAGGTAGGCGAGTAGGTAGTCCCGGGTTGCATGGCGGCAGGTACCGGGGGGGCAGACGTGCCTAATCGCAACGAATGCACGCCAAGGCAACCGTTACGTCTCTTATTCCGCCCAGATTCCGCCTTAGTCTTTGTACTGCCACCTCCCTCTTTGACCCTACCGACTAAGTAGGTATTCATCCGCCAACCGTCGATAGAGAGAGAGAGAGAGAGTGTGTGTGTGTGTGTGTGTCGTGTCAGCTCATACCAAGTCAGAACAGAGAAAATAATGTCGACCTTTGCTTGAATGTTGCCCGTAGCCCGCAGCCCGCCTATGCCACCACTACCGGGCTTCAATCCAATATTCAATCCAATATTCGACCGAGACGGCAAACGTACCTAGTTCGATCCTTATGACGATGGCTTGAAGCGCGCTGCATCTTGGCAATCCGACAATCCTGCCGCCTTAGTAGAATCGGGGCTTTTTTTGGTTGCCAGCCCTTAGTTGTCAGCTTCAACCGGTGGTGATTACCCTCGCGAGCGCGTCGCGATGGCATCTCCCGACTCTCCATCTCTACCGACGCCGTTGTCACTATCAGCAGTTTCTGCTCCGTTGGATGAGAAACATCCGCTGCCCCCTAGCCAACCCTCTCCTTCCGCTTTTGAGACCCTTCCGGACGAGATCATAGAACAGTATGCCTATCGCTTCGCTCTTTTCTTTTTTGATTTTGTCTAGTTCATCGTTAAATCTGACAACTTTTCTAGAATATTGCAACTGACCGACCCCGATTCATTCGCTTCGCTCGTTCTTCTCAATTCAAAATGGAGGCGTATCTCCCAGCAAGCTCACCTCTACGCACACCAACTCGCACGATGTCAGTCGTTCGCTGCGAGCCACCCTGCTATACCTGCCAAATCAATCGTTGATGATAACTTGCCAAACTTCCGCCGGACTTTTGCTCGCGAAGTGAAACGAAACCTCTTTCAAGCCTATTTGCGACCCAAGAAAACCACCGTCAAGTTGATTTCCAATTCGATCAGCTCATCGTCTGCACCCGGTGGCGAAGGCATGCAATTCAGCCCCTCGCCTCGTGGCCATCATCTCCTTGCCTACAACTCGTCTCGAATTTATGTTTTAGATGTTAGGGGTCCTAGCCTGGCTGTGAAACGCGAGCTCAAAATCCTACGGCGACCGGTCTCAACATGCATTGTAGATGATGGTAGCTTTCTAGCCGTGTTGTCGACTGATATGCAAGTTGATCTCTATGACTTGAACCAATCTCCTCCCCGTAGGAAGCAATCTCTTATTCTCGACAACACACCTCGGGCGATGACACTATCTCCTTGCGGTCGGGTTTTGGCCGCTGCGTACGAGGGGGGCATTGAGGTCTCCTCTCTCAACCCTGGCGCTCTTCCGACTGAACGTAGAGCTGTCAAATGCGACGGTGTAGATGCCTTGTCTTTTTCACTGGACGGCACACAACTTTTGGGCACTACGGCGACTTCTACTACACCAAATACCGTTATACTGACGGCGCCATACTATGATCCTGGTAGCCAGATGGCAACTGACGACATCAGTGCCCTCTGGACAACCTCTATCCTGTTTCCAAATACGAGCCGGGACTGTAGCCATGCTGTACTCTTACAGGAGTCAAGTTCAATGGAGGCAACATGGACATTCACTTATGACAGGAGCTTCGAGACATTTCGCGCCGTGCGAATAGACGATCTTCGTAATGGTACTACTTATTTTACAGGGCCCGTTCCTACAGCCACTTCACCAGGGCCACTATTACCCTGTACATTGCCCGCTGCCAACTACCATGGAGAGCTGGTGTCTGCTGGATTTCAGGGTAAGCACATTTGGTTATACGGTGTGCCCGAGGATTTAGAAGCTATGCCAGACGCTCACCATCCCGTGGACTCGACGCCTCTACCTAATCTCCACCGTCGAAGTAGTGGGCATTCCGTTCGTTCCCCTTCGCGAACGCAAGAAAATACTGGTTACCGCGTTCCGCAATGGCAGATCCTCTGTGACAAGTTGCGCAATACATTTGTTAAGGGACACAAGATAGCCGAGTCAGGTGGTGTGAGTAATGTCAAATGGGTCTCTGGCTTTGGGGAAACGTCGGTTCAAGAACGTTTGATCATTGCATCTAAAGGAATCGTACCTGATAGGCTGATCAATGAAGAGGAAGGTATTGATTTCGTTGATGGTGGCAGGATAACCATTCTCGATTTCGACTATGGTCTGGAGAATGGTGAAGAGGAAGAAGTGACCATCGAAGTGGGTACCATGGAGCCCGAAACCCTTGAAGAGGAGCATCGAGATATAGACACGGAAGTTGCTATAGTCCGAAGGAGGACTGTAGCCCAGCGGAGAGGAAATCGAAGTGGTGTAATACGCGCCACAACCACTATCAATCGCCAAGCTGAAGCTTTACTTCGGCCACAAGCTGCCGAGGAAGATATGGAAGACCCATTAATTCCCAGACGTATGGCAACAGCTCGGGACCGGTCTCCACCTGTTCCAGATGCTCTAGATGATGTATCGTTGGAAGAAGCTCAAGAAGCACTCGATGCCCCATATACACATGCGAGCCCTCGGTCAGGTACGACTCTGCGTAGGGCAGCGACGGCTGCCGCTGTCAATCGCCAGCGAAACCCACCTCCGCCAGCAGCTGGTCGTGTCGAATATAGACGAGCAGATGGTCGAGCCGAGCATCCTCATGAAAGTGATGCTGATAACTGGGTGCCACCACCTCCCCCATACTCTAAAGAAGACCCTGTAGTGGATCTGCCTTCTTTCCTCCGCCACCCCCCCATACCAGGAATTGGACTTACGACTCGAAATCCTTCCAACTCTGACGACATACCACCAGTACCGCCATTGCCCGATGTCCTGCCGGGCCCCCGACGTCCAGTAGTCAGTGGAACGTCTACGAATAGTCGCCCTGAACTACCACGCCTTCGCACATCTTCTCTCCTGAAAGAAAGATCGAGACAGGTCCCAGGAGGTAGTAATTTACAACAGCCCACTATGAATGGTAGGACTTCCAGGATAGAGGGTGAGATTGGTACACGCTCGAGCGTCTTTGTTCAAACTAGTGAACCACGATATGAAGCTGTCGATGCTGGCGACATATACGGTGCTTCTCCTATTGGAACACCTTCCCCCCAAGACTCCGTTTTGCGAACGCAGCAGATGTTAACAGTAACTCCGGAACGTGAGCCACCTTCTGTCGGAGCCCACTCATTTTCGACAGGATACACTCCAACTTCGTCCGGATCTCAACCCTCTGAAGGTATCAGCTCGGGATCGGTTTTGCCCAATCCGCCTGTTCCGAGTATACCTTTGACGCCCACTGGTGCCCCCCTACCACGAGATGGAGGCAACGGCCTAATCGAACCTCCCCTTGTTGGTCGGTTACTGAACGCGTCAACCTGGCCAAGGGCACCTGGTGTTTCATCAAATACTCCAGGGTCTATGCTGGCTGGCTACCCGCGCTCCGCTCCACCCACGAACCTCAACAATGAACAATTAATAGCTGCATCGCTACCGATAGAGCCGGGACCAGAGCAAGTCATTAATCAATACAATAGAAGGGGCGATACTGGGGCACCCCGCTCCGCGTCAGGCAGCACATTACCTCCACGGACGACTGCTAGTGGACATAGCGAGCACAGTAACACCTCTCGACGATTTAGCCTCTTACATAGACGACCGCCATCTCCTCCCGATCAGCCACTCATCATCAGCACACCAACCGGCGTAGCTGGGGCTTTTGACGTGTCTCAGCCAAGCATCGCTGGCAACTCTTATAGCCCAGTGCTTCATGCTCCTGTCGCTCGCCATCCACGACCAACTCCCGGACATCCTCTGAGTCAACCCACAGTCGAGCGATTGGAAACCATCACCGGTAGCAGGCCTAGAGCCAACCCGGAGACATTTGTTGCACCACCTGCCCCCTCCCCTCAATTTATTGCACGTCGCCATGCTAGTGTGAGCCGCCGCCCAAGCCGGGCTCGACGTGGTGCTCTGAAGAACCTTCAAGATGCAAGAGAGAGGGGTTGGACAGGACGCAAGAAAAAGAAAAAAGCAACCCAACAAGACGCGGCGGCAGCTGCGGGGGGTTGGACGGATGTCCCACTCCCATCAGATGCTCCGCCAGCCCATGCCAAAGACAAGAAATGTGCAATCATGTGATGAACGGCTAGCCGAGACATGTTTGCGATACATTGGATATCAAATTTCTCTTACACCAAAGCGGACGGTTACATTTTCGTGTCATGAAAGTTTTGAAGTAGGTACCTACCTGGCATTATGCAATCGTTTTTTTGTTGAAATCGGCGATATACCCAAAACTGCTGCGTTATTATCATCATTATCATTATTTCGGAGGCAAAGACAGATCCGCCGAGGGGTCGGACAGGAAAAAAAATGTGTCTGGAAGCGGACTATGATTTTTGTTCGACTGTGATATATTGTCCTTGTATGAAATAGTGGGATTTCACTTGGATAACTGGGGTTAGGTACTGGCGGAATGGAACGGGATGGGATGCAGAGTCGCTCGCTATCTAGATAGACGTGTTCCCCTATGGGACGGAGGGAGAGGGATCTATCATCTTACCTACCTACCTACGTCTGGGAAGCCACAGATAAGAGATAAACAAAGACATTTGTAAACTTGACTTATTCGCTTGGCGGTTTTACAGTGTGATTTCTGTCAATCGTAGGTTTTGGCAACGATGTAAAATATGAGATGAGGTGAGATGAGATGGGTTGAAGAATAATTATTATTCAGACTGGGAAGAGCATTCATTCTCAGATATCCACCACGCTCGATTAGTTTGTTTTCCTCATGTCCCTAACTCTAACGCCATAGTCGACATTGCTTGGGCAAACCCCTTTAATGCAAAATCCCTTGAAACGTACTAACTAACGCCAGGCTATGCAGCTTGTTTGCTTTGTTCCCTCTCCTTCTCGTGACTGGGGGATGGTGGATAGTGAGTAGTTGTATTAGTATTTGAGAGGGAGGAAGGGAAGGGGGTATCACGAAATAAGAGCCAGCCATAACTCTTTCTTGTTTGGATTTCTTTTGTTTTTCTTTTCAGGGATGATTCTCCTCCTGTTAGTCAAAGTCCATCATCTCCATCTCCTCGTCGCCTAACGAGCTGAGTCCGGAACTAGGTGGTCGGGGAGAGTCGCCCTCGTCTCCTGTGGGATGCTGCGGGTCGGGCGGTCGTAACGATGCCTCGCGCATCCGCGCCGCCCATGCCGCGAGGCTGGTGTCTGGCCCGCCTTCTACTAGGACTTCGCCGTGGTCGATGCTGCGGCCGAGGATGGTCCCGGCGTACTTGGAGTCCTGGTCCGTTTTGTTGTGTTTTCTTTTCAGCGCTGTTCGTTCGAGGAAATTGTTAGTTAGAAACGTGGACTCTTGATTGATTGATAATGCTTGGAGAGCGAAACTTACCATCGAGATAATCGGATGGTCTCTCTTCTACCTCTGTGCCATCTTCACCCTCTGCGCCTACTATAGCGGCGCCCGGGGGTACCACTACGCCTGCAATCTTCCGTATGCGCATGTTTTTGCGGCCTATGGCCCAGCGTATGAATTCTTCGACGCCGGCTGTGTCTTCTTCTCCTTCTTCGTCGTCGTCATACGTCTCGTCGCCGTCCGCTGCGTCGCCTGGGCTGAGATGTCGGCGCTTGGCTGGTGGTGCTGGGCTCACGCCGGGACTGAGCGCACCGCATTCTTCGAGCGCAAGGCGCACGTCGACCACGTCGGGTGTGCCTGGTGGTCCGAGATAGTTGTTCATGGTGGCGTGTTCGGCCGTCCGCTTGGAGATCTCGTAGAGGTATTGCCCTGCTAGCTCGGTGAGACAGTCGATTGTGCTGGATGTCGACGCGTAGTAGCCTTGCGCGCGTAGAATCTGGAGGATGGCCGGACGTAAGAGGGCGAGGTGAATCTCGGAGGGCGTGTATAATCGGTGGCCGTTGTACGAAGCCATGGCGACTGTGGTTGGTTTGCTCCCCCTCTTAGGGAGGGAGCTCTACGCACTGAAGCTGAGATGCGTTGGTGATGGTAGGGTTGAATTGGTGGTTAATGCGCCAGGTGTGCGCCCATTTGGATTCGCAATGGAAAGTTTGAAGAGAAAAGATCAGTGAGTGGGAAATATTTGCATGTTGAACTGGGAGGGTTTGAGATCTCACGGCTGTGTAGCTTCGCAAACAACCCTTGAATTGTTGTGTAAATGAAGCTGCAGCCAGCTAAGGTCTGCACCGCTAGGTAAGTACCTCGGCCATGTACTTCTTGGTACATGCCTGGAAGTAGTACTTGCACCAGCCTAAGACACAGGCAGCAAAAGTCCCACTACGCGGTATTTGTGGGGCCCGCTTCGACTTGGGTACTTGACTACACTTAAATTGCGTGGTAGTACGGAGTACCATGACATCCTTATGTCTTGATCCGTGGGCGGTCACAGATCTGCTGCAGTGACGGGGAGGGTTTCTAGGTAATGTATGCGGAATTTCGTCCTGCTTATGTATTTCTTCAATTTAAAAAGATAATGGTCTGGACGGACGTGTTGATGCGCAAGGCCAGGCGGACATGTACAGGTATATAGTGAAAGGTACGAGGCTAATGCAGCTTGCATGTATCGTGCCTAATATCTGCTTAGGGCAGGTACTTCACTAGGTCATACCGAGGTGTCTCTCAGCTTTCCCCCACCGAGCGCTCTTTGTACATGGCACGAAGTACAGTCCCGGGGTGTCGGGATGTCGAGGCAGGCGCGAACCTGAATCAATGTTCTATGGCTGCGACTCTCAAGCTCTTTCAGCGTAATTTAGACAATAATATAGACAACTCGCTGTCTTGATCAGTCTTTTTTGAAAAGGTCAAGACGTGCGGCCCAACCACGTCTCTTATATACATGTTGAATACCTGCCTACATTGCTGACGAGTACTGAACTCTATCCGATCTCCTGGTCGTCATCTGTGGGCTTCTGATTAGCGTTTCTGCGATCCCTTCAGTTTAGCTCTGTGTCCATCAATCTTCCCATGAACACATCTCAACTAGACCATCTCCGACCGCTGCTACCCTGCCCGCGCGTCGACGACTCTTTTGCTCGCTTTTCCGCAACTAACTACGACCCTACATATCGTTGCTTCGCCTCATCTGGTTGCGCCTAAATACCTTGTCTCGAAAGACTTCGCCATGACTTCCATCAACGCCAAACCCTCCTTGAAGCTCAATACGAGCCAGCAGGACATGCCTCCTCCGTCCACCATCGCCGCAACTCCTGCGACTGAAAATCCACGGCCGATTCTGAAGCTTAACACAAGCTCGAGGCAATCGTCTTTCAGCGGCGATCTACTCCCTACGCCTTCTACAGAGAAGAAGATCAAGATCAAGATCAATAGCCAACCGGGTACACCGGCGCCGACCATCGCCTCCCAGACTCCTAGTGCTATGAAGACAAAGGCTGGGCGCACCTCCAAACCAACGGCAAAACTCGCAGATTCCAAGAAACGCGGCTACGATAGTGACGAAGATACGCCGCTTTCGGTCTCCCGGGCTGAATCCCGCCCAAGCAAGACTATCAAACTCACCCATAAAACCACACATAAAATAAAACCCTCTCCCGCTACCCCCCATTCAGTCAGTACACCTATCAACGCAATCAGATTTAAACCCAAAGGAGAGCCCATTACCCACAGGCCCGGTGACGCGTATGACTCCGAGGCTAGTGATCGCGAACAGGATCCCCAGCGCGAGAGTAACTTCATACTCCGGGTTATGGATGGTGAACCTGCGCAGTATCTGAAAAAGGCATTGACTGATGGTACAATCGGCCAACCAAAAGCCAACGGCGGTGCAGATTTTTCTGTGCAATTTGTTGACAGCAGAGAACGTCGAGCGATGGTGACCATCAACGGCATCAACTATGCAGCTGTCTTAGTCCAGCTCCCAACAATTACTGAGGCTATGAAGACTTGGGATCGCCGAAGCATGATGAAGAACTCAGATGTAACCGAGATGTTACTGTGTTTTGCCGTGGTTAGCAGCGAGCTGGAAGCTAGAACAAGCCAGTTGCCACCTATGGTAATGAAGAACGAACTCAAGTGGCCCCATGGCATCACACCTCCCATGCATGATGCGCCAAACCGGCGATTCAGGAAGACGTTGTCGGAGAAACAGTGGGAGCGTACACAAAACCTAGTGGCCAAACTCCTAGAAGACGATGCGGCGGCAGAGGAAGTTCGAACGGATTTAATCATGGACGAGGATGGTTACCCTACTGATGATGAGGAGGATGCTGAAGGCGAACTTGAGGTGGACGATTATTTTGGCGATCAGACGCAACAAGATATGGAAATGGATGCCGAAGCGGAATTGGAAGAAGAAGATCTATTAAGAGAATTTTTGGCCGACGACGAAGAGCTTGGTGGTGCTACACCTGCGACACAACTAGAGGCGCCTACACCTATGACTAATGGTGCAACTACACCTATGCCTCTGCAAGAAGAACAGGTCTCTGAAGAAGATGAAGAGGAGGAAGAAGATGTTTCTGATGAAGACGATGATGATGACGAGGATGACGACGAGGGCGGCCACGACCGAGAACGCAAGCAACAGCTCAGTCAGCTTCACGAGCTCCAGAAGCAACTAGAGGAGCTTGAGGAGAAACTCAAGACTACAGCAATGCCGCTCATCATCAAACGTCTCACTTCAAGTATTGAGAGCACCAAGAAGGAGATTAGCGTCAAGAAAGCCGCTCTTGGTTTAACAGAAGAGGACTAGGAGATCTTCGTGGCCGAGCAGAAGCGTACTGAAGCGTTAGAGAATCTTAGGGGGATACCTGCGGGCAGCGACTTGAGATTGCTGTACGAACGTCATATATCGGATCCGGAGAAGGTCATTGCGCGTGGGATGTCACACGAGCAACAAGCAAATAACAGCATTGCAAACAAGACAATCCCAATCGATAATACATACTTTTCCTCCAGCACCATGAGTGAAGGGAACGCTCAGGAAGAGACTCCGGATACCTCTGCAACACTGGATAAAGATATAGACAGTCTTTTCTCGGAGTAGCAATCCGCATAAATGCATTTGTGGTAACGACGCCACCAGCGATTTGGGGGAGTAAGGGTCTTGACGGGTAGATTTTGTTTTTTTGTTTACGTAACTAACATGATTTTAATGATATTTCTTATCACATGGATAAGAAGCGAAATTCAAAGCGAGGGAAAGAAAGGCAAAGGATAGAGAGGCAAAAGGAAAGAACTATATGATACCCACTCTGTTTAAATCAATTTTTGTATTTCTCTTTAACTAGCCATTTTGCTAGTTCGCCGAATGATAATTTGTATCAGTCACTAGGTTCTCAATTAAATGTGAATGAATCGAAGCTGATATGTATACATTTTTCTATTGTACAGCTCTGTTATGACAGCTTGCTTGAAGGTGGGAAGGTTGACGGCGTGGTATGATTTATTCACGCCATATGCATGCCCTCTTGAATCGGCTTTCTTTCAAGGACTCGTATATGCGATATATACATGGGGTTAGCTTAGCTTAGCAAGTTTCTGGATAAATAGAATCGCTGCTTCGTCTATCGCTGGACAATGCTGGTTTCATGCCGTTTCTTGATTTCCGCTTCTAAGCAGAAGGCTCTGATAGATTGATCATCCGTTCCTGTCTACCCACTCTCTCCCTCGATAGGACTTCTTCTTCTCCCTCAATCTACCAAGCCTCATCCTTGACAAAGAGAAGGAATTAAAAAAAAGCCCACCATATATCGCTGAAGACATTGTAATGCGTATCTCATTACATAGACTTGAGGTAATTGCTCTCCTTGATCTTGGCCTTGCGCTCGCGACGCATGGCGCGGCGCAGCTCCTCGCGCGCGTCGACGGCCGACACGGCGCCCGAGATCGTCCCGGCCTCGTTCGCGGGGAGATTGATGCTCTGGGCTTGCAGCGGGATCTTGGGCGCCAGGGCCTCGATGTCGCCGGATGCTAGGAGCTTCATCTCTAGAATGCGCTGACGCTTCGCGGCTATACGGCGCTGTTTCTTGGATTTGGCTATATTTGGGATGTATGGTTAGTTGAGGGACTTTGGTTGCTGGGTTGTGATGTTGAAGGAAGGGGGAGGGGGGTGTATGTATATTTGGAGAAGGATGAAGAATTAGCTTACAGAATTCGTCTCCGGCATCGTCTGCTTCTCCTTCATCGGCCTTCTTCTGCACGTCTAGACATTTCCACAGCCACTCTGGATACGCGGAGTCTGCGAGCGCGACGGGGTCCGTCTTGTTCTTGAAGTAGTTGAGCCCTGTTAGCACTGTGCCTTCGGGGCATGAGGACAGGCTTTCTGCTGCTGCGCCGCCTTCGCTGTCGGCTAGAGGTGTGCTTAGAGGTGGTGTGTCTGTCGTCGTCGTCGGCGCCGCGGCTGCTGCATCTCGCCTTGTCGGTGTGCTTGAGATCGGTCTCGTGCGTATCGGGAGATTCCAGCTGATGGGGGTTGAGCTTGGGGCTCGAGCCGTGCGGGCGCTTAGCGCTGAGGCGCGCTGTAGACAACGCCGGCAGATCATTGTGCGTAAACGTCCTTGTGCAAGGAATTTATTTAAATTGCTTGCGCGGAGCTGTTGGCGCAATTGAAGGGTTCCAATCCGGCGCTTCGACACTTTGGAGTGGTTCTGGTCCGGGGCTAGTTGAAGCTCCAGAAATTTTGTATGGGTGGTCGGAGCTTTGAGGGCGGATTCGCCGACGGGCTTGCGGTTGCGGCTCTACGGAGTGGATCACGTCTTGAACCGACGTACCTACTAAATATATGCGATAAAATGCCTATGTACATTGCAGCACAACAGCTATCAGCTGCAATTACTGATATATCAATTGATGATATGTTCATGATTGAAGCGGCTCCATTCTCATTGGTATTGTTTTATGTACAATTACAAGTCTGATGATTGATCGTCTCGAAGTGCCGTCACCGCACAGCCGGGATATCACTCATAACTTGTTTCCCTCACATCTCTCCCTTGGGTTTAGTTTTTCACTACTATTGAAGACCCAAAAATGATATATGTTGTCGTAGCTAAAATTTCCCTTTCTTTCTATTTCTTCCCCTCGAGATAGTTCTGTTGCTCGAATAGGAAGCCCCGTACCTTGTGATCCTTGAGCATCTGGAGGTATTTCTCTGTCCAATTCATTAGCCCATGTATCCAGCCCGCCGACGGATATGATAAAGCAGAGCTTCTTTCTCGTGCATATTTGCATATTCGACCGAGCGAGAATTGCCAGAACCTGACTAACCTCGTAAGTGACCGCATTTCTCTAGGTGGTTGACGCCCTCGCGGTAATAGCATTTGCTGAGCTCCTCGCGGACTATACGTCCCATCATGACCTGCACCCATTGTTCGCGGATAACGGCATCTTGCGCCTGTTTGAGCCTCTTGTTGTCATCGAAGTCGACGCCTTCGAAGCTGGGAGGGACAGTCGGCTTCTTGGCCAAGAAGGCAGCTGATTCGGGGGTCGGCATGGCTTTTTGAGACGCTGATCGATCAATATTTTATCGTAAGGGAGCTCTAGGAATGGTGACGTGTTGGTATAGAGCTGTCGTTGCGCTGGACTACACCAAGCACCTGGTGAACATCAATGGGCGTGATACGGCAAGTCGGGAGAGCTAGCTAGCTTGATGCAATTGCTCAATTGGCACGGGCCGGCAAAGGACTGGAAGGCGAGTCACGTGAAGATACTTAGGTACATGGGAAAGTAGACCCACTTGGGGGGAGATGGCGGGGACGAGTCTCTGCTTCTACGCGCTTGCCTTAGCAGAGCCTTAGCAAACCAGAGGCAAACCTTATCAACATGCTCTAGACGCCCACCTAAGCTCTCACCGCCTACGATAAGCTCCACTTAGCGCACTGGCAAAACGAGGTTTTTGGCAAGGGTCCAAGAAATTTTCGGGCAGCTCAACCAAAGTATGCGCGGTGCTGCGTGCCTTGCTGCATAAATACAGACAAGCTTCCGGTACACCAACCATCCTCCATTCTTCCTTCCACTTAATTTTCCATCCCCCCCATATCCCAATCCCTTCTACTTCCCTTTCTAAATCAAATACTTGTGAAAATGGGCAAGGTCAAGCAAGCAAACGGCAAGGCCGCAAAGGCCGCCGACCCCCTCACTGCCGTCAAGAAGGCTGGCATCACCAAGGCCGCTGATAGCCCAAAGGCCAAGTCCAAGAAGATCGCTAAGGAAGTCGCTGTCAAGGCTACCAACGGCAAGGCCAAGGACCTCAAGAAGAAGAAGAAGGTCGAGTCCTCTTCCGAGTCTGAGTCTGAGTCCGAGTCCGACGCCAGCAGCGACGACTCTGAGGAAGAGTCTGACGCTGCACCTAACGCTGCTGATTCTGGCTCTGACTCCGAATCTGGTTCTGATTCATCCGACTCATCTGACTCTGAGGAAGAGAAGAAGGTTGATCCCAAGAAGACTAAAGCCGCCGCCAAGCCTGTGACCAACGGTAAGGCCAAGAAGAAGGCCGAGCCTGAGTCTGAGTCCGAATCCTCTGACTCCTCCGACTCTTCTGAATCTGAGGAGGAAGAGAAAGCTGATGCTAAGAAGACCAAGGGTGGTGCCAAGGTAGAAGCTGAAGTAGGTTTAATTCAACTCCCATAAAGCGCTGAATAGTAACTAACTAATATGTAGTCATCTGACTCGAGCGACTCGGATGAAGACGAAGAGGACTCTGACGACTCCGACGATTCAGAAGACGACTCTGAAGAGACCGAGGAAAAGGTAGAAGCACCCAAGAAGCGCAAGGCTGAGGACGAAATGTCTACACCATTCAAGAAGACCAAGACCGAGGAGTCATCATCAGACGAGTATACCACTCTGTTCGCCGGCAACCTAGGCTGGGGCGTCACTGATGACATCCTATACGAGACATTCAAAGACTGCGAGGGCTTGTCTGGCGCCAGAGTCGTCACCGATAAGGCCATGCAACGCTCCCGTGGTTTTGGATACGTCGACTTCGAGTCTCACGAAGCTGCCAAGGCTGCCTTCGAGAAGATGCAAGGCTTCGAACTGGAGGGTCGCGCACTCAACCTTGACCCCTCAAAACCTCGCCCTGCCGGTGAGGACACCCCGAACGCCCGCGCAAATGACCGTGCCAAGCAGTTTGGCGACTCTGTCAGCCCTGAGAGCGACACCCTCTTTGTGGGCAACCTGCCTTTCGAGGTTGACGAGGAGACTGTTGGTGCCTTCTTCGGGGACACCTGCGAAGTGAAGAGCATCCGTCTTCCCAAGGATCCGTATGTTACTATTAGATCACTACGACCCATAGTACTGTGCATGCTAACTCTTATCTAGTGACTCTGGTAACCCCAAGGGCTTCGGCTACGTAACCTTCCACTCTATTGACGATGCCAAGACTGTCTTCAACGCTAAGAATGGTGCTTACATCGGCGAAGGTCGTGGATCCCGCGCTGTCCGCTTGGACTTTGCTGGTCAGCGACCTCCTCGTGAGGGTGGTGGTTTCGGTGGCGGCCGTGGTGGTGGTCGCGGAGGCTTCGGTGGCCGAGGTGGTGGCCGTGGCGGCTTTGGAGGTCGTGGAGGTGGCCGAGGTGGTGGTCGGGGTGGCTTTGGCGGAGGTCGCGGTGGAAAGTCTTTTGAGGGCAAGAAGGTAAGGAGATCTTCATCTCATCTACATACTATCAATGACTGACTCAACTGTTACAGATCACCTTCTAAGGTGGACACAGCCGCACATGTTACGTTCTGAGGGCTCTTCAAACACACTGGTTGGCTTTGTGGGTTGTCGGCTTTACAAAAACTATTTCCTCCAATGGGGGTTGTGGGCTTTGAGGGCTAAGCTTCGATATGAAGCTGTGATTTACCTGTGGGCTTGATCTGGGGGAAACTCCTATGTGGGTTCTGAGGGCTGAGGGCATGATGAAAGTGTGAATGTCTGGGATTCATTCCGCACTTTGACTTGTTGCTAGCACGCAACTGATTGTATCTGTTATGATCGGCTTTTCCTCTGTGGGCACCGAGGGCTTCTAGTGAGCGAGGGTGGTAGGAAACTTCTTGTGTTCTCCCTGTGGGCATCTTGATGTGGACCACACTTCCACAACTATGAGGGCTTATGACGGCGTTTCGAGGGCTTTACTGTGGTTTTCATCTGTTCGCGGATTCGTGAACACCCAAAAGTACATGCGTTGGTCTGTCTCTATGTGCCCTTCGTACCATTCGCTTGGTATACCGGTATCTGGGAGCTGGACATTTGATATCTGTCGCCGGTGAGTATACCCCCACCTTGTGTAGTGGCATTGGTGTTGCCATCACCTTAGATAGCGAATCGTCTAGTATTTCTGCCTAGCGTAAAAAAGTTAATACGTTAATATGCTTTTGCACATGACATTGTCCAAAGGGATTCTCTAAGTTAATCGACTCTTATTGGAATGCCACTGGCATTGTTCCGTTTGATCTCTAGGTGTATAATACTGTGGGTTCTATGCGAGTCGGGTTCAGTGTCATTATATTATCTCTTGAGTTACGCATGAATGTGTCCCACGGCTTTCGAAATGCAGGAGTTCGAGAGATGGTATTTACGGTGTGCTACGGCTTGTATTACTATTACTATGTAGAGAGAGGCTATAGATTGTACACCGGAGAGAACGTAACTTATTTAAGTAGATTTAGCGCGTTTTACGTTGTGCAGGTCACTACCTACCATATGCATTCGCCCTCTCGGAACGGAACTCGGATTTCAGCCCAACAAACAAGTTGTTCTGTTTCAGATGAAGTTGAATACCAATGCCCAGGAGAAGAGAGATACATGTTTTTGTATCGTATCCACTTTAAGCTCTAATGATGGGGTTCTAGCGCGGATTCTTTAAATATTGTGATGTGTTGCGTTGGTGCGTTGAGCAGTGATGGAGATACTGTAGGTATGTACGAAGTATGTGTTCTTGTTTTTTCAAGTAGGTATGATTGTAGAAGATTTAGCCCTCAATTGTGAGGGGTGATATAGCCACGCCCACCATATCCACCACTAGGTAGTACTTTGAAATATTCCTTCGTTCTCAATCTAGCAATAAAGATATAGATGGTGCCGTTATGTAAGCCTTGACTTATATATAACACTCCAGCTACAATACATGTTTGGTTCATTTAAAATATATGGTTATATAATAAAGGTAGAAAACTATAGAGAGGAAATTCTGTTATAAAAGAGGGTGCGTTGTGATTCTAACATTGGACTTATTAGAGATCTTTTAGGAAACTGCTATTTTGGGGAGTGGTGGTAGCGTGTATGCAATTAATGGCCCGGCAAGGCGCGGCCAATATTTCACCGGGGTCGGATAGCCTCAACAAACAAAGGCCTTGAAGAAACAGAATATAGGACTCTATGAGCAGGCTAGAGAGAGGTAGGTAGTAGCAACTTGACAATCATGACTGGGTATATCAGATCAGACAATTGCCCAAGGCGTTGATCGGCTGATGGTCCCTTGTCGTCATGGTCAGTCGAACATGGTGCCATTGTCGTCAACTTGTTCGTACACATGAGGCGATTTCACCTTGGGATCTTGATGCGGATTTATTATCGAGTGAGCGAACGGTAAGAATTAGGACTTTCTTTCGATAGATACCTTGGGCATGCTTACATTAGGTACCTACCAACATCCGTTTTATGTTGTCTCAAGCTCATCTAGCAGGAGAGCAACTCGGACTCTCGGAACCAGTGATCCAGGTGTTACTGTAGACATCTCAAGACCATTGAATATCAACTACCTATCGCCTATCACCGTCCCCATATCCATATCCATAGTAAGATACCAACAATGTCAAATACCATGCATCTTATCAACGTCGATGATGCCAAGGTATTGGCTGATATGTTCGGGATGGTTATTGTCTGTCTGGCTGAAGACTGGAGGGGGCCGCACCCTTTCATATACCTCCATACTAAGACAACATATACTTCGTAGTAGGTACCGTATTAGTACTGTATTAGTACATACGACATCATCGGGAGGGGTCACCCGGCTTGGACTGCCGACTAGTCGCACGTCAGCTGCATTTACTAGCTGATTCGATGGTGCAGATAATGGTGCAGATATGGTGCTATTTGTATTTAGCTAACAGCAGAACCCACCCTGCTACTGCTGTACTGTAGATTTAGATGATGCGTGTTTCAAGGTTCGGTCGACTAGGCTGTGAGATAGAGATACCTATCTACACAATTACACTTCCAATGTACATGTACCGGGTTATTCGCTATCAGTAAGTTGGGCGTTGTTCAGTATGATACTACCTATGCCAAGTCGAGGAATCCCCTTACTTACTTACTCTGCCCTTACATTACAGTACTTAGCACCATGTACCTTTTATGTAGCGACTGTTGAACTCAACAAAGGAACTAACGGAGAGATCTAAGTATCGTCCTACTGCAACCACTGCAACCTAGATTAAGGAGGTAGGTACATACCTAACCAGCTGATACGTGCTGTAGCCTGCACGTACCTTCCTCCCAAGTCACTATTGAATCTCACCCAACATCCGTCCGTCCCATGGCCGCCACATTCTCATCTCATCTCATCGTATTCCCTAGCATTACTGTAGGTATACTTATAGGCAACTTGTTAGGCGCCCATTTCTAGCATCTTTCCCTTCATCTGATGCCCTGTACTGCCCCCCCCTCGTGATCTTGGTCATCGTCGGTTAGTTTAGTGTGTGTGTCCGGTCACTCCCCAGATCTCCAAAGTACTGTAACCGTGCTGTATCACTGCCTCTTTGTCATCTACATCCATCCATCCATCGACCCTGGACATCTACCGACATAACTCGCCGTCACGTCTACCACATCACACCCATCTCCATACTTACTGTACTATCTCCGACTTCATTACATAGTAGACTGCCAGGTCCCCCCCTTCACAGTTGGGTGCCCATACTTCTGCCATACTGTTGTTAGTCCTGCTGGTGACGGACTGCCTTGCCTTGGTCTCGATACCCCGCCACCGCATCGGGCAACGGCCTACAGCATCCGGCCAATTAAGTTGGTACCGTCCCCTGCTCTAACTACACGAGCCAGAGTTCCAACCCAACCATTGGATGAATACGTGTACGTCAACAGCTCGACTTCGACGCCATATACCTACACATACATACAACAGCCATAGCCTCACGGTAGCGAATCACCGTGTTCTCCTCGTACACCACCGCACTTTCTGCCGTTGTTCTCGTCTCCGTCCGTCGTCCATTACGACTACCCGATTGTTTGTTCTCTCTTACGTGTACCACGCCAAACCAACGGTAACAGCGAACGACGATCGGCGACAGCGCTGACACCAACATTAACGTCAACGCCAACACCAGCGCCTAGCTCACATCTGTTGCAAGTCTAAAAACCCCTATGGTATAGTCATCACTTCAGCGTCGCCATCATGCCATCAACAAACCAAATTCCTGGACACCCAGGCTACCCTACCAGGCAACCAGCCGTCGCTAACGTTGCTCTTGGTGCTTCTTCTACGCCGGCCCGATCTGCTGCTGCTTCAGCCCAACAACGACAACAACAACATGATGGTCAGTTCTCGTCCATGGGATATGACAGACAGCAGCTGCTTACAGACCCAGAATCCTGGATTGAAGTGTCCTCGCACCCTTCATCCTCGTCCGTATCTTCCATCGGCGATGAGATCGATACCACCGGTCTTCAAGTTGGTTCAGCCAACCGCCTACGACGGCGACGTCCACACCAACAGCCCCTTGCGCATGCCCATACCGCGCAAACCATAGGACAAGGACACAGTGGTCCTGACGCCAGCAGTCAAGAGGAATATGACGAGACAGAAAGTGAAGAAGATCACCTCTTGACTAGCTCAACGGAGAACATCATCTCCGGACATGCCGCTGGACAGACGCCGCTCCGGCAAGTCTTCTCGGCACATGTCGTCGAGTCTGACTCAAGCGATGAAGATGATGATGACGAGAATGCCACCGCTTTGGGAAGACGGCCATCAGAACCATTTCGCCCTCAACCCAACGCCTTCTCACACCCGCCATCCCATCTGCTCCATCGACATTCCACCAGTTCAGCCGCCTCTCTACATCACAGGCGACCCTCATTTACCCGACGATCGCACACGCGAGCTAGCCGCGGTCCCGATTTCATGTCTCCAAACTACCAGGCTGACAATGATGCTGCTCTGCGTGCTAGTCTAACAACACTACTCAGCTGTGCTGCAGCGGCCAGAAGTATTCCGAGAGATGGCGAAAAGGAGTTAAGTGAGCAGCGCGCTCCTCCTGTTACTGGCAATCAACCAGTCGCGCTACGCTTCGCCCCCGAAAGCGAGCTCATGGCGCCATCACCATCACCCGAACCATCACGGGGTTCCGCTCAAGCTGCTCAAGCTAGAACAGCCCCTGTTTCACCACCGTCGCCTGCTTCTCGTGAGAAAATAAAGCGCACTGCAACCCCAACCTCTACCTCAAAGTCGCCACGTGCGACAAAGAAGAAGAGAACAGCCACCAGTGAAGATACCTTGATTAGCCCAACTCTTTTGACATGGGTTGTGAGCGCGGGTGTTGTGGTGCTTGTATCTGTTGTAGGCTTCGGAGCTGGGTATGTCATTGGGAGAGAGGTCGGGCGCCAGGAATCACTTAACGGCCTCGTCGGTGCGGGCAATATGAGTGTAGTATCTGACGGAGGTAGCTGTGGCCGCGAAGTACTGAAGAGTAGCGGAGGCACGTTGAGGAGATTCCGTTGGGGAAGTGGCATTGGACGGAGTGTCGTCGCGTGAACGCTCATCCGTCATTTATTATTCACAGTATCAATAACATCAAAGTCGAATCTTGATCACGACTTCCCTTTGGATTCAAGGCGCTGTACTCCGAACCACGGTCCATGGAGTTGCAGATTCCATCAAGCTACGAACCAGGCACACGACAGGACAGATGTAGTCTTCAATTTACCAACGATGGGACAAGACTATTGCCTCTCGACATTTATTTAACTGCTCGAGCACTTGATGTCGTGCCGAGGATCAAGTACCAATTTCTGTGTAATCCTCAGAAACTACCCTGGTATCATAATGGCAAGAATCAACGACAGAATCCAAGTTGCTTGGGAAGATCGTACATATATAAGAATCCATTCCGCGGAAATGAACGAAAGGGATGTCGAAAGATGGAATGAGAAAGCGCCGTTTCAAGCACCTAACAGGGCGCTCCCAGCATTCTGACCGCTCATATTCGTTCATTTCACGCCTTTTCTTTTTTTTTACTTGGTTATTATATGCATTATATGATTATCTAGCCTTCACCTGGCCTGGCCAACGCCTGGACTACCTTGTATTTAGGTAGAATGGAATGATAGATACTGGAGGGATGGAGTTTGGGTGGCTTATCTGTTTCTTGGTTTGATATTTTTGTTTTGTTGTTGACGATAAGATATCCCGAAGTTTGTGGTGATGATGAAGGAATAGTTGGGCCTGCGTGGATGAATGGATGGATTGATGGATGTGTATGTATGTATCCTAAGTATATGCTGGATATATACCTATCCTGCCTGAAAGACAGGTGGTATTATATGGTGTATGGTATATGGTAACACGAGAGAGAGAGAGAGAGAGGAGAATGGAATATATATATGATATAAGAAATACAGAGTGTTAATGTGTGTTCGTGCTATGTTTTTAAACTTAGGTTTTATTTTTTATCTCTGCATTCTTTTCTCTCTATATACATACTATAAACGAGTGAAATAATACGCGAAACTCGCATATGAAGCTGAGAAATAAAGAAGGAAAGCTTGCTGCTGCTGCTGCTATTAAAGTATGACTATTCTAAGTACGTATCTGTCTTCGCTACCAGTCATCATATATAGTTGAGTGAGTAACATGCGACCTGTACTTTCCATACATGCATGCATACATACATACATATATACCTTCATATATAGATAGATGAATAGATAGATAGATATATACATACATATAACACATAAACACATGAAACATACATTGCATACATGAAATCTGAAGACGAAGACGAAGTAAGTACAGGAATAGTAATACCCCATGTTCCTTTTCTGGGTTCCCGAGGAATTGGTGAAGTGAATCGGTTGATAGATAGATAGATAGATCAGGTAGAACAGGGACATTCTCTCGCACTTAATCAAGCACAGCACAGCACAAAAATCCAAGAAAATAAGTTAAAAAGGATGAGAAAAAAAAAATATGTAGTAGAATAGAAAACAGTCATTGTAATCATTTCTTCGCCATGGCATGCATGCTGTCTGTGTATAGATAGGAAGAAAAGAAAGAAAGGTTTCTGTTTCTGTTTCTGTTTCCCATCTTATCGATCGAAGACAAGTAGCTTCCCCCCCCCCTTTTCCTTTCCCTTCCACATCCAACTTTCTTTCCCCCCGACCTACCTAGCCTAGGTTGGCTACAAATGCCGCAACTCGTTTCAACCCTTTGTGTTCCTATCTCGAAACAACGAACAACAAAGTTCATTAACATAAGTGACCTCCCTTCTTCATATGGAGAAGAAGAAAAAACAATTCTGAACTCCCAACCCAAACTCCATGGCCATTCGTTCATTCATTTTTACAAAAGAAAAGAAAAAATTAATACCAATCTTAGCATGTCTGCTCCTTTTAACTACATGCCTTAGAAATGCGTTTTTGTCAACAATTGGCAGTTGGCCGAGGCGTAGGCTCGTCACTTGAGCTGCCTCGTGTAATTGCAGTAGGGCGGGGTGTGCGATCAACATCTTCAGGGTTTCCTTCTGAAGCAGATCGACTTATGGACCGCGGTGATTTAGCGCCGGAAATAGGCAATGATCCTCCTTCATCCGACGGTGTGACAACTTGGGTAACAGGTTCTGCTGTGCTATCAGATGCGACTGCAACACTGTCATGGCTATTCGCCCTCATCATTTCAATCCCCAGCTTGGAACTTGGGAGCAAGGGTTTCGAGCGTGGACCGCGATCGCGGGAAGATCCTATCTCCTCGTCCTCATCATCCGCCGAATCACTGGCTTCAAGTCTTCGTCTCTCTAAATGCTCCCGCCTTGACTTGAGCTTCTCCAACGACTGTTGTGGACCTGGCATCCTTTGTCCATCCATTTGCCCAGGCGCTGACTGCTGAGACACCAACGATATTGGTCCCTTAGATACTGAGCCTGAAAGAAGCTCGTCAGTGTTGATCCCAAGACCTGCTTCATCGCCCCAATCGCCTGTCGCTTTTCTAGACAAGACGATTGGTATGTCGTCAGTAGCCACGGATTCCGAGTCACCGAACAGGCTAGAGCTGATCGAGTCTTCTCGGCTAGAACCTCGGAAACTACTACTTCCGGCATGGGCATAGCCAGATGACCCTGAGGTCGGGCTATCTTCAAGGCGTGCACTGATGGGTTTCAGAGCAGAGATGGGATTCGGAGTAGCCATCCCTTGGCTCTGGCCAGGGGTCGGTGGCTTCCATTGGCATAAGTTGGAGATAACTTCAATGAGCTTAGAAGAGCTGATAGGTTTCTCAACAAGCGAGTCAAAATAATGCGGGGCTTGTAGCTCCTTTAGGTAAGCCGTGATTGCGACAATAGGGGTATGAGCATTAACGTTCTTGACCTCACGGACCATACGAGCGACATCACTCCCGCTGATCTCTGGGAGCTTGAATTCGGTGAAGATGATGTCGAATTTGACTTCGCCTACAGCATATCGAACGGCATCCGAACCTGTAGAAGCAGAGATAGTACGGCAACGGAGCTTTTCTAAGAGCTTCTCCATTATCATGCGCGAGACAGGATGATCTTCGCATATAAGAACATCTAGAGAGCGGAAGGTTGGGCTATCAAGCATAATTGCAGACATCCGCCGCGAAGACTGACGTCGGCGTTGAACCTTGAGCAAAGCGTTCGCTCTTTCGCTGCTCTCATTGTCTGATGACGACGGGGACATGTCAAACACCTGGCTGCGGCGGTTGCGATGGTGAGCTAAAAGCTCCGACGCCACAGGACTACCTTCTTGAGAGCCAACAGTTAAGGATCGTGAACGGGTCGATGATCCGCTGGCATGTCTCGGCGTGGCAACCGCCTTGTGTGGAGAGGAGATTGACAATGGCGGAGGGACTCCTTTGCCCTTGGTCGTCGACGGTACTGAGGCACTTGCCGATTTTTGAAGGGTAGGAACCGGCTTTTGGACATCGAAGAAACTACCAGGTTGTAAAGAGCCTGCCGCCGACTGTTGGGAGAAGCTTGAGGCATTGCTTGATGCTTTCCGGCGCCCTTCTTGCCCCGATCCTGCGTGGAAAGAGACCAGAAGTGGTGAAGAAGGCTGTGAAGCTCGACTTGGAGATGAGTTAGCATGGCTAGTAGCAGACGGCGATGCGGGACGTTGCGATGCTGATATTTTGGCATTAGATAAGCTCCTTTGCACAGGCATCGACATGACTGGACTGCCCTCAAGCGGCGGGAAAGGAGTTGTGCTGCTATGAGAGCTGCTAGGACTTATGGGAACTCTATTTTGAGCAGCCAGCGCCTGAGCCTTTAATTGCTGAATAACGTCTTTATTTGCTTTTTCAAGTACTGTGAGGTTCTTAAAAGCGAAAGAACCAAAATCATCAGACGGCACAGGCTCGCTCGGTCGCCGGCTCTTGAGATCCCGGATGTGTGGGGGTATATGAAGTGGCATCAATCCCCGTTTGATCTGATTCACCTGAATCTGAGATCGGGGTCGTGAAAGAGCGTCATGAGGTCGGTCAGGATAGTCTGGGGTAGAAGCAGTTGGAGGGGACGCCTGATCCTCTATTTCCTCGGTAAATGATTGTAGCGTAGCGCCACGTGAGTCAAAGTATTCTGTATCTTCGGGGTTTTCTGGCTGTGGCACAAACTGAGCTTCATCTTGTAGAAGTGAATCCCAATTCATACCAGCGAACCATGGATGATTGCGGATCTCTTCACCACCGGAAGCGAACTTTTCTTCCAGATTCTTTCCAAGTCTCTGTTGTGGATCGAGACAGAGTAGTTGGTTTATCAGATCTTTAGCTTCTGGAGAAACCATCCCCTCATCATCTGGCCATTCGATCTTACGAGCTAATATGTTTTCAAAGACCTGTTCGGCCTCACTCGCATGAAACGGAGGAAAGCCGTAGAGGAATTCAAACATAATGCAGCCTACAGACCACCAATCACTGCTCTGATCTTGTAATCCACCACTAATAGTCTCGGGAGCAAGATAATCAGGTGTTCCGACGAATCTCCGGTTGGTATCTTGTGGATCGAACAGAGCCATCGGAGGAGGCATCATACTTGATTGGGGTGGCGTACTCCGATGTGCCTCGCTACTCTGGCTGTTTGTATGGTGCAAAGAGGATAGATCAGGAGAGGCACCACCTTCGCTTCCTTCGTCATTAGGGGAGCGAATGCTAGATTGTGTTGACTGGTTCGAAGGAACCTCGTTGAGTGAGAAATTTGAAAGCATGCGTGTCAGAGTCTCGCTGCCCCCGCTATCACTTCGCTGGCCAGAAATTCGACGGGGCTCTTGGAAAGTATGTGACAAATTAAAATAGGAAGGCTGCCCGAGACTGCTCTCCGGATGTATCTGAGGGGTAGCACCTGGGGAGTGGTGTGGGCCATGCAAGTCAAGAGAAGCAGATCGGGAAGATGCAACAGACGTTGAACGTGCGAAGGGACCTGACTTGAGAAGGTCTGGTGGTTTATCTGAAGCAGTGCTATTAAGCGCTCGCTTTTGACGACCAATAAGACCCATACGCGAAAGTCCAAAATCAGTCAGCTTAAGATGACCTTTCTGGTCAATTAGAAGATTGTCAGGCTTCAAATCCCGGTGAATAATTCCACGACTATGCAGATGTTCGACGCCTAGGATTACTTCGCCGAGATATTTCTTTACCCAATCCTCAGGTAGCCCGCCTAATACTTTGACGAGAGAAGCACAATCACCACCGTTTAGGTACTCCATAACAAGGTACAGGTAGTCTTTGCTTGAGAACGTCCAGTAGAGTTTGGCTACAAAGTCACTCTCACCCTGCCACATCATGATAGCTCGTTCAGCTTTCACATTCGTGACTTGGTTTTTGGCAACCATGTCTGCTTTCTTTAACACTTTGATTGCAAAGTATTCGCCGGTGGATTTCTTCTTAGATAGATAGACGCTCCCAAACGCTCCCTTACTTATGGGTTTGATCACTTCAAAGTCTTTGATTGACGGGGGGACTGCTCGTGCTAAAGGTGGAGGGTTAGAAGCGCTTAATCGAGGTGAGGTTGGTCGAGCGTGAAAGTCTGGGAAAACGGTAGATGATTGTCGACGATGGTGGGGGACAATTGCAGGAGAACTGAACTCACTATGCGAGAGCATAGGAGAAGCCTCCGGAGAAGCAACACCCTCGTGGTTGAGCTGAAGGTTACGCGGTTTCGATATCCTTAAGGGAGAAGAAGGCTGAGTCCCTCTGGAAGGTGATTCTTGTCGGTGTGGCGAGGAGGCATTTGGGAGAATTAGACTGCGCCTATTTTGTTGTCGAGAACCCGTGCCGCGCCGTATACCACCAAACTCGGAGATAGGGGATTCAGTGCGAGGGGCAGGCCTTGAAGCTACAGAAGCAGACCTGCCACTACCGTCACTCTCTCCAGCGTCACTTTCCACTAGCATTGAACCTCGACGGGACTCTCGAGGATGACCCAGAACACCTAAAGCATCTCGATGCGACTTAGGTGTGAGACATTCTCTAGGGCTACTCGATCTAGTCGATTCAACAGCAGTCGAGAGGTTCCTCCCTTTTTCACCCAGTTCCATACTTTTTAGAGCCAGTGTCAACGAAGACGCTGTTTCACAAGGTTCATCTGGTACGCTTTCTTCTACTATCGTTTCAGTGCCAGTTTCTTCTTCCAGTTCGCTCTCTTCGATTGCTTCGTCCTCGGTCGAATCGCTGAAACCGGCCGCTATGCGAGAAGCCTTGTCTATCGCTTCATCAATACAGTCCTGCACAAGCACAGCAAATTCGATACGTATACGTTCAGAGTATTCGATGATTCTGCGATGACGGAAGACAGCTTCCACCTTGTCTTTTGCTACTCTCTCCGTGTCAGCACATAGAAGAGCCAAACCCTGCTCTTGTTCGACCGTATTAGATCCAGGCGATTGCCATTGTAGTACTTGCGATATTCGAGACTCTGACTGAGGAGACTGTGTACGCAGTTCGCCTGAGCCTTGCGAAGCAGATTCTTTGATTGCAGGGGTACTGATCTCCATAGAAGTATCACAGAGGTCGAGGAGCAGTTCAACGATCCGAGCTTGTGGCCGCCGAACAGCAAATGACCGAGACCGAGAATGCCCAAACCCAGTCGATCTATCTCTGGATGATGGCGTAGGAGACGCTGTACCAGGAGATGATGTGGTTGAGCTCGGGCCAATTGGTAGGCCTTTGTATTCGGCTATAGGTAGTGAAGAAAGATCCGATAACTGGCGGCTTTTGCGAGCTTCGAGTGCATCAAGTACTTTAACAATAGCATGCCGGTGCTCTGTTAGGCTCTCCTGTGCCATTTGAACGTCCATCTCGGCTCGGTGCTCTTGCAAGCAGAGTTCTGTGTGTTTTTCAAACCACCAGGAAGGAATTTGACGCTCACATATCCTACAAAGAACCGGTCTCGGCGCCGGCGGCTGGCTGTCAGGGTCACCTTGGCCCGACTCGGCCAGTTGTGTTAAGTAACTCGCAAGAATTTCTGCTCCTGACCCAAGAGACTCGACAATGAGTGGAGGGAGGTCAATCTTGATCTCACGAGGTGGAATCCACGGACGAATCATCCACATAGTCTAGTCTCAGTTGTTAGATGATCCATCAAGGCCAATACTGTCAGCGGGATTCTTACGTGACTTTCGGCACCTGTGGCACGATCGTAGACCATGATGCCTTGTGCCTCCAATTCGATCGATACCGGTTCAGAATCCTCAGACTCGGACTCTTTCACAGCTTCAGCCGTGTACAGTTTGGACATGGGCCCAAGACGGACTGTGAAGCGGATGTATTGGCTGCGTGTATCATCCTTCCTCATCGAGTCAATAGCATCAGAGAATGCAGTTTTATTTTCGCTCACGATGAGGTCTGCAATAGAGGTTTTCTCGACGGTGCTCGGCTGTGTGCCGATCACGTCAACCCACGACGGGCTAACCCATTTAATCGAGGCATCGAGGTTGATATCGACAATGATGTTGAGGGTTTGCTCGGCGGCCTCACGAAGCTCTTTTCGCTCTTCCCTAATATCTTCACTCAGTGATCTCTCCATCATGGCTGTCCCAATAGCCTGGGCTCGGAGAGAGCTGACGGCGGGAGGCGCCAACTTGTTCAGATCCAGATCCATGGTTGAAAGAGACAGATACGACACTCAATTGCGCCCTGGCAGCATCGGACAAATGATATCCTCCCCGCAGACAAGGTGTCAGGGAGGCGGCGGGCGTTGCGGACGCGTGGTCGGAGGTCGGAGGTCGGATGTCAGAGGTTGTTCGTTCGCGTTGCGTGGAAATCAGAATGCTATATAAGTCGGCCCATACAGAAGCCAGGTGGGCTGGCGGGGAGCCAGAGTCAGCAGCTGGCAAGAACCCGAGACATGACGGTAGTTGAGGGTGCGCAACGGCGTTACAGTTGCAGACCGTAGTCGCCTGGGCGGGCTGATCGAGGACGAGACGAGACGGCCTGATCCCGCGTCGAGAGCTTTCGCTCAGGCCGTATCGTGCGAACTTGGGTACAATTCCTATTGGAGCAGGCGGGCTGATGGGGTCTATAAAGAGACAATTGGCAGGTGTCCGGTCGGGCGAGGATCGAAGCGGGCTCAGGTCAAACAGTGAAAGAGGGATAGACGTCAACCTAGTGAGCACAGGTTAAATTAATTGTAGGGCTGTTGTCTGTGTCGCGGTGGGAGGACAGGAATGTCGGGGGGGTTGAAGAGCCGGTAGGTCGCGGAAGTGAAGTGAAGGGAACTTGGTGATGCTTAGGTACCTAGCTGGTGCACTGTGGGGACACTGGCGGGTGAGGTCTAAGTAAGTACCTGACCTTGAGCAGATACCTGGGATGGGTTCGAGTTGAAGCGCTTAATTTAGGTACTTGCCTGGTTTGGATACATATAACTAAGTACCGCCTACTTTACGTCTCGTGTTCAACGCTCTTTCCACCGGAGGGGCATGGAACAAAAACAGTTATCGTACCTACACCAGACGATATACATGCAATTCAAGGCCAGGGAAAAAAAAAAAAAAAAAAGACGGTCGGGTTTAGTCCTCATCTCGTAGCTTATTAAGTGTCGGTATTACTCTCTTACCTAGATATGCGTAAATACGTAAATAGCAAGTTGGTAGAGTCTATGTCTAGTAGGTATTCGGGGAACAAAGGTTCCGGGCCCCGCGCCCACCAGTTTGTCACCTGTTTCTTTCACTGTGCAGTATGAAGGCTACCTACTGACAGACAGACTACTGGTCGTCGAAAGAGTTGAACGCATATCAGTAGAGCGGGGATAACCAGGGAATGGCGACAACAGCAGACTGTATTTTTAGACTTGGTGTTCTGCCGGTATATAAGTACTCCATCCATACCTACGTACTCTAATATGTAAACTTCGGCCTGATCAATTTCACTTAGGTGCCTAGCTTGAAGAGGGAATCTTAGAAGTACGCATACGCACAACATAACGCCGCTCAGCTCTAGTAGCTGTGTGCCCAGGTGACTAGTAAGGGACATGGGGCGTTTTTTAGACATGTCGAGACCCTCAAGCTTTACATACATGTAAGTGGTCTTACTCACATAGTAAAGCTCCGCTACGTTCAGGTCTGGATTGCTGTATAAGATTGTATAAGATACCTAGGATAACTTACCAAAGTATCTACTTGAGTAACCTAACCTAGGCATACAGAATGGTAGTAAGAGTAGATACGTCATCTTTCTCTTTCTCTAACATTGACATAATCTATGTCATATTGTTTCAAGACGGCTGGAATGAAGTTATTTCAATCGGGTTCAGCGCAGGTATCACGAAACTTAGAGTACCCGTCATTGTAGCGCCCAACCAAACGGCAACCATAACCGTGGTCGTAGAACAAAACCGAGTGCTTATGCTAGATAGCGCATACGACTGACTCTTGAGTAGGTAGATAGGCTATACTTGTGTGATTTAGGTATGGCTTGGTCTAGCAATCCTACGCGCGTCCTTACTTAAGTACAGCAAGACTGGTCACGTCGGTTAGGATAGGTATCTAACATTAAGTAAGTCCTCTCTTTCAATAAGTACACTATTTTGGTTGTTTCACGTCGTCTACACTAGAACTCTCCAAGTTAGAATATCGGTGGGAATTGTACAGTATCTAGATACTATTTGTTATCTTCCTGGCTCTCAGTGCCTATAAGATACTGATAATTACGTGTATGTGGAGTGTGCTCTCTGACTCATTCGTGTACGCTAGGTATAAGCTCAACGGCTTTCTATAAAAACACCATAGCAATGCTCTGGGAATGTCAACACAGGGATAGGACAACCGACAATTGTCTCCCTCTCCAGTCCACCGCACCACCCATCCACAGCATGAGAAAGGAAGACTAAGGCACAGGTAGCTTACCAACCTAGGCAGTTAGGCAGTTCGCGTGAACCAATGAGAACATTCACATGTTGACAGCCCAGCATACGGATGGTGCCGGATGGGTCGCCGTCATGCTGGAAACGCGTGACAAGAGACTGGTGCATGATACAGCCGCCACATTCACACAGATTTGCTATAGTACTGCCCTCTCCTTTTCTTCCGGCTCTTCCATACCAATAAACATAAGTAGCATAAACAAACTAATAACCAGATCAATTTTTTTCAACGTCTGACTTGGGTGTTTCAAGATACAAGGTGGCCCACATAGGGCATAAGAAGCCTTTCAGCAATACTTGTAGTATGGATCGTAGTTTAAGCATCAAGTTTGGTCCCTTCAAGGCAAGACGTACAACCCCATGTCTCACTCACCGTCTATTCTTCTTCGGGAGCCATGTTAAAGCTAGGTAGGTGCATGGCAATGATGGTTCCTTAAATTCACCTACTGTACAGTACAGTACCATCACGATTCTATAGCATGCACGCTCTTAACCAGCGCAAGCAAATCTCTATAGCAACAGCCACTAGATGCGTAGATGGCATGATCGGATAATCGATATTAACCCCCCCTCCCTGCTCGAATTATGTAGGAAAACCAAGATCTTCTCATGCCGCCCCTCTTGGGTCCAGTTGGAGAGCCACTTCTCTCACTGGCTTAACCCCAATCCATGGACCACATTCAAAACTTTCTCTTACGTCTTACTCCAGAGCCCGAGGTACATGTTTGGGGTTGCAGCACATTAGCGCATCCTTTTCCGCTGTGATGGATACAGCAGAAAGGTCTAGATATGACTGCTGACTCGCCAGGACGACTATGTGAGGTGGGACACATGCAGAGCCAGACTGCTTGTTTGTTACCTTGCCAGTTCTACCCAGAACCCGTGGGATATCCGGATGCTAGGATAGTATACTGTATGCGGACGTAGGTAACCTGGGATGGCAGATCCTTGGACTGTGCGTGCAGGCGTCTGGCCCCGGCATACAACGTTCATACCAAGTCGTATATCCAATTCGACGAAATACCTGCAAATCTCATAGTTATATATGTATTATGTATTACCTATGTACGTACATAGATAGTATATACCTATGCGAATCTAGAAACCATGTTAGGATTGAATGTATGTAGTTGAATGCAAGCTTCGGTATCTATTCATCTACCTACACATCCCCCGGGCTAGGATGTTGTAAGGATGTGCGTCCTCGACACTCAATCCTACGGATAATAATATGTCATCCCAACCAACCCTCGTCATGTCGAGCATGGCTTGCATGTCAGCAATGCACCTCTGATCACGAACGAGGGGAGGCGGTCAGACCGATTACCTACTAGTACTTACTTATCAACCCACGATGGAGTATCTGGGAAAGCTTCGGTGCAAGGACGTGAATTGCCTCATGTGGCGCAAGTCCATCAGCGGGGGCTTGTATATCACCAATGCTGAACCTGTGATAGATCGCAAATAGATAGACGATTGAGTATTTACCTATGATAGCGGTAAGAAAAATAGACCGCGAAAAGCTAGGTATGTAAAAGGAATCGACCGATCAACATTCCACCACAATAACTGGTCGACATGACAGCAGTTCCCATCACCCCACCAAACCAAACCCGAGTCTACTCACTCTGTAAGTACTCACCTTTGCCCTCTTCTACTCTATGTAATAGCCCATCACCTGCTTTTTCAAAGCCGATGCTCGCCAATGCCCTTGCGCCATTAGCCAATGCGCGTGCTCTCCCCTCGATAGAATACCCACAACCGGTGTCGCAGACGGGCCAGAGCCATTAATCATCATCCAATTGACCACTGGCCATCTCTGATCCATTCACACCGATCGTCACGGAGTGCAAGGGAGTGACGATCCCCTCCACGCGATTGATTCTCGCTACTGTCTCTGCCCGTCTCTGCCCGTCCTATGCTGATTGTGTCAGTGGTTGCACACCATCTCCTCTCCCTGCATCTGCCTGCAGCATCGTTGAGATCGCAGGCTTCGTGACGATCTCGACGTGTTCAACTGATCCATTTCAGCCAAGCTACCCTAGGTAACTCATATAGACAGCGAAGCCAGAGCTACGTGCGTAATAGCCCCCTTCGAAAAGGTCTGCTGATTACCATTAATTTAAGGTGTCTGGAAGAAATTCATCATTGATCTGAACGGATGATGTCACAGCCTGGGCCAAGCAACTGACCGGCGTCAAGGTCACTGAATCGAGACATCATGGTGTTACCTGTTGTGCCAGTGCCTGTACCTCAACCTTCACATACTTCGTAGATCGACATTCAATACAGTACTGTTACCCAGATAATCTGAGTTCCGGACGTCTCGATATCATAACGGAGTTCATGGTGACATTCGGGTTTAGCAGTAGACTTCTCGCAGCATAAAGCTGTGATGCCCCTCCTCTCGTCACACACGTGCCATTTAACTAGGTTAAATGGCTTGAGTTTTCCGATTGAACCACGAGACGTTCATTTCCTTTGATACCTTTCCCATTAGCTATCAACTGCATGAAAACTAGTAGGATTGGCCTGGACTTGATCCAAAATGGTGTGTGCACCACTCCAAGAACATCTGCAGTTCCTAGAAGTTGAACCAGTTTCCCCCATGTACCCCAGAGTTGTAGCAGCATGGTCTTTGCAGTAGGGTAGGTACATGGCTTGACTGCACCTTGAAGTGAGGTGCATAACCAAGTCACGGCATGAAAGGCGAACCGCGGCTTTAGGCAAAAAAAGAAACAGTGTGGTGTTGACCAATTGTAATGTCACCGGTACCGCTGAGTATTGCCAAGTTGACTTGGAAGCTTGTAGATAGGGCTCATACGACGTCTGGGTATGGAGTTTATCTCGTCCAATATGAGGAACGGCGTTCGCCTGTCGACGCAGCATCACATATCGTTGCAATCTCCCAAGCGGATTTCTCTTTGGGTCGCCACTTTATTCTCGCTTCCTTTGAGTCCATCCGACCCTACCATACATTGGTGTTGAAGCCCATATGCTGCCAAGTTACTCGTCTATTGTCGCAGATGGCTGGGACGCGGGCGCAAGGCCTGAGTGCGAACACGATATCCACGATTGACCTGGTATTGTTAGAAGCCAAGAGCATGTCTCGATGTAACACGTCCTTGGAAGGAGTCTGGTGGTAACCTGCAATCGCCCAGTCATCTTCCACACGTAAAAAGTCCTACGTATGGACAGCACAATTCTGACGACACTCATCGTTCATGAATAGAGATGTAGCCACTGTAGACGACTGTCCATCTTGCGCGATACGTCTTGCCTCTGAGTGGTTATTGAGGTGAGTTTGGTTGTTTCATTCACCAAAACCTCGTCGGCCTTATCCAATGTCAGGACGTACGTTCGCGACGCTCCCTATCCTCAGTATTCATGGGCTGGCGGTTTTCACCGTGAGGGAGACTCAGGAGCCTCGTCGAGTCACACAACTCATGTCCAAATGCCACCGTGGCTGCGTACCTATAGACACCGGCTAGCTGAGAAAAGGAGGAAATTTCTTGCGATCTCTTGGACACACCGGGAACGTAGAGGTCAACCAATGCGCCAGGCCTCAAAGCTGCAATAACGAATTAGTTTCGAGGTCGCGAGTATGCTCGGTTTAGCATTTCTCGATCGATACAAAACACACTAACCGTATTGTTCCAGATGTCAAATGTGACACTAACGAATGACTAGAGCGTCACTTTTCAGTGTATGCGAAGGCGCTTGCTGGCCTTGCCATTGTGAGGTATAATGCTGCCTGGCATGAAGGGCTCAATGAACCTGCGGGCACTTGGACATCAACTAGAGGTGATGGATACGCAATCAACCTTGCTTGATGAAGACCTACAGAAGTTCGATACTTCAACGAGACACTAAATCTTGTCAGTCACTATGAACGAACAAGATTAAGAATACGGGTGTAACAATCGAAACTTACATATAAGCTACCCAGTTGCTAAGATCTATTCGACACTCAATATGCATGATTACGCAGGAACGAAGGCGCAGCCACTACACCTACGCGTTCATCAGCAATCGACGAAGCGAAATCTCATGCCACAAACGAAAGAGGACCAGTTGGATATGTGAGAAAGAAGCGCATTTACTTACATCGTTCAGTCACCTGAGGCTTCGACTATGAGAGAGAGCTCGGAGAGAGCCTCTAGTCACCAGTAAGGAAAACATCAGGTAGTCAGCATTGTTGGTCACATCTCAATCATGTGTTTCCACTAGCCAGCACACTACATATGGTTCTAAAAGACATCTAAGCTGACGTTCGACGATCTGACCCCGAAAGCAATCATCAGTCACTTCTTATTGCTTCGCCTCTCTAACATGTTATGATTTGACCTCCCCCACTCACCTCAGCTGAACGCGCTTAGGCATCACTCCTCGAAGACAATGGGACGAAGAGTCAACATGCAATTCTCTAGAATACCGTCATTCCACGCAAGTCACGCAATCTATTATTACTCTACACCACTCGACTCGCGGGGGTTTGCTGACAGGTCGGCATTGTTGAAGAACCCCAATGTTCGGCACTCGCTAAGCCGCAGACGGTGTGTCGATCGCAACCTTAAACCCTCGCAGACTCGAAGTGCATGACAGGACTGGTGGTTTTTCTAGAAACGGCGGAGAAGGAAATTAATGCTACGACCCTGCGTCCGGCATTGAGCTGGAGTGTAGTGTACTCTCACTCTCACTCGCACTCCTCTTCAACCCCCGTAACCTTCCTTTCTCGGACTGAGCCAGGGTAATCATCGCGTGCTTACTCACCCAGCCCCAAATCTCTTCCTGCTTGTGTCCTTCTGTGCGTCTGTGGGCTGCGCCCAACAGGTGGAGATGCCCCGATAGCGCTTTGCTGTTTCCAGACCGTTGATCCCTTCAATGCGAATATGTAGAGCCCGGGTGCGGCATGCGTATCCGTGTTTCAGGATATTCTGGAAGGAAGCGCATGGATTGAACCTGATGTTGATTTTTAGCACAAACGTCCGTCCACCCCATCCGCGCGTTAGGTCAGCGTTGAGAGCCGGCACTACTGTACATCGCATCTTAGCTCTTCTACCTAGCTTCCCACACGCTTACTTATTGAGGGCCTACCAAAGAAGACTTGATAGACAGGGAGATGACTGTTTGCATACCGCCCTGCTCTGCCTACATCATGATAGTCTATTGGTGCATATCTGATAGGGCTCTGACAAGCCTTGACAAGCATTGACTACGGCTGTTGACAGTAGCCTAAAGGTCCATAAGTAGGCAGCTAAGGTAAATCATTCGCTAGTCTTTGTTGTTGTACCACGGTAAGGTAAGCCTACACTAGCAAATGCGTGCAGAGGACTGCCGATCACTTATTCTTAGTGGCTTGACGACGCTGTAATGTGTAGTGTACACGTACAGACCACGTACAGACACGTACTAAGGGAGAATGAGGTCTGTTTATGCCATACCTAGGTTTATGCCATAGGTATCTTGATCTACCCCGTGTCTGCCCGTGGGCAGTTTGGCACTCAAAATCAGGTGCCAGGTCTCACGATGGCTCGATATAGAAAACTACACTACACCTACTACGTAGGTAGAACAAGGTATTCGGGTGCTTCTAGGTAATCCCTGGAAGATGACAATTAGTTACAAGACGTTTTCCCGATCCAGCTATTGTTAGGAACAAACTTGGGGAGCCGATATGGACGGGCAGGACGGGTGGCCCGTCCACAGGCCAGGCAGGCCAATGCTCGGGGTTCAAGCTTCGCTTGACAGCTGGATCTATTCCTACCCTACTCTAGGTAGGTATTAGACGGTACCCGTTGCCAGTCGACGGCAGACGGGTGAGACGGGGGATCTCAAGGCTGTTAGCATCCCGATCGGGTACCCCTTGACTCTACCCTTGGATGATAAGCTAACATCGCAAATCACTAACCAGAAGGAGTCAGCGGCTAACCCAGGCTCCTTCGCCTGAACTGCCTCTGATTGGTGAGGTGGTGCTACGATGAGACTACGACGTAGTGCGTGTGCCATGAGTACGTACAGATCCGTACTAAGGGAAGGGAATTGGGCCTTGGATTCTTGCTTGGAGTCGCCTGGGGCCGCTTTAGACCGCTGGGTCGATTCTTACTACGCAGCCCTCCAGTCGGCCAATGGCAGAGCAGAAGCCTCAGCCCATCGAAGGGACCCTCTCTCGCCTCTCTCCCAGGCCACACGCAAAACAAACCCACGAGAGGTCGGGGAGCGCGTTGACTCGACACCTCGACACCCTCCGCATTACACTACACTTACATAGTACACTTGCATTTGCCAGGAACCAGATCTGGTCTCACCTGCTCTTACTACCGAATCCCCTTGTCGCTATCGAGCGAGCGAGCGAGCGAGTCGGAGAGCAAGCCATGTACGCCATGCTCGCATGAAGAGGATTGCCTCCCGCTACACTAAACACGCCAGGCAGTGAAACCCCTCGCTCTATCCTCCTCTATCCTGCTTTGTCCTGCTCTGAATCTCCAGACTACTGCTCATTCCGGTATGGCCGTTGGGTGTTGTTGTGCGCGAAAGGACAATACTAAGTAGCCCCATCCACATCAACCCACCCTTGGCAAACAAGTGATTTGAGTTATCTGTCATCGTATGTACATTGTCACCCTTCTTCTGGCAGTTCTGGTCTACTCCCGGTCAGCAGCACCGCCACCACCTCTCTGGTTAGGTTAAGTATTTGAAAGCTTAACCGCCCGCCGTTTCCTGTCTAGATTTTGCCCATATGTCTTCAGTTCGTTGTTCATCGTGCAATTTGTTTGTTCTTTGAGAAGGGGAAAAAATTAGTCACACATCTACACACACGCACGCACTCACTAGCAACAATGGCCACCATGACTGCTAACATCGGGCCCGCTGCCAGTTACCCTTCACCCCCACAATATTCACCCCCCTCAGATAAACAAATGATTGATGGCAGCTACGAGCCTAATTCAATGTCGTCTTCTTCATCTCCACATGCCACTCATGGCAACTCTAACGACAAGAGTCCTCTGTCGTCGCTGAACCTCAACTTTCTCAAGACACTCAGCGAAAAGAGGACGACGAGGGATGGCAACCCCCCGAAGAGACGGGGTCCTAAACCTGATAGCAAGCCAGCTTTGACCCGCCGTCAAGAGTTAAACCGTCAGGCACAAAGGTATGGGCAGATCAACATGACAATATTCAGGCTGGGTTGCTCTAACAGTCCTGGTTTATAGAACCCACCGTGAGCGTAAGGAGCTTTACATCAAGGCACTGGAAGATGAGGTGCTGCGATTAAAGGAGGTGTTCAGCAACGTATCACAGGATAAGGATAAGCTCGCCGAGGAGAACCGACATCTGCGAAGCCTCCTGCAGCAGAATGGCATTGCGGCGTCCGGCGTCGGAGCCATGGACGATGTCATCAGCAACCCTAGCATGGGATACACATCGAGCGGGAGCATCTCCGGCAGCTACGCACCCGGCTCCAGCTCCGCATTCACACCACCCATGACAGCCATCTCATCGCTCCCTTCGGTGGCCGGCTCCGCGCATATGATGGGTGCCCACATGGGCCAGCAGCACCCTGTTCAGAGCGTAGTGGACTACGACCAGGCTGGGATTGATTTCGTGTTAGCGTACGAGCTCCCCGTTGACCCCTCGAAGGCATACATGTCACCTCCGCATCAGTGAAAAAGGTAACCAAGTCCCGCACTTTCGACGAGAGGAAGGGCTGGTTTCTTTCTCGCTTGATGAACAAGGAGAGAGTTTTCCGGTGTTTTCCCATCGTGTGAACCAAAAATAAATATAAATCAAAAACCAATGGGAACAGTGTCGCTAATTAAAGCGGTCGCGTTGGACAATGTAGTCTCGAGAAACCCTGCATGGACCACCTACCGTGGTTGCTAGAGAAAGGCAGCGATAACCCCGGCGAGCCCTGCGGCCACGCGCTGATGGCCTCGTGCCCCCCTGAGCCATTCGCCGAGCTCAACAGCGAGATCCCCTTCGGCCATTCCCACAGTGCCGCTGCCGAAGGGGGCGAGGCCACGACGAAGAAAGGAGAGCAACAGCCTCTGAGGACTTGGGAGCTTTCCAAGGGAGACCTCACGACCCTCCTCGACCTGAGCAAGAGATTAGATCTCGACGGAGAGATCACCCCCGTCATGGCCTGGGGCATGATTCTAGGGCACCCCCGCCTCACAGAATTGACCCACAAGGACTTCAAGAAGATCACCGAGGACCTCAAGGACAAAGTCCGCTGCTACGGGTACGTCAATTGAATCAATACATCTTTGTTTTGCTCTATTCGACTAGATGCTAACCAAGACATGCAATAGATTCGGCGCCGTCATGGAAGAATTCGAAGTGCGTGACTCTCTCACCGCCGTCTTCTCCGCCAAGCCAGAGGCGACCATGGGTGCTTTCTAAGCAAAGCAAGAAGTGCAGCGCCGCCCTATACAATAGGGCTGGCCCGCGGCTCATCCAGCACACCCTTGTAACCTCTACGACTGTAATGACCCAAAAAAAATTGCAACCTTATCTGGGAGTGTAGACTGTATTCTCATTTTTTGAAGGATACGAGCGTAGCGAGTGTGCAGATGCTCCGACGCTCAGGCGAGAGATAGTACCGGAGTCGGAGCTATGGTGATATTATTATTTCAGGCGGCCCTTTCTCTGATTTATATACTTAATGGAAATACCATACCTACTGTAGTAGTCTTTTTGCCAATACAAATTTGATATTACTGCAGTTCTTCTAAGATGTGTACATTTTTCAAATTTTGTCTCTGGAATCATCAGCTCTCTATTGGTTTCCATTATTCGCCAATCTGGGGGATTTTTTAGTGATTTCGACATTAGACGTGATATCCAACCACTCGGATGTGTTGAATGGTGCATACTATCGCGACTGACTTGGCAGCGGCAGGGACAACCTGGTTTCGACAGTCCTGCATATAATACAGCCTTCCTACTGTGAGGATGGCAGACTACTGTATGTAATACCTACATTACACCGCATCTCTGGTGGTATATAAGTAAGTATCTTGTATATATGTATGACTGATCCCCGGTGTCTGGGTCCTTCACGACTTGCACATTAACTTAAGTACCTACTTAGTTTCTTACCTCAGCATTTCGCTCGCTCACGCTGCCATGCTATGCGAGCCGCGCAGATATATGTCTCATGTAAAGTAGTGTGAAGTGATACGCGTATTGTACGTGTATATGTAGTGTAGTGCAAGACGAGGCGCATATACCAGCCTACTTACTTAGGTAATTACTTACTTTCCCGAACCCATACACTGCAGCAGGCTTGCTTATTCTTCTTCAGCAGCGATGATCGTATTCGTACCTACATACATACATACATACATACATACAGACTAGGTAAGGCAAGGCAGCAAGTACATAGTAAGTAAGTAAGTAATTAAGTAAGTAATCCCCTACTGTAGCCCTCAGGCACAGCAGCCAGGTTTACTTACATAGGTAGATTAAACTACCAGTAGGTAGACTAAGGTGCACTACATATGTATGTCACCTCCCTACTGGTGCTAGTTTATTGTAGGTAGTACAGATAAAGTTTGCTGATTTGGAATTATTCGTACCGATGTATCTAGCGCTTTGGCCGGCCAATGAGGTGCGCGGTGCCGGGGATTCTACTTTGATGGGGCGGCTGGGCTGTGTTGATGTAGGTCTAAGGTACTCCCGTACACTACGCTACGCTGCGTAAGTAAGTAAGTAGGTGCTTCGATGAGACTGAGTATGGAGGGAGTGTGGTGGACGGACGAGTTACAATACCTTCTTTGAGGAATTTGGTCTGTGGGGATGGATATACCTATGGCGAGAGCCCTCTATTGAGGGGTTTTTTTTTTCATTGCTCTTGGACAAAGGCCACAACAGCAGGAATGCGTTTTTATCTTATCTTATTTTATCTATTCTTCCAATTTTTTTATTCTTATTTTTTCTCTTTACTCCTCTTCTCTAGGAATATATGGATTGGTGAGCAGGACTTGTTTCATGTGATGCTCACTTAATGCTCAATACCCGGAGGAATACCGAATGTTGTACAGTCTTGTGGCTGTGGGGGGGTTTTTTTTTGTTAAAGTCCCACAACTGCAATTCACATAGATCTGCCTAACATACATAGCGTATCGCTCTGGAGGCGTGATGCCGGTTCTCGGCATATCTGCTTGAATCTAGATCGTGGTGCCGAGATCCGCTGTTTGCCGGCAGGTATGGTAAGTAGCCCGTGTATGGAGTTATGAAGCAGTAGTCTTTTTGACGAGTGGCTTATGTATAATCATCCGTTGCCATTCAGCCTCATCCAGGTCTTTGCGTTGGCTTTTCAGTGATTTCTCCGATGTTCTGATTGAGCTTTGTTGGAGCAAGAGGGAACACAAATCGAGTCAATGCTGCTTCGATGGAAAGTTTGGAGTCATAGCAACTCCTGAGCTAGATTGTATGTCCATATCAATCTCCATGAGATGACTCTATTGCAAGACTCTTCTCGACATATGACATGTCAAAAACACACAAACTCTCTATATCCAGCTTCGATGCGTTCATAATATGAGCGGCTTGTAAGAATTCGGACGTCCATATAGTTCGTGGTTCGCTCTTCTCTGATGGCACTAATTTATCGAATTCTAATCACAGGCATATGGTGGAGAGTAGATGACCTGCCTCTCCACTTGATGATACTTCATTCATGCTAATTCATGATGTTACGGGTTGGTTACGTAGCACATAGTGAACAGAGATTAACATATATTCTTGATGAAGCATTATATGCCCTCCCAAGCTGCAGATATTGTGAATATTTGTCCTTGGCTACTTCAACATAGAATGTGCTAAGTATGTCTCTGTAGGCATATGTGATTACATCCAGGTCATACACACTTGTTGTTGAGTTTGACTGAAAGCTGTCTTTATGATATGGCCAGGGCGCATACAAACAAGTTAGATTCAAGCTTTCGTCGTTGGCGGAGGTTGTTAGGTATCACACCATATCTGCAATAGGCAGTATCTACAAATACATGCTTAACTTTGCTAAGAGTAGGTAGCAGCTTCTATCTGAAATGATGTACGGGAAAGTTGTGACTGTGATCACAGCATGGACCTGTACTCAATTCAGACCGTTAGTCTCTTACTTCTTCTCCCAACCTTTTGATCCAACCTTTCAGCAGATATCACTTCAGTTTTCTCAAGCTAACCAGGTACTGAGAAAGCCCTACAGTGCTTGGTTACAGTGTATGACCTGACGCACGGTGCCGCCTGAGCTTGCGACTGCCCCACACCCCACCAAATTGTACCAGGCCAAAATATCCAAGCGCACTCAAATTTCAACCCACGCCACCTTCAGATAGCGGCTTAAGGACAGCGCCAGCAGCGACAACACATAGCCCTCCCCAACCGCAACCTGTTGGCCATTATTATTGCCAGTCACAAGTTTTAACAATGGCTGAGAAATCCCTGGCCGACTTGATTGGCGCCCTCCCCGACGGAGATGGATGGGGCCCTCAGACTACAACCGAGACGACCTTGAACGGCGTCCCGTATGCGCCCTTTTCCAAAGGGGACAAACTTGGCCGCATGGCCGACTGGACTGCTGATGGAAAGGACGGCAGAGACGGCCGCGGTGGTCGACAGCAGTATAACCGCAATTATAGAGGTAAGCAGCAAAATATAGCTTTAATCTCCCCTCTTTTCAAATCCGAGGTGTGCAGGCTAGGCTCTATGTGCTGACAACGATATGGCTCTGTAGATCAGCAAATCTATGGTGCTGGCAGTGCCGCACTCTTTACCGCACCAATCGCCGAAGCCGACGAAAACACCTTCTCCGTTGTTAGCAGAGAGCCCACCAAGACGAGATACGGGCGGGGAGCCGTCTTCACCCGTGGACGTGGCCAAAGGGGTGCCAGCCAGGCTAGAGGTGGCCGCCAGACTCTCCAGCGCCCTGGACGAGGTGGTCAGCAAGGCTACGGCTATGACAGCCGTGGTGGACGCTACAACGCAGCTCGTGGCGGTCGTCGCTTCGGCTGGAAAGACTATGATAAGCCCGCTAGAAACCGGGATGCGTCTATCAACATCAAGCCGGAGTGGCAGCTTTTGGAAGAGATCGACTTCAACCGACTCGGAAAGCTAAATCTTGACGCGGACGAGGGAGAGGATCTCGACAGCTACGGTTTCCTTTATTACTATGACCGATCTTACGATAAGCAACCCGTCAAGTCGGCCGAGAGGCGGTTGACCGCTATTGACCGTGCCACCTATAATGTCACCACTTCGTCGGACCCTGTAATCCAGGAACTTGCAGAGAGAAACGAGGCGACCATATTTGCTACCGATAGCATTCTTTCTATGCTCATGTGCTCGACGAGGTCTGTCTACCCTTGGGATATTGTAATTGTCCGGCAAGGCAACAAGATCTTCCTTGACAAGCGCGATAACGCTACACTCGATATGGTGACGGTAAACGAAAATGCCGCGGATGCCCCTATGGAGTCTTCTGATGGTGCCAAAGATAGCATCAACAACCCTACTGCTCTCTCAGAGGAAGCCACATACATCAACCATAACTTTGCCAACCAGGTGGTCTTGGAGAGCGAGTCATCTAAGGTCCACATGAACCACGAAAACCCCTTCTATAATGAAGCTGAGGAGACCGAGCCACCTGCCAGCAAGACTTACAAATACCGCAAGTTTGATCTGTCTACGACCGAAGAGGAACCAGTGTACCTTGTGGTTCGAACTGAGATAGATGCTGTTCAGAAGAACGCCATCAGCGGTGATGATCAACAGCTCACGCTCAAGGCGCTCAACGAGTTTGACAGCAAGGCTCAAGGCAGCGGCGGAGCGCTAGACTGGAGGACTAAACTTGTCAGCCAGCGTGGTGCAGTAGTGGCCACCGAAATGAAGAATAATAGCGTTAAACTTGCCCGATGGACCGTACAGAGTATCCTGGCCAAGGCTGACGTGATGAAACTTGGGTTAGTATCCTTTTTTTTGAGAGTTGTTATTTTTGACAGCAGCTAACATAGATCTAGATTTGTGTCTCGGGCGAACCCTAAGACCAACGATAAGCATGTCATTCTGGGAGTAATTGGCTGGAAACCTAAAGACTTCGCCAACCAGATGAACCTGTCGGTGTCTAACGGCTGGGGTATTGTACGCACAATTTGTGACATGTGCTTGAAACGAGAGGAGGGCAAGTTCGTGCTCGTGAAGGACCCCAATAAGTCTATCCTCAGATTATACGAGGTCCCAGCTGGCAGCTTCGACGATGATGGCGAGGAGGAGACAATCCCAGAGACCGAAGGTGGAGACAACTAATTATCATTGCGTGCATGAGCACACTGGGCACCAGCGGAGTAGCTCTATCAGATGAGATGTGACGAAAGGTCACTCTGAGATTCGAGTTACGAAGTAGTAGCTATTAGTCAGCCGACGGATAGATAAAAGCGAATTCAAGCACAAGGACTTGACAACCTTGAATAAACTTTGAGACCTTCAATATCGTGATGTGTTATTGCTACTCTACTATTACTCATACATAACGGGGCCTAAGTTGGACTAGGGTGTAGATTACGGGTAAGCAACGTCTCAAAGTAGCTTGCGTCACAAGGCTCATCTCGATATTTGTTGATTCTACTTTCTCGCTCCCAGAAAACTTTCGTTTATATTCAATTCTTGAAACCTTTTTTCTCTACCTATTTCCCGTTCTTAAGCTCTCAAATATTTGTAGTCGAGCACCTCCAATTCAACCCCACCCCCACCCTGAGCGAAATAAGCTGTACCCCGCCATAATCAAGCAGTAACACCTGCTGTGACGTCTTGTCTCAAATCTTGCTTGCTACATTGGCTCTCCTCCAAGACATTTCCCGCACACCACACACCCTCTACTACTTACAATAGAGAAAAATATACAGAAAGGAGCAGAGAAACACAAAATGGCACCAAAGGCAATCATAGCTCCGTCGATCCTATCGGCCGACTTTGCGCAGCTCGGCGCCGACTGCGCGCGGACAATGGACCAGGGCGCCGACTGGCTCCATGTCGATATCATGTACGCCAAACCGAACTCCCCGTAACACTAGACTCGCGCAAGCCATTGTGGGCTATCGAAGGGATGGCTAGAGGATGGACAGTTTAGCTGATAGGCAGAGCGCAAAAGGGACGGCCATTTCGTGCCTAACATCACCTTCGGCGCCCCCGTGGTAGCCAAGATCCGGAAACACGTCGACAGGCCGACCGAGAACCACGGGCGCGGGACCTTCGACTGCCACATGATGATCGCCGAGGTATGCGTTGCCATTGGGCCTATCCTATCCTTCTCTCGTGTACAGACGATGCGGAAAAAGAAAAAAGAGAACACAGGCACCTTGCTAACGAAAGGAATTGTTGAAAAATAAATTGTAGCCGAAGAAATGGGTCAAGGAATTCCAAAAGGCCGGCTGCGACCTTTACTGCTTCCACTACGAGGCCGCCTTCTCGAGCGCCGCCGAGACCCCCGAGGGCAAGACCGACGAAAAGACTAACCCCAAGGACCTCATCCGGTATATCCACGACTGCGGCCTGCTGGCTGGTATCGCGCTGAAGCCCATGACGGGCGTCGAGGTGTTGACTGAGCTGCTCGAGAGCTCTGATCCGAAGGAGAGGCCTGATGTGCGTACCTTGGCTTTTTTCCCCCTATGCCTACAATAACTGCTTATTTGGCATGTTGCCACTGGTTTCGTCGTTTCTAACACTTAACTTTGCTGTAGATGGTCCTGATCATGACTGTCGAACCTGGCTTCGGCGGCCAGAAATTCATGGCCTCCGAGCTCCCCAAGGTCCAGGCCCTGCGCAAGAAGTACCCGGATTTGAACATCGAGGTGGACGGTGGGCTGGGACCCGGCACGATCGATCAGGCGGCCGAGGCCGGTGCTAATGTTATTGTCGCTGGGAGCGCTGTCTTCGGCGCGCAGGACCCGGCTGAAGTCATCTCGTTGCTGAGGACTACTGTGAATAAAGCGGCTTTGTAGCGCGGGAGTTGGAAAAATAAGTGGGATAGAAAAGAAATCATGTGGATCGTGTATGTATGTATGTTTGTGAAGTTGTTGTCTAGACTGAGGAGCGAGGCGTTTCATATCAGGAATACAACGTGCATAATCCATTTATTACTTGGGCTTGACGATTCTATGAAGTCGTAATTGGTTTGCTAAGAGTTGGATATATCGTAGTCTGAAATTGGTCACAGGCACAGATCTTGTCTTGCTTGTTATATAATCTGGTTCTCCCGCCTGTTCGCTTACAATTAACGTACGCACAAAGCTCTAACTCATATATTCTTTGCTTGTATACCACACAATAAGATCCTCTCAAACATCGGAGTATTATCTATCTAACCTATTCCTTCTGCGGAATATACTTCTCTAAAGCGTCGATGAAACCCTTTACTTCGTTGACTGTAGCGATTATAAGAAATGGCATTAGTTAATCCAGATTATCTACGGGAATGAATGCCTTCAAAGCTCTAAGCAAGAAAAGAGGACTAAAAGAAATGCATCTATCGCTTTTTTCATTTTCCGAAAGTCTCGCGTCGTTGAGAAGGAATGGTTTGTGGAATTGGAAAGGGGAAGATAGCGATACTAGATAGCGGACAGGAAAAACGATAGAACACAAGAAGTACGAAAGAACGAAAAGGGAAATTACTAACCGGTATTATAATGCGCCAGACTAACCCTCACCACGCCATCGTCCCCGAGACCGAGTAATCCGTGCACCAGGCGCGGCGAGTAGAAGTTGCCCCAGCGGAAGCCGAAGTTCGTGGCGGCCTCGACGGTCTCGACGACGGCCCGCGAGGACCAGCCCTTGAAACGGAAGGACACGGTCGACACCCGGACGTCTGGGGACCCCGTGGTGTCGCCGTAGATGGTGACGTCCGGGCGCGCGACGAGGTATGTCAGGAGCGTCCTTTGCAGCGCTTCTTCGTGTGCCTCGCGGCTTTCCCATGATTCTGCGGATTCGGGGAGATACGAGGTTATGCTGGGGAGCGTGTGCAGGAGCTCGTAGCTTGCGCCTGCTAGGCCGACTGTGGGGGTTAGGTGTTAGTGCGGGTACGTATGAGTTCACGTTAGATATTCTTCTCTGCCGTCTCACTTATGTATTTTATATTTTGTGGCCTTGTCATGGTGTATGTATGAAAGACTTGGACATTGGAGCGAGAATTGATCACGGGGGACAGAGATGAATGACAAAACATTGTACAGTTGTTGACTTAGAAGTTCACATGACCCAGCTACCTCCTCCTTTACCCTACCCTCGATGATCGAGATGGAATAGAAACAGGGCGATGAAGATGATAAGACTCGTAGGAAGATCGACACATAACATAGATAAGAAAAAGGTGTGAAAAAAACTTACTCTTCTCTTCCAGCGTATGCCCCTCCTTGAAATAATGTCCAAGAGACTTCATCTGGCCCTGAGCCCGCTGACTCGCGTACAGCATAGCGATATGCGGCCCATACACCTTATACCACGAAAAGGCATATACGTCGACACCAAGGGCGCGGACATCAACGGGTCTGTGCGGCGCCCACGAGACCCCGTCCACGACCACCAGGGCCTCCGGGGACGGACCCGCGCGCACGGCGGCCGCGACCTCGGCGATCGGGTTCGTGCTGCCGAGGACATTGCTCGCGTGCGTGCACGATACCAGACGCGTGCGCGACGTGAGGAGAGGGGCGAGGGAAGACGCCGTGAGAATCGGGTTGGGGTTAGCTGGGGGAGGGGAAGGGAGAGTCGGCGTCCACCATTTGATGCCCAGCTTCAGCCGAGATGCTAGATCGACCCAGGGCCCGATGTTCGCCTCGTGGTCGATGGTCGATATGATTATCTCGTCGCCTTCGGTGAAGGTGAGCGCGAACGAGAGGTTGCGGAGGAGTTGCGTTGTAGAGGAGCTGAAGACTTTTGTTTTCAGGCTTCGTGCGTTAGCAGACGAATTCTTTGTGTTTGAAGTATAGCGAGGGAGGAGAAATATATGTATTATGTTATGTTATATTATATTCAATATCTCTGATTCGCGAGAGTGTATGCGCCGTACCTATCTCAGACGTCTCGGCATTGATATATCGTGCCCCGGCCGCGAAGCCGGCATCATACCGCTCCGTCGCGAGCTTGCCCGTGCTATACGTTGCGCCCAGCTGGACGTTGGTCCGCGAGAGGTAATCGCGGATTCTGAGATCCGAGGCATCGTCGGGTGTCATTAGCCTCTCGGTCTACTAGTTTTGATAATGCTGCACTTACGCATCGATCACGCTGCCCAAGGTTTGGCTGCCGCCCGCGTTGTCGAAGAAGATTTGGTCTCCTGCAAGGGCTGGGAATCGGGACCGCGCGTCCTCGATATCGAACTTGCTCATCTTGGATTATACTAACTACCCTTTGTGTATTTATTTATTTTAGATATGGTTGGCTGTATGCTATGTGGAGATTCACATGTTAGTGTTTATCTGAGCATGAAAGTGAGGAGGGGGGGCGGATCTACCCCGTACCTCCAGTACGGGTAGTAGTCTGTTGATTTAGCCTTTGCAGATTCTCCTCTCTTCGATATGCACTAACCTAACGCTGGATTATAGCCAATTTTGTCTTATTTCTAGATCAGGGAGACTCTTGGACACAGCAGTTCTTTAGAAATGTATGGGTTGAAATTTGTGTAGGTTGTTTAAGGTGATGCCCGAAGCAGGTATTTTGGGTAGGTAGTAGTTCGTGATCGCCCCCTCATCTACTCGTGTGCGCGACTACGACGATGGGGTCTCCACACCTCTTTTAGCCATTATCGTGTTCTTCTGACGAGAATTCAGCGGACACTGGCTTCTCTCGCAGGTAGTAGAACAGTGTCAGAGGCTATATGTTTGGACCTTGAATACAAGTAGCTTCATAGAGGTGTACGCAGGCTAATATACCTGACGTCATCAAGCTTAGCTGGCATTCAATGGTTCAGGCGTATTATAGACATATTAATGTGAGAGTCATAGTATGTTGGTCTGCCTGAGCTTCAAGATATTCTAAGTATATACGTCGAACTTCCCATTCCGCGACGAGTATGAGGACAATGGCCCGAGACGCAGCCAAAGGAAGGCCGCAAAGTTGAGTGTCCAAAAAGCCCAGGTATCTTTCGCTTGACTAGACCGTAGGCCCGGGGAACTCGCATCGTATCAGAAGTAGGTGTAACTAAATGATATAGGGGTATCGCTACAAGTATATATGTATGTAAGAATATAACGTCCCGCTTTGTTGTACAAATATGTCGGCGAAATACCGGAACACTGTCAGCCTCCTATCTTACTTGGTGATCCAAATATCCTTGACATTGTCGCAAAACTCATCAAGCCAATACACGTATCCTGGAATCCTATCCATAATCCAGCCGGACCGGACGATATCGCCATCCTCTCCCGTAGTCGTAGCCTCTTTGACGCACTTTCCGGCGGCGTTCGAGTATTCAAGGCACTGTGTGTCCGAAGCGCGTCCCAGTCGCAATTCGTCCGAGACCGAGCATTGACCCGGGACGAAGGAGAACTGTATACATCTAGGTTGTTGTTCGCATGCAGCCTTGCACATCTCAAAGGAGTTGTGGGCGTTTTGTTCTACGAGCGATAGGTTATCCACATTGTTCTGCGACATCTTGGCGAGCACTTCCTCGCTGTACTCGGTCCCTATGGACATGTTATCCCAGCCCTCGCGCTCCTCTCGAAGCCGGTGTCGCACAAGATTGTTGAAGATGTCGCGGAAACGCAGGGGAGCCCCGTTTGGGTTCCTGCGCTGCCAGGTCTGTTCGAACTGCCACAGCGTTGTGATCTCTTCTGGGCTCATGTGATGAAATGTCGTGGCGGCGTAACACCAAGTTTGTCTTTCGAGTTTCTCCACGGACCAGTCGAGGGCTGTCAAACTATCGCCTTGCATATGTGGATATGCCCAGAACATATTGACGCCGACATCTTTCAATGCCTTGCCTAGGATCATGTCCCCAGCCCACCCTTTCAGTGTCGCTTGTTCAATTTCATTTTTCTTCTCTTTCCAGTGCTTTGTGACTTTCCGCATGGCGGGATTAGAGAGTGCGAAACCCGATCCTCCGTGGGCGAAAAGAACTCCGCTCGCATACATGTGCTTCCCAATGTAATAGGGCTTACTGGCGTCGAATAGACTCAAATATTGGAGCAGATTCGACCACATCACATATGTATCCGGTTCAATAAAGATAAACCATTTTGTTTTCGGTCTCTCGTATAGTGCCTTCTCAACCATGGGGAGAAACTTCCATTTGTCAAGCTTCCATCCGGGGTTGTCTACGGCGCCTGCTGGCCCACTTCCGAATATGGTCTGATAGTCTAGTCCATCCCGTCCTCTGGTGAGAAGGTGATTGTACAACTGGAATTCCGGGGCTGTTTTCTTAATCGTCGCGTTTACTTCGGTGAGAATGTCGTGGACCTGATGACCGTCCACGATTTCGTCCATGTCTGAATAGATGATGAAGTCTGGGACACACGTAAGGATGGTTTTGAAATGTACAGGAAGCTTTTCCTGGGCTTCGGTTGCCCCCGTTCGAATGACCACGAAGACATCTTTCATCAATGGTGACCTGGGGCACGTGACTCCATTCTCATCATTTTGAACTGAAGCAATGGCATGAGGGCGGTGTCGATATGTGGGTATTGAATCCGGTCGGAAGTAAAGAAACAAGCTCAATATTATTATAGACAGGAGCAATGCAGGCCGCAGCTTTCGCATCCTCGATTTTGACGGCTTAAAGGATTTGAAAGCCATCTTGCTTATTGTACACAGTCAATGCCCCCGTGTATGAAGGTCATGTATTACATAAGCTAGAGCGAGACTAGATGGTCAGATCAGGTGTAGCACCTTGACACGGGATGCTCTGGACGGTCTGTGTGCGATGTGTGTGTTCCGAGTGAGCGAGCTGTGAGGCTGTGTTTCGTAGAATTTCCGGAGCGCTTCACATCAGCCAGCGAGGTAAAGCCAATGAAACACCCTTATCTCGCTGTTGACATTGCGGGTTGCAGTCCGCAGAGTGCCTTCCTCACATTCACCAGGGCAAAGGAGAGGTTATTGATCTAGGCAGAGTTGTCGTCATTATCGTCAGTCTGCGCGAGTATGTATCAGCTGCAGAAGCAGGCCAGCCTCGAGCCTTGTTCAGTAGTGAACTATTGTCTTAATGAGTGATAGCTGACCTCAGCTGAGTATAAAAGTTCAGCCTGGTAGCGTACGAAGTAAGTAGCAGTTTGTGGAGGTGGATTACTACGGGTATAATTGGATAGGGGTTCACTTTTCTTGAGTACACGTACTTAGTACTCGTTAGTCCTTGCTCATCCCTCCAGCCCATTCCTAAAAAGGGCATCACGGATTTGATGAAACAGTGGCTCTTATTATACCGCTCAGCCAATCGCGATGTGAGCAGCCGGCTGGCCTTGCCGCATCAGTCTAACAGGGTCTCCCTAGATCACACCCTAGCATCTGCTAGGATAAAGTCTGGATGAACATTCCAACGCGCGTTTGCTTCGTATACTTACAGGGTTTAATTCCATCTTGAAGCAAGAGTGCCTCAATGTTACGCTTCTAAAGCTTCTACATACGCCTGTATAGGTAGCTTAATCACTGCGTCGTTCTTATCCTGCGATGAAATTCCGCTTTGTAGATAGTACCAGCCCTAATTTCTCCGGGTGCAGGCTAGCATCTTCGATTTGCCTACATAGAATCATCCCGGTCTCCCGACTAGAGCCGATGATCCTCTGGCATCGCGGCCGCCTCAATCTGCGCCGGTAAGTGTACATCGCCAAAGATTTCCTGCATGATCATGGCATCTTCAAACGCCATCGCAACGCCGAAACCTTGCCACGGAGTCATAGCGTGAGTCGCATCGCCCATTAAACATACCGTGCCCTTCCAGTAGCGAGGTGTCTCTTTGTGCTCCCACTGGGAGTATCTATATAGATCATCTTGTTCGAGTGCAAGCTGGCATGATACTAGCTAAGTACTAGAGCTGGTTCGTTTGAAAGTTAACTTACTTCAATCATGCCCTTGGCAATGGCGCCGTCAAGCCAGTTGCGGAATGTCTGTATTAGTATCTCCCTGTTCAGGGGACCTTTTCGATCATGCGTCGGTGAATGCTCGATAGCGGATATGACGCATCGCACCATTGTTCTGTTCTCTAGGACGTCGTGCATCAGGAATCCACCATCACCAACCCATCCGCATTGGCGGTCTACTCCGAACAGGCCCTCTCCTAACACCTCCTTGGCTTTCTCCATCGACACCAGGCTTCGGCAGTCCCAGAAACTCGCCGGCGTCGCAGCATAATTGACGGCTTCGCTTTGAAGCACATACGAACGGACTACTTACATGGACTTATCAAGCCTTCCCAGTCGAGCTAGAGCATCCCCCATTTGATAGATTACAACGGCGGTTTGAAAATGATCTCCTTGGTTCTTCTTGCGAGCTTCTAGAGCGGCCATGCAGTGCTAGTCTAGATGACAGGCTGAAATCTAGCCCGTCCACGAAGGCCGGGGCCTCAGATGTCAGAAGAGACCTCGAGAAGTCCTCCGATCTATCAATCAACACCAACAACATTTGGAACATAAAAGACCTAGTCCTAGCCTGGAGTGGAGCATCAACCAAGTATACAGAGTCAGATTCATGAGAGAGAACCTACCCACTAGGACCGTCATTAAGGAGAGCAAATATGAACATGAGTCTATGTCAGTCAAACACGGTGTATGCATATCATATTTGTGAAGTTGAAAAGGAACAACCCATGTAGGAAAGTCATAGGGCGGGCCCCGGAAATAACGCCCACAAGCACATCAAGATCAGGGTATTACTGTACGAATTCCTGTGAAGGCATGAGCGCCAAGCTATATTTGGCAGTAGTCCATCGTTCACCGACCAGGAGCTTTTTTTCTAACTCGCTTATGAATTCAACACATCTTCGGTTCCTCAACAGAAGCCATATTTCAGTCTAGCATAGCTGGAGATAACATCGCGGCTCAGATCGGAGGTTTGCGCTCATACTCCGATACAATGCACGCGCTGTTGGCCCTGATGGCCATCAGCCTCATCTTGCCCCCTTCGGCATTAGCCTCCCATCACCAGAAGCGCCCGAACATTGTCTTCATTCTATCGGATGACCAGGACCTCGAGATGGGCTCCATCGATTACATGCCTCTTCTTGGGAAGCATCTGAGAGCGAAGGGTACAACCTACGAGAGACACTACTGCACGACTGCGCTCTGCTGTCCAGCACGGGCGAGCATCTTAACAGGCAAGATGGCTCACAATCATAACGTAACAGACGTTGTTATGCCTTTCGGTAGGTGCTCCATTCTTGACAGGGCGGGCAGCACTTATACTAATCGTAGTAAAGGTGGCTACACCAAGGTTGTAAAAGAAGGTATTAATGATGACTACCTTCCTCTTTGGCTTCAAGAAGCTGGATGGGATACGTACTATGTTGGAAAGCTATGGAATTCTCATAGCATCGACAACTACAATAGCCCCAGAGCCCGTGGTTGGAACGGGAGTGTAAGTCTCATATCTTTAGAATGACATGTTTGTTGCGAAGACTGAATCCTCGTGATAGGACTTCTTGCTTGACCCGTACATGTACGATTACTACAACCTAACTTTCGTACGGAACTATGACGAACCAATTCATCATGAAAATGAGTATTCCACGGACCTTGTGTCTGAAAAAGCTCTTGCCTTCTTAGATGATGCCTCAAAGAACGCACGTCCATTCTTTCTCGGCGTTGCCCCGACTGCACCACACAGTACTACAGAGTACGTAACCGTTAACGGAACGACAAAAACGGTCACAAGCGCGCCAAAGCCAGCTAAACGACACGAGAATCTGTTTGAAGACGTCGTGGTGCCCAGGACACCACACTTTAATCCCGAAACAGTAAGTAACAAATCAAGTTGGCGAGAAAAAAAAAAAACAGAACTGATGATAACATACTAGCCTTCGGGTGTCTACTGGGTCCGTGACCTGCCCAAGTTGAACCAGACACATATCGATGCAAATGATCTCTTTTACCGGCAACGTCTCCGGTCCTTACAGGCCATTGATGAGATGATAGAGGCCATCGTGCTAAAATTGGAAGAGCATAACATGCTCGACCACACATACATCATGGTATAGATGAACCTTTCCCTTACATTCTTCTTCTTGTCTAAAATATTTCCGGAACGCAGTTTACATCAGATAACGGTTTCCACGTGGGGCAGCACCGCTTAGAGCCTGGGAAGTTTTGCCCCTTTGAAGAAGATGTTCATGTTCCGTTGTTCATACGCGGACCGGGCGTTCCGGAGGGCCAGCAGGCGCCCGTTGTAACGACTCATACGGACCTGGTGCCTACTTTTCTTTCCATAGTAGGAGCGCCAATGCGGGAAGACCTGGACGGAGAGGCGATTCCCCTTACGAAACAGAGCATCGATGCGTCTCTTGGAAACCGATACGAGCATGTCCAGGTTGAATACTGGGGTTATGCGGTATCTGAGGGAGATTACGCTTATCAAGGTACGATATTACATGTACCTGCACAGCTTACGATTCTAAAAGCCTCCTTATTCAGGATACTTGATTCCCAACAATACGTATAAAGCTCTTCGCATCGTGAGTGACGAGTATAGTTTCTACTACTCCGTCTGGTGCAATAATGAGCACGAGTTCTACGACATGAAGGTACCCATCAATTAAACCGCTCAACGATCTGAACTTCACTTTAGTAACGCCTTAGTCTAGGATGACCCATATCAGTTGAAGAACCTCTATTCAGCTCAGGCCGTATTTAGTGATGAAGGTTTCTTCTTTGGCCGGCCCCTATCGCAAGTTCTCTCCCGCCTCGATGCGCTGACACTGGTTCTCAAGACATGCAAGTCACAGGCCTGCGTGAAGCCGTGGAAATCGCTCCATCCAGCAGGAGACGTGGCGAATCTGAGAGATGCCGTCGATCCCAAGTTCGACGGGTTCTACGAGAATGATGTGCCAAAGGTGAAGTATGATCATTGTGCGCAAGGTTTCTTTCTGGAATTAGAGCAGCCGGTATACGATCAATCTATCGCGTTTCTTTCTGCCTGATGAGGGACAAGCATGTTGTAAGGAGAATCTGTAACAAGACAATAGATACTAGACGGCTTAGAGTTACTCGATGGCTCGGATGGCCCTCTAGATGCCCTGGCCCTCCCCCTAGTCCTGCCGGAAGATCCATTTGGACTTTCTTCGCTATGGGGAGCCCTGCATTGAAGCGTCGAAAAATACATAAGACTAGCTTGGTTTCCGTAGATCGTCGGCTTATTATTACGATATTTCATCTTTACGTTGTAAGACTTGTTATCAGATGCTGCTGCCTTTTCAAGTGGAATTCGAGCTTTTAGTATTGGTAAGCTGCTCGCAAATTCTTTTATTCTTTCTATATGAATAGTCAATAAGTAAATATAAAGTTTATCTTTAACAGATTAAAATAAAAGCTATAAGGGCTGCCTGAACTGGAGAGACAACCATCTCTCCACCATCGCTCTTCAAAGAGAACAAAACTTAACCCACATCCCAGTACTCGTTCACAGAACATTTGTCCCAGGACTGTACTTGTACTGTAGAAGACACTGTCCAGGGGACAAACAATATAGGGGGGCGTTATCCCAGGATGGCGTCCGTAGAGAGTACTTGGAGAATTCATCAACTTCAGATCTTACTATCTGACCACCTTACAGAGATGGCATGGTTAGGAAGGGTTTTTTATAGGAACAATACCTCGGGGAGGAAGTTTCTGCTATCCTCTTAGAGTATTTAGACGACTTGACTTTGATCACACGCCTGCACTACTTATATCGCAACTTTGGCCCAATAGGGGCATATCTGAAACCGACATCCATAGAGCGTAGAGCACTGCTCGGGGGCCAAACTAACACTTACACCAATTACAGCGTGATGTATAGTGAACCCGATTTGGAACTACTAATTTGCCGACGACGACCTGTCATTTACAATACAAACCGGAACGGTCCCAGCTCCCGAGGAATCAGCGCATTGATGGGCGGCTCGGGAGCATGCGGTCGACCGGGAAGAGATGTGATTAGTGCGACAAAGCGTGGTACTATCTTACTAGGACACAAGAGGTCTTAATTGATACCATAGCGATGCGTGGGCCGATAACCTGTCAAAACGGATGGTCTCCGGTGTAGACGCTCGCTTCGCGCGGGTGAGGTCTATAGTTGGCGGACGAAGGCAAATCAGAGATGCAGGAAAGGGGCTATGGGAGGCCTTTTGTTGTGAGGAATAGGACGAATGGAGTACAATGCCGCCGCATAGACGCCTGTGATCCGTCTTTCGTCCGACGCAGGACAACCACAGTAGGTAGGACGCATTAAGGTGAGTTTGTAGGGACGTCATTCTTTCCAGGGTAGGCTGCACCTACTCAGCTGCCGTGTGGGTGTAGGTATGTCTCGGTCCTTGGGTCAAACCCAGACCGTCATGCGATCCTCTCGTTCTCGCCTGGCGGTTCCGAAGCTCGGGCTGGCATTATTGATGCGGCATAACTGGATGAGGCTAGTTTCCCGCCCGAAATAGGATCAGACCGCTACCTACATTTCACTGCCCGCAGGAACTGGTAGACTTCAACGTCCACCCATCTAGTCGCCATAATGCTTCTCACGAAACGCTTGACGGTGGTGACGGGGGCGGAATGGGCCCGATCATAAAGCTAGGACCCAACCACCTACATACAGTAGATACCTATTTAGTATAGCAACACAAGACACAGTAGACACAACGGCTCTCGTTGCCGTCATGGGAAATAGGCAATCGACCAGTCACTCAGTCGACCTGTGTGATTGGGGTGGCACATTTTCTGCAAGGAGATGGCGACGGGCGCTTGGGGGTTATGCAGCACAGGAGACGAAGCCGAAAACTGTCTGAAGCGGCGATCGATTGGGTCCCGGGCCATTTGGGGGGGTGATGCAAAGATCATTACTGAGGATGTGCTCAGCGGGAGCGAGCTGACGGTGCGGGTGCGGGGTGGAGGAGGAGGAGAGGGAATGAGAGGGAGGAAAGGGAGGGAGGGAGGGATGACAAACCTTTTGGTGTACCGCTTGAAGCCAAGCCTGAGACCCCTTATTCTTTCTCTTCTCTCCTCTCCTCTCTCCTATTTGCTTGAAGGTATAAATAGAGAGAGGTTGATCGCTTGGGTGCGGTGAAGAGGAGGCTCTTGTTCGAGATGTTAATCTATACTATGTAACTAGATATTCATACATATCTTCACCACATCTGGCTTCAACATAAGTGGAATCCTTCATCTATCCGTACCTGAATACCTACTCTAGTAGGTACATAAGTACTGAATCTATTTACTTACATAAATAGCGTGATATCTAACTATAAACTGCCTGGTGTTCAAGCTAGCCCACCGCCTTCGCCGCTACGGCAGAGACAAGTCTTACACTAAAAAAGAGGCGTGAGTGGAGGTGCCCCATTTTTTCTAAGCTCGAAATCGCAGCTTTATCGTTCGATATTAGAAAATATTCGAGAAAGCTGATCTGGGATTGATCAGACCACCAAAAACAGCTACCAACTCTCCCGCCTAACGTGGGTATATTACTTACTGCTGCATTGCCCAAGCTAGGAGTCAATTCTGGTAGCTGTTCTCTTTGCACAGTCCAGGGCATACCAATTATCTGAGATTGAGAGCTACATCATCATGCCGAAAGCGAAGCGCAAAGCAGAGGAGCCGCATGCTGTGGACCAGAAACCCTCTAAGAAGAAAGCTAAGACCAGTCAGCCTACCTACCTTTCCCCTTGCCGCGACGGGATCCAAGATACAAGAGCCAGGGAAAAGCCCAGCACAAAGCTAATACTACCCAACAGCTCCAAGCAACGAAGATGCCCAAGCCCGCTTTAGGAAGGGGCTCTTCGACAAGAAGGTCCTCGACCAGTACACCGGGGAGTACTCCGAGTCGGCGCCGTACAAGCATGCCGTCATTCACGAGCTGATTGACGACAAGCTCCTGCGTGCCGTGCGGGACGAGATCAAAGACAATGTCTCTTTCACCCCCAAGGAAACCGACATTTACAAGATCCACCAGTCGGGCGACCTCGCAAACCTCGACGGGCTAGGCGACGAAGCCCTGGCCAAGCTGCCCTCCCTTCTCGCCCTCCGTGACGCCATGTACTCCCAGGCCTTCCGCGACTACGTCGCCCACGTTACCGGCTGTGGACCCCTTAGCGGCCGCAAGACGGACATGGCCATTAACGTCTACACCCCCGGCTGCTATCTGCTGTGCCACGACGATGTCATCGGTAGTCGCAGGGTCAGCTACATCCTCTACCTGACCGACCCGGACATCCCCTGGAAGCCCGAATGGGGCGGCGCTCTCCGCCTATTCCCCGTCAAGGAGCTCGAGGGCAAGGACGGGCAGGTGGCGCACACGCCAACCCCCGACGTCAGTAAAGTCATACCGCCTGCGTGGAACCAGCTGAGCTTTTTCGCTGTGCAACCAGGAAGGAGTTTCCACGACGTCGAGGAGGTATATCATGCCGAATCCAAGGAGCAGCTAGTGCGCGAGGGTGGCCGCGTGCGTATGGCTATCTCGGGCTGGTTCCACATTCCCCAGATCGGCGAGCCTGGCTATGTCGAAGGTGCTGAGGAGCGGAATACCAAGAACAGCGGGCTCATGCAGCTGCAGGGCAATCCAGATCAGTACGACGAGCCGCGGCCGCAACCGGTCCCTGCCAAGGCGAAGGGGGAAGAGAGCGAGGATTTTGACGAGGCCGACCTCGAATTCCTTCTTCGTTTCATGGCCCCGACTTATTTAACGCCAGACACGATTGAGCAAGTCTCGGAGCATTTCGGCGACAGCTCAAGTATTACGCTACCAAATCTACTTGGAAAGAAGTTCGCGGCAAGGCTGCGCACGTATATATTAGCGCAGGAAAAGGCGAGCAAAGATCTACCTGAAGACAGCGCCAAGATCGAGAAAGAGACTCCCTGGCGTGTCGCGAAGCCACCCCATAAACACCGATATCTATATCAACAGTCCTCATTACCATCATCGTCGTCGAAAGACAACAAGAGCAAAGGAAAAGGCAAAAAGGCACGAGAAGAAAGCGACGAATCCGACTCCCCGATTCGCGAACTCCTCGACGAATTCCTCCCCAGCCCGCAATTCCGCCACTGGCTCCAGATGGCGACGGGCTGCACGATCGAAAGCCACGACTTCCTGGCGCGCCGCTTCCGGCGCGGCAAAGACTACACGCTCGCCACAGGCCACGAGGGCAAGCCGCGCCTCGAGCTCAACCTGGGCATCACGCCCACGAAAGGATGGGGTGATGACGACGACGACGGACAGGTTGACGAGAACGAGGAAGAGAACGAAACAAGCAGTAAGAAGAAAGCGAAGAAGGATAAAAAAGGAAAATCCAAGGGCAGTAATTCCTCAGCAGTAGAAGCGGTAGTTGAAAAAGAAGAAGATAAAGAAGAAGGAGAAGGCGAAGTAGGCGGTCACGAAGTCTACATGGCAGGCGACGAGGGCTCCGACAACGAGGACGCGGCGATCTACAAATCGAGCCATCACGCTGACGACGAGGACAACATCCTGTTCTTCCAGGCCGCGGCGTGGAACAGGCTTTCCCTCGTCCTCCGCGATAGCGGGGCCCTGAGGTTCGTGAAGTACGTCTCTCGGCGCGCGAAGGGCGACCGGTGGGATGTTAGTGGGACGATGGAGGTCGAGGAGGAAGATGGTGATGATGAGGGGGAAGGAGAAGAGGGGTATATAGATCCGTTGGCGGATGATACGGAGGAGGAGTGGAAGGGGTTTTCGCCTTCTGAGGATAGTGATTCGGATTGAGTGGTTGATTGAATTTTGGCTGTTGGTCGGTCTAGGGTAGGAAATTCGGGAGTGAAAATGTGTGTGTGTGTGTGTGTAGTGTTTTGATACCAAATCATGTCCAGAATGGATGGATACATGAACCAAACATTAATAAAATATAATATTCCTGTCATTCTCTTTCATTGCTTAAATTGCTAGTTAGAATCGCAGCTATTTCCCCTTCCTTTCTTCTCTTATAACAGAATATAAGTAAGTAAGTAGATATATATTGTATAACTTGTCTTCAACAGTACCATATACTCTTCTCCTCTTCTATTCTATCAGGTCTACATAGAATAATCTATACTCGTAGCCCCTGCGACGGCAAACCCCGAAATAACCCGAGTATTCATATCTCCCTCTCCCCAACCCCTCTCTCGCCATGTTTCTACGTATATACTCTTTAAAGCCCAACCAACCCCGTCTGTCCATATCTCATGATAACCATACCATACCATACCAATGCAACAATGCCCTACGCCATCGAATGCCATAAAACGCCTGGCTTGCTGAAAATATGCGATTGCCCAGTTCCCAAAGAACCAAAGATAAAACACGCCAAGAAAAATGACAATTCCCAAAATCTCATAAGACGTAGGAACTTCCCCGTCTGACAACTCCAATTCTGTCTATAAGTCTTCCAGCTCGTCTTTGCTCCAAGTACTGACGAACGCATGCATGAGGAAATGCAACCACGTCTTGCGGGCTTCCTTGTTCTTCTTATGCTTGTGTTTCTTGTTCTTGTGGTGCTTCTTCTTCTTGTTCTTGTTCATGACAAAGTCGAAGAAACTCCATGAATCAGAATTGCTATCAGTGTCTTCATCCTCGTAGTCTTCGACTTCATCGTCGTCGTCTGTAAAAGCGAGTTCGTCAAATTCGCTATCTGCGACCGACTTCGCTTTCTTCGAGGCCTGCCCTATGCGGTGCGCGAGACGCACGTAGTTCTTCACGGTGAGATCGTCGAGCTTGTACACCTTGTCGTCGAACGTGCTGTATTCGATTTCGAACTTGAACGCGTTGGGTTGTGGCTTGTCGTGCTTGGGAGTCTTGCCGTGGTGCTTTCCGGGATTCCACCCGTTAGGCGAAAGATCGGCAGCCTTGGGATCTACGATGTCGTTGTTGATATATGTGAGATTTGCAAAGTATTGCGTGTACCCCAGTAAGGTCAATGTTTGGGGACTGTATGCCGGGCCAGGCGGAGTACCCTTTGCCGGAGGGTCAGGGATATTTAGATGGGGTGGCTTTTGGCCTTTTTTACCCTTGTTCTTCTTCTTCTTCTTTTCGATCTCGAACTCAGGGGTCTCGCGTCTCTTCAGCTCACCAACCTCGGGTACCTCATCGTGATTGGGAAGTGTTTCGTCAAGGTATGCTGCTCTTGTGGCTTCTGCCCACGTACGAGTATTTTCGATACCAGTGATGTTGTATTCGAATACTCTAAGGCCGGGGAAATAGTTTGGCACAACACTCGGGGATATAAGAGTAAGTTGGAATCGCTCTGCCCATTTGCCACCGAGTTTGTCTTTCCCCTTCTTGCTCTTGCGCCGTTGTTGGTTGCTCTCGTCAACACCGTTTTCTAGAGCCACTGGACTCGGCAGCTTAGCCCATCCATCACGAAGCTCTTTCAGGTAATCAGTACTTGACGCAATGGAGAAATCATCTTCCATGGCTTCACGACGGAAGGCCTGGACGGAATCTTGGCCTTGAATTATTGCGAGGTCGATTTCTTTTGTGTCTTGCAACAGAAAGTGATCAATGTTCATGTGCCCATACATGGAGCCTACAATGACGTCACGGTACTGTTGCAGCCACAAGGTATACTTCTGCCAGCATGTCTCCTCCCACAATTGCTTGCCGGGAGTCCTCGCAGGAGGGACATGTCCCATGAGAATCGCCTTCATGCCGCGACCACGTAAGAAATCGAGCTGAACACGTAGCCATTCGAAATGCTTGTATCCAGGTTCCGAAGGATGTATGCAGTCGTCAATACCGGCGTTCCGATCGAAAAAATACATTGTGTTGAGTGAGAATACGGCGAGTTTGTTTGGTATGACCTCAACATAAAACCAACCTCCATATTCGAACGAGTGCCGTTGGGCTTCGGGGATAAATGGCCTCCAAATGGTGGTGTAGCGTTGTAGGATATCGTTGGGCCCAGGCAGCAGGATATTGTGAGGATAGATATCATTATTGCCGAACGTTGGCACCACGGGAATAATCAGGCCCGTATCATCAGAGAAGGCGTCGACAAAGCTGTCGGCGATGCGACGGTTCATTGCTAGGATGTCCTTGTTGTGGCGGGGTAGCTGTTCATCACTGTCATGGCGGGCAGAATCGCCGGTCCAGACAACGAAGTCAACCTCATCCCTCAGATGCTCTTTCACCCAGGCCAATGTCGCATCCACAAGCGACAGTGGAGAGTCGCAATCGGACGTCTCGGCGCCATAGATACCGGCAGGGCCATCGCCTCGGTGGCATGCGATGTTCTCCTGGGTTGAAGTGTGGGGTTTGTAGTGCTCATCGGGGTGTAGATCTGGATGGTAGCAGTGGTTAAAGACTGTTGAATACTGGATACAGGCACACAGGTGGGATCGCGCCGGGCACTAGGATGATGATGGTGTAGTGAGACAGACAGACGAGACAGACAGACAAGATAGACATACCTGTGATGTGAAGGAACCTGCCACGAAGACGGCGTTGAGAGGTGTCAGGGGCATCTCGTGGTGGCTGCAAGACATGCTGAGCTTCTTCTGTTGGAGCGGCACTGGCATGCACATGTGCCAGCAGATTGGGGACCACCAGTGCCGCCCATTGGAGGGCCTTAAGGGTCTTCAGGGGGGGCATGCTGCATAGCATACACAGTACCTAAGGTAGGCGAGGGTAGGTAAGAAGGGTTCTGTGAGCTGAATGCCTACAGCAGCGCAAAAAAGGGCTTGGGGCATGCAGCAGTCTATAAAAGACACAGAGACGGACAGTTGGCAAATCAAAAGAGAATAAGTAGTAGGTATGAGCAGTCAACGGCCAAAAAGAGAAAAGAAAAAGAAGAAAAAAAAGACGCAGAACCGCCCAAGTCAGGTAGGTAGATGATATCAGATGCCTTCCAAGTAACAAGGCTTTGTTTCGACTTAGTCACAAGAAAAGACTGCCTGCAATACCTACTTAAAACAAGTCAGACACTTCAGTCAAGCAAGCTATGAAAGTCCCATTCATTCCTCATTCCTCATTCCTCATTCCTCTCTCGGCACAGCTTGGGTTAGGGTAAAATTGGAACGCCGTACCTACAGTACATGCACTACCTACTTAGAGTATATAGCGCGATGGGGACCGTTCGTACGTCACAGGTTTTGCCGATCTACTCATCCGTTCGGTATTCTTGCCGTCTTCCTTTGGAACCAACAGAGAGAAAGTGGACAAGTTTTCCAATCCGTTCGAACCCCGGGGGGTCTGCGAGGTTCATATTTCCATTCCAATCTTTCCCACATACTCCCTCCCTCCTTTCTAATCACCTCGGCGGCCACAGAGGTCCTCGAGCCCGAGAAGTGGCACCCACCAAGAGGGCGAGACGTCGTGCGATGGGGAGCGAATCATGGGCCCGCATTTCGCACGTGTAGAACAGCTCAAACCTCGAAACCATGACATCGTGAGCACATGGGTGTGTTCTGGTGAGTGTGTGGCACGCAAGAGAAACCCATTGTGCCTCAGTCAGCGGTGGCGGTGGGTCAGCAGAGCGAATACCGCCGTCAGAAGACCCAATCAATTCCTTCGGCCACGATGGTCCAGACTACTTACTTACTGCCTGCCTGTGTTGGTTTGTGTATATTTTAGGTAGTTGATCCTACCCTATCCAGCTCAATACTTCTCTCGTTGTTGTCTTTTTCGAGGCGGGCGAGACAGGAAAAGTAAGCGTTGTTGGTGACACTTGTCGCCTGTGACGATCTTGTTACTGTATGTAGGTATTCTGCCTCGAGTCATCAAGGCCACCAAAACCCATGCAGGCGATGACGTGCGGTAGGACAGCGTCAGCTGAGGTCTCTCATCCGAGCCCTATCCGACTTTTGGTGTGTCTTGGTCTGCTTGGGGCTTGCTTCGTCAGTGGCTGGCTTGTCGCATCATCCTCCTGGGATAAAATGCCGGTTCCGAGGGAATACAGCATATGGGCAGATATGGGCTAGGATGAATATGACTTAGCTTTGGCATTTATCGATAAGACTCCATGAACAGGGTCTTTTGGTCCACTCAACCGCGACTTTTTTTTTTTTGGAGTTCTTCTTCTCTTCACATTCGACAGCACTCTCAATTCACAATCATTTCTTTTGGTTGTTTTCGAAAGGCCAATTTCCTCTACAGTCTCTCGAGTTGAATCTAGTGCGAGACTGACTTAGCCGTTCGTTTGAGGGAAGCCAGTTTTATTTTGCCACCAAGCTGGTTTCCTATGGTTTATCTCGGCTACATGAATAATGATAACACAGCTGAGTCGTGAAAGTAGGTTGTGCGTGTATCTTGAGTTTAGATCATAAGTCAAATATCTTTCGTCGTAATATTAGTAGTATACGCTGCCTTCTTGCGCTCTCTTCTGCATACTCCAGGGGAATAGCAGGTCGAAGGGCTTGGCTTTGAGTAAGTTTACTATGCTGAACCAGAGCAACTCATGATTTTCTTGCTGGTATATCCTTGCTCAGTGCTTCCAACTGAACCAAGACAACCTCGCCCGGACCATTCTTCTCTATCTGGTAGGTTCGGTATTCGACATTCCTGAACCTTGGACCTTCTACCAGTCTGTTCAGAAACCCTGAGTGGGTGACAACAACGATACATTGGTCCGATTGCTCAGCAAGCCACTGTCTCGCAACCGCTGCTCTCTTCCGAATCGTCTCCTCTGCCGGCCCATATAAGCCCGTCTTCTGGGGGTAGACTGGATCTAGCTGCGAGAAATCGAAGCTCGGCCAGGCCTTTTCGAGCTCAGATCGCTCGGTGCCAACATCACACGGGTTGGCTGTGTCTTCCTAAACGGTCAAGAGATTCGAGTTAAAACTCAATGGTGCCCAGTATCCCGCCTGCTAGGATAGGAGCGGCTTACCTGCCATTCTGCACGCGCCTCGACACGTACACCTCAATCTAGTAGCCATCCGAGCGAGTGCTGAACCGTCTGCAGTGTTCGCGTCAACGGACTCACTATGATGCGGCAGCCTTCTATGGCGTAGGGGAAGTCGGCTTCGAGTTGGCCCGCAAGAGTCTTGCACTGGTTAATGCCCAGGTCGGTCAACTGGGGATCGAATATCGACCAGTCACGTAGCCCAACAGTCAGCTCTCATACAGTCCCAGGTTGGTTTCATAGACGTAGGGTAACTTATTATCGACATCTAGAACCATTAGATACTGTTCCTGAGAAGAGTTGAGCGGGGTCTATTTACTGTGTAAAGCCTGCGCATGGCGTATAAGAACCACAGTGGGTGCCATATCGACTACTGATCAGATCTGAGGAGTTCCAGCAACAAGGGGGTCTGCTTGGATAAGTTGTCGGATTCTTCTTTAGTAGATGTTAGCTGATAGGGTGTTCGATCCAGCAAGGTACATGAACAGGGAACGTACAGCATCAATCCTGTTTATGGGCTGTTGAAGATGGCATATGTATTCATATATGAACCACCTCTTCTTATTCGTTACTTCATCTGACAGGCCGTTTGGCGGAGTCGGTGCCTACTTACTGTCAACTGTAGAGGGGCAAGGTCGGACAGCTTCCGATTTGGCACTTATAGTCTTACAGTACACTATCTCGACTATCACTCGTTCGAAAGTCACCCGAGACAATACAGGCGGCTAACCCTTGCTTAGATCTACCAAGGTATCTAGTGCTTCAGTAACTAAGACAATCTTATATGGATTTCTAGTATATTGCTACTAATCATAGCAATTCATTGTGAATAATGAGCGCACTTGGTGATACGGAATGCAGGGATTAAGGGCTGTGCTGCCTAAGTATTGCCCCGCCGTACCTCGCTCAGTATTTGCCGCTGGGGCAAATCAATCCATCCCGCTTTAGACTCACCGGAACCTCTGAATTAATCAGCCCTTTGTATTCCTGACTCACGCACATAGAACACCGAGGCTCGATGCCCTCTAACTAGGTAGCTATGCTAACTTTCCTCATGATCAAAAATGAGCCTCAGGTCGATATTGGGGGGCTCGGGGCGGGTTAAGAAGAAATCCCCGTCGACATTATCGAGCCGACCCAGCGCAGCGAAGCGGTCGTCATCCTCCAGCGCATCGCCTTCTCCGTCATGGACCTCCTCGCTACCCCGTCGCAAACCGGGAGCGACGTCGTCGTCGAAAAGAGTCGGAGGTGACGACGACGACGACTGGTTCGACGACAAGCTCGACGACCTGGGTCTCGTCGCGGCCCTCGCCACCGACCTCAACCTCCGCGATACGCCCCAGGCTATCCAGTACATCCGCGCGCGCATGTTCGCCCCGATCCCGGAGACCGCGGCCGGCATGACGTCCACCCGGATCTCCGAGGTCCTGAATTACCGCCGGAACCTCCCGCCCATCATCAGCATCGCGCACGTGCAGGCGCTGCTGGCGTCGCCCAGCGCCGTCGAGAGAGAGGTCGCCGAGCTTGCGCGACGGGGGTTCCTGCGGCGCATCGTTGTGCCGCGGCGGGGTGCCGTGGGCGAATTCATCGTGCTGTCATCTGACTACGAGGCCTCGATTAAGCGTACAACGCGGCTTGGCGAGAATACTCGGGAAACCCTATTGCAATACCTTGCGTCGAACCCGGATGTCCAGGTCTTGGGGAGAGACGCGCTGAAACCGGCTGAGATAGCGGAGCTCGTGCACGCAGGTTTCCTGACCGCGCATCACTCCGGTGGCGTCGTGAGCCACGACGCTATTTCCGGCACCATGCGGTCGTATGCGCGCCCCGAGGACAAGATTACCCTGACATCCCTGGAGACGATATCGCGGCAAGCGGCGGGATCGCTCGGCACAGTGGGTGGGCAGGGCGCGCTGCGCAATGCCGGCGGCAGTGGCGGAGGCTCGCTGTCCGTCGTGACGCCCACGACGTCCCCTGGCACAGAGTACAGACTTGCCGCGCCGGGGGCAGGCTCGTTCCTCAAGCTTGTCTCTGCGGCGCTAGATCACCTCGTCTCGCTGCTGGGAAAGTCCAGGTTCCGCGAGGTACCCGAGTCGGTGCTGAGAGAGCGGTGGGACGGCGGCATCGCCAGGGTCGAAGACGCCCGCCATGCTGCTGCTGCGGCGGCGAAGAAGGCCCGCGGCGAATTCGCTGGCGTGCTCCCTGGGCAGACGAGGAAGTGGCGCCAGTTCTACGGGCTCGCTTTCGATTGGGTGCTGCAGGAGGCCGTGGGCGCGGGGCTCGTGGAAGTCTTCGAGACAGGGAGTGTTGGGCGGGGTGTCCGTGCCATCAGATAGATAACGTGCTTGGATTTCTTCTGTTTCACTGTGCGAACATCATGATGGAACGATCCTAGAGGGTAGTGCCCTGGAATATGCGCGGCTATTGGATGTTGGGCAGGTTTCCTAATACCGACCTGTGATCTAAAACACCCCTACAAAATTGCTCTGTATAATACTCCTAGACTATGCAATGTCACGGATTCTAGAAGGCATTCATTCTATTACCAACGGACTATATAGTATAGAATACTATGGCATAGCATAGCATACCAAGCAAACTCGAATGCGCTGCGTTACATATGCACGATAAATGGGTTATTGTATGGGCAGCGCATAATGCGCCCTATGTACGAAGTCGTGAATGCGTGTTTCGTGCCAGCGAAACTGGGCCGTAGTAGCAAGGATATCCCTCGTTTCAACTACGATGTGGTGGCGGCAAAGCGTCTGTTCTGTCTTGTCTCCCTTAAGTACAGTAAGTACCGGTATCCTTTTTTTCGCGGCAATTAACTCGCGAGAACTGGCCTGCCGGGTTTTCATCCCCGCGGCACAGCGTCGCTCGCTTATGTTTGAAAGACACGATATGACGAGTTGTTTCATGTGATCTGCTTGCTTGCTTGCTTGCTTGTCTTGTGCGCTTCTGGCATTCCCGACGTACCTTGTGTTGCATTGACGGCATCGGCCGTTGGTTGGTAGAGAGGTCTAGATTTACGATTGGTGAACATAAGCAGGGAGAGGTATGGTCATGGTGATTGGAATGTCATGCGATTTCGTAGTTCTGTCATTTTTTTGGTTCTCGTGGAATTTCCTGTTTGTGGCGATGTGAATCTATGTGATACAGAAACATGCACCTTGCTTCAATTAGAAGGATGGCAGGAGAAAGTAGTTTTGCTCATGATCAAATTGAATAGGGTTGCTTGCTCGCACGAGTTGTGGCACAGCATGGCACAACATACCTACACAGATCCGGGTGTATCCAAGATAGATGCTACCTACTATATATAGAGAGAGTTGTATAACCCTATACGGCAAGAATCAGCCCTTCGCTATCATGGTTGACGACAGCTAATACATTTCCCTAGTAGAATGCGATACAGCACGCACCCCGATGACATGCGCCGGCATCTTTACCCATTCGGTGTCGTCGCCCCGGCAAACGTTCCGGAGGAAGAAGTGACCTGCTCTTCTACCCCCGGTCTTGTTTCACCGATGACACTTGATTGACACCTCCGGCGAAACCCGTACCCGAGCAGGAAGCGCGCTCCCGGAGATAACAACCAATTGGATGCACTAGGTGAGCAGCTGGTTGATTGATTGATTGATTGCTTTATGTGTGCGATAGGATCCATGAACCTGGGTGATATTAAGGAATTGGACTACAGTATCTGGGGTGCCGGTATATAGATTATGTTGATACCAATAGTTTGTAGGTACTTTAATGTTCCGCAAGAGCAATGTTATATATACATCATGGCATGTTCGTGAAGCCTTACACGATAGATGTTTGCTATTGTTTCATATTAGCTGGCTGGGATTCATCATGGTAAGCTCTGCGATAATGCTCTAGGATGCTACTTTCGTCCCTAGAGAACGGAGATTCATCTGAGTTGGAGGGCCAGATAGGTGCATGTACGGCGATATTTGTTTGACTTCGCCTGGCTGTAGAGTAACTTGAGACGCATTTAGCCTTCTCAGTGGCTGGTATCACCTCTATCACTAGGTGATACAGCCTCATCTACTCTTACCACTCCGGACGGACTGGACGGACATGGGATGTCCAGCGTTCCTCCATACTGTATGTGCAGCTCATACAGGTTGGGAGATACCTTTTATCGCATGTCCTCGTTGCTCATTTGTGTACCACAACCGGCACCCAAGCCCCGATAGACATCGCCGGGGCTTTCTCGAGTTTGATATAGATTGCTAGCAAGATCATGAACGATCCAGGATCTCAATGTTACCTATGTAGGTGGCCACTGGAATAGGAGTGTTGCGACGTTGCTTTTATTGTCCCGTTTCTGAATTTCGCCTACGGGTTAAGTAGCTTATATACCATAGATCTGCTGCTAAGGTCACTTACCACATTGATTATATCGGCTGCTTTTAGAACATTCCTAACAGCCTAAAACAAATGTACTAATATTCAATAGCGGCAGGCGCTTAAGGGAGACGATGCTGATGCGGGATAACGGCTTCGTCCCGAATATACCGCTCCCGTTGTTTCTATCCCTAGCTGTTTCATCCTGTGCTACACCGAGGCGCGGTTTAGTTCTGATAGAAAGTCAAAGTCGTCGCTCAATAGGACCTCTGTATCCTACAAAAAAGGGCTGAGTGATGTATCTAACGTATCCAGCCCGTACACCTGGCAAAGTTCCTGGTAAGTGATTGATTACCAGTATTAGGGAGAAAAGCTATTCTCGTTTAGTTATGCGGCTATGCGCATTTCCCCTGGTTAATTCTTAGATGGGTATCGTGAAGGCAGGTCGAATGCGCAGTGAGCTTCCCCGAAATAGGTATTATCGAGCGATCCCTTTATGTAGCTGTAGCATCCTCACTACGACAAATCCATGTAGGTATAATAGAAGCTCAGCATCATCAGAAAAGATCATGTCGTCCTCGTCGTCAAGCTTTCCTGGGGGATGACAATCGACAGCGGGGTAATGTAGCAATGGACTACTGTAGTGGCGTTGGGATGGGAAATTTGCAATGCGAAGTGACAGGGGACGCGTTCATCGCGAATCCCACCAACGCTAGCCGGTTACAGTACAGCAACAGGCGGATCTCCCGCCCAGCGCAGCAGCGCGGTGTGATGGAGGATCGAATTATAACAGCTCAAGTCACATAGCTAATGTGACTGAAAGGCTGGACTGCAGCGGCTGCTAGTGAAAGAATACTTAGATGGCCCAAGTCGCCGTTCATGCTTTATCAAAGGTCGCTCGTAAAAGTCAAGCATTCTGCTCCTATGACACCCTCGATCCCTGATAGCGTAGCAAGGTACTGCACTAGAGTCGACCATTCAAAGGTCCCCTGAACAGCACACTAGGTACCCTGAATACATATAACGAACTCTCGGGGACGCTGCCGAAGATATCAACCCACATGAAATGGGTGGCATTGCACCTGCGTTGAATGGTAGTATTTGCAACTGCAACGGCAGTGTTGTAGTGTCAATCCTACTGGTAGGTAGTGTATAATAGCAAAGCCGGCACTCGACCACGACCAACGAATATTAGCGAATATCAAGAAGGCATAAAGGCGTGTGTGGCGCGTCACATCGCGGGGAACCAACCAAATGCTTGATGCTACCCGTTATCGGAGTTATTGATGCAAAATAGGTACTGGAAGGCATACCTACATACGATAGGTATGCATGGAAGAAGAAGCAACGGTTTATTTAAATCGAGGCTGGCATGACGGATGACCTGCAGCTCGACGTGTTCGTCTAGAAGCCTGACTAAACTGTTCGACAGCAACCCAGGTCCCCTTGTGTCTTGAAATCCGTGCCGAACTTCTCTCGCCTTTTTTTTTTTTTTTTTTTTTTTTTTTTTTTTTTTTTTTCCTCACCCTGATATTTTGATATTTTAGTGCGAGGAAATGGCTTGTAGTGGCGCCGGACATCACTCAGCTTGCGCTTGGTTCACCCTTTGATTTCCCCAGGAATGGAAAATCAATCATTCGCCACGTGGAGGACGACATGCACCTACCTACCTTAGACCAAGGTTTGGACACCATCTGTCTTCGTCTTTCGCGTATCCATCGAGATACGCGCGTTGCGGCGATGGCACGGTTGATGATATTATCAGATTCGCTCGGTTGCATCGAGACTCAAGACAAGATTATCGTCCATTGTTTAAACCCGGTCGAATCTGTTTAGTGAAGATATTATACATCCAGTTTGCGGCCTAGCGTGGGGTTCACGCCCCAGCCATTGGCTGTTGGTCCAAGTCTGTCCAAGGTCGGCCGATACTTTGTGCAGGGGGACGAGAACAGGGTTCAAGGGCGGAAATTGGCTGAGCGAGGGGACGTTAGGCCGCGGTTGAAAAATGAACCTGGTCAGGGGTTGGGTGATCTGGATATCAAATTGACCATCCCCGGCTACCATAGTAGTAGAAAGTAAATATATCTGGTATTATCAAGATGGTGTTTCTTGAGATAAGTGTTAGATAACTAGTGTAGTGGAAGGCTGGTGCGGATTATCACGATACAGCTTAAGAGTGAACCGAAATGTGAGGGTTAGAAATGATAGGAAAAGAGAACTCCCACTCGACCCAGCCTCGAGTAAGAACAGACCATGGCTACCTACCTACTATGTAGGTACCTACTCTACCTATTTCAAGGCTGGTGTACCTCAGATACAGTAGCGCACCTACCTCTCCAAGTGCTGAGTGACACCCCTCCTATACACGTGTACAAAGAGATATGTAGGTCACAATATAACCCGAGTTAGTCTCTTTCTTCTAGTATATGTATACACTGCTTGAACATCGCGAGTTGGCCCGGCGATACTGGAGCCTTCTACCTGATATCGTCACCTCGAATGATGCCATGGCGAGATGGCTTCCTTCTATCAGATGCTACTACTCGCTAGGTCTGCTAGGTCTGCTAGGTCTTGTAGCTTAGCTCTATACGCATGCGCTAAGTACCTAGGTAAGGGACTTAAGTACCGTAGCGTGCCCCCTGCTAGCCCGCAAGGGGTCTAATAAGCGCCCTAGCATCGCCACAGCACCTACACTACCCACGCTATCCACGCTACCTACGCCTGAAGGTGCCGGTCCCGTTAGGTCCTTGTCATACCCGTCCCATGATTCGTGGTACTTTTCAAGATTGCTCGGGTACTTTCCCAGGTACTTACTTACAGTAGATTGCATCTTACATTTGGAGCATAAACCCCGACTCCAACCAAGTTCTCTCAGCCCCTAAACTGGCCACTCCAAGACCAGGTTGCATGTGTGCGGGCAGACGACTGGTAGTAAGTAGATCCTGAGCGCTAAGCTACTAGGGAAGTAGGTAGAGGTACGGTAGTGGTCATAGGTAATGAGGGACGAGGGACGGAGGTAGGTAGGTAGGTAGGTATCGTATCGTGCGCTCTCCTTGCTCGACCAGAGCATCTGCATCCGTAGTCTCTTGTTCCCATCCTGTCCAAAGATCTTGAGTTTGGGTAGACTACCTACGCTGTCTTCCATACCTATCTACTAGTTGGCTACATGTAGGTGGTGAGAAATACTTACCCTCGTTCCTATTGCCGCTGTGCATGGTTATTGTCTATCTCTACCTTATCTTTCGATATTCGCCAACCCAAGTACTCCGTACAGCTTCGTGCTATCATCACCACGCGTACTACCTACCCACGGTCTAACCTGCCACTCGCCACTATCGTGATCTCAGGTTGTTCATCTAGATTTCGCATTTTCTCGCGCAGGATCCTCCTACCGTGGTGGCCAGTGTCCCTAGGTATCGCTACTGGCAGCGACATCTTACGCCTTCAGCTCCAGCTTCCAAGTCCTGTATAGGCCCGGCCTTCTAAGCGGCTTCGACAGCTGCAGCCCGCTCGTTCTTTCCCCAGCATCGGCTACCTGCCTGCCTGCCCATCCATTTCCGACGCCACCTCGACTTGACGGCATGGTAACATCTACGACTTCCTACCGACAACAATAACGATACAAGTCATCGACCATAGCACACTGCTGTTCAGATCCCTTCTTTACATCGCGCCATCGCGGAAACCCCTCGGCCGGCATAGAATAGGTCTTTGGGTTGAAGGAGATATATCTGCATCCCATACCATCCACTGAGACTAATTGCCCTTTGTCTTACGAAAAAAAGGCCCAACACCCGACACGCCTGTCTTTGTAGGGAGCTCAACCCAGACTTATGCGTTGTGTAGCTCCAACTAGCTTGTGCCTCTTTGGTTGTCACTCGTTGTCTCAGAACGGCCACGACATTGTACGCCCGCCTTAACTTTGCATACCTTCGCTTCCTGTGAGTTTCCCCAAGCTCTCCCTTGGCCTTTAGTATACGCAGCTATTTCATTACACATCTTCCAATTAGCGCATCACCAGATCATCTAACCTAATGCTTTCCGTAGGACTTCATTTGGTGCTGCCTTGGTCCCGCGCTTGTTGTTCCATGTTCTGCCCAAATCTTACTGCCCAGCTCAACGAACATTGCCCTTTACGGGCCAATCAGCGCCGTGGTCAATTGTATTTGACCCTTTTGCAATAAAGCCGTCGATCGAATCCAACTAATTTGAGTTTATGAGAACCTCGATCCCTAGTGTCTGGGCTATGATTGTTAACCGAGAAGTCTCATTCGGTCCCTAATCGTGTGCTTGATCTCCCTGTTTAGCATTTTAACAGTTCATTCTGCACAAATCTTCATTTTGCGTCAGCACTCACATGGAGACGTGAATCCCATAACGTATCCTCGCGAATTCATCGACTCGAGTGCTTCGGGCCTCCAATTCTTTTTAAACCACCATGGCAACTGCACTACCGCGATTACGAGGGCCTAATGACCCCCCGGCGAATTCTCTGCCGGCTTTGCCCATGTCAAAAAGTCGGAAGAGCACTGGCGGAATCGTAAGCCCGACCAGAACACCGAGAAGTGGACTACGGGCGCCATCCGCAGCGTCCATACATAGCGGGCCTCCTCTGTCCCCAGCGCCCACTGGCGCACTTCCAATTCCGAAAGGTGCTGGAATTAATAATGCTGGGAGGTCCATCCGAAAAACTGTTAGCATTAATTCATTCCCTCAGCCCCCAAGTCGGGCAGGAAGTCTCCCCCCGAGCCCGCTGTCCGGGTCCATCACACCAGTCAGAAGAGCTCGGACCCCTCAGGCGACGACCAAAGCTGGGCTTCAATCTGGTGGAACGCCAAGCCTGCTGAATGGAGGTGGAGAGGGCAAATCACTGCTAGGCGGGGCGGGCACGAGACACTCGGACGGATTGATTAGTATAGCCTCTCCGCCCCAAAGTCGTAGCTCTTCGGCGCAAGATTCCTATTCAACGTCGGCGACTACGTACGACGATCCTTCGGAAATGAATGGGACCAGCACCAAAGACCGGCGTGCTTCTAAGGGTTTAGATGGTAAAGGCAATGTTCTGGTCAGCGTTCGCGTAAGACCAGATGCTGGTGGCAGTAATGGTCAAACGGAGGGGGAATGGATGGTTGATGGTCGAAAGTCATTGGTCGCGTATCGCGGGCGCGAAGGGGGAGATAATTACTACGGTTTGTTTTCGCACTTCCCAACTTTTGACCCTGCTAACCGCTTGAAGATAATGTTTTTACGACTCACGACGACAACAGCCGTGTATATGACCACATTGCGAAGCGCCTAGTCCGCCGAGTCATGGAAGGTTATCATGGAACGGTATTTGCATATGGTATGACGGGAACAGGCAAGACATTCTCCATGCAAGGCACTGCCTCATCACCCGGTGTGATCCCACTCGCTATCACCGACATATTTTCATACATTCGTGAGACACCGTCTAGAGAGTTCTTGCTTCGGGTGAGCTACCTCGAAATTTACAATGAGAGGATACACGATCTTCTTAGTATGCCAACAGCCAATGCCACTGGGACTGGCAGTGCTCAAGAAGAGATTAAGCTGAGAGAAGACAGCAAACGAGGTGTCTATGCGACCCCCCTGAAAGAAGAAATCGTGCAAAGCCCCACGCAGCTGCTACGTGTGATTGCTCGTGGTGACCAAGCCCGACGGACTGCAAGCACACAGTTCAACGCCAGAAGTTCTCGAAGTCATGCAGTTGTGCAGATTGTGGTAGAAAGTAGAGAGCGGTTACCAGGAATCGCGGGGGCCGATGGGAAACGATCGGGAATGGTTCCAGGCGGTGTTCGTGTTTCCACATTAAGTCTGATCGATCTAGCTGGCTCGGAAAAAGCCGCCGAATCGAAGGAACGCCGGCAAGAAGGGTCTCATATCAACAAGAGCCTGCTCACTTTGGGAACAGTTATCTCAAAGCTATCAGAAAATAAAGAAAAAGACGGAAAGGGCGGAGACAAGGATGGCAAGCATCTGCCTTACAGAGATAGCAAGCTAACCAGATTGTTGCAAGGCGCGCTCTCTGGAAATTCGCTTGTGAGCATTCTTTGCACCATTCAAACTGGTGCCGCTGGAAGTACGGCTTCAGCAAATAGCCATGCAACCGAAACCCTTAACACCCTGAAATTTGCTTCCCGGGCGAAGAATAGCATAGTGAGCCACGCTAAACGAGCTGAGGAAGCCCTGGGTGCCGGTGGTGAAGGTGGCGCGAGAGTGCTTCTCGAGCGTTACCGAATGGAGATTCTCGAATTGAAGCAACAGCTTGACACCCAAGCCAAGGCTAATAATGCCAAGGCTGAAGAAGAAGAGAATGAGAAAGACGCAGAAGAGGAGCTCGCACGAGAGAAGGAAGCGGAAGCAAGGCATGAAGAACAGATTCTAGAAATGCAGCTAGCGCGCACGGCTCTAAAGGAACGAATCGACCATTTGAACAGGCTGATTCTGAGTTCAAAATCAATAGGCGTTAATTCCAATGGGACCTACAGTGCATTAGGGGTACACAATCGTTTCTCGCAAAGCTCAATTCGCACCTCACTGACGACACCGAATGGTCTCGAAAGAACCGCATCGAGAGGCTCGTCAGCGTCGACAATTGGGCGTAGGTCAATAGGCGCACGGCATTCTAGCGGCGAGGAAGGGACTATGAACGAAGAGGAGGATCATGCGGGCGAATATGGTGACGGTATGGCTTCGTTGCAAGCTCAAAATCAATCTCTGCAAGCCGACCTTACCGACAAAAATCGATACATTGCAACTTTGGAGAAGAGGCTTCTCCAAGCTCGCCGAGCAAGCTCTTCGCGGACGTCGGCAGGCTTCTCCACTCCGAACAAGGGTATCATGGTTGGCGAGGATCATAGTGTGTCCGCACTCATCAAAGAAAAAGATGCCGAAATCGCGGAGCTTCGGGCAAGGTTGGACGACAAGGACAGAATGTTGACAGCACTTCGTAGCGCAGCTCGCTCGAGGGATGTTGCTGAAGGACTCGATAACCAGAGGAGTGAAACGCGCTCCTCGCTTCTCCTAGAGTCTGTCAGTCCCCCGCCGCAGGATGCTCTACCAGATCCTCCTGTTGCCAAGGCCAAGAGGTACTCGCCCATACGGAAACGAAGTGTGGATGAAATGAGTAAAATGTTAGATGAAATGATTCAAGACCGTGTCGAATCCGGCCAGCTTGTTAGGGGCGTTCGTGGCAGCGTTCGTCTTGCCCAAGATCGCAAATCGGCAGGTATTACGGACCTCAGCCATCCCGGTCTCGAGCTACCGCGAGCCGACCGCACGGCAGGAGAAGACCATCCATCGACGTGAGAAGTATAAAAACTTTTTTTTTGAAATCGGCTTCGATGATGATTAGAGCAGCTGTTCCATCTCTTTCAATTTTTGGTAGCAGGCCGGCGTTCGGGTCCATACTCTTTCTATTTTGCCTCTACTTATAATATACCCCTTATCATTTCCCTTTATATCTGTTTGCTACGATCTTGGCTGGCTCCGTGGAATGCGAATGTTCTGAATGAGGAAACAAAAAGGAGAACTGGTAGTTGCTCGATTCTGTTTGATTGTATTGACATCCCGCGGGGACCACAATTTGCCTATGTGTTATTTAGCAGTTTATATTTCCAAATGCCATGGAAGGAGAGGGGACCACGGGGTGACGGAAACTTGTAATTGGTCTTTTGGAAGGTCCGGTTATGGGAGAACGGAAGAGGGCAGCATTTTCTCCTTTTTTTATCACTTCTCTACGCAGATTCATTTAAAACTGGTAGAAAAGTGAAGCTCGTTTTCGTTTTTCATCCACCATTCATCTTGTATATTATTTCGAGCAAGTTAAGCCAGTCAGTCAATCGCGACGCAAACGGACGGGAGATTTACCGTATTACTGTAATATTCGTGCTAGCTGGCTGTGCTTGCCTGCCTGTCTGTCTGTGTGTGTGATTTGCTTTTCTTGGTGCGAGGATCTGTAGGTAGGTGGTAGATGAAGTTGGGAAGATGGGGAAAGAAAGAAGACGAAAGACGAAGAAAAAAGTAATGAACGGGGTCAATGAATGTTGAGATTTGATCTGATGTATTAATGGTGGTAGTATGTATATATGTATGTATGATTTGCTTATGTGCCTTGCTACCTACCTACCTATGTATCATTTTCCCTCTTACGTACCTAGGGGAGGAGGAGGACTTTTGATATTATTTTTTTTTCTGTTTGTATCACGCCTGCATGCATGCATGGATGCGTGCATATACATAGATAGTAGTGCCTTGCCTTATTTTAGATAGATAAGTAGGTAGGTAGGTAGTATGCATTGAAGTTAGCTGCCTTTATTAAGAGAAGGAAGGGAGCGTTCAGCTCGGCACTGGCTGGGTCCGATTGATTACCTTTTGTAGGTAGGTAGGTAACCATCGAGCCTCGTGGAGGGAGGTAAGGATTTATGTATGTATGTATGTATGTAATCTGTAAGTTCATGCCGTCTCTCTCTCTCCTCCCTTGTACTGGTATATGGCACGTATACTTTGTCCTTTTTTTTCTTGATGCGTGGGTGTAGTGATGCGTGCGTGTTTCGTTATTGGTACTGAGAATCTATGTAGAATTGGAATGTACATACCTTCTTAGTAAGGAAGTATGGAACTAAATGAGGTATGTTAGGGTGTTTATTAGTTGGTAGGTAGCATGGGAGATGTCAATTTACGCTCCTGGGTATATCCCGATTGTCGATTCGTTTGGGAGGGAATCCGGATCTGGATCTGTGGTGCCTGCCTGATGGAGAGAGATCTTGGGGTCCTTTCTTTGCTTTTTCTTTTCTTTGCTTTTTCTTTTGGGACTGGTGTTTGGGATTGCGTGACTGTTGTGGTTAATTTCTTCTTCTCTGCCTTACGCATTGTTCTTAATGACTAGTATTATTATTTCTTCTTCTTTTACTTTTAGAATTTTCTTTCGGTTCTTTGCTTCTCACCCCGCTTCCTAGGTAGCTTTTTAAGACTCTTATCAGGCTATATCTTGCGAGTACGCTGTCATCTACGCATGTCAGCTGTACACGGGTAGTAGATGAGCTGATGTGTAGGTAGTCGTGCCTGCGTATATGGAACGCGACGCCAATATTATGCAGTGTTTTCAGGTTAATGCGGGATGATTATTGTGGATGGATGGATACTCACGAGAGAAGAGGCATATGTCGGTAATGTAATGTAATGTAATAGCAACGTGGTATTGATTTGATGGAGCTATCGATCATTGCATGCTGCACTGCTTCTCGAAACTTCTTTCGTTTAAATTGACTTTGATGGTGAAGGGATGTCAAGTGATGAGTAGGTATGTATGTTTGTTAGCCTCACTCTCCTCGATCATCGTCGTCTCTTTCGGATCTTTCCTTTTTAGAGCATGTTGTGTAAGGTACGCACATATGCGCATGTAAAGAGTTAACTGTCTATCTCCTCCCCTCTGCTCTTTGGGTAACGAAGTTTGGTAATGTCTGCCTACCTACCGTAGATAACGATACTACCGCTTGCGCAGGACTGCTAATTATCTCATCATATCATACATGGTTATTGGTAGGTAGTTGATTCTGCCTACATACTATTACATGTATTGATCACGCCACAGATGCATCTACGCCGCCCACCGAAAATCAATCAGCCTTGGATCTCCCCATGCTTGGTGTTTTTGGGTCTTCCGAGAGGCGTCGACAAGATCTGGCTGCGAGGGCCTTGCGGGATGAAACGGAGTCCGAAGAGTGCGCGAATAACCTCGATGGTTGAGCCTGGTGTTGTTTTAATGTATCTAGTTGTGCGCATTTAGAGATGACGGCGAGTCCACCGAAGCAACCGAGATTTGACGAGTTGGATCCGTGGAAGAACCCAGGTTGAATCTCGCATACAATATTTTATGGGGAACGTTACCCTCCCCGATAAGAGGTATAATGAAGATCATGGTGCGCGCGCTCGCGAGGTGTTGGAGCAGAGTTTTCAGTGGGCAGAGCCTGAATTCACTTTAATGACTGTTGGCCGGCTGCAAAATTACGTTGCTGTGGCAGGCGCGGTCGCGTTTGCTGTTTTGGTGTTGACGGGGGAACCGCGAGGCATGGGGAACCCGCGACGGCGACGTTGAATCTGTGAAGCAGCAGGACAGCCCGGCAAGGTCTGAATAGCTTCAAAAAAAACAGTCAGAGGAAGCCAGAGGGCTCATAACCTGATGCACGTGGGTGTGTGGCAAAAAAAAAAAAGTCGCGTATAAGGCATGGTGTGCTGCTGCAGCTGCCAGAGCTGAGAAGCCTATCTACATCTATCTACCAATCTACGGTGGTATCCATGGGATACCGCCTATTAACTAGAACTGAATCTGAAGTGTGCCGGCATTGGATACATTTTTGGGAATAGCCAAGGCTCACAACGACGAGAGGCTGGCTTATTGGAGTAATCCGGTCATCCAAGCTACTTAGTTGTTCTCTTGTCGTCTGTTGCATCCACGATAAGTATTGGGTTGATCTGTATAATAATGACCAAAACTTACTGATGACCACATTGATGGCAATAATAAATCACAGTTGTTCCCTCATCTGCACCTCTTAATTGTAAGGTGGTATAGCTTGTTTCCTTCGCGGTACACTTTTCACAAGGCTCGTTGATAACAGGCCACCCCAACTTAGAGGTCACTTGTTTTGACCCAATTAGAGATAGCTGAGAGCGAAGCTTCGATGGGAAAGCAGAGGATGTGGTGACTGTCGTTTTGTTAAGAATTAGGTCTGTTTCACAAAAATGTCAGCTTTGCATGGATTCAACTTGACGGAAAAGGCTGACTTGGATTTGTCTTGCCGCAACAGTCACATGGGACTTCTCTCTTGACGGAGATCGGAAGCGTATCCCCACAGTCTTCGCAGAACTGAATGGCCATTACTTTGTTTTTCGACCTTTGGGAAAATAGGAAGTATTGTAAAGTGTGAATGAATAAATGAATTAAGTGGGTGAGTACTATGCTGCTAGGTTACGCCACTTATAGTTTGGGGGCTTTGTGTGAACATATAGGTATCTTAATAAATAGCAAAAACTCGTTGGGGGACTATTATAGCTGAGACTGTCTTAATATTTCCAGCTTTTATCTTTGTATAAAATAATGTATAAATGAGCACAGGTATATGACTGAGAACAAGGTGAGCTGAGCCTGAGAAAAAGCAGCAAGTGTGCTAAGCCCAGTTTGTTGCATTCTTGGCATTTTGTAAAACCTACAACACTGGCTCATTGGACCCCCGGGCGATCGGTGAGTGTGTGCAGCATGGAGGCCGATTGGACCTGAGAAGAGAATTTCGTAGAAGCAGAAAAGCCGCTTTCTTGTTTCATCTGTCGACCAGGACAGGATCCTAGCCACCATGGGGTTTTCTGTCTGATAGGAGGCATCGATCAATGGGACTAAGGCGATAATGTACTACATATGGGTGAAGAAAAGTATACCTAGAGTAAGACAGGATACTTAGGGGGACACATCGTGAATCATGTTATGTTCAACTTGCAGAACGGGACCAAGACGTTGTCTCTAGGTATCGCGATGACCTTGGGAATGCCTGATTACACAGAAACTGCTTGTCGGCGCACACAAACCATTGGCATCGTTTTGCAGGATTTTGGTATCACGATTCTCGGGGTTCGAGGTTAAACCGTTTGTCTTTCCTTCCCGAACACCAAGCACGTCAAACGAGTTCAGAAACACATGCATTAGCCGAGAGGCGTGGAGGGAGGCGGGAGAGGACTGATCATGCAGAAGGCAGAGGACAGTAGTCTTACGCTATCAGCCGAGTGGTAGGTCCAAGGAACATGCCGAGTTCTATGGATGGATTTGCGGGATCGCAGCCATCGCTCTTCCATCACCCCCGAGGCCGTTGATGATGATACCACCTAGTGAGTCGGACGAACAGCAAGACAACACGTCGTCAGCGGCTCTCGGTGGCTGACTGAGATTGTTCCGTGATTACCTTCCTCCACCTACCTACCTATCTACCTACCTGCCTGGTATGTAGTGTGTGTGACGAGATGGCCAGCGCCCCAATCACGCAGTCTATTGTCGTCGAGGCACACCAGTAAAGCGTGGCTGCAGTATCTATTCAGCTTTTTACAGAGTGGGATTAGGGCTAGATGTGGTCGAGGAACTGCACAATAAGTAAGCATCTACGTACATGCTGTAGTAGAGAGCCGGTCGGTCCTACGCTACCACCCCACTAGAGCAGCTTTGTTGGACAAATCAGGTTCGACATTCACGATGGTGGTGACTGTTGGCTGACAGCTGGAGGGGGCTGAGGGGAGGAAGCAAAATGCGTGGGCGGAATGAAAAACGTGCATAAAAAGAAAGGGACATTTCCATAGCTCCAAACCCAGCAGCCAAGCAAGTCGCATGGATGCTTTTTTAGCCTGTTTCATCTTTGTCAGGGGTCCAGAGGAGCAAGGAGCTTCGGACCATGTCAAGAACCAGTACTGACCAGTGATATAGCCAATGGAAATAGATCAGCCGTGGGGCAGCATTCTTGGAGCTCGGGCTGGGAATGGAGACTTGATGGGGATTCATTTTCACTAAGAGATTGCCTAGGAGCTGTGGGATATTGCTCGGCTTGAGTGAGCACTTTGTGTATACGATACGATGAAGAACGGAGTGAATATTGAGGCAAGTTGATGGGATGCCTAGATATAGCTGCCATCGAAGGAATCTTTGTTATGGAGCCTACATTATGATGTTCTGTTGTTACTATACTGTAGGTATCCCATGGATGAATTCCTGCCGAGGACAGAAATAGATACGCAAAGGAAGAATCGCATCTGCGAGTGATGGGCGGGACCCTGAGTCTGCCTGGGTATTGGTACCCACTGCTAGGTGCTGTTAGTGGCAGACACCAGTTGGCAGTAGTGCACATTTTAGTATCTGTACCTACCTACATGGACAGACGAGCAGGCATGGGTAGACCTCGCAAAGGCGGCCCAGGCCGAGGGTTCCTGGTTGTCTGAACGAAGAGGAACGAGAGGAACGTTTACGTGTTCACACACGAAGGCATAGTGAGGCGTTGGTATTCGCTACCAAATCACTAACAGGACCGAACCTTGTGCTGGAAACGATGATGGCCTACGTGATTGATGTCTCGGATTCTGTCTCGGTATGTGACATACTTTGCACTAGACAGCCACTATATCTGACGCTAAAAGAATATACACAGCTCTGTCTATCTATCTAGTCTTGCTAGTGTCTTGAACATGCTGTACCGGTACTTTACTGTAGAAGTGCCAGTGTCAGCTTATAATAAGTCCAGTAATAATAATATCTTTCGTAGGTATCTCTGTAATAGCTGGTAAAGATGTTCCAGGTATTGATCTGCCTTCTAGGTATCTCCACCAAAGAATTGTACCGTAAATGGCGTAGCAATGGTGCTGGCTTGGTACTGGCTGATACTGCCGGTGTAGTGGTACTGATCGTCGAGGCTGTGACATCACCTTGACCCCACAATCCCGAAAAATCAACTCTCAAACGTCAATCTGGTCAACCATCGTCAGACCTTTTCCCCACACCATGCAGGCTCAAACATGCAAATTAAGTCCTGTATGTAAGTAAAATTTGGAAATTCGGGAAGTCGACTAGTAATGATTCGCTTACCGAAAAAAGACGTGTTTTCAGAGCAGTGTCGAACGGCGCCAGTTTGTTTGCCAGGTTTCCCTGGTGAGCCCTGGCACAGATCTGGTAGAACCCCCAGAGAATTGTGCGTACATAGTACAATGAATAGAATCAAGAACCCTCCTACAGTAAGTGCTCCATGCAGGCCTCGTGGCACTTCCCGTCTGTTCTCCTCCCGGTAAAGCCCTGGCAGCCTAGACCCGGGTAGGTAGATCATACAAAAGACATGTTAACTCTTTATTCGTACTTAATATTCGCTTTCTGCTGCTGTGCGTCTGGGAACTGGACTGATTGAGTTTTAATGATTCTTCCCCATTGTCTTGTTAACTGCTTTTACCCAAGCTTGCTGTGATCGTCATCTGACAACAAGGGCTCCTCTAAATCACTGTCCAACAATCCCCCATTCCGCTGACCTTATCCGCTTTACATCATTTCGTCAGCTTGCAATATTATGTAAATCCATCCAAATTTATGAGTGAGTAAAGAGTACATGTTCTTCTGCCAAGACGGAGCCCACTTCGTAGAACACTAGAGAGATCATCGCCTTCTTCCTCCGCCTTCCGGTCCATCACCTACCCTTTTCGGTTGACGATCGTTTATTACTGCCCTCACTTTGTTGGTGCTGACCTACATTCCTCCGAGGTAGGGTGGGCGTTCTGTTGGCACCCAGCCTTGCCTGTTTCCGAAGCCGCTTCTATTTCTCCTCGCTTCTTGCCGCGAGCTGATTCCTTTCCTTTCCGTAGCCTCAACGGTTTAGTCCCATGCATTCTCCATACGCTTGAGACCCTTTCTTGGAATGACATCCACCTACTGGCTGTAATGGCCAAGTTCGATATCCTCACTACCTGCCGTTCCTTCATTTGTTAAATTCTTTGTCGTATCACTTCTACTCGTCACGCGTTCACATTCTAGTCGCTCCTTCTATTCTTACCACCACCGCATTGGATCACCATCAACTCAATCTCGCCATCTGTCGTAGTTCGGGACAAGAGCACATGCAGTAACACACATCGCCGCGATCATGGCTCCTCCCATTGGCCAAGGCAGTCATCCGAAGGTGATGATTGCGCCTCCGCGGCTGAATCTTCGCAGAGCTGCCTCGTATCAAGGAGAAAAGGCTCCTTTATCGTCTACTTCATCACGATTCAATTTCAACCATCTCATATTTTCTTCGCCGCCACCCTCACCTGGCCTACCAGCGTTAGTTCCGCGGCCACGCAAGTCATCGTCAGCGCCGAGACCAAGTCGAGTTCTGAGGGTGTTCATTTGGATAACGGGGTTAGCAATCTTTGTCCTATTTGCAAGCTCACTTACACAAGGGGGGAAACGGATACCGGTGGTTGGGTGGACTTTCGAGGGCGATGCACGCTATGAGTTGGTTGGGCATACCGATCTACCGAAATACCCAACCCCGATTGTTCTTACCAACGGGCACGGGAAATCGAAATGGACCGTCTCTATACCTCCAACTCACGATTTCCCTCTCTCCATGAAAGAATATTCAAGCATATGTACCAAATGCCAAGAAGTCGCTGCTCATGCTAGGGAGCTCCGTCGCCAATCACCATTACAACAAGCACCGCAGGATTACTATTATGAGGATCCGTATTTCATAGACGTCCGAGATGCTGAGAAGAAAGGAATCTTCTCGGATTTCGAGAAGAAGAGGGCTACCTCGGAAACGCACGATGGCCACCTGGTGGGACAAAGAAATGATGGAATAGCAGATATAGAAACATGCAGGACGTCCTTGACCTTCGTACTTGAAACAGCCGACGCGGGATTAGGACCTTCTTTGATGATGTTATGGACGGCCTACGGCCTTGCCCAGAAGGAAAAGCGGGCGTTCTTCATCGAAGACTCACGATGGGCTTACGGCAAGTATACCAACATATTCCAGCCGTCTCCCGTACAAAACTGCAAGCCACCACCAAGGCACCAAATGCTTCCATGTCCCCGAAGCGCAAAGCATCTTGTTGTGTCCGCCGCTACAGCTCAGGAGATTTTCGGAAGTAGCTTCAATGCGGAATACGAAAACACAAAGCGGACCGATATCAACCGAGAGCGGGCAATTTATGATCTCGCTCGTATAGGATACGAAGCATTATTCCATCTCAACAACGACGACAAACCCTATGTGAGGGATCGCGTCAAGCAACTAAAGGCACAGGCCGTCGTGCCACAAGGGAACTACAACGATGGGACAATCATCGGGATACACGTCCGACAGGGAGACCTACACCCATTCGAATACCAGTACAATGGCGCATACATGCCTCTAGACCAATACGCGCAGAAGTTCCGAGATCTCATCGACGAACGCCACAACTTCAGCACGCCGCTAGGCGGCGAGGACATAGTGGCGAAGCAGCACTCGTTCATGGTGATCGCATCGGACAACCCGGACGTATACGAGGCGGACGAGTTCAAGGGCGCCTTCCGCGCCCAAGAACAGATCAAACTAGCGGGGAAGCAACATGCCGAAGAAAGCGCTCAGCACGAGAAATGGGTCATGCACAAGTTCGAGGAAGAAGCGTTCGGTTGGGAGGGCGGGTTCTTCGCGAGCATGTTTAAACATCTGGGACACACGACTTTACATAATAATCTCGAGGAGAAAGACGACGACGACTCTAAGGGAGAAGGGGAAGAGTTTGATAGTACCTCGGAGGACACGGTCCGGCTTCGCGAGCTCGTCGGCCGCGCGTATGTCATGGATCTCGCGGTCCTCAGCGAAGTGAGCGACTCCGTCATCTGCACTATGAGCGCGATGGGATGTCGACTGCTTGCTGTCATGATGGGCTGGGATAAGGCCATGACGAGAGGGAACTGGGTTAATATTGACGGGGGGTTCTCGTGGACTGGGATTACGGTGTAGTGGAAGTGGTCTGGTTGGGGTGAAAAGAAAGAAAGAAAGAAAGGAAAAATAGGAGTTGAATGGGAGCTTGTTTATGCATGGTAGGCGTTTGGGAGATAGAGCTGGACTGAACTGGCAGGGTAAGGCATGGCATGGCATGGCATTAGTCGTTTATATGTCGTTTATGAGTACTTGTGTGTGAAACTCATTGGATGGTGGCGTTTTATTTACTAGGTAGTTTGTATTAGGCGACGAGCACGATTCTTTTGAGAGGTTGTCTTTGGTGATTGGAATTCTTATTTCGTAAAGTGTGAAGATGGTTAAAAGTCCCGTGAGCACGGGTTGGAGAGCGTGTGCTTGACTGTTCAAATACTGTACCTGTTGGCGAGTATGTAGAGATGTAGAGAGATGTTGAGAATCCCGTGGCTGTGACTTGTAGCCTCGAATCTGTATGTTAATTAGTAGGTATAATTTGCTTCCACATCACCTTCTGGTAGTAGTCTGCGTGTTGCGATTCGGAGCACTGGTGTTTTGGCTACATGTTGGCATATGAACCATTGCTGAGTAGGAGGTAGGGAAGTAAATATTTCTAGGCTAGAGGCTCCCTGGCAAAACAAATTCGAAGAATTGATGATAATTTCTGAAATAGCGGGATTACTCTCAGTTTCACTTGTCATTCATAGACTGTGTTTAGTATCTTCTATACTACCTACCTCATGGCCATGACTTGTGGTAGGATGAAAGTTGGATACACGTAGTCCGAACCAGCGGTGTAATGTCTGTATCGCACCATTGCTCGTAGGTATCATGCGTCGTTCTGGGCTACATCGCACGAGGACAAGATTATCAATTAATGAATTTTTTTTTTCTCACAGGGGATCTTTTGACAGTACCAACAACTACGAAAAGTGTCTACAAATTACAGCCAATTCATTGCTAAGATCGTTATGGCATGATTGCTATATGAGACGATTTTACAATTGTTAAGTCGGCGTGCGGATATAAGGATGCATCTCTTAAACTAGCTAAGAGAGCAGGAAAATGCCATTAAGCGGACAAAACGCGTTCGTATTCGTATTTCCAGTGCGAAGGGTCTTGCCAGTGTTTTCGGATTGGAAACGGACACATGCGATTGGCCCTCACTGTTGTGCACTTCCCCGCAAAACCCCCTATCCTCCTATCGCTATGGCACCACGCCATTGGGCAATGTTAGGGGGCCTCAAAAGAGTCCAAGATCATCCATGTCTTCTTCTGCGTGCGCTGAGAAACGCTATTAATTTTATAAAATCCACCGCCGTCCTTGATTCCTACATAACATCTGCGTCGCCTGCCTATGTCACCCCCCCTCTTCCTCCTCCAGGTACGCCAGGGACATTCCAGACTGGGAATCGGAGGACAACTATTCTGCTAGAATGGGTCTTTTACAAGAAATCTCGGGACCTTTGTCCCAGCAGCTATCAGAGCTGTCCATCGTGTCGCAAGTTGGAGCCGTCGTTGCTGGTCTCCTATTTATCTCCGTCTTCCTCAACGTCTTGAGGCAGATATTGTTCAGGAATCCCAATGAGCCGCCCGTCGTCTTCCACTGGTTTCCCCTGATCGGGAGCACTATCACATATGGCATGGACCCTCCGCGATTCTTCAAGGAGAACCGTGCCAAGGTATGCTACACTCCCACCCACCTCGTGACCGCTCTTCGCTGATCACACCGTTTTAGTATGGCGATATCTTCACTTTCATTCTCCTCGGCAAGAAAACAACCGTCTACGTTGGACCCGCGGGCAACGAGTTTATTTTGAACGGCAAGCTCAAGGACGTCAACGCCGAGGAAATCTACACAGTCCTTACAACACCCGTCTTCGGAAAGGATGTAGTTTACGACTGCCCTAACTCGAAGCTCATGGAGCAGAAGAAGGTAAGTTGCCTGCTTTTCTCGACATCCCTTCGAGCCAGCTACTGACAAGCAGCGAAATAGTTCATGAAGATCGCCCTTACCACTCAAGCTTTCCAATCCTACGTACCTATCATCGCCGACGAGGTCACCAACTACTTCAAGAGGAGCCCAGACTTCAAGGGCAAGTCTGGCATCGTCAACATTCCGAAGAGCATGGCTCAGATTACGATTTTCACTGCCTCTCACTCCCTCCAGGGTGCCGAGATCCGAAACAAGTTCGACGAGTCCTTGGCCGACCTGTACCACGATCTTGACATGGGCTTCAGCCCCGTCAACTTCATGCTCCACTGGGCGCCGCTCCCTTGGAACAAGCGTAGAGACCATGCCCAGAAAACCATTGCTAAAATCTACATGGACACCATCCAGGAGCGCCGCGCTGCTGGCCAATCGGACTCTCAGGATATCATGTGGCACCTCATGAACTCGACATACAAGAACGGCGTCCAGATCCCCGACCACGAGGTCGCACACATGATGATTGCCCTACTCATGGCTGGACAACATTCTTCATCGTCCACCAGCTCCTGGATTATGCTGCGACTAGCTTCTCGACCAGACATCCACGAGGCGCTTTACCGTGAACAGGTCGAGGCTTTGGGTGCTGACTTGCCACCGCTCACCTACGAGGATCTTGCGAAGCTTCCATTGAACCAGGCCATCATTAAGGAGACACTCCGTCTACATGCCCCCATCCACTCGATCCTCCGCGCCGTCAAATCCCCCATGCCTGTACCCGGAACCAAATATGTCGTTCCCACTAGCCACCAGTTGCTCGCGGCTGCCGGCGTGAGTGCTTCTGACCCCAACTATTTCCCCGAGCCAGACCTATGGGAGCCGACGCGATGGAACAAGGACTCTCATCTCGCGCCTCGACTTCCCGCCACGTCTGAAGACGAAGAGAAGATCGACTACGGCTATGGCTTGGTCAGCAAGGGTGCCAACTCACCGTATCTGCCGTTTGGCGCGGGACGACACCGATGCATTGGTGAGCAATTCGCCAACGTGCAGCTCCAGACTATTGTAGCCATGGTCGTTCGTGAATTCAAGCTTCGCAACGTCGATGGCAGCGACAAGGTCATCGGCACAGATTACGCGTCGTTGTTTTCGCGGCCTCTGGAACCCGCCAATATTCACTGGGAGAGACGGAAGTAAATCAACGCTATTCAAGTTAACCTAATTTCAGCGACGAGATACGCTTTGTAAATTTAAGAAGAAGAAGAAACAAAAAGACTACCTGTATTAGCACAGGTCGCTTGGGAGTAGATGGCAATTCCCCCCAGGCATGTTACGAGAACATGGCATAGACATACAATATTGTAGTACCTAATAAGACAACGATTATGAACAAATCGTTTTATACTAACTAAATATTTGAGTATTTCATGGTGGTAGTTACCATTGAGCTAGACTGATGAGAAGAAATCTCAACATATTTGAGATGATCTGATTGTGTACCTATCACTGATTGGATGTAACCTTGACCAACCACAAAAGTAGTTGGAAAGTTTCAATCAAACCAGGATTGTTTTGCTGGCGTATGCATGCATAATGATTCCATATTGCTTGAGGAGCCTGCCAATAGGAGTGTAGCCGAGAGGAAGAGCCCGTAGCCCCGGCCAGGGATCATAGGACGACTGTGTAAGTAAGTAGTGTACGAAGTAAGACTTGATGCATCCCGCCTCCGTTATTGGGACCTTGCGTCCTTGCCTAGCTTAGGTGGGTTAGCAAAGGAAGGAGCTCCCTGGACCTGCGTCTGACCATATAAAACCAATTCCATACCAAATCCGTACTTCTGTTGTAACTCTTCATATCACATACCCATCTTACATGGTATTCCCAAATGCCATAGGTGTTTTCTCTACTCTACCTCGTCCTCACCTGTGTACCTCTCTCTCTATATCTTTCCCCTAATGACTTGTATTTATTAAGCTGTATATTTAACGAGCCCGTGTTAAGGATACGCCTGTGTCACCTGCCACCGCGATCCTGCGAAGCTAGACGACATTCTCTTTTTGGTTCCAGTCCTTCAACAGCAATTCGACCGGCCTCTGTTTAGAAGTTCGCCTTCCTTCCTTCATTAAGCATATCATTGTCGGTCAGATCTCCTGAGAGATTCCCCATAGATTCATTGGCTGCGCCGACAGGCAGTCTTGTTTAATAGACGAAATACCTTCTGCCACTTCTACATTCGCACTCGAGTGTGCTAATTACAATGTCATCAACAACAACTGAACTAGGACCACTGGTGCGTCGTTGGGGTCTGCCTGTGAAACAGCTTCCCTCAGCCACAGCCGGGCCAGACGAGCTAAAGCCCTTCTTCGCGTCAATCCTGAAGGAAGCTCTTCCCTTCATCGACTCCGCGGCCCCGAAGACGTCGTCGGACGCCAAGAAACTCTGGAAATCAAAGGGTGCCAAGTCCAGCCCGGACTCGGATGCCAGTGTCGACGTCTTGGAACGTCGCATCTCTGCCAAGGAGCTACAGGCCATCGCCTCCAAGCATGGCATCAAGGCCGATATCGAGGAGGAGACATGGGCCACCCGTTTGAGCGTACATGAAGATGCGGCGAAAAAGGGCACGGCGTCCTGGGATGAATTCGAACATTCTTTCCGTCTGGAGCACGCTAAGACCGAGATGGCTTTCACGCCCAACGTGATTGCTGCGAACGAGGCCCAGCGATGGGACTGCGCTGGTATCGAGCTGGAAGAAGGCGGTCAGTCGTGGGATAGGTTTCAGCTCGTCGTCGAGGAGATGCGCCACAAGGTCGGTCGACCGTTCCTCAAGGACCGCACATTCCCCGTGCTCCAACTCTCGTGTGCCGTGAAAGACGGCACCGGCGCATCACCCGAATTCGTCATCGTCAGCATCCCCGTGCCAGACTTCGCGACAAGCGACAAAGCCAACCTCTCGAAAGAGAAAGGCGCCTTGATCGCGTTCTACGTCAGCATCGAGCGCATCCGCAAGCTTGACAACGGGAAGATCGAGTGGCTGCTTGGAACGGCTAGCGATGCTGCTGGTGTCCTGCCCCTGTGGATCCAGGATATAGCCCTGCTGGGCATCGTGTGGAAGGATGTGCCTATGTTCCTGGGCTGGATCGCGAAGGAGAGAGGGAAATCGGATGGAAAGGCTATGACTTCTGATGCCAAGGAGACGGAACAGACGCCCCAGGTCACGACTGGTGTTGAAACGGGCCCTACCCCGGCGGTCACTGGGCCTGGTGCTGAGACTACGACGGGCAGCGAAGCTGTGGTGGAGGAATCGAACGCCGAAGCAACGACCGAGGGTACCGAGACGACTACGAAGGCGTGAGCGTTGTCACCTCCGTACTGATGGATTGATGGACTGGTTGGTGGCTATCTACGCTCCATGCAATAGAAGTTGGTATGGTTCATGTCGAGACATTGTATGTCGTCGCCGACTCGTCATGGGATTTACTTCTTCCCCCCCGGGGAAGATCCATCCTCATACATACATACATACATACATAACGGAACGACGCAGATTTAATTTTCTTTGTGCTTCTTTCGAGGAAAGGAAAAGATTCGGATTTGAACCGACTGCCTGTTTTTAATTGGTTGGTTGCATTCACTTTTCGTAAATTTTGTTTTTGGGGGAGGGGGTGGGGACTTTTTGATACCCGTTTGTACCGTTTCGCAGACAGATTGAGGACTGGGGAGTTGTTTGGGATAGGCAGTGTGCTGTGGTGTACTGTTGAATTACTACTTGCGTACCTACTTAATGCTGGATTTACATAATTAATTGATGATAATTTACCATAATGTGACCTAGCTACTATATTTTTTTTAATATAATTTTGATTTTGGTTCTAATTAAGAGTTTACAAAAGTAGATATAAAGGATGAGCCATGAAGTTACTATAATAGTAAAACTACATAGGGAGGCGTGTATGCTACCCCGGAAGACTGACCAGCCCCTCCTCGCTTTCAATGACGTAGTACTCCGGAACAATACATACCTACATATATACATATGAACTTCGACAGCATGCTCATTCAATTACCTATCTATCTATCTGTTTTTAATATTCGTATCTGATATTGAACTATTTGAATGGAATACATCTGAGGATTACTTCTTACTTGAAATCTTTGATATTCCTTCAAGTCCTTTACCTAGGGATTGACAGCAAGCACAATGGCGTTGAACAGTCACGATATGCGCGTCCGTATGTAGACGATCTTTCTCTTTATCTCCTCTTTTTCTCTGTCTCTCTCTGTCTCTCTCTCTCTCTCTCTTGCCTTGCATTGATGACATTACACATGCACGTTTTCTTCCCTCCCGCTGCCTCCTCCCTCCCCCCCTCTTTCCTCAAAGCCGTAAAACAGACAGGTAGTATAACAATTCATATCACCATACTTCACACAAATCTTCAAAAGTATTACAAACACAACTAAAAAAATAAAAATAAAAATAATCTACAAGTATGAAAATTCCCAAGGGTCATAAAAATATTCAAAGAGCCAGTTCAAATTAAACCAAAAGATGAGCCCAACTTACGCCGAGACATGGATAGCTCCCCCACCGGTCCCCGACGACGTCAAACGCGCCGTGGCAGACGAGGCCGAGACCGCGGCCGCCGGCGTGCATGTCGCCGGCCAGGAACCCGGGTACCTTGCGCAGCAATCGCGGGCGAGTTCGACGCCGCAGGGTCCCGAGGTTAAATCTAAGACTCAGGATAGGGATGGGGATGGGGGGGAAGGTATGTGGATTTTTCGTATTTTGCTATAGCTTTCTCTTCATCCTCCTTCTCTCTTCACCCCCTTTTCTCTCCTTTTCTCGCTCTTATTATTGTTCCTGCCATTTTTATTATAGAGGTGGTTGTGGTTGTGGTTATGGTGATAGATGTATCATATCGTTCCCTTCTGAATCAAGCTCGTATCTATCTGTATGAAAAAGCAAGAAGGAAGTTTTGCTAACGCACTCAACTCTCTCACAGCAGGCAAGGAATCGAATGCAGCAAAGGAAGCTTAGCTACTTAGCGCAGTCGGGTTTTACACCCTGACAGGGTCTTGAGCTTTGCCTGGTGGAATGGGGAGGAATTATGACAAAGGAAAGACGAATGAACGGACCCTTCGGGTTTATTCCCTGCGGCGTCATGTCGTACGACGAGCGAATACGAAAATTTGAGGATAATGCTTGAATGAATGGGGAGGATATCAAGAGGAAAAGCGAAAGGGAGACTTCACCTCTCTTTGTGTGTCTGTGTGCGTGTATGTGTTTAAGACGGTTAAGCGATTTTATCCTTTCAGCACATATCACTTCCCTTACAAGTCTAATTGAACAAATTCACGCGGTTCTATTTATTGCAAAATTAGGTTTTGCTGTAAAAACATATAGACAATCCATATAACGCTGAAGATATGTATGCATGTATGTACAAATGGCAGTGACGTAAAACCAATGCCGCTGCTGATCCTGATGCTGACGCTGGAGATGTTGCATAGTAGAAAGAGAACTTCTGCTAATGGATAAGATATTTTGAAAGAGGCGTCATGCTGTGTCGTATCTCGGTGTAAAATGTGAGCTGTGAAAGTAACTGTAGACGCAAGAGTAGGAGCCTCGGGCAGCTAAACCCCTACCCGTGTTTCTTACCCTCGTTGAGTCATTACAGTACTGATTTTTTAGCATGGAGGATTCTTTCCCGGGAGGAAAAATAGGATTAGATAACAGAGAGCTCATCAGTACTATTGTTGCGGCCCACCTCGTATGCCAGTATCCTGTGATCGTAATATTGTATGATAATACGGTAACGACGGGCACCGAGAGTCAGTCCAGGTATGGGTCCGACGGCAATGCCGAGTAAAGGAGAGATAGGCCGCAGCCATCGTTCCTCGTCTGTCTTCAACGGCAGGATGGCCTCGACTTTGAAGCCTCGTTTAAAGGAGTAATTCGAATCAAGTGGTCTTGTCAGCGTTATCAACGCCACCCTACCACACATCGAGCCCGCGACTACGAGAGAGAGTTCGGGTACGTGTATAGTATGAGCGAGCCTAGCGCTTGGAAAGTGAAGGCCTTGAACTGAGCCCTCCCGCGGCTTGATTTGGTCGATGGCGTTGGCGAACATGATGCCAACATCACGGTCGGTGCCTACAAATTCAATGGAGGTTTCATAAGTCCTCATGACTGGTATTTAGAAGTTAGTGGGGTATCTAGTAACTGAAGCGTTGGCCTCTTTTCGGTTTGGGATGATAAGAGAAGCAACGGGTTGCAGCCATTACTTACCGGTACTGCCATCACTTAGGCTGGCTTTTTGGAACTTCGATGTTATATCATCAGTATCGTGTTGATAGAGAAAAGCGGGTTCCAAACTACTGTCAGCCACGCTATCATAGGTGGCATTCCAACCTTGCCGTCTATCTTTAACTGCGTCGTACCATTTGTCCCGTGAACTAGGCATGTGCGGCCATATATGAGGCAAGTGTTCTGCTTGAAGTCCGTTTTTGACCCATGGGTGGATACTAGAATTATTCTTGATGTGTGTGGCAGCGTTTTCGATCCCAATATAACGGCCATACTCTTCGTGATACACGTAGTTAGCTTCTTTTGGATCCAAGCCGAGAGAATCCCGGAAACCGTTTGTCGGTAGGAAGCTACTTTGAGGGAGCACGAGGACACCCCACCCTCTAGGTATGGTCCTCGATTCAGTATTAGATGATGAGAAAAGTAAAAGGTCCGAATGTAGCTAACTTACAGTTGTGCCCAGGTAAACGCAGCAGGGTTTCGAATCTGATCTGACAACGCGTACGTCTCGTACAATCCTTTGATGCACTCGCAACGGGAGGACCAGATATCTAATATCCAGAGTTGACCTCTTATATCGATAGCGAGGACCTTGTCAGCATTGCCGTCAGCGTCGCCACTGAAGGCTACATTTGGTATATTATCTCCTTCTGGAATTTCGAAGACTATATGATGATAGAGATCCCTTCGGTTTTGTTGAGCGTCCAAGTCCCGATCCAAGACGCCTGGCGTAGTTTCTAGTTTGTTACGGAGGCTGCGATGGAATTTGTCCTCACCCGGTGTCAAGAGCTCGCTAGGCGTTTCGTGATTTGTGAGTGCGAAAGCAAACAGATGTACTTCGTTTCGATTATTACCAGCTGCGATCAGCCGCGACTGTGCATGAATTGCAAGCCCCCAGGTCGAGATCCCTGTATTCTGATGAAAGAATGGCTTCATTGATGTCGATTCTTTGAGAGCATCACCAGATTCGATACGTAGAAGAGCCTGTTCGATTTGAAAATTGTAATAGCCAATAACGTCGCCATCATCAAAGGCAAGCAGCAGAATCTCTTCATTACCCAGATCACCCATAATCAAATGATTCATCTGATGAGGCATCTGTGGGTTGATGTACCCACCTACGTTCAAGGCCTCTGGGCTTGCTGGAGGTTCTAATACCAAATCTATAAACGGGGAAAGAGTCATTATTTATTGATCTTTGAAATCATATGAAAGTGATCAGGAGAGGTTCCGAGGGAAAGCATGTCAGGGGAAGCTCTCATCATCTCGTAAGAGGCTGACTCACCAGGGCGCGTATGTACAATATGGTCGACACAGCTGTGAATGCGAGTTATATGGACTTTGTTTTTGTAGGCTACGGCATACATATTGTATCGCTGAGACAAGGCGGTAAGATTGAGTCGCCAAGGGGCAATACGGGGGATGACGCCATCTTCACTGTCGCTGTCATCTGTAACGTCGTCTTCATCAACGTCGTCACTATCGTCGTCGTCCTCCTCCTCGACGTCGGTATCGTCTTGTGAAAAATCCAGTGCATCACCGTGTAGAAGATTTTCCAAAGGTCCCGCGTCATCCATGGCCAAGTCAGGACTAAGACTGGAAGGAGAAGCGAGAGATGATGAATGCATAGGGGGAGCCGGTAATGGCTCCGGCCCACCTCGCCACGGTATAGCAGCGGAATACTTGGTACCATACTGACCGAGGTTCATTAACGCGACGGCCGGCTATAACTAGGGGTGTTAGGAGCCACTCACCCTTTGGCGGCCAGACATGCAATAGCATTGCCCGATTTTGAGGTTGTTTCGCGATGCCATGACGAGGATCAGGAGTTCCTCACCCAACTTGTACAGATCAATAAATGATTGAGCGACGGTTGGGGGTTGGAGGGATCATCAGAATATAAGAGCTCTCCAATGCCTAGATAAGTTTTTGATAAATGGTTTCTTTTTATTTAAGAAATATTCTGAAAACCCGGTTGAAAGGAATCGATTGATGATTAGCTGTTTGTTGTTTCCATGTTAAGAGCTGTGCAGACAGTTCAAACGTCAGGCGAATGAGCTCTGGTCGGTTGGACATATGCCAGACAACTAGTCTACTGCTTTAGAAGATTGGTCGAGAATAGGCCAGAGTCTCACAGACGATGCCATGAGCTGACGACGACCACGTCGGGTGTTTGCCCTGGTAGCATTCATTCAAAGTTTTGGGGGATGGCGAAGTCGTCGAGTGTAGTGGAGACAGCTCCTCCTCTAAGCTTCTCGTGCTCGGCGACTGCTGCCGCCCTGATGGCCCTATTTGTGAGTCGAGATACCGACAGAGATTGGTCATCGAGTCGCACCTGGTCGTGCAAGGGCACAGGCGTCTCGACGCGGTCAAGGCAGATGTTGCTCGCGAACCAAAGTCTGCAGAGCTTTCCCGTCGCTACCTACAGAGTTGTGAGGTTGGCGTTGTGACCCACGTCTCGTGCCTACCAGGTATGTATTATCTCATACATATGTACATAGATACCTACTGTAGATACATATGGTAGCTCTCATTCTCATCTGCATGTGATTGTAGGCAAGTATCTACAATGCAAAAATCATTGAAGAGATACATCTTCAATATCTACCTACCTACCTACATATATAGGTAGCTTGAAGTTAGGGCTTCGATTGCAGTGCCTTCCCGCCTGCCTATCCCACCCAAAAAATACTTCAGTACCAGAACCTGCCATTCTCGACCCTTTCTATTCACTACCTAGGTAGTCCTAGTCACCGCCTCCTAGATGAATTGATATTGTTGAGATTTGTGTGAATAAATACATACATACATACCTACTTCAAGAAGTATTTGGTGTAACATGGTAAGATACATGCAGGTATCCGTCAAAGAAAGCCACTGACATACATTATAGGTACTATATAGGGCGCTTTGCACCTAAAAGCACCCCAAAGTACCCCGCACTTCACACCCCGCGAAGCAGCCGGCAGACATCGCCAGCCAATGATTACTAGCATATATTACCAGCAGATGCTGTGTTCCCAGGCCGTTATCTTATCGCATGTGGCCTGGTAAAAGTCCATAGTAGGTAGATACTGATGTCAGTGATGATTTGCTACCTATTGCTTGTGAGCCTCAACCTCCCTACTTGGAGGTCTTGTTGATATGAGCCTGAACCAAGGTGAGCGGTGCCAGTTCATAGCAGATTCACGTGGTGACAAGTAATCAGAAGCCAGCCTCACTACGTAGGGTACAGAGGTTTGAAACCTGGTTGAAACAGATATATATATATATATATATAAGTATAGGTATGCGTACAGCTCGATTCCTACATACCCTAATGTAAATCTCCCCTTACATAATTACATAATTCTTAATTCGTCTGATTGGACGCAGGGATGAGCTACTGCCGTTTCTTGGGAGGTTCCCGTCATTCTGGAAATGGCAATCAAGCTCGTGCTCGAGGAGCGCTCCATCACCAAATCGTTACGTACACAACACCACTGGCCGCCCCAAACTAAGCCCTACGGCCCGCCGCATCGGGTTTGGGTTTCCCATGGCATCTGCCGAATGGGGCGGCGCAGTAAGACGTGATTGATGGCCTGGGGTTAGATAAAAAAGTAAGAAAAAGAGCGTTGTTGCGCGTCCCGAAACTTTGCTCCCTCTCTTTGCGACGCATCGTGAGAATGGGGTTCGGAGAAAAGACCTCCAACATTTTCAGTGGAGCCGGGGATGAGAAGAGAGAATACGCCAAGACACGATTTGATCGAACAATGAGCAATTCCTGATGGCCCTGCCGACGTCCCATTGGTGAAAGATAAGCCAGCAAAGCTAGCATAACTAGCAACCTGAGCTAGGTAGCTTGTTCCACCATCCGTAGACACTACACCAGATTCTCACCAGATGTTCGCCTCTCACGACTCGTTGGTGTCGCGGGAATGGGCTGAGCATCAGCTCGCTGTCTCGGCTGCTGTCTTGGCCTTTGCTAAAGATGCGTGTACCTACTACTACTCTAGGTATGTAAGCACTCTCTAAATATGCGGAGTGCTGCTGCGTGCAAACATACAGTACTGTACAGTAGCGTCGTCAAATTTTGAATGATGTAACCTGCGTAGATGACTGCTCACATTGGCCTACCTAGGCATCGTTACCCGTTGGAGATAGCAGCTTGTAAGACAAGTAATCTAGATTCTATGGGGAGGTCTATCCTTTCGCCCATCCATTTGATCGCTTTGTTCAGGCCGACGCGACGTAGAGCGGCACCGAGAGATGAATGTCTTGACATCATCCTGATTGTTGTCATTCTCGTACGGGGTTAGAACACTTCCAAGTCTGCAAGTTAGTCTCGCAGGGGAAAATTGTTAGTGAGCTACTTCGAGTCTGTCGGCTCGCTTGACCTGCAGTCATCATCCATTCCACCCTCTGTTTCCCCTGTCAATGCATGCATCCGTTTCGCTAGGAGACAAACGGCAATTGGTCGTGCCTCTCGATAGTGCCGCTCAACGTGGGGAGACCTGCGGATGGATGAGAGCATGAAATTGTAAATACCTACATGTAGCAGGTCATGCTTGGTTAACCTACCTAACTTTGCAGTAATCATCATCATCACAAGCATGGTCTACCATATCAATCACGGGCACTCTCGGCAGCGCTACCTATTGGTGTGGCAGTCGACTGTTTCTGCAGCGCTGAAAAAATCTAGGCTTTCCTAGGCTAGGTACCGTACCTAGTCGATAAAGTAAGGCTTCATTCAGCAGCGAGGCTTGCGCATCTTGAATTGTCTTCTTGGTGGACGAAACCAACGAAACGCGGGAAATTCTATTCTACCCACGCATTACACGCCTACCTTACTTACTCTGGTATTAGTCCGGCTACATGTACTTATAAATAAGGAACTGCTAGTAGCGATAGGGATTGTTCGGGCTCGAGGGCCGAGTCTGATTCGTTCGCCGCAACTCAATTGCAAATAGAAACGAAGCCCCCGAGCATTCTATTTCGTAACAGATTCTGAGCATCCCTGCCGTCCCGAGGGCTCGAGCTTTTCACCTAGCTCCCCATTTGGAAACAGGAGGGCCGTTAGGCATTCACAGGGTCCTTTTGCTTGAATAGCCTCCCACGATAAATGTACAATTAATGTTCATGCGAAAAACTTTCAGGTGAAAAAAAGAAAAAAAAGAAAAGGAGTGTGCCTGCGTTTTGTTATCTAGGCAGATAGAGATGATAAGCTAGCAATTCTTCAGACGCATGGCCTGCGTCATGGAGGAGGAGGATCTGAGAGGAGGAGAAGGGAGCGTCGATTTCAAGGCCCCGTCTCCCACACCCCCCCTGGACATGCAGTAGTCATGGCAGATCGAAAGAGACCAGAGGAAAGGTAGCCAATGCCAAGGGCCAAGGCTCGATTTGGCAGTCTTCTAGACCATTTTACTCCAACCTATCCCGGTTACACTACACCATGTACATGTATAACATCTTTCCAACAGTAACTGCGCCGTGCCTATCCCAGATCTGAGATGCTCTACTACTACTGTACTGTACATAGTAAGTACGCATGTCATTTTCGCTGAGCGACGCATGACGACTAGCACATTTCCAGGTACACAGGCCGAGTGAAATAGATAAGAAAGAGAGTGAGTGAGTGAGTGAGTGTATGAGGTCTTTCGAGCGTCACATGTTTGTGGGTAATGGTAGGCAAGTAGAGTAAGTGGACAGACAGACAGACAGACAGACAGGAAGGGAGGGACAGGCATGTACCCGTGGAACAACGTGATGCTTTTCGCCTTTCTTTGTCGGGGATGCCTTCAGTCGAAGACAACTTGACCCGATATCGCTCCCAGGCTTACATACCAACCGGATGCCCGAGGCTAAGTATGGATGGATGTGATGCGAAACACCACGGTGATCCCCGGCTACCCGTACCTCGCTCTACCTACCCAGGTAGTTGCTTGCTGTTTTATATGTATAATCTAATTACATACGGCGGCTTGAAGGGCTAGATAATGGGGTGGAATGACTCTAGGAAATGACTCTAAGCGGCTTACCCTTTTTCTAGCGTGCCTAGACATTTAACCATAACCAGACCTAACCTGCCAACCTAGCAGCAACATTGGGGGTCTCTGCCCATGGGCCTCCCATATCCAGCCCGTTGTCCCCGTTGTCCCCATTTGTCCCCATGTCCCTTGTCCCATGTTCCACGGACCCAGGTCAAGAGCAGTTCCCAGCCCGGCCGGAGCTGGCGTGGGACTTGTACCGGGCTAACAAGGATCTGGGGGAGTCCTTATCTTGCCCGCCCTGATTGGCTGCGCGCCGTCCATGTCTTGTCATGGGCGGCCATGGTGAGCCATGGTCTGCCATGGGCACAATGAACAATGGACCACGACCACGAAGATCCCACCTCTTCGAGACCCTGTGAATGAATGCGCTGTACGTGTTATGCACGGTTTCCTGTGCTTAGCTGCTCGGCTGGGTCAATTTGCGTACTCTAGTCTCTAAGCTACTGCGAGTAGTAGGTGGTCTGTTGGTTTGGTTCGACGCCCATGATTTCGACATACATCGAAGTAGAAGTAGTACTTACAGTCAGTAAGTATATAGCAGGGGCAGTTCCGCATTAGTCCTTCGCCCATGTGATATAACCTTTTCCCTCTCCCCTTCCTTTTGAATTCGTTCATACATACATACATACATTTCTTTTTACTCCAAATCCTTTTTCCTTAGTTAAGCCACATCTAAACCCCGGCCGAGGACACGGCCGTGCGGAAAGACACCACCAAGAACGCAAAGGGCCTCCCAAACACAATCTCAACTTGTACAATTGGCATTCAACCCGATCCGTTTTTTTGAAATCCGGCTGTCCGCAGTACTTTGAACGTCCCGCTTCGTCACCATGTCCTACGCGTGGACGGGGGCGCCCGCCGTCTTCAATGGCACCAATGATGAGACCGGAGGAGACTCCAGTATGTTTTCTCTCTCAACACCCCGCGAGTTCTACAGAGAGTTCTACAGAGAGTGCCGAATACTGCGAGACACAGCTTGTGGCCACGGAGGAAGCAGCACACAACGTAGCTCACGACAATGACTGACACCATTCCCGCGTAGAAACCGAGAACCTGAACCAATGGTACCAATCGGGAGACCAGGCTTTCATCATCGTCTCAGCATGCATGGTATTGCTCATGGTACCGGGCATCGCCTTCCTCTACTCAGGACTGTCGCGAAGAAAATCTGCCCTGTCCCTCATATGGGTCGTCATGATGTCCTTCTCCGTCGTCATATTCCAGTGGTACTTCTGGGGCTACTCCCTCGCCTTCAGCACAAAGGCTACGAACGGCTTCATCGGCGACTTACATCACTTCGGCCTCATGAACACATTGGCTGTTCCCTCACCGGGCTCTCCGCTCATCCCGGAGTTGCTGTACTCGTTCTACCAGGTAAGGCCAGCGCGCTCGCTTCACGAGGAGCACAGCATTTCGCATTCAAAACTTGATAAAGATATATTCATTATGGACCAGAATGACTAATTACCATGGTCTACAGATGATGTTCTGCGGTGTCACTGCAGCCCTCGTGATTGGTGCCGTTGCCGAGCGCGGTCGTGTGCTACCAGCCATGATCTTCGTCTTCTTTTGGGCCACCATCGTCTACTGCCCGCTCGCGTGCTGGATCTGGAACATTAACGGCTGGGGCTACAACTACGGTGTGTTGGACTACGCAGGAGGTGGCCCTGTCGAGATTGGCTCGGGTATGTCGGCGCTTGCGTACTCCTGGATCCTCGGCCGTCGCCACGAGAGGATGATGCTCAACTTCCGACCCCACAACGTCTCTCTCGTCACCCTCGGAACGGTTTTCCTATGGTTCGGTTGGCTCGGGTTCAACGGCGGCTCCGCGTTCGGTGCTAACTTGCGTGCCACCATTGCTTGCTGGAACTCTTGCTTGACGGCCATGTTTGCCGCCATGACATGGTGTCTCCTCGATTTCCGCCTGGCTAAGAAGTGGTCCATGGTTGGTTGGTGCTCGGGTACCATTTCCGGCCTCGTCGCAGCCACACCCGCATCTGGTTTCATTCCTCCTTGGGCGTCTATTATCCTCGGTGTTGTCACCGGCATTTGCTGCAACTTTGGCACTAAGGGTGAGGAAACTGCGTATTCATATTCTATTTAACTTTTCTTCTAACCTTGCATGATAGTTAAATTCCTGATCAAAATCGACGACTCTCTCGATGTCTTCGCTGAACACGCGATCGGCGGCATCGTAGGACTCATCTTCAACGCTCTCTTCGGCGCCAACTACATCGTCGGCTTGGATGGCGTGAACAACGGCGTGGTCGCTGGTGGCTGGGTAGACCACCACTACGCACAGCTCTACATCCAAATCGCGTACATCGTCGCGACATGCGCCTACTCCTTCGTGGTATCCGCCATCATCGCGAAGCTGATCGACCTCATCCCCGGCCTGCACCTTCGCGCCTCGGAGGAAGCCGAGCTCATGGGCATGGACGACGACCAGCTCGGCGAGTTCGCGTACGACTACGTCGAGGTGCGCCGCGACTTCCTCGCCTGGACCCCGGCCAAAGAGGAACCCGTCGCCGACGGCCACCGCATCGTCCCACAGCACGGCATCGAGGAACACCAGAACCTGGCCAACACCGCCGGCCACACGCCCCCCGGCTCCTCGGGAATCGAGGCCAAACGCGAGAAAATGGGCGTCTCCGTCCGCGCGCCGGCGAAGGAGTTCGCCGCGGAACAAAAGGTCGATAGTAGTTCTAACTCGGCACACGCGTCGTCGTAAAATTCATACATCTTTTTTTTTTCGACTACGGCTTTGTATAACTCTTCATCATCTGTGTTAGTTACCTATTGTCTGGAAAAACTTGGGGGGTTTTTTTTTTGGTTTCTTATATATATACTCCACAGCCGGCGAAGTTTAGTATTTTTTTTTTTCTTGGGTTTTCTAATTTAAATTTTGTATTGAAAATTTATCATCGTGTTCGGCGCTGCTGGGCAGTATATATCGATATTTATCTCTTAACTATATATATATATATCTATATATAACTAACTATTTATATTTTTATCTTTGGGTTGAATACTTGGGTTTTATCTCACATTGGGGAGAAAAAGTAACTTTTGAATTTTATATACGATGTATTACCCGTGTGCTTTATATCCTTATCCGCTGCGTGGAAAGTTTCGTGTGATGAGGATTGCGATTGAAGGGGTGGCGGAGCGCTCTTTTGAGTGTGGGTTGATTGAGGTGTTGAAGTAGTTGCGAACTTCTATCGAGAGGAATTCATGCCATCGAGTGAATCAAAGAAGAGGTGCGAAGTGATAAGTACAAGAGTAGAAATGTTTCTTAGATTCGTAGCCGAAGGGTTCTTCATAGCCATTCATCCCATTTGCCAAACGCCCAGGGCCCTACTTATATATCGAACATGACTAGCGAAAACTTATCTCACGCGAGCAGCTCGTCAATCACTATGATGAATGTGTTTTAACTTGCTTAAGAACGGTTGTCGGATAGTTATGTTGGGAATGCTCACTACGCAAGAGACCCGGGTCTCTCTGGCATACGGTTTCTCATGGATATACTTCAGCGTTTTCTTCATTGATGAGTGAGTGGCACCTCATCGTGAACTGAGAATATAAAGTGCCCTGTACAACCCGGCCATCGGAGGCAGGGATGTAGAGTTTCGCCTTCTATGGGGTTTCTTGTGCGGCAGTGACTAATTTATGGCAGCTATTCGAGTTGAGTTATGACTCAGATGAAATAGTTGGATTATGGTATATTTACAATGTCGTGAGAGCGTTAAATATCACAGTGGGTGAGAGTAATTAGGGTGATGAGGATAGTGAGAAGAGTGAAATAAGTGTCCAGGTTCGATTTATTAAAGGGAAGACGATGAGTAGATGTATAGCTACTAATTATATTGTCTTCATGCGATATTTACTGATCGTGATGAGCTAGAGATGGTAGGTCTGAGTTACTGGTATGATAGCTCTACGGTGTCAGTTATCTGAACCAGATTTGGTGCTTACTGTGATTTATGAAGTACTTATTATTCACTTAGTGGCACTGGGGATATGTAAAACTAAATAACGCCGCCTACAGACGTGCTTTTAGCTGTGTATTAGGAGATACGTGATGCACATTATATGTTCTCACGGGAGAGAATAGGAGTTTAGTACAAAATCCCTACGCTATTAAAAGATAGAAACGACGTTATCAGGTCGAGATCCTACGCGCTTATACTCATTGTATAGTACTGTGATACATATATAGGGGCTGAGATCGTTGTCCATCCCGTGGGGCCCAACGCCGATTCAGTCTTTTCGGCACGGTTTTAATGAGCATGTAGTAAATAGATATTATGTACATTTGAGATGGGTTAAACTTTCCCCTATCATTCGAATGGTATTGTTTGAGCTTTCTCGCCTTCGTTCTTCGCAATTCCGCCCTTCATACTGGAGAGTGATTTTACGTCTGGAGGTTATTGACACTAGGGAGGTCTCCTGTCAACAGCTATGTACATCTTGGTTGAAGACGAATAGCGGAGCAATGGCCATGAATGTGGTATGGTGTATGTAGTAAGACTTTGGTTACTGCGTGAAGTTTAAGAGGCTAGAGATGAAGGTACTCAGACTCTTCCAGCTACCTATGTACTCTAAGCTCCTCTGTCCCCAACGGGATAAATTTTCTTGTACGAGCATCACTCGATAGTTGGTCAAGGTGCTGTCCTCTCATCGCAAACCCGACCTCAGATTGCACCCGCTGGGACCGGTGTCGTCGTGATATTTTACATACGGCTGACTACCGTGTAAGTGAACGTCATGCGCGCAACCGTAGCCTATGCTAACAAGCAATAGCTTCCAGTCAGGATGTAGCTTAAGGCGCTTGAGTGCGAAGTCTCAACCAGTAACTAGCCTAGATGTCTGCCTCTTTCGGAAGACTTTGGAAGGAGATAACTTCATCCGTCTGCACCCGTCATACCGGAGACCGAGTATCTGATTCAGAGTAGAGACATGAAGTCTTGGTAATGATATCACACGATAGAAGAGGAAGATTATTATGCGGCTTCCTGCGTCATATGTGCAGGTCATGCAAGGCACGCCATCTCATGTGGTATTGCATTAGCTGAAACTGAGGATGAACTGCTATACACACGGGAGAGATGCAGGGCGATCTTGGACAATGACCAACTGATTTAGTTTGCTCAGGGGAGGAAGATAAGGTAAGGCGAGGGAAGCAAGACGGGTAGCGGAAAGGTGCATATGAGGGCACGCGTAAAGTGGCATCCCGTACCGCTGTGCATTCTAATTGGTAATGGGAACTGAATGGGATAGATCTCTGGGTAAAAGCGTGTCCGATTATAATTTAGTATTGACTTGTCGTGTTATCCTACTCCAGCGCGGCTCGTACTTAGCCCGTTATTTGGCTTGGTTCTGGCCGAGATGGTCCCGCAGAGTTGGTATCAGCTATCCCGTTCTTGAATCCTTCAATAGAGCATCTGATGCCTTAGTTCAGCGTACATCTAGTATCCTGGGAGTATTCATTATGTCTATTGTCTGTGCGTCCCTTGCACGGCCGATCAAATCTACACTGGGGCAAGATGGGATGAAAAATTAAATACAGCGATGTTTAATACGTTGAGCCGTGTCGACATCGGATGAGATTTGAGTCCGCGTCTCAAGAGCTTCGAGAACTATATTGAGATTGAGGTGAGACTTGTGGGCGTAGATCCGGGGACGGGGACTCTTGTCCAACACTTGTGCATGACGCATCTGTAATTACGCTCTGGTGTGGAGTGGTAAGGCATATTACGGTGCTTGATGAGTCCGGATCGCAAATCCAGGATCTCTTGGAGAAAGATAATCGTCTTGATACCGGAACTGAGATGGGGACGGAAAAGTTTATAGATTGATTAATGAATTATAATCTTGGGACTTGGTGAATCTTGGCTTTTCCCACGTGCCGTGTCGTGTCTGGGATATGTTCGTCTGATGTATGCTTGTTCATCAGCCGCCCATCCCAGACACTCAAGGTCGTTTCGAAAGTAACCCCTTAATCGATATAGGAAAGCTACCGTCGAATTTACAAGGAGACAAGTGGATTGAGCTCCTTTGCTTTCCCTTATATTCAATTATAGGAATAAAGAAAAGTCCTGATATATATCTACTGGCCTACTGGCTTTTATTTCCTTTTCCGAGGACAGTCCATGATGATCTACGGACGCCTATATGAAGAAGGAGCGATGAATTTTACGTTTAGTGCTGACCATATTGATTTAATATCTAGTTGCCCTGCTGTTATTGAGATCTAAGATGTGTAAAACAAACTGCTTTCTCGAACTGGGCAATATATAGAGCTATATCCATGCGTACCACTTTTAGAGGAATATGTATTAGTGAAACGATAAGGAACACGATTTAATTCAATAATAATCGTTACTGTATTAGTTTGATCCTGTAACCACTTTATTCGTGCTGCACTGCTCACGACAATATGGCAAAAAGTCCTTTCCTTACCGTTTTGAAGACTAGACGACATCGATATGCTAGTGCCTACCGGAGACCGCATACGCTAGAGTCTTCAGAAGTACATACTATCACATTCTATCGAGTGCTAATAGAAATCCCATATTGGCACCTACTGCGGAATCTTCAACATACAGTAGACTAACAGTGGCGGATCGTTTGCAATAGAAAGGACTAGAGTACGTCAATATCCGGAGCAATGGATGACCTCACATGATCTGGTATCATGATGTAGCAACCACGTTATGCTGACAGAGGTGTTCACTACGATTCAATGGCGTGGCAACAGTGGTGGAGGTTTAGATCGCTCTTAAGCATCAGCGTGGTCTGATGTTGAAGATGGAACGGAAAACACCGTCACCGTCGATCCGGGGTCTCCGCAAGTTAGATTATAATCGAATCGCGCTGGGTTTGATCGTCGGCTGTCAACGGCTCCAGGTGGCCGTCCATGTTCTGCGTGGTATTGAGCGTTGACTGCTAAACGGGAGATAGAGGTTGCATTGGCAGGGTGCCAGTTGAGACGACAAACCCATGCAAGGAACTGGACCAAAGTCAGGTGATCGCCACGCCTTACGACCTTTCCGGAGGAAGTACTTATTAACCTGTAGCTGCTAACGTCGATTCTGGGCCTATACGTATTTCCCTAAGAGGTACAGCGGGACTGGTTGAGCGAGGGGGTAAGAGAGGTCTGAGAGGTGGCCAGATCCAGGATATCATAAAGTATGGTTCAACGGCCGGGGCAAAGCATTCTATGATGCAGAAATACGACCTAAGGATGGAAAGTCATGCCTGCAATGGGCCATGAGGTGTAGCGCCACAAGTATGTCAATAAACGCCCATCATCAGTACATGTGTTGACGAATGTGGCAATCTATAGCGAGATATTCCGAGGACAGAACCGAGGGAGGGTTAACCTAGGTATAGTGAGCCGCATGAACAGCCCCCTCAGGAACACGGCAGTTGATGGTGTTATGTAATGTGCCTAGGAGACCCTGACCCAGAGATCTTTAGTCTTCGTGAGCTACTGTACCCCAGATTGCTGGTAGGCCACCAAGCGAATCCCTGCTGGTCTCGCGGGCATGGCTGATCTGGAAGGCAACCCGTCATTCCAGCGTAACATCGAAGCTTGTACGTCGTGTTCGGCACCCAATCCGAAAGAAAAGACATCTTCTGACAACTTGGATGGCCTACACAAACATTCTTGCCCGGGCTTACACGTGGAAAGCTTGAAGGCTTTCACTCTCTCTGTCTTACCCAATTCCCGCTTTTGTCATTACCGAATGGAACCTCGGGACTTTGTAACATCGTGGAGAATGCAAGCTTAACTTATCCTTGCTGCATTTCCGAGAAGCTTTCGTCAAGCAAGCGAGAGCGCCGGCAGATAATAAACTCCCTCTTTACTCTCTTGAGGGCAAACTTTCAGTAATGATGGATGCGCAGATGTATCATAAAGGGTAATAGGTAACCCTCGGAGGCATCACAAGCGCGCGTATACATACATCTGTTTCAGGCCTTGGGGCCGAACGATACAACATTCGTATATTAAAACCGCGTCAACACTGTCAATCGTCTTTGACCGGTCCTAGATTTTTAGCGCCTCGGTAGTTGTTTAATGTCCTTGTTCCACCATCCTGGGGACGTGGTTCCTTATCTATAGTTGTATCATGCTATTATGCTGTAGTCTAAAGCCGGAAGTTCCGTAGAATGTCCTTCAAATACCGGCCAAAGCAATGTAAATATCGTTTCGGCCTGTGGAAACCACTGTGTCTTAGCTCATTGCTGTAATCGGTGATGTTAATCTGTTAAGCGCCATAGCGCGCCTGTCAGCAAGACTTCATACATGGTGAATACAATTCCTCCAGCTGAGACTACGAGAGATGAGTTTGAGCTCGATGATGCTCATGACCTTGGTTAGAAGTATGACGGATCCATCAGGTGGCCCAAACAGGCACAAATACCACCTCATAGCCCGGTACGCCACAAGGTGTTGACGCTCTTGTGACGCCAATGCCACTTTGTTACGGCGCGCTGTTCTCGTGTTCCTGCAGTCCTACCATATTATAGTGTACACTACACACCACGATGTTAGTGCTTCCCGGCGCCTAGCGGCAAGCAACGCTTGTGGTTGGCTTGGATTGAAGCAGTGCTGTAAGATATCGTGGATAGACAGCGTGTTAGTAAGTATCTGATCTAGCCGGTGGTGGGCTCTCGGTCCAAGATTCCCGTTGTCGGGATGGCGGCTTACGTTGTAACGGTGAACTCTGAGCGCATCTCACATTATCATCATGCTTAGTGTGCAGGCATGACTCTGTTGGTGCTATATGTGGTCATGTTAAGCATTAGCGTGCTCAGGTACCATTCTCTGAATATGACAAGCTGGTGAAGTGAGCCAATCTCATATCGGATGGTTCATACGAGAGCTGACTTAAGTAGATATTACCAGACAAAATTTGGGTGTTATGCCAGACCCTAATCAGTAGATTTTGGATCGTCTCTCAGCTCTCCTCGTTATTTCCATAGGGCAAAAGTACCATACGTGCGCTTGACCAATGGCGTGTCTAATCATTTAGTGGTGGAGATGGGCTTTAAGTATACTCCTACCACAAAATGCATGAAAATACATTTCAGGGCGGTCTCGTAAATGCCTACTCTTTGTGGGTAGTTATGGTCTTGTAATTACTGTGTAGGCGATGAAACTTCTGGCTCGCGTCCAAACGCTGCCTGCGACCGCTTCCGTGAGAAAATAAGAAGCACATAGGTATTCTAAGCTATTTCCTCACTGTCTTAAAGTGTTAGTATACTTAGTAAGGATTCTGATGAACTTAAAACCAGGCAGCGCTGGGATTTTGACCGCCCATCAATCCCGGACTTCACGTATTCAAAAAATGATGAGGTTTAGTGAAGGCCTTGGCGCCTACCTATTTTTCGGGAGTTTTCTGGTGAATCCCGTAGGATGCAACATGGGTTATAGCCCTATCTCACCAACTACGGAGACTGGCACCGCCTTAAAAGCTGTTCGACTATCGGCAGTTGGAAATGGGAGATGGTAGTAGCAGCAAGATGAGCTTTGATGCATCAATAGAAGATTTCGGTCGACCCGCGCCACAACATGAACGCAGGAACTCTGCCCTAGAGTCTCTATTAAGGACTTGGGAATCAATTCGAGGGGTGCTCAGTGTGTCGTAGTGCACTGGCTTCTGAGAAGTTGGTAATGTTAAGCGACGAATAGGAAGTCGTAGCGAGAAGTGGTTGGCCAAGTCTGGTACCAACTGGAAGTTCGGTCCGACCACCGGCCCCTTTCGGCGATATCAAGATCTTTCACTCAAGCTAGGAACCTAGCTTCGCTACCATGGCATCATGGCTGTTCAATTAATTGTGCCTGCTGTGTGTCCAGAATCTCTAGTCATCTGCATTCGCATGATGTCATTTGGCTTGAGTAGATGGTTCTCGCTTCTACCTCGACTATCTTCACTTACGTTGTTAGTCGGTCGCACAACACAATGTTGCGCGCCGTCTCGTCTCCCCAGATCAATAATCTATCCCCACACTCTAACAGGCTAATGGGGACGATCATGCCCTTATTTGTTGCTAGACTGTCATACCGTAGGCAACTACATAGGTACAGAATAAACGGCATCTGAATAAGACAACTTTGAACTTGAAATGCTTCGCTTGAAAATAGTCTACATGAATACTGTAAGGTGGGACTTAGGCTATGGTTTTTCGAACTAGTCCGTTCGAAGGTATTTTCCCCATTTCTTGGTTTACTATAGGTAAGCGAGATGGGAGACTGAATACTTACTTGGCGGAGTCATTCGCCTGCTAACGCGATCGATAGCACTCCGGTAGTCAGAGCTTAAGAAACAGGGATCCATCACGAATTTCCGAGGGAATGAAATAGAGGGCAAAATTTAAGTGTCTAGGGCTAGATGTCGGTTTCCACAGCACCTATAACGGTGATGTGGTATGAGATCCCACAGGCCCGTCTTACCTGAGGTTACGGCCCCGTGATGGCAGATCGAGTACGACCATCTCGCGTACCCTCCTAGAACATAGTGGTGTGCTGCTTCTGCATGCAGGAAACAGCGAATCGATGTGATGCATATGCACATATGCAAGCGCCATATGGTGAGCCTGCATACTCGTGAGGGGTTGGCGAACAAGAAAGACGTTGAGGCGCGGAGAAGCTGAGGGGCTTCTCAACCCCCGATTATAAGCAGCTGCCTAACCTAGGTAGAGCGAGCAAATGCTAAATTGTATGCATAGAGATGGTATAGGACGTATAAAAGCATTCGTCCGTCCGTCTTGGCAATAATGCCAAAAATTGACATGTTGTGATACCAACCCAAGGAGAGAAGTGTTTGCCCGAGTCTTCCGCATGAATATAATGTGCGCTTGTACTACTACGCATTGATAGGTATAGTTGAAGGAGCTGATATAAGAAGAATAAACATGAAAACAATCTACAGTCTAACATGTGAGTGAGTAATTGGGATGAGAAAGACCGCGGAGTATGGCTGGCTCGGTTCGATACGAAATAGTGGGCTCTGTACCGATGAGCCCAAAAACCTCGCCTGATGAAATCCGTCCTGATATAAATCATATGTGGAAAGGATGTGGTACGAGCTATGTTGCAAGTGATTGCGGTGTAGTATGCCAGGCCACACCGAGACTTATATCCTGTTTCTTTGCCTATCACTGTGACTGAGCTGATTTTGACAGACAATTAAGAGATACTGAGCTTGACAGTCGGGCCTACATAATAATTCCGTGTCGTATAATCTCGAAGAATGGAGACAAAAGAGACGAACGGCGAAGATCTTACCGGATGTTGATCATAGATGCTAGGCAGACTGTTGCTAACTACCTACACCAAGGTCACTTTTGGCCAATGTTTAACTTGAAAAGTCCCTGAGTAAGCCGTCGTTAATGAAGTGCTGTTTCTGTTGCCTCTAAAGAAGCATCGGCCAATCTCAGCAAGAGATTTGGCAAGCTTACAATATTCTGGTTCATGAGATAGAAGTGCCATGATAAGTCCATCGGCGTTTACTGTTGTGGTGATATTGTTGAGCCAAAAGCTGAACCTGCTGTGAACTACCGAAAGTGAAAGGTGACTATTTGCCAAGACTGACTGGTTGCATTGATCGCCATGGGTGGCACGGATCCGCGGAAAAGCTGGGGGGTAGGCTACCCTTTTCCTCCTCTGATATTCTTTTGCCCCATATTATATTAGCACTCCGTCGACCGATCCGGATCATGAAGACCACTCTCGTCTCCCCGGCGTTTTCTCACCTCGACAGCTGCGACGATGGTGGGCTGTCGTATGAACGTGCTGTGTGAATGGCATACTTATATGCTGTACGCCTATCTTGTTGGCGCCAGCACACCCCAAACGATGCTTAGTTCCCCACGGAAATCGTGGTATCTTTTCCTGCTAAGCTAGCACACATAGTCCTGACTCATGCTTGTGAACTTGATGTAGCTACTAGGCTAGATGTGGCCCCATCAGAAGCACTACACTAGAAGTATCGATTTAAGCAAACTGTAGAGAAGCTTGTTTAGGTGAAATACTTCTCTATCAGTACACAGACTTATACCTGAATGCTGTTGCCGCCGTGTTGAGCGGTGGGTCGTGATGCCCTGCCGATGTGAATTGCTTGGAATGCCCACATCTTGTCTAGTAGTGTACTATGTAGGCCGACAACTCCTAGCCCGTTTCCTCCGAGCCAGTTAGATCCTTGCTCCCGGCCATCTCAGTCACGAAGCAGGCCATATAACAAGCAAGGTCGAGGCGCGGTCCCCCTTGAATGACCGTTCTTGAAACGCTACTAAACTTCTGACCTCTCTCCCCAACAAGTTAGTAGCTTCACTTGCCACAGAATAGCATTGTGCCGTGCTTGTATATTAAGCACAATATATACCTACTCTGCCTCTCTATATTGCCCTGGCACAGAGGGACCTGGGCTCACCAATCGAAGTAGGTTGGAGAAGGGTAGGAACCCCTTCTTTATATGCATGCCAAGCACACGGAATTGAAGCAGTCGTTAGAAAAAGGCGGGCAGCCTAGAGCTAGGATATCGCTTTCATCAGATCGGACATTTCTGGTCATCCCTTGGCCCATCGTGCCTCCGAGCATTTTAGTATCCCTGACGTTAACCTGTACGTTATTATTACATGCCCTGGAGAGGCTACCGAGGGCTCAGTCATAGACGCTCTCCGGGACGTGACCATTAGCACACCAAGTCTTGATCGAAAGAGCTGTCAAACCCCTGGATATCAACCATCACCCACTCATTCGCGCTCTTACACCAACCCCGCTACCCGTCTGGAACCCTACTTATCCTGTATCCTGCATGGACACTTGTGCCGTCCGACCAGAATTGTGCTGATCACTTTCGCTGCTTGCTGTTCTGAGCCCATCATGCTGATCACCCTATCATTATGCTCATGCTGCTAGTTCCATTATTAACAAGAGGGTATCGGTCCGTTCCTTAGTCAAACCGCCGTCCTTGGGCAACTATAGTCAAAGCAAAGCAAAGCTTAATAGTCACTATTCCATAGAGCATATAGCTCTACCCATCTCGCTTCTCCCCGGCTTGGTTGAGACTTCACACATTCTGGATGCACCTACACTTCACCCAACTGCTCGCGCTCGTTCGAAGTCTGGAAGTCTTGCGATGGTCGCCTATTAGATAATTATATTGGCCAAGAATTATTCTACCTAGATTGATACAATAGCCGAATCATTCAAAAAAAAAGAAAGGGAAAAAATGTTGTCTAACCCGCTTCAACGGTTCTCGCCGTATCACTCGATACCGTCGAATGCCATCTTGTCAAACACCCATGTTCCTGGAAGTCATCTCCATGCAGCCGGTCTGGATACCTTCGGCCATGGACCTCAATACGCTCTCCAGCACCTTCAACAACATGTCGGTATCCACGCTCCTCATCTTACAAGAGCGCCCCAGCAGAAGCACCGTCAACACCCATATGGCGGGCCTGGAACGAGAACAACAGGGTCATCTGGGCCCATAAGAAGAAGGATCAGCAGGGCCTGTGATCAATGTAACCAGCTCAGGACTAAGTGTGACGGACAGCACCCCTGTGCTCACTGTATAGGTAGGATATAGTATTTTCGTGATATCCAGAGTGTCACTATGGTAGCTAACAATTGATAAGAGTTTGGGCTTGGATGCGAGTACATTCGCGAACGGAAAAAACGTGGAAAGGCGTCACGGAAAGACCTTGCTCAACAAGCAGCGGCACAAGCAGCAGCGGCTGCGGGCCAGAATGGCCAGAAAACACCCGAGCATAACGACGACAATGGATCGAGCACCGAAGGCCGAGCAGAAGATGCTGCTTCCGCTAAGCAGGAGCAGCAGAATGCTTCCTCTGACAAGGCCATGGCCGAGATTGATGAGGATGCTTTGGAGCGTAGTCAGAGGACAGGGAGCCTTGATAGCTTAGCTGATTTTGGCTCTCACCAGGCGAACCTAGCCGGTCACTCTCTAGCTCTGGATAGGGAGCATATGGAGAGCCCAGCACCAATCGACTTTAATGGATACGGCAACATCCATAATCCATTCGACAGGCAGACGATTAGTCAATTGATGGGAAACCCGTCACACGGGGCTTACGGAGCCGGCCAAGGCAGTCTATCTAACTATCCTGATCTTCCGTACGCTCTCCAGGCCCACAGCCCAACCGGCTACTCTTCAAATGCTCCAGCAGCGTTCCGCATGGAACCTAGTCCAATGGGCGCCTATCAACTCGGCGGTGATACCGGTTCACCTGGATGGATGAATATGAATTCACCACCACCCCAATACCAAACACATATCCCGCAGAATGCCTACCACCAGCAGTTAAGATACCCTGTGCTGAACCCTCTTGTACCGCACCTCGGCAACATAATCCCCGTCTCCCTGGCCTGCGATTTGATCGATCTATACTTCTCGAGCTCCTCATCAGCTCACGCTCATCCAATGTCGCCATACGTGCTGGGATTCATCTTTAGAAAGCGGTCATTCTTACATCCGAGCAAACCTCGACAGTGCCAACCGGCTCTATTGGCGAGTATGCTTTGGGTAGCTGCACAGACAAGCGACGCACCCTTTTTGACACAAGTCCCATCAGCCAGGGGAAAGATCTGCCAGAAGCTGCTTGAGCTGACGGTTAACCTGCTGAAGCCCCTAATCCACACATCATCTGGTGATACCTCACCATTATCGAGCCCTACAATCGACGGTGTTTCTCTAGGGGGCCTCGGGGTAAATCTTCCCAGCTCTATGAATATGGAGAACATCAGTGGGGGGGACCCTGGGGCTTTCGGGGCTGCCGGTTCGCTCGACGACGTTGTTACATACATACACCTGGCAACAGTGGTATCGGCGAGTGAATATAAGGGGGCCAGCATGCGGTGGTGGAATGCGGCATGGTCTCTCGCCAGAGAGTTGAAACTAGGCCGAGAGTTGGCTCCAAATCCACCTACGACGACCCAGGACGAGAACGAAGTCGACAGCGCCGGCGACATAACGGCAGAGCTCGAAAACGAGGGCAGCAGCGGCACTGTTAGCGAAGAGGAGCGAGAGGAGCGCAGGCGGATATGGTGGCTTGTTTATGTCATGGATCGCCACTTGGCTCTCTGCTACAACCGGCCCCTATCTCTATTAGATATCGAATGCGAAGGTCTGCTCCAGCCCATGGACGACACGGAGTGGCAGAACGGAAACTTCGGCCCATTCGCGACAGATCCTGCTCTGGGCGATGAGCTGACCGAGGATGGTGGCCGAGCCCGCGGGCCTCAGTTCAAGTGCACTGGTCACAGTATCTTTGGGTACTTCTTACCGCTGATGACCATCCTGGGCGAGATTGTCGACCTCCACCACGCCCGTAACCACCCCCGGTTCGGCGTCGGCTTCAGGCCAGCGCGCGAGTGGGACGACCAACAAGCCGAGATCGTCAAACACCTCGAGATCTACGAAGAGAGCCTGAAGAACTTCGAGCAACGGCACTTCAACGCCAGCTCCGAAGACAAGAACGAGCAGTCGGCGACGCTCGAGATGCCCTCCGAGCTAGACCACCTCGACTCGTCGTCGGTGCGTTCCGTACACACCAACACGTCCCGCATGACGGAATCCGACATCCAAACCCGCATCGTCGTGTCCTACGGCACGCACGTCATGCATGTGCTGCACATCCTCCTCTCGAGCAAGTGGGACCCGATCAACCTGCTAGACGACAACGACCTGTGGATCTCGTCCCAGAGCTTCATCACCGCCACCGGCCACGCCGTGTCGGCCGCCGAGGCCATCAGCAACATCCTCGAGTACGACCCGGGCCTCGAGTTCATGCCCTTCTTCTACGGCATCTACCTCCTCCAGGGCTCGTTCCTGCTCCTGCTCATCGCCGACAAGCTCCAGGGCGAGGCCTCCGCCAGCGTCGTTCGCGCCTGCGAGACCATCATCCGGGCCCACGAGGCCTGCGTCGTCACGCTGAGCACCGAATACCAGGTAAGCCGACAAGTCCCCTACCTATCATTCCTGCCTTATATTTCTCTCTCTCTCTCTTTTTTTCCCCCGATCCATTCATTCATACAAAAGACACTTCGACTGACGCGTCTTGGAATAGCGTAACTTCAGCAGAGTCATGCGCAGCGCCCTCGCCCAGGTCCGCGGCCGCGTGCCCGAAGACCTCGGCGAGCAGCACCAGCGTCGCCGCGAGCTGTTGGCTCTCTACCGCTGGACCGGAGACGGCAGCGGCCTGGCTCTCTGAATCGGATTGATGGATGACGACCCCGTGAACGTTTCTCTTCCCCACTCCCAAAACCTTCTGTCCACCAAATTCTAGTTTCTCTCTTATCTCTCTCTCTGTGTGTTTTGAAGTTGTTTCGTCATCATAAAATACCCCTCCCTTTTCCCCTGCTCTGGTAAAGATGGCGAAGATTGGCGTCCAAATTGAATGATATGTTTTTTTTTTTTGTTCTGAGATATCTTCACTTCGCTCGGTGTTTTAGGTTGGGGTGGAGGGGATCTTTTCTTCTGGTCGGCTGTCAAAAACATGGAGACAGGTTCTGCGGTGGACTGGCCTTTGCTTTTCTCTTGTTCTTGTGTTATCCCCCACACCCCAAAGGAAAAAAACTTCATGTCTAGCGGCTGATTTGCGGTAAAGACATTGTCTGGCAAGGGGTCTGGATTCTCAGTGCTTGTGAGATTGTGTATGTTTTCATGACCTTTTTTTTTTTTTTCTCTACTTCTTCATTTACGGCCTTATATCGAGGAGAACCCGGAAGGTACTTGACAATGAATGGGATGAGGACATCGTGATTGACGGCTATCGAAAGAGGTTGTAACTATAAGCCAGGCTGTTTAAAGCTAGGATTCTTGTCACTCCTTTATTCTTGTGAGTTTGTTCGAGTAGCGCGAGACCTCGCAGACCGGAAAGATGTCCGATTAAAGTAAACAAATTGATTTTAAAAAGAGAAATTTCAAAACAACTATTCAAGAACGCAATCCCCGAGCTAGATTATGCGCGTCTTTGATGCTTTACAATACGTGCTTGTAATGGCATGCCTTCGTGCGAGTTAAGTATTTGTCAACTCACACATTCAGGCTCTTTTACAAAGCTCGCCGAAGGCTGCAATTAAGAGCGAGATAGGTGACTACGTCAGCTCGCTACCAGGGATAGCGCTGGAGCCCAGGTTCACCCATTTGCTGTCGAGGGTTTATTTTCCACCAACGACATCCGTCACAAGTCGATGTAACCGCCTACTCAACCCCCCCGCACTCGGGTTATTACCAATGATTTTTCAGCATGAGACAATCACCGCCTCTATCTTGGGGATGCTCACGCAAGATAAGGAAAGGTAACGTGTCTGGCTTTTTTCGGAGTATGGCTTGCTTCAATGAGCTAGAAGATGCTGTTTAAGGTGCTGCTAAGGCGGAAGAGTCGGCCGGATGAACCTGATTATTTGCCCTTTAAGGGTATGATGGCGTCTTGTGAGAATGGCTCTAGGTTTTCTGCAAACGACTAAGAGGGAAAGATATGTTACCAAAGACGCAACAATTAGTCTTTGGAGAACGTAGAAGGAACTCGGTGGTGGTAACATGCCCGTGCCAAGGCATTCTATATGAGGTCTATATTTAACTTGATTCCTGATTTGCCAAACCTGCTATCTACAAGAAGCCTCAAACGCTGGAGGTTTCCCGGGGGGTGGGATTCTAGTTGCAAGCCAGTCAATCAATTAACGAATTAGGAAAAAGAGCGAGCATCAAGTGATACATAATCTGGAGGGCCAAATCTATTTTTACTTATGCTTTGGTTTTCTTTTTCTGTGTTTGGCTGTTGATTGAGCTTCTAGAGGGCAGAGTCTGTCCGTGGTTTGAGCACTTGTGCGGCGTTGAAACGGAGTCTCTCTTGACGACTCAAACGTAACGCAAGGAAGTTGATATGCCAACATACTGCGCACCAAAAGAAACTATCCAAGTAACCACCGATCTCTCTTCGCCGTCGCGCAACCTGCAGGACACCTACAGCTCGGCGATCCAATGCTCTGAGTCGGGCCTATTCATCTCATCTAAATTAGAAGTACACATGATGAAGTTAATACGACAAGAACCTTTGCGCAGTATCATGGCTTCAAGTAACTGAAATCTGATACCACATTGCAAATTCTCATCTACTCTTGCCTTAAATACCTACGCACCTCAGACGCTATCTTCTATACCTACCACAAGCCACCAGCAGCACCTGGGCGTAATATCCACCGAGATCTGCTATCGTGAACACTCTGTATAGCAATACCTATTCACAAAATAGACTGATCAACGTCATAAACGAGTCCAATATCTTCGAACTAAACACGGGGACAAAACTTCATAAACTCCATGCCCGCTAGCAATGCTGACACGACACGTAAAGCTGTCTTCAACACCGGATAGAATAGACACCTAGCCAAGCTCAAAGCCAAGATACGTGTAAATAAGATCATAGATGTATGTATGAGTAATCAGACACATGAATCAGCAATCAATTGCATATGCATTCCGCTTACATGAACACCTCTCACTTCTCACATGTTGAATATTTCCGGGCAGGCCTTGACTTACGAAGTATATCTTATGACGTTACTTAAGTATACAGACAGACAGATGGTGGGGGACTTACCCCACGGACGGGTCCCTGCAGTAAGCTGATGCTGATCTGGAGTCACACCGACAGAGGGAGGAAGGGAGGGAGGGGTCGCAGCTGATAGCGCCGATAAGCTGAGCAGAGCACGCCCAGCTCCGATACGGCATCAACAACAAACGGTGAATACCTAAGTAGATAAACCAACGAAAAAGAGGATTACATAGACTTTCCGGCCAATAGATTCTATTTTCTTTTCTTTCTATAACTGATTCGAGGAGAAGCTTCGCCCTAAAGTATCCCAGAATGGCTGCTACCGACGACAGCAAAAGACGAGCTGAGGCGCTCATTCCCAAGTTCCAATTCGAACGCATCTTGAATCAAGGTGAGCAAGCAAAACAAGCTATCATGGGACTAATCATTGCCCAACATTCGTTAGAACGCATGCAAAGTCGTGGGATGAAAGCTAACGCGTCAACAGACGGAGGCGGTCGACGCATAAACCTCTACGGCCAGGTAGACTCGCAGCCCGCGATCCTGATTCTCGACCGAGCTCCATTCCCCGACGCACCCGAGTACCTATCCGCGCTACCCGCCAACCTACGCAGCCTGACAAATCTAGGGAACAACGACATATACTCGTGGTTTCTCGGTTCCGGGGGCCCCATACTACTCCAGAGCGAGGACAACGACAAGGATAGGTTCGCCGACTTCAAGATCGACCTTATCTGCCCTTGTACCGACAAACACGTCAAGAAGCACAGTCGTCAAGGCGTACGCTACGTGACCGAAACGCCCGAGATATACCGTGACAAGGTGCGACCGTTTATGCAGGCGAATCGCGAAGAAGGCCGTTTGAATTGGATTTACAACATTATCGAAGGGCGGAAAGAAGTCGAGGACGTGATATACAGGACACCGCTCGGACGGGATGGCGACGAGGGTTTCCTCTTGTTGCCCAACTTGCACTGGGACCGGAAGACCATTGACGCATTACATTTGCTGGGGATAGTTGAGCGGCGGGATCTCTGGAGTTTACGCGATCTGAAGAAGAAGCATCTCCCCTGGCTCCGACACATGAGAGCCAAGCTGATTGACGCGACGATCAAGACATACCCGCAGATTGAGGAGGATCAGCTCAAGTTGTTCTGCCACTACCAGCCGACATACTACCATTTCCACATTCACGTCGTTCACGTCACGTTGGAAGCGACAGGGACACAATCGGTGGGCAAAGCAATCGGCATGGACACCATCATCGAGCAGCTCGAGAGCATGGCGGGGGACGAAGAGACAGGCATGGAAAGTATTTCGATAGGCTATACGGTGGGCGAGGCGGGGGATCTGTGGGCGGATATCTTCGAGCCTCTCAAGAAGAGCGGTAAAGCTTCTCTACCGCGATGACGAGGTCGTTGACGGATGATCCGCCCGGACAGTCTGTCCATTCTCCACCATCGCGTACGCAGAACGTCTCGTCGTTCAGTCGCACGGTGCAACTCGTCGAGATGCCTAGCTGTAGAAGATAAATTTAATTTAGTAACTTCATGACGATGCTGGATCAAGGGTTGAACATACACTGGCAGATCGCTTGACGCTTTCACGTAGCATGTCCATGCCAAATGCGCCGTCATCCCTCGTGGCACATTCGTTAATCTTGTCGAAGTCGACGGCATGTTCGAGAGCGCAATCTTCGACTAATTCGCGCTGAGGGATCGAACGATAATCCTTAGTTAAGCACATGGTGAACCCGAGCCATATCTTGGGGTCTGGGTACAGCTGGTGAGCACAGAGTTCAATGATGTTACCCATGCATTCCCCGGGGCCGTGTTTGCATTCAACTCCGTCGTTCTCGGTCGGCATTCCGATGTAAGTAAGGGTGAAATTCACTTTCTGGTATACTTGGATCATAGCTGGGAGTAGCAGCTCCTTGAGGCAGTCTCTCGTGTCTGGGCACTTGCTGATTATGTGAGCCTCCAGGGGGACTAGGGCCCTCGTAGCGGCAGGTTCGGCATGTTGAGCGGTGTTGCCGGCGAGGGGATCGGAGGCTGGGACGTGTTCGATGCTGTGCGATGGAAATGCGCCCTTGAACGAGATTAAATACCCAAAGTTGTACAGGCCGTAGATAAATGCAGCGATAACGAGGAGGTATAGTAGCGGTCGATGTCGACGGCGAGCTCGGTTCCGTACTGGTCGTTTATCCTCCACTACACACATTTGACGAATCAGTAGATGTCATTTAGTGTGACAAATTGTGCGATATGATATGATAACTCGCTTCGGCGATAGAGAATGACGATGGCTCGAGGTAATACTCACTGACGGGGAGGACGATTCTAGCGGCCATCTTGGTTGGACACGCCGTGTGTGAATTAAAATAGATTAAGAGACGTTGGGATTCAAAGAGAGCTATCTATCTGCAATATTTACAAGACGACAAGTATAATACAAAGAAACGATGCGAAGCCGCCAGCACGAAAGCGAAGTATTAGCTGCCGGGGAAATGAAGGATAATAGAGATAGAGTTGGAAGGTCGAGGAGTCAGTCTGCTGACGATAGCCGGGTGACATGCGACGAGGATGAGGATGGATTACTACCTACCTAGGTAGGTACCCACTACGTCCATTTGGGTGTGGCGCTGTACAGGCTGTACAGGTCACTACGTGTAGGTGTGTAGGTACCTACTGTAGGTACCTAAGGTTAGGCAAGTAGCCTGGCTGGGCTGGGCCTTATGGGGCAGGTGATCAGGCTGGAACCGCTTAACCTCAGCTAGGTTAGGGTACCCAAGTCCCTGCATTAGACAGTGCTGTATACCTAGGTAAGTGCTATAGAGATCATCACATCAATCTATCTGCTACTATTGGTACACAAGTACATATATGTGTTAAAGATGTCCGTGTCTCACGATAACGGGCGCTACTGTAGGGTACTGTAGGTTGCAGTGTATCGGGTGGCTGAAATTAGATATTGGAATGCTGAAATTGCCCGATGCATGCTGCACCCTCACTCCCACTTGCGTCACAGGCATTTGTAGTCACAAGGGCTCACAATGGTGAACTTGGAAGGAAGGGAAATCCCCGAGATTGAGGTTGTAATAAATTACCTATCGGCAGGTCTTTTTCTCGCTGCTACACATCTGCTACACATCAAGCGGTAACATGATGGATGTCGGCAACGAGGATATATGACCAGTCGATCGTTTCCATCCGTAGGTAGGTATATATCGAACTTCATTCCAGTCGGCCTAGGGCCCAGACCGGTTGCATATTGTAGATGCAGACAGCGTTGAAACAAACCGCCGAGCATACTACCGAATCTGTACCGAATATCTTCTCGCACCATAGGCACGTCTGTTTGCGTCCTCGTGTCCTCGCATCTTCTGGCACTGGGCCGTTTCAAATCATCATCCATGTTCGTCGTTTGCACCGTGGGACCTAGGTAGGACACACACACACACACCCCTTACATAGTACAGACAGACTGACAATCAGACAGACAAATAGACAGATAAATAAGACAGACAGGTAGTTGTTACGAAAACCTCAGGTGATCTGACATGGCCTCCCTTGGGTAACTGTAGCTTTCCCCACGTACGTCAATCAGCAATCAGCAGTGCCTAGCCAGGGACGCTTGCGCCATGTTCCCTGACAACTGCAACGTTTCCTGAGTCGGCAATTCTGATCCAACTGCTACCTACCTTACCTACATCTGCATACCTACATCAAGCCAAGCACTACTACTACTACTACTGTGTAGGTTACTATTTTATTACCCTTTTGCTGGATTGCTGGGTGCATATAAATCTATCCTGACGGCCGGCCGTGGACAGGAAGGGCCCTTACAAGTAAAGTAGTCTCGTCTGCCAGTCCCGGTGAAGACTAGACCAATTGAAACCGTCCAAGGTTAATATAGTAACCAGCTCCATCTACCGACACCGGACACCAGATACCAGACACATTGGTCTTCGCCGCCAGCTGTTACGTGCTCCATAACGTATATGACATATATGTACTTGCATTACATGGCCAGCCGATGGCACGAGCCGGGGTATCAATAGACAATATGTCTGCTTCTGCTTCTACTTCTACTGCACCCTTAACGCCTCAGCTAGAACACTTCCTCAAGCCCATACATATCGATGTCGCAAAGGCCCACGTGCTCGCCCGCGAGCTATACCACACCTTCCGTCACCTGGCTGCCGAGTCCCTCACCCAGTTTCTGCCTACACCTATATCCGAATCCATCTTACGCCCAACTGGGGGCTGCGAGAGAGGGCGGTATGCTGCTACTTGTTGACTTTGAAACCTAGTTTAAATATTGGGCCTTGAATCACTAATTATGTTTTGCTAGGTATCTCGCGATAGACATGTATGCTACCCTGGGTTGAGCTACATTCTGATAATTTTCTAAAGGGCTAACTTTTACTAAAGCGGCGGGACGAATTTAAGGGTTGGATTCATCGAGCTTTTGGGTAGCGAAAGTGCTCCTATCAGTAACGGCATCACGTCCAACGGGACCCATTCCGATCATCGGACGCCATCTAATCTCCGCCGAGTCTTAGAGCAATCATGGCCAATCCAAGAGACACTCAAGAACGAGAACCCCGACTCTCTGTTTGCCTGGATCGGTAATTGCATCGCCCAGGTTGTAAGGGATGGGGTCAAAGCCTTTGGTTTGGACCGACACAATGAGCTTCCGATGGGGGTGACCTTTAGCTTCCCCATCGTGCAGGAGACGCTATCAGATGCCATTATTATGGCGATGGGGAAAGGTTTCGCTATCAACTCCAAGCTGGACCTTGGAACCCTTCTAGTGAACGGTTACGAAAAGTCAAAACCTTCTGACCTACCGCCCATCAAAGTGGTTGCCATTCTGAATGATGCCGTCGCAACTCTGGTTTCTTTCATCTATCAGTTTCGGGAAGATAGCCGAAATAAAGCAGCGATGGGCCTCATATGTGGAACAGGTACCAATGCTACAATTCCTCTAAGACAAAGCACCCTCAACCCTCAAAAACTGCCCAAAACGATAACAGTTAGAGCGGAAGACAAGGTTGAAGATGTCAAGGTTGCCGTCAATACCGAATGGAGCATCAGCGGCGCCGCTCCACCTCTGCGAAAGCTCGATTTGATTAGCAAATGGGATATCCAGCTTGATGTTGCCACGGAAGCACCTGGGTTTCAGCCCTTTGAGTACATGACATCAGGGAGATATCTAGGTGAACTGGCACGTCTCATGTTTCTGGACTACTTGAAGTCTCATCTCGACCTATCGGAAGAGAATCTGCCCACACAATTGTTGCACCGGTTTGGGCTTACAACCACGTTTCTAAGTCATTATCAGCCGCCGCATCCACCCACACTCCTGCGCAAGCTCGAAGTGGAATTCCCACCGACTACGTCTCGACAGCCCATGGAGTGGAGCGAAGAGAGCGCGATAGCATTATATCATATCGCCAAAGCGATTGAAGTCAGGGCTGCAGCGCTTGTCGCGGCCGCCATTATAGGGTTGCTTGCTTGTGCTGACGACATACCGTTCTCAGAGTCGTTAGAAGGAAAACAAGAAGACAAAATGAACCAGCAGCGACGACCTACAGCAAACGGGGGCATTGAAGAAAAGATGAATCTAGTGGTAGGGTATACTGGTGGTTGCATAGTCCACTTCCAGAACTACCTCGCCGACTGCCAATCGTTCCTGGATGCGATTATCGATGCAGAGTTTGGTGGCGGTGGAGGCCACAGTCACACCCCCCCTGTCCAAGTGACATTGAGCCCCTGCCACGACGGAGGCATAACCGGAGCCGGCGTTCTATGCGGTGCCTCCTCACAACAAACCAAGAAATAAAAGATGTGTTGTTGATATGGTTGTTGTAAAAAAAGCTTTCTCCTGGGGCAGTTTTTTTACTATTTGTGTAGGTGGGAATTGTACGATCGATGTTGTGTTGTGATAAGTGAAATACCCATGGACAGCGCCAGAATAGAAAGAAAGCAAATAGACAGACAGACAAAGGTACGAGATGGGAGTGTGGGAGGTCAGTTTAGCTTATCCTGCTTACCTACTACCTATCGAGAAAGTACCTAATAGATTTGGAGAAAAGGCAATCATAGCCTACATACATATCTGTCCAATGCATGGTAACCCGTTCGTGGTAACCCGATAGATAATATAGTATGTGCTATGTGTTATGTGTTATGTATGTCTCTGATATCATCAGCGTCGGCGCGGCTTGTCGCTTGCTTGCCGTGAGGGGATACCGTATAGGTAAGTAGGGTATGGTATGGTATATGCATGCCGCTTTGCTCTGCAGTGCTTCCTCAGAAAACGCTCACCCGTCCCTCCCTCCAATCCAACCTATGTGGGGTTAGTTGGAAATGACGCCTTATGGCCACTCACTTACATTATCATTATTCTAGGTAGGTGTACGCTACCTACATCCGACTGGCGGCGGCGGGTTGGGTTGGTTGGGCGAATAACACTGTCTGAGAGCGATAAAGGAGGTAACAAGATTTTATGTTTCTGTTCTGTGTTCTGGACTCTTCTGGTCGAGATAGGGTAGTTGCAGCTTACACAGCATGAACTAAACTACGTCGATCGATTGATATATATTCCTGTCTTGAAATTCCTTTGGAAGTTTCTTTCTTACTTGGATGTCCCCTTGGGTGTAATTTCTGCTTACACTTACTTCACTGAGGAGGCTGTTTTGTTGAGTTGAGCTGAGCTGAGCGTTTTCGTGAGACGGATATTTTGAAAATTACCTACTGGTAGAGAGCACGATGACGCACAGTGAATACCCGGCTGCGGACGACGACGAGACGACTGCGCTTCTCAGACCCGGGCATCAGCAGCGGTATGATACCGTTGCACCGGACGTTGATCGGGATGATGACGATGCGGGGAAAGATGACTGTAGGAGTGACAGCGCAGAGCGAGACGCGTTACTGCTGCTCGCTGAGGAAGAAGAGAATCCCGCGACGAACCTCCTTGCTCCTGGACCGTTGAAACCTGTGCCAAGGGAGTGTATACTCGGACATGGCAATGGAGATGGTGATGGAGGGGATTTGGAAGACGGCGCGAATAATAGTAGGACGGCGGATCATGGTAGGGATGCGGAGGGGGAGCGCGAAGGGGATAGCGAGCGGCCGAGTTTTCTGATTCATACCCAGCCGCGACGCTTCCATGTGCTCTTCGCGGGCATCATGCTCACGTTCTTCCTTGCGAACTTCGACGGCACGATCATGGCTTCGTCGCATCCGGTTATCACGTCGCATTTTCATGCGTCGAATAGTAAGTTTTACGTCTCCTGTCTACTTATCTATCTATCTACGGGTCTGGTTATTCGCCTACCTACCTACCTACCTATTTATCTTTACCTGTTGAGATATTTCGGTGTCATGTGTTGTTATTCATATTTCCATATGTTTCGCATTGGGAGATGATAGGAGGCGTTTGAGAATATGCTAGGATATATATTCTTCACAAATCCAATTTCCCGTTCGTTCGTTCGTTCGTTCGTTTGTTCTTTTTAGCGACTTATGGAAATCTGCCTGAGAAAATGGAAAACTTCTAATTTAGTTGCGAATACCTATAAGACTGGCTGACTGACCTGACCGCATCGCAGTGGCCTCCTGGCTCACCACAGCCTTCCTATTGACGGCGACGGCGTTCCAGCCGCTCGTGGGCAGCCTGTCGGATACGGTGGGACGCAAGCCGCTGTACCTCGTCACGATGGCCGTGTTCGCGGGCTCGACGGCGTGGTGCGCGCTCGCGCAGTCCATCGGGAGTTTCATCGCTGCGCGCGCGGTGTGCGGGTTCGGCGCTGGTGGGATGATGACCATGGGGGCTATTTCTATTAGTGATTGTGTGCCGATTGAGTATGTTTATCATTTCTCCTTATCAATATCCCTTCTTTGCCCCTTCTTGTGTACTGCGCTTGAGAGATGGTGAATGATGTGGATGTGTCTTCTTAAAATCGTGAGCACGGGATGATGACACGAGAGAGGCTTTTACAGACTCGAACTTATATCACTCCACAGATTTGATCGTGTTGTATCTAGACTGTCATCTAACATAACCTCCTTTTAGGCAACGAGGTACCTACCAAAGCATCATCAACGTCGTCTACGGACTCGCAGCAGCCTCAGGCGCTGCGTTTGGCGGTGCCTTGGCCGACACGCTGGGATGGCGCTGGGAGTTCGGTGTCCAAGTCCCTTTCCTGGTGTTATGCCTAGTGATCGCTTTCTTGAGCATGCCGGCCGATCTGGGCCTGCAAAGTGGGCGGGAGAAGCAGACACTCTGGCAAGCTCTGCGCGGCTTCGATTTCGCGGGCTCGGCGCTGTTGACTATGTCGACGACTTTTCTAATCTTGGGACTGGTAAGTGGGTTTTCTAATAATGACCTGTATTTCAAACCCCTGAGTAAAGTACAGTGTGCTGATTATAAGATTCTGTATTTTAGAATCTTGGTGGTAATATCCTGCCGTGTAAGTTAACGCATGCCTGTGATGTTCACTCTCCGAGTGTACAACATCATTTACTTGAGTCTAACAACTAATCTTACGCTTCCAGGGTCCCATCCGTTCATCATCTCCTCCTTGATCGTATTCACCGTGTGCTTCCCATCATGTATATACGTCGAAAGCCGCGCGGCGCGACCCATCATGCCCCTTGTGCTCCTCCACAGCACGCCGCGAGCAAACATGATATTCTCAAACTTCCTGGCCTCTTTCCTCATGAGCGCCATATTATTCAACGCGTGAGTATATTACCTGATTCATGCCATTCCCTTCAATCCGTTAGATAGATACGATACATGTTTCACCCATGCTCGAAGAACGACGAACACTAATCTCCACACAGCCCCCTTTTCTTCCGCGCCGTGCTTCTAACATCCGCCACGCAATCCGGGCTGTACCTCGCTGTGCCAACTGTCGCAGCCTCGATGACGGGCACAATAACAGGCATCCTGATCACAAAAACAGGACGTCTGAAATGGCCCTTGCTGAGTGGCACGACCCTCTTATTCCTGGGCACGTTCCTGCTGTGCTTCATGCGTCGCGGCTGGCCGACGTGGGCCTACGTGCTCTGTCTGGTGCCGGCGTGCGTGGGCCAGGGTTTCCAGTTCCCGGGGACCTTCATCGCCGTTCTCGCGGCGTCGGCGCAGCGCGAGCAAGCCGTCGTCACCAGCACGCTACAGCTCTGGCGGGCGCTTGGCAGCGTCCTCGGCGTGGCCTCTTCTAGCCTCGTCTTGCAGAACGCGCTCTTGCGGTATCTCGTTGCGTACGTCTCTGTCCCCGACGGCAGCGGCGAGGCGGGGGAGGAGTGGAAGAGGCGGTTTATCGAGCACGTTCGGAGTACTATCGAGGCTGTGTCCGAGTTGCCTGACGGCGAGGCTAAGAACGAGGTTATTCTCAGCTATGCGGATGCTTGCAGGGCGACGTTTTGGGTGTGCTTGGTCTTTGCATTTCTGAATCTGTTGTTGGTTTTGCCCATTAAATTACCACGTCTAGGTAAGAAATAGAAAAGACAAGAGCAGGATGCGAGGAGGGGAATTGTCATACAGTAGGACTACCTAGACATGCCCAACTTCGACCTTTTGGTCATTTACGTAGACGTCGCTAATGTGATATGATAATGGTTGTGAGTATGGAGCTCAGAAATGTGATGGGTATCTTAGTCGGTTTTTCTATTCAGGATTTCTCGAGACCGCGATCATACAATTTCTTGATTATCATACATTTCTTCTCCGTGTCCCAGATAATACATATGGATTAGTGATCGCCATTGACGCCGTCTGCGAAACTGTCAAGTTCCTCCTTGGTTCGGCGGTATGCTTCTTGAGCTTCTCTTTCTCTGCGACTGACAAAACCGACCTCTTCTCTCAGTGCATCTAGACGACTTCTGATGGCGATTTCTTCCGATACAGCCAAGGTTCTGAAGCTCCCCAAGGCGAATGTAGCCTTCTCCAGCGCTTCGGCAGCTTCTCCCATTTTTGAACGTAGCGTTTTTGCTCGTTGCTGATATCCTCCTAAGTGAAGGTTCAACTTTTTCTCCAGCTTAGTGCATTTCTCTGCAATGGCGATAGTGGATTCCTGTGCAATCTGCGAGGATAGTTAGAATCGGGCTGTAGAAAATCATAAAACTAATGGAAAAATGGCTTACGTCAAATGCAGACATCATAGCGGCCACCTGTGCCTCTTCCTCATCATCCTCGTAGCACCCTAGGCCTAAGAGCAACGCGTTGCTGTTTTCTCTTTCCCAAACTGACTGAACTTCTTCTGGTTTAGGCTGGTCTTTTACATCCATCAGGATTTTAAGACGAGCCTCAGCTAACGATGCATCGTCGATCTGCTGTAGAGGGCTGGGTTTACCCTTAACCTTTGAGCCTGCAACCGGGTATCGTGCAGCGTCATGGGCGATGAGAAGGGCAGCTTCTCTCGCGATCAGCGCCTCTATTGGGTCGATAACGGCTGAGGCTTCGCTCGCCAAAGCTTCAAAATCTACAAGCTCTGGTCGAGGCAAGCCCTTCTGCATCACCTGGGTTCGTCTCTTCAGTTCTAATTGTTCCTGAGCTTCCCGAATTGCGCGCTCTCGTCGATCTCGTACTTCGGAATCTTCTTCAAGATCATCTACAGCCATGGCTTCTTGCTGCTCTTCAGGAAGTTCGAGTTCCCACTCGCTCTCCTTTGGTTTTGGCAACGAGGCCAAACCCTGCTTGAGCTGATGTTTCATAGATAACTCCCGAAGTCGCATGTCATTTGCAGCGCCTCCTGCTAAGGCCAGCTCATTATCGCCTTGGTTGAGGGCAAAACTATCTCGAGGCGTCCTTAAAGGTGTCTGTCCAACTCTTTGGGGCGTGGCGGCCACCCCGTTCATGCCACTATGCAATGGTGTAGCCATTGGATTAGGGGTTGCGATCACTTGCTTCCGGGGCGCGGCACTCTCGAAGCCTGTAGACCCGGATCCTTCGTTAAGATCGGCGTTTTCACCCCCAAGCAAGGCTGACTGGTTCTCAGTAAGGGCGCGAATATTTCTAATTTCTGTAGCGACTCTATCTTCCTGGGCTGGTGCCATCGGGGTTCTAATAGGCGTCTGTGTATTTAGAGTTGAATACGATGTGACAAGACCGCGTGTTGCATCGTTATCGCTCGATTGTGCGAGAAGGTTGGCTCGCTCACCCATCATGCCCATTTTGACGATATCTTCGAGTTCGCCCTCGCTGACTTGCGGCGACGGTAAGACCAAAGCTCTTCTTTTACTGCTCTGTTCCGCTTCGCGGACTTTCTGCATCTGCCCGGCTCGAATGGCAGCTTGAGTGGCTGCTGAAGGGCCCTCTTTTTCATTCTTTCGTCGTTTCCTGTCAGCGTCATCATCTTGTTCTCCTTTGCGTTTGTTTGCAAGCTGTTGTTTGCGCGGATCGAAGTTAGCCCGTTGAGATTCGTTCCGCTTCTGCTCGTCTGCGGTATCGTAGAAACCGAGCGCGGGAGCTTTCTCGAATGGAATGTCGGCATTGTAATCCATCTGCCCCTTCTTACGTGTGACAACTTTAATGTTGATACCAGCTGTCTTGAGCTCGCGACGTTTCTGTAGGGCAGCTAGACGACGCGACTCCTCCTGTTGGCGCTCACGGGCTTTCCGCTTTGCCTTCTTTCCTTGTGTATTGGCCAAGCGGGCTCGAGCCTCGCTCAGCATCTCCTTCTCGTCTTCATCGAGGTCGATCGTGTCGGGCCGCGCAGGTTTGGTTTCGGGATCGGGATCAACTTCGCCCGGGCGCAATCTTCGAACATCGTCGGCAGTAGGCGCCTGGGTCTCGCCACCTTCAGGACCAGTGAGGCCGAGGCCAGATGACTCGCGCTGTTCAGCTTCATCAAGGAGCTTCTGGTAACGCTCAAGACATTGGTTTGCAGTGCGACCGACGATGGGGGCGATGGTTCTCCATTGCGTGGGCATTAACTTGGCAAGATGTAGCAGTCTCTCATCCTCCTCTTTGCTCCATTCGATCTTCTTGATGCTCGGATCCAGCCATTCATTCCATCTCGCCTTGCACTGCTTGGGGGTTTTCCGCGGCAACAGAGACGACACGCGAGCCCACTGGTTTAAGCCATACTTGGAGACGGAGGCCTTGAGGATCTCGTCCTCAATGTTGGTCCACACTCCTCCCTTGACTACCGGCATTTTGACGTTGCCTGATCTGTCGGTACTCAGCTGTAAATAGGGGAGGAGGGGTGGTGGGTGGTCGCCGTTTGATGATCGAAGATGTTGCTAAATGGCCAAATGAGTTGAGTCTATCTTCAGTCGCGATGCGCGAGCTAACCTACTACCTAAATTGTTAGCAGACTTAGCCACACCTTTATTCCCTTGGAAGGTTGGCCTGGCATTAATGTGGCTGCTGTGGCTTACGTACTCTGTAGTGCGTACTTAGCGACTATCATAATCCCAGTAGGTATCTCCCATTAGATATATCGGTAATCGTCAAATAGAAAAAAATGTATGTATTAGGTATGCCATATATTTACTGTGATTTTGCAAACCTATTCTATTACTACTCTAGGATGGTCTCAGCGTTTGTAGAATCGAGAATGGGATCTTCCCTACATAGGTACCTCTCCATAGCTCTAGTTTAATTTGCTAGCTAAGCCACAACAACAATCATTTCAGATAGCAGACTGTCTCTAGCTTAGTACTTTACGTCAGCAGCACCATGGGGAAAATGTGCCTTGTTCAACGTTACCCTAGGTATCTTTATCTTGGCTAGGGGTTGGATTCAATTGCTAATACCACTCTACTAAATTACCTCTAGGATCGTATCATTTCCACATGATCATCTGCTCAATATCAAGCGCATATTAGGCTGATATGGGACAAACTCGTCAACCCCTGCAGGGCGCGCTGGTGGACTCTACCGATGGCATTCAAGATTCTAAAGACCAATAGCCACCGTGTCGACGTCAAGCTCGAAGGTGTCGGCGGGTAGGACAAAATCTTCGCTCGTCACGATCGTAACGGTCGAGGGGTCGATCTGGACGTGGTTGAGTTTGAATTGGACCTTCGGGTATGACTCCTGATAGGATATGCTGGTCTCGAGGCGGAACGTCGCGTCAGACGCGCACTCAGTGTCCCGATCAAGCCCGTACTGGACCCCTTCGCACTATTGCATTGGTGTAAGAATTCACGCTGAAGTTGTGTTCATGCACGTGCATACTTGTGATAGATGGGGAAAGGGGGAGAGCACGAGGTAGTAGAAGAGGGTCGACTAAGGCAGCTTACAAGTACATCAAGTCCTCGTACGCCTGTGACATAATTGTCAGGCGCCGTCACACGGAACGTGGCTACTTCCTGGCCAAATGGGCCTGATTTCGTGAAGTCCGTCACGGTCCATGGGTTGTTGATGGTTGGGTTTATTGGTGGACTGGGAGGTACGTATGTGGCGGCGGCCAAGAGGGATGATCCAATCGAGACTATGATTGTTGAAGCACGCATTTTGAATAACAAGGCACGGGCGTTAGGTCGAATATTATAAGCTTGTCAATGATTCTAACAGTGGTTAAGTAACAGTCAATATGGCAGCCAGATTCTTCGAGGACCTTCTTCATATTTATATAGGATGGTTAATGTAACGATTTCTTACACTACAATGTCCTAGGCTAGAGTGCTTATTGGCAATGTGTCACCGCTTCATATGAATACGAACAATGGTAACCTAGCGGCCAGGGCATAGTCCATCATTTGATGCGGGCCAGGAAATCAGGGGATGGGACGACCATGTTCGTATGTTCACTGCTTTACCAAGCGCCAGCTCGTACCGACATCTCCCTCTCTCGCTTATACTTTAAGTAAGGCTGATATGCAAGCCCGAGGCGTTAATGGCGGAAGGATTTTCAATACACCGTATGTGCGGGGTCGTTGGCTCATTGCAGCTCGCTGATAGGTGAAACCAAGAGTATCAGTCATAGTATTACCAAAGATTGAAGAAGCCCAGGACTTCCAGATCTTCTTACTCGGACAAAAGCTGCGGGTGTGGTTTGCCAGGGCAGACCAGGGCGTGAGTGAAGCTGTCTAAGTAACCATCTGGGCAGTAACGCGGGGTGTGGCTGGGTGTGGCTAGGATCATCGCGAGGGGTCACGGTGCTGTCATAGGTGCTACCTCAGTCATTGTCTGGATACTCAAGCAGTGATGATCCGGTATTGGTATTCCAGAATAAAAAGACAATAATTTCACACCGAGTCTTGAAGCTCATCATTCCTGGTCCGATATCATTTTCAACTCGTTCATCTCCAATATCGTTGTTGTCCTTGGCTGCCTGAATCCATAAGCCTGCAGCGCGAACCATTCATCTAGGCAGCCAGCGTTACTACAGACATCTGACTCAGACTTTTGGATCTTGTGCTACCTCCTGGAAACACCTAGCTAAAACCTCGCCATTTTAGACTTAGACCATAGACGAAAAACTCATAACGTTCCCTGTGAGCAGACTATGGCGATCGATATTGAAGCACCAGAGTCTGATGACTGGTTTAACCTATACGAACGCCTCGAGACGGCAGAGATCAACCCTCAGCTGTCTTCCCCCTTCTACAACGGCCGCATCCCGGCCGAGATCAGGACTCTCATATTTGAATTCGCAGTCACCGAGTTTCCATCTCCCTGTGCCAGGACTGTCAAACCCATCACTTGGGTCCAACATTCACACGAGCCAGCACCTATCCCAGCAACTCCCAACCCTTCAGCGGTCGGGAATGTCATCGAACGGGTTAGAAGTCGCATATCAGGGGTGATTCGTCCACCTGGGGTGATGCGTCCACGTCGTGGCAGTTAGTCACACTTTGCTTTTGCTGGTTTGGTTGGCCTCATGTTGACGCTGATTGACTAGTGTCATGTAGCCTCGCGGCCCTCCCCTCGACGCATTGAATATTGTAGATAGTCTTGGAATTGCAAATGCTCACGTATGGTAAACAGTGCTCCCATTAGCGGTGTCTCATACCCCACAGCCGAAAGATGGCTTTGACTGGCTTCGTTTTGATAACACCGAGCCTATGGAGGTCGCTACTGCGCTACTGCTAACCTGCCGACGAGTCTACCTTGAAACCCATAACCTACCGCTGCTACAGACACAGCAGCGATTTTATTGTCGTCGCGGGCCCCCATGCCGTAGCGATGGCTCAGAGGGCCCGCGATCGAACATAGAGGGGTTCATCACGAACTTGCTGAGTGACCCCTCGCCCGTGCCGGGCATAAAACAAAAAGATCTAGTACGATCTGTGCGCCTATTCATACAACAATACTGGCTTGAAGATAGATTGCTGCATTTAGTGCTGTCTGATAACTGGTTTGCTAATCTTGAACACCTCCGCATCACGCTGCGTCGCGGCGACTGGTGGGACTGGGAGTCGAACGCGACTCTCAGGATCAACCCTTTCAAAGGCAACTGTTGCCAGTAAGTTCCCAGGCGTCAAAGTCTCTCTTAGTCGCATTAGGTGTTGCATTTCCTCGCATGCATCCAGAATAGAAGTCAGATTAGTACCATGCATGACAACAACTAACCCCAGCGTGCAAACAGTGCTCACACGATTCGTCTCATGCATCAGGACATGGCGACAGAGAACGGAAATGTCGAATTCTCAGTGGGGGCATGGGGAAGGGCATTTTCTCACATGTCGAAGTTGAAAACTTTAACCATCGACTTCGAGACGTCCGAAGACAAGAGAGAGGAGATGGAAACTCTGGTTACTTGGGCTCTGAAGTGGCGATTTCCCCTGTCCAGTAGCAGGTATCTTTCTACGGGTGGTCAGCCAGCTGATAAAATAAGTTGGCGCGGCCTCCCCCACCACTTCAGTCACCAGTGTGTGTCGGGCTGTCGTCGTACACAGTATCGCACCCCCGAAGAAGAATGTCCAAAATGTAGCGAGACGAGGCAATTGATTTCTCAGGGATATGGGCCACAGCTACTGGTCTGGACGTGCGTCTGGAAACCGGTTCAGGGTGACTAGGTTGAAGAATCCATTCCGAATTTCCATATCCCCTTACCAAAGGGGCAGATTTTAGCTCATACTCTTCCTATACACCTGGAAGTATAATGAAATGTAACTTTCTAAGACAGATACAGTCAAGCTGTAGTCATCACGTGTACGCAGGAATAGATTATCGAATACGTGATACCGGAGAGTTAAAGGTAGTTATGTATGCCTTACGTAAAATATGTATCTATATACAAAAATCTCTATATGTGCAATCACGAGCTTCTATGCGTCGTCATACTCATTTCGCTCCATCTAGCGGGATTTTTTCTTCAAGGTCCAGGAACCTCTGCAATAGTACTAGTTCATCGCGATATACCAATGCCACGTGGTTTTTGGATACTATGTGTATCATTAAGTCGTTCCCGGTGCGCCAAAAAGGGGGTATGAAGAAGTGTCTCGAGTAGTGCTTTGCGCCTGACGGACTTTTCAGGTTGTAGGAGCAGATCCAGCCGCGTCGAGTGAGGAAGAAGACTTTTGAACCGAAGACGCCTATTAGTGTCCTGATCTCGCACGGTAGCTTGTAGATTGTTCCTATCAAAGGCGTCTTAGGGGAAGCTAATTGTAGTCTTGAGGTGTCGAGTGCTAGTAATGCTGTTTTCGCCTCCGACCCTGCGTTCAAGGCCTGAACGAAGAGGGCAGTGCCGATGCGACATGCCCACTGGCTGGTAGGACTAGTACTGATCTCGATGTCCGGTGGTGTTAGGATGGAAATTGTAGGTGCTTCGTCAACCTTTTTCAATCCCTTCCAGTTGTATAGTTGGATCATGCTCCCGTTAATCAGAAGTAGTTGGTCTTTGTTCGTCGGGTGTAGCATCCAAACCATGTTATCTGTAGTCTCGGCATAGGAGGTAAATGTGTCTTCCTCCCTCAATATCTGTTTAGATTCGGTGGCTATGAGCACTGCCATTTCATCCTGCTTGGCAATAACCTGCGTGACTCTATCGTTTATCTTATGATTGAAGAGCTGGTCGAGTTTGTTCCACTGACCTGCTCTTGAAACGGTTAAACGGGTAGCAATGCAGCGACTAGCTATATCCACACTATAGAGGATCTTGAGTTTGTGATTCCAAGTAAGATGGAGAATGGATACTTTATGCTCGCCTATTTCCATGGCCACTTTCCCATCAGTGACGTTATGGATCGTAATAGATCCGTCCGCGCGACCACAGAACATGAAAAAATCATCGCCCGCTTGAGCAATAGTGGTGATATCCTTCTTTTGATCTGATATACGTGAGACAACGGTATTCTTGGGTTCATGCTGAGATTCATCGGCCTGGCTTGAGTCATCATCGAATCGATCCTTTCTTAGAAGACTAGGAGGCTCCCAGACGTTGCACGTTCGACCTCGAATATCGTAGAAACACAGACTATTGGGTGCGAAAATAATACCAGTGACAATGCTGTCATAAGTGATGCGGTGGATTAACTGTAAGGTGTCAAAGGCGAATAATGAGACAGCGCCACTATTTTCACCTGCTGCAAGAACGTGGCCATCGGGCGACACGGCTAAAACTCGTGCGAATATGTGATATACGTCGCGTTGGCTAGCACGTTCATAATGGTCAAGTTCGGCAGTGACCAAATCACCATCTTGGTAGAGTACAGCAAACGACCTGTATTCCGTCGCGGGACAAAAGGCCACGTCTAGAACCTGAGGCGGCAGTGCGGAATCCTCTGATCCTTCTTTTGCAAAGCGACCGATACGAGACATTCTGTTGAACCTAAAATCAGTAGAGTATAATGTTAGATGTGTGCTCCTGTAAGACACGGCGGCAAGGCCTAGTAGCGGAGACATTTTCACCACCTCGGGGATATACCGGGCACGGGACTTCGTGTTATCGTCCGAATCCGAGTCCGCAGTGTCGTTGTCAATCTGCATATATCCAACGGTTGTTCCGTCTTGAGTGTCGAAGGCCATTATCAATTTGTCAATTTCTCCTTTGACCGTCGCAAAGACCAGCGAGTCATCCGGACTAAAGCAAACTGAAAATAGAATACCGGTGATGGCAGAAGTCCAAAGCTTCGTCCGATCAGCTGACCACATCGTGATAAGTCTAGGGCTACCAGACACCAAAACCCCTGATATGTTCCCGAAAGTAAGCTGTCTCACTGGGCCACCGTGGTGCAGCTCATCAACCAATTCCAGTGTCGAATGGTCATATATGCGGACCTGCCCTTTCACCAAACCTACGGCCACATATTTAGAGCTAGTTGCAACAGATTTGGCATCGCTTTGGAGCGGTATGCACGAAGATCGCTCGTCCCAGCTCTTGTTCGATGGGCAAATAACCTTTTGTCTAAGTCGGCCTGTGTGATACTTATGGATCATTGATGAGCTCGGACATAACGACGGGATTGAGGTATAAATAGAAGACGGCGAGTCAACGATGTTGATGCCGAAGTTCGTGACTAAACGAGTGAGGTCATTCGTCCAAGCACCCAATTCCTGTAAGCTGTTGTCAAGAGGATGATTCGTGTCAAGAAGTCGCGCGAGATACTGCTTCAGACTTTTAATGGCTCTGATCATCGGGCTGAGTTTTCCCGTCTCGGCAATGCGCTCTACCCACACCGGCGCTTTCGTGTTCATAAACGTCTGCAAGTCAGCGAAAGTTGAGCGAGAGAGCGAGCGCGCATGTTCGAGATGATATGCGAAATTCCTGATAGTGTATCTATCGAAAGCTGCGCTAGTAACATTACTACTCTGTGTGCGTCGACTATTGCGAGGTTGGAAGTCGGGCCCGTTCAGGTACGTTAAGCAAATAAGTGCAATATCCTCGTGCGCCTGGCGTTTTGATATGTAAAAGTTTGAGTCCTTGGACGTTATGTAGGTTTTGACTGTTTGGTGCATGAGTTGAACATGTCCATCTTCGTTGACTAGGACCAGGTTCCGGCAAATCTGGGATAATGCTATATGTGACCCGGAGGCAAGAAGAGTCCGCTTGATGTCCAACTTGACAGCCTCCCTCAGTTCATCAACCGAAAGTGGCTCGGGTGCGCTAACAATCCACTTAAGGATACATTTTGCAAGATCTGCGTTGGTAGACTGTTCGATCTTGTCAACAATGTCAGCATAGAAGTCGTTCATTTCACTTGGAACACCCTTGACGACTGATTCCATGTCCTCAATGCTATAGCAATCTTCTAAGCGATCCATGATGAGTGCAGCCCAAAGAAAAATGCCGTCTGACTTTTGGAGTATCAAGTCCACTAGAGGCTGGCTGTCTCCCTCCTCCCGTAATTTAGGCCATGAAAGAAGATAGGCACCAATATCTCGCAGGGACTCGCCTTGGCCCGTCTGAAACTTGATGTATCTAATATTCTCATGCTCAAATATTTGTTGGATTCTACTCTCTGGTCGGCTGCTGAGGAATATTTTAAGTGGAATATTCGGGTTGACTCTTGCCAACATCTGAACCAGACTGACAAGGGAGTCTCTTGGACATTCATCCAATGCGTCAATCACCCAATATTGGGGCTGGCGGAATTGAGTCTTCAAGATACATCCTAGAAACAGAGTATTCCATATCATAGTGTAATCATGCGAATTAATAATACTCCCATCTTTGATCATGGCTAGGAAACTCTGTCGGGTCTCGAGGTTCGCCTCGGCCATCTGATAAGCCAAGCTGAGCAACAACATGGCCACTGTAGAGTTCATTCCGGCCTTGAAAAAGTAGTAGCTGACATCAAAATTGTTCGAGTCAAGAAAGTTGATAGTGTGGCCTGAAGCAATGGACTTTCCAGACCCTGGGGGGCCATACAGCCAGAGAAAGCGGGAGTCAGAACTAGCTTGGGGAGTGGCCAATGGATCAACTTCATCACCGTCGGGATCCGGACTTAGCCATCGCGAAAACATCGCATCGTCCGTTAACCATTGGCAGGAGCCACTGTGGTATTTCGATGGGGTCTGCGTCGCATATAAGTCGTTACAAGGTCGTAGCGCATTGTCAAATGCCTTAGATATTATGTTCATCTGAGAGTGGTACTCTTCTCTGTATTGAGATTCATCTGTATAGTCAGCAATGGAGCGAGGCAAGTTGCACGGCAAACTCACAGTCCTTAAGTATGTCTTCGACAGTGGTCTTGAGTTTTCTCATAATAATAAGATAACCTGGATCTTGGTCACTTTCGAACTTGCATAAATGGCGATGATCGACTGGTAGATACTGCTCCTCCTCATTTGGTAACCCTTCTCATCAATTAGTTCGCCGACTATGGGAAGAATGATAGTGACTTTACAGACCGATTACTGCGGATTGCTTCTCGACGATCATGACCCCAGCTGTAGGTTGACTTTCGAAAAAGGAGAAAAGTTTCAATTTTGAGCATGCGTATCGAAACTCATAGTTAATATCCTAAATCCTTAGCGATCAGGGTTTTATTACGGTAAACTATGGACTTACATGAACGGTTTGAGAATCGGGCATGAGTTCCTTCACAAACGATTTGGCACCTGTTGGCAAAGGTAATGACAAGTATGCTTTCAAGTATGCAGCGGAATCTGATCCTCTGTGCGGTGTACCGAGGAAGTACATTGTATGAATCCGCGAAGAAATGTCTTTGTAGGTTTCGTTCCTCGTGGCTAAGAGAAAGGCCTCCTCAGTGTCAGATATCGACGTATCCCAACCTGGTTTGAATGATAGAAGTACCTTCTTGATGACTAGTCCACCCATGCTGTGAGCGACGAATACGATGGGCGTCTGTACATGTTGGCGCCTGATTTGCGGCTTTGCGTTTCATCTCCACTCACATTACCATTTCGCTTGAAGGCCTGGGAATGCTTGAGATCTGCTAATAATGCCAATGCGAAGTCATGTACTGTTAAGGTGCTAACGGCCGATTTCCTCCAGTCCGAATCGTATCCAAAGCTGTGTATTCGTGCATGTCGAAATCCAGGTTCGAGGGGTAGCCATTCTCTCGGCCAATATGTCAAAGGGTCTGTAGGGTCGAGAGACCAGGTCTTTCTCGAACCACCTTGCAGTCCATGTACCTATACAAGGTCAATCTCACATACTAAAGCCCGTGGATATGGATTAGACTCACAAATATTATATCTAATCTTGGCTCTGACGGCTCAAACAGGAGATTCAGACCAAGCAAGCCTCGCGTGACCTCAGGGGTACTTCCGACACTTGCCGATCCAGCTGAGGCGGCTCGCCGAAGACGCCATGAACGCAGAAGGTTCGGAGCACTGTGTCTATGAAGAGGAACCAGTAGCTCAGGCGCTTGAACTTCGAGGTCCGCGGACATGGCTGCAAGGCTCGACGAGGTCTTCGCTTTGAGTTAGGCAGGTTGGCTGGCTACCTTCATTGACTCACCCAATTCCCCGCAGGAAAGAACACTGAGTCGATAAAGAATGAATCCACACTCTTATGTCATCCGTGTACCTTTAATAAGGCGGACACAACAAACAGGTTGGGGTCGGGACTACATTCGAGCCTCGGGATTTCAGATCCTTTCACACGACGTCGCTTTCCTCTTCGCACCAATAGGCGCTTATTTTGAACAATCCATAGGTACAGCGTCTGCAGGGCACTTGCAGGGTTGCAGACCAACATGCTTATTATCCTAGCAGGGTCGCAGCGCTAGATGTGAATTGGGATATCTTGGCAAGAGCGTAATCATTAGAATTAGGTATCAACTCTCTCCGTCGTTGTCTCCGAAGACAAGGTAACGAATGCCATAGTCATTGGTCTCTTCATAGGGATACTGCAGTTCATCTAGAAAATGGCGCCAGTAGTCGTAGAGCCTCATAATGGATGCTCATGCGTTGCGACCGGCCTGTCGGGATGGTGGGTGAACATTCCTCACCCTGCCCCCTATTAGACCGGATTAGGGGTAGGACATCGTGATGTGGAGATTATGTGGTCCTGTTGGTAGCAATACATATGCGAGGCTTCACACCTGGTCTCCTTTTGGCAACCCCGCCGGATAAGCATAAAAGTACATTTGGAGGGGAATTCTACGTGAAGACACAATGAAATCAAGCATAACTTAAAAGGCTGTCACTCTCCGCTGTCGTAAGACAGTAATACTAGGTAACATCTTATGACTTTCTCAGCGCATCAATCACCTACTTGTCTAGAATAATTCCAGGGTTATATCGTGGTGACAGCGGTTAGCTAAGACTTTAGTATGCAGCTAGACGAAGCGGTGATATCACGTAGGTGTCACCCCTCGTCTTTTCACCTATTTCACACTGCTGAATTGATTACCAGATCTACCTTTGGGGTGTGAGGTGATCAGTGTCAATCCCAAAGGCCTTAGTGAGAACTGCGATACTACAGAGATTGAGATTCGGCTAGAAGACGGTTCCATTGAACGGTACTTCGAAAAGGCAACAGCCCACTCCCTTTATTACAATGATATGATAATAACAGGACCTAGTCGTCTACGGGGCAGCATGGATTCGAGCTGATGCGAGCTCACTACGAATCGGAAACGAGCCTCTATCGTTTCATTCCAGAAAACTTGCCTCCGCCAATCGCGTTAATTCAGTATAAATCCGATCCAGATCGTCATTCGTTTCTTATGAAGTTTGTCGATATGGTGGATGATGAGCTACCTGACCCAGCGCCATTCATGGAAACTATAGCAACTCTTCATCGTAAGAGCGCAGGGAAATCGCCGACCGGGAGGTTCGGGTTTTCCGTCGACACTAAATTTGCCCATTTGGCAACACCTAACTTCTGGGATGATTCTTGGGAGTCCTGGTGGACACGACACATGAAGATGGTCTTGGAGCGCGAACTCCAGGAGCGCGGAACCCGAACCCAAGAGGAAGACGACTTGGTGGACTTCTATCTTACCAAAGCTATTCCTCGCTACATTCGGCCGCTCGAGAGTGATGGTCGGTCAATTCAACCAACACTTCTACATACAGATCTTTGGCCTGGTAATGTGAAATTCAAACCTGACTACGAGACTGTGTGTATCTTCGACGCAAACGCAATGTGGGGACACAACGAGAGTAAGTGTTGTACCGTCTACTCCAATGCCGTAGGAGAGAATAGGTGCTCAATAAAACAGTGGAACTCGGGCTAGTCGCGAATCCTCGATATCCACTTGGAAAAGCATATATTGAAGAATACCGTAAGCGTATTCTTCCTTCAGCGCCCGAGCAAGACGCGGATAGTCGTGTCATTATGTACATGATACGCCATCAGGCTTGCCTGGCAAGCGTGTACCCGGATGACGTGAAGTTACGGGAAATGTGAGTATCACAGCAATGAAGGTCACCAAATTCCGTTTAACAATCTCTGTAGTTGGATTGAAAATGTCCGCATTCTTTTGGAACAGTACCTTCTCGAAGAGCGGATTAAAGCTAATACGGAAGCTATTAAAGCAAACCAGTCAATTCAGACAATGGATCAGGACTCAAATTCAAGTCCAGTAGTACTAGTTACAACACCTGGTGCGTTAGCCACTCAAATTTAGATAGCAGTACGCGAGCACTTTCGAGCAATTTCGGTACCAAATCAATTATATCACGAGACTTCTATATGGAACACGATATAGGGTAGATTTGCTAACAGTGTCCTGAAATTGGCTATCTTCAAGTTCTGTGTCGACGAAGTTGGATCACGGGTGGAATACTCGTTGCGTTTCCCACGTTAACGTTTTTATATCTTCAATGAAATAGATTTAAATTTCCTCTATCTAGCAAATTGTCAGTTTAAAGCATGATCACTTTGGTCTCAGGCACACCTTTGCCATTAATCTACTAATTGTCTATATCTTGCTCTGACTACGTGTTACCCTACACCTAGGTAATACTAGAACAGTGTTACCCAAATACGATACTTGGATTACTCAAAAAAAAAAAAGCAGATATTCGTCATTTGTAATTCAGAACGAGGAGTATAGAGATCTAGAACCATAACTAAATCAAATGGTGGCAAGCTGCCCCGCCTGTTGGTTTGGCGTGCATTCAATCGCTCCGAGGCCGGGGTTGCATGTATCCAAAGGAGTAAAACAGAAGAGAATGGGGTTGCCGATCCCTCTTGCACTGGCTTCCTGAATTTCCAACTGTATTCTAAAACGAAACAGTATTTGAGCCGTCCATAACCGTCCTACTCGCAATGGATAAGGAAAATGAGCCTGTTGCCTCCGAGCAAATGAAATCAATCTCTCGTCAACAAGACGTCGAAGAGAAATCATTCGATGACGACAACCCCGCAGTCTCAACTGAAGAACTGTATACTGTATTTACGAAATGGGAGAAGCGCTGGATTAACCTCCAATCTTCCTTTGCCGCGATGTTCTCGACGTTGAGCAGCTATATCTATTTCCCTGCCCTGGTCCCAATGGCTCGAGACCTACACGTGTCAGTGGCACTGATCAATCTAACTGTAACTTCATACTTGATCGTAGCGGCAGTGGCTCCAGCGTTCATGGGTGACTTAGCCGACCAGGGCGGGCGGAGACCTGTATATATGATCATGTTCATTTTCATGCTCGGGGCGAACGTGGGCATGGCTCTTCAAACTAGCTATCCGGCGTTGCTGGTACTGAGGACGTTGCAAAGTGCGGGGGCTTCTGGTAAGAAATAAAATGGCACGCTATGGAATGTGTTCTTACGTCAATTAGGCCTGATAGGTGCTGCCTACGGTGTGGTGGCTGATATCACCCAGAAAGAGGAACGTGGAGGATTTGTTGGTGTACTTCTGCTTCTGTAAAGTTATGCCTAACTTTATAAGGGACTTGAATTTGACTGACACTTCAAAGCACAGATATAGCGCCTAGCTTGGGCCCAGTAATAGGCGGTAGTCTCACACAAACCTTGGGCTGGAGATGGATATTCTGGTTTCTTGCTATACTTCAAGGTACACACATGTTGGTCATCGCGCTATTCATGCCTGAAACCCAGCGAAATATTGTTGGAAATGGCAGTGGACGATGTCGGGGGATTTACTGGAGCATTCTCTACATGCTACAGAGCCCTTCGGTCAAGAAGTCTAGGGTCGATATGAAGAAGCCGAGGCGTCATTACCCGAATCCACTGGCATGTCTACCAATACTGAGGAACAAAGACTCGTTGACTGTTGTGGTTATGTACGCCATTACTTATGCCGTCAAGCTAACACTACAGACTAGCCTCGGCGCGCAAGCTTTGGAGATATATCAGCTAGATTACTTAGCCGGTGGCTTGATATATCTCCCGTCAGGTGTAGCCGGAGGCATAGGGTCGTATATGACTGGTAGGTGTTCATAGATCTCTATCCAAACCTACTTTTCATTAATACTAGGAAAAGGACGATTCTTAGACCGCAACTACCAGAAGACGAAGGACCAGTTTCTTAACAACAACAACTCAGAAACGCCAGGCCGCTTATCAAATGCAAGATTGATTAGGATAAGACTCAAAGGGCTGTACCTTTTAGTAATAGTCACGGCTGCTGGAACTATTGGGTATGGGTGGGCACTTGCAACCCGAGCGGTTAGTTCAGTGGACATCGAGAATGATGAAGCATAGCGACTAATCCTTTATAGCATATCTCCATCATGCTTATATTGCAGTTCCTCACCGGAATGACCACGGCTAGTACTTTTACTGTACGTATCTCGCTTCAAGGTCCTGAGAAGTTTTCGAATAACCCCTGTGTGCTAATAATCTGTAGATGACATCTACGTTGCTCACTGACCTCAATGCTGATCGCTCAGCTACAGCCCAAGGTGCTTCTAGCATCGTGCGATGCTTACTTGCCGCCGCTGCCACTGCTACCGTGGAGCCCCTAGCGGAAGCTGTCGGGCTTGGATGGTGCTTCGTTGTGTATGCCTTCATCGTACTGGTAAATCTACCACTATCGTGGGGGCTGCAATACTATGGGGATAGACAATAGACAAGGGCCAATCCTTTCGAGCTCTTCGATCTCATCTTGTCTCACGACCGAGGTGTTACACGGGCTAAACGCCTTCGTACAGCCAGACATGCAAGCCGCCTACGGGCTTCGGATGTACAACCAATAAAAACAAGACATGCAGACCGTATAGAACTTCAACCCTTGCTTAGATGAAACATTTTAACGAGCCTCGGGTGAAGGCTTTGAATCTTTGCCGCTGCAATAGAACATCATGCTGTGAATGGCTCCAATTACAAGCTTTTTCACCAGCTTCTATTCTACTTCCTCCTTCCATAGTCAACACAAGGCCTGTGTTTGGCTTATTCGGTCATGTGGTGGATCCTTGGGTCGCCACGACGGGTGTCACTACTCATAGAGATATCACGTTGATTGTTAGGCTTGCTCCCCGTTTGCTCGCTTGTAAGTGATAGTTAATAGTCTCGCCACCAATGACAAGTAAGCGCCAAGTGCTACCTGAAAATCTTCTGGTATTATCTATGAATACTAATTCAATTGTTACCTTGGTACCTACTTATGGCACCTATCAATTCTAAGACATTGTGACGACTACTTGAAGTGGCAACACTAAACGTATCACCAAAGGTTACGAGGCTGCTGCCAGAGCGAACAGTGGTAGCCGCGCGCAAGCCCACCGGGAGTAAATAGGCGAGAATAATGAGTGCTCTAAGGTGCAGCTGCGAATATAAAATGGTGCCGACACTCGATCTCTTGAAACAGTGGACACATACCAAAGATTCAAGAACTGGCAGTAAAGGCTACGAGCAGACTCATAAGACTATTCATCTTGTCAATACCAAACCATACATCATTCTCTTGAGGTCGGAATAATCACCGATCAACCGAAGTAAGTCCATCAAAAATCCAATGCCTTTTCGCACCTAGTACTGATCTTGGATAGAAACAAGCACAAATCAATCACTATGAGTTACAATGGAGTTCAATGGATTCTCCCAAGCCAAATTGACACAGCAACAAGACGATCTAGGGTGTACAGGACTCCATATTGCTACTGTGGATGGTATTTTCACTATGGAATCTGCGGGCATATTGTGCGATATCATCCTTTAAAGTGTGGTGGCCCGTCGGGCACGCATTTCGGTCCGGGAGGTTTCTGCACGTACCAGGTACCATCATATAATGTGGTATCATATCGGCTCAATGTCTGGTGTGACCACTGCCGTGCAAGAGGCGGTACGTACCATGTCCGAGGTACACTCTTGGACTAAGGGGGCTGGAGGCGAGGAAGTGGCACTGAGCATAGAGCTATAGGATAAGGAATATCTTTTCTTTTTGCTTCTTTTCTCTCTTTCTTTGAGAAAAAAACAGCCAGTCAGATGTAAATGGGAAAAATTCACACTCCCTGTGGGTGAAACTTTTGTGGTCGGGGGTTCACAGCAGGATGCCTCTCTAATAATAACGATAACTAATTTCAAAATATGTGAAAATATCTTACGACTTGAATTGCATTGCCCAATCTTTGTATAACAAAAGTAGACTCTTTCTATAAACTGGAAAACTCATCAATATGGTTCATGATGATGCTTCCAATTGTGGAATATCATGAAGTCATGTCTGGTTATCCTGGTCACTGGGCTATCGGATACATATAGAAGCAACCACTTATAATGAGCATTTAGATAGCTGCCTGTCTGTTGTCAGAGTGTGAGACCTGTATGATCTCGGCTTGTAAGCAACCTATGATGCCTGTTATAGCCCGCTTCTTGAAATAGGTAGATGGGAAGGCGCATAGTCATGCACGGTGATACCAACTGCATGTAGTATTCGGCTCAATATGGCCTAGCTGTGCAACTTGTCGATACAACCAACAGGCCCGAAAAGAATGAATAAAGGTACGATTGTGTCAGGAATGGGTGTTCCCGGAGTGAAGCTGGGTTGTAAGTAGGTAGCACCTAGGTTAGTAGATAAATCGAATGTATGAATAAGAGCTCAATATTATTGCTACCTAGCCTCCCTAATACTAAAGGGGGCCTCTTCTTATATACCTAACTGCTAAACTATCTCCACTCCTTCGGGGTAACTTCTACCCTAGTGCTACTTTGCCCCTGACAATTGGCAGCCCATAAATAAGTCTAGCCTACTCTGACCTAATGCTTCAGTGACGGGATAGTTTGAGCCTAATTCCCGGTATACAGCACAAACCGAACATCACCATATGTAAAGCTTCCTAGTGCGGTGGCTTAACAGTCGAGCTAGAGCTTACCTCCTCGTGCAATACCAACTTGACATTGGATTACAGCTGGGAATACTGTAACATTTTCCCCTCATCTACCCCCCCAGATCCACACTACCAAACCGCACATCCAGCGTGATGCCGAGGACGGTCCTTATCACGGGCTGTGGGCCTGCGGGGATTGGCCATGCCCTGGCCATCGAGTTTCACCTCCGAGGTCATCGTGTTTTTGCTTCCGGCATTTCCGAAGATCAAGTTGCATCATTGAAAGTCCTTCAGGTTGAAACACTTGTTCTTGACGTTACATCTAGCTCTTCCATAGATGCTGCCGTGGCTCATGTCTCAGGCGCCACGGGTGGAAAGCTCGATATACTGGTCAATAACGCGGGCGTAATGCACATTATGCCATTTGCCGACACGGATGTTGAAGAGGCGCGGTTGTTGTTCGAAGTTAACATTGTTGGGGTATTTGCTGTCACTAAGGCGTTTTTGCCCCTTTTGCTCGCAGCTGCAGGTACAAATGAGAGTGCTGGTCGGCCGTATGGCTCTCTTGTCGCAAACATAGGGAGTGTGAACGAAGTCTTCCGGCCCACGTTCTTCGGAATCTATAATGCATCTAAAGCCGCCGTTGAGGCGCTAAGCGCAACGATTAGGACTGAGCTTGCGCCGTTGGGGGTTCGGGTGGTTACTGTTAAGACGGGCAGTGTTCGTAGCCCATTGTTCGACAATGCGCCCCCAACAAAGCTTCCAAAAGATAGCTTATATCAACCGGCCAAAGAATGGATCGAGGGGCGCAAGATGCTGAGCACGGGGAATTTCATTGAAGCAGACGAGTACGCGAGGAAAGTGGTCACTGAGCTCTTACGTCCTTCTGTGAAGCATGTTATCTGGGCTGGCGGTTTATCCACTATTGCATGGCTGCTAAGTTGGATAGGATGGGAAGGAATGCTTGTAAGTACAACTACTACTGCTATGAATCGAGTTTCTGAGCTGAACACGTGCGATACAGGACAGTATATATATCAGAAGCAACCAATTAGAGAAGATCCAAAAACGATCTTAATACGTATAACAAGGGCCGGAAATTAGGGATTGGGGTTGAAATGAATGAATACAATAATCTGCTAGGTGTCAGGAATGCAGTACGAAGTATGCAGTAATCTTATCATTGTGGTACAAAGACGAAAGGGGTCAGAAGTCTGAAGGCATTCAGGTTCCTTCTGCCTACCTATATATACGGTAATTATCTCTTTGCTCCTGTGTCTCCAAACCCCTAACACTAGGTCTGCAAAGGTCCTGGGCCAACAAATTCCTTATTGGCCCTAATTGCTAAATTAGATACTATTACTCGCACAACCGATATAGCCTTTCGTAGTTTTCAAACCGTGAGGTATCTCATTGCCGGGGAAGTGTGCATAGCCTCTATAAGGAAGGTTGTGCAAGTTATACAGTAAGTCTATCATTGTAGCACGGGGTCTAAAAAGTCTAAAGTCTGAAGGTATTCAGACTTCTCTAGCTATATACAGTGTATCTCTTTGTTGCCTATCTCCAGACTCCTAACCGCCTCATATTCTCGAATGTTTTATAAAGGGCCTTCTGCAAGGTGTTCGCCCGTGGCCGCTTGCGAACTACATGTTCAGCTGTATGTGTGCGTGACAGACCTGACAGGTCAGAAGGGAATAACTAAGTACAGGCCATGTACACACAAATTACAGAACCCCTATAGCTGTTACAGTACAGTACTATATAGTAAGTGCAGAGATGTCAAGCTTTCGACTTAATAACTTGTCGTTACCTTTTGGTGGCGTAGTGGTATAGTACTGCACTCCTTATGTCGTTCCGTGATAGTTTATTAAGTCGTACGGTTATATGTTCGATTCTACGATTGGGCAGCCATATTCTATTCGTGGAGGGATTGGGGACCCCTCGCATAAATAACCCTTGGCGTAATCTTCGAAGGTAGAGAATTTAGCTCGTTTATATAATTGGAAAACTACTACGGGGGTTTTTAGGTATTAACTATATACATTACCTTTAAATATACACTTCTTTATATATAATCGGGTTAATTACATTTAAAGTAAGGACAAGGCTAAACGTGCAGTAGGTCCCACACTAAACGTGCAGTACTCAACTGCTACCAGCTGCTAATAGCTGTAGCGTACTATTAGCACCGTTCTTTTCATACTATCTACACCTGCCTACACCTACCTACACCTACCCCGTCTCGCCCGTTAGCTAACTTCTAACCTTCAACTTTTACAATTCTTTAATTCTATTACTTCTATAATAACTTTATTACCTTTAATACCTATATGTAGCTTTTTTTTTATTAACTATTATAAGTTCTTTTTTAATTATATTACTTTTAATAGCTTTTATAGCTTTTTTAACTTTAAAAATGATCCTAAATCTATCTGAAGGTGGTGCAGAAGGCGGGCATTTTGGCGACGTATACAGTGTGCAAATTTCGTAGCCAGCTGAAGCGCAGCTGACACCACCTGAATACTGCACGTTTAGTGTGGGACCTACTGCACGTTTAGCCTTGTCCTAAAGTAAAGGGTACTATTATAGTATAGTACTATATAGTAAGTGCAAAAACGTTAAGCTTTCGACTTAATAACTTGTCGTTACCTTTTGGTAGCGTAGTGGTATAGTATTGCACTCCTTATATCGTTCCGTGATAATAGCTACTTAGGTAGATATAAACGATGACGGCTAATTGCTTGCCAAACCATGTGATTGATATGATGATGTTTGTATGGGAATCGGTGAAGCCATAGCAAAATAAGAAACTTCATGCAACTATTAGTCATTAAGACACGTGTTTCGTAGAGAAGCATTATAGAAGAGCAGCGTTATAAATCTATTATTAGAGATAAAGAAAATAAATATGCGTATATATGATTTTAATAAAAAGTAATAGCTATAGTTACATGAATAAATAAGCTAACGGGTCGATATAGATGTATGTTACGAATCTGATATCTACGTAGGTAATAAGTGAGCTTGTCAACTAATATCATTGAGTTTGTGTCAGGGGGTAACCTAGCGATGTGTTCGGATTATCGTAGGGCCGAATACGGTATTGTATATTATTGCTCAGGTTTTACTCTGTCCGTACTGCAAACATTTGAAACCGTATCCTTTCATGCTGCGCCGGCTATGCTTTTAGCAGTTTGTTGATTGCTTTTTTTTTTGGTCTTATAATCCATGTGTTGTAACTTGTCTATACCAACGTAAACCCACGTGCACGATAGGGACGAAGCACACCACAGGGGTCCACTGATGCTTACTGCATGCTCCATGCGTGTCGTGACCGCGGCGCCGTTGTAGACTTCCCATGCCGAAATGCACTATGGCTCTACCAAACTCGACGTGCATTGATGAGATGCCATGCGCTACTACTAGTCTAGTCGAGTCGAGTAAGTGTGTACGCCACAGAATTAGCTGGATGGTGGCCTGGTAGTCCTTGTCCGAACATGGCCAGGCCAGAGTCCAAAGCGGTCAGCGAGAGCAGCCAACGGCAAACGGCTTGGTACAGCACCTATCTCGGGCTGGCTAGACTTGACGCTAGGCCCTTCGCGGACCCAGGGTCTATGACCGAATTGCCAACAAGTTGACGCATGTTAGTGGCCCCTATTCAGTGTTAAGTGACGGCTTATACCTACGACCCCAGATCCATCAACCATGTTTTGGCGGGCACGAATGGTAGGAGGAGGTATATAACGAGTGCCAAATATACTTATCAACTAAAGGCACCCACACTTGGAGAGATACATCGAGTCTACACTATAATTGGTATTTGATACAGCCTCGATCAGTAGGGAATCTGTTGACCATAAAAAAGAAACGCGATGAATTCGTTGAAAGGCATGATAGAAAGCAACGCAACGCGGAGGCTATGAAGTCATCGCCTGATAGGATGATTAGTGCCGAAAATTTCGAAACTCCCAGGCCACCCTGCTGACTTGGTCACCTATACACCACAGAGCTGACTTTGCAGAAGCTGGTCTCGCCATCCTAGCTGACATTTTTGGACGCAAGCGAACGTATCTCGTGGCACTTTCGATTATCACTGACCTCCTCTAGTACCATAGCCCCCGTTTACGTGGGACAGATCTTGTACCTGCAATACTTTGCTCGTGGACAGGTTGATAGTCGCTACTTGGCGTCGATCACTCATGTCATGGTATGGTAGCAGTTCCTGCAGCATTGTAAAAGGGAGCAGGGGGGTGCGGGACTATTGTACTGTCGCCTTGGCAAAGAGCATGCATGGAACACTCCTCGGTTCCGATCAACGTACTTAGGTCATCTCATGCATTTCACCACTGCGATCGTCGTACACAGCTCAGATACAGAATTCGACACCACCTGGCGACATGGAGGCCAGGGCTCGGGAGAAGTTCAATCATCAGGATACTGGGTACTCATTGATGGTAGTTGATGCCCGCCTACGAGGGGTGGTAGGGATTCCCAGCGAGTCTAATATTTATTTCTTGGGTGATAATATCTACTTAGCGAGGAGATTCTTGCTGAAGACTAACTTGGAAATGCAGGATGCTAGAATGCATGCTTTAAATATATAGTAATGTGGTTTTCGTAACCCTATGTATGTCTTATCTTCCGTTTCTCTATAATTATCCCGCTAATAGGTAGTTGAAATTTGGCAACCTGGGAAATTGCATAGTGCTGGGAACCCTCGCCATGGCATAATTATTACTATTTTGTTGGCATAATTATGGGAAGCCAGCTGACACCAGATTGTGGGCTAAATACACACAATAAGGGCTTGATTTATTGACAATAAGCAATGACTTTGGATGGGATAAATACTTCTCTACAGTCACGCTGTACTAAGCTTAGACCTTCCCCAACAGCAATCGTGACCGTTTCTCACATCTGTCTTCCCTCGAAAACTGCAGTGCAACCACCAATTCAATAGCCCTGTTCCAGCCATATGCAAGCAAACAACTTATGCATGGGAATGCATATGTGTAAGCCTCACCCAGTGTCAGTAGCCAGACATCCGGGTCGGCCGGGGTGGCGTCTGTAAAGACGCGGGCTTGTAGTCCATGCTAGCTGGTGGCAAAATTATGGATATGGAAGGACTGCTATTAGCGGAACTCTTCGCAAATATACTACAGATATGTATGAAATGTTCGAGAAATCAGCTTTCTAGAAACGCGGTGCATGAGATTGAAGCTAACGTTATCCTAACGTTGCACCCAAAGGGCGGACCTAGATCGACTGCATATGCATGTACCTACGGCTCAGTCAAAGTGGCTTGGCCTTTTCCATCACCACAGTTTTCATGACGACAGCAGGACCAATGACAACGCTTCTTTCCCAGCGCGATCATCCGACTCCCCCCACACCGGGAACGTGCCTTCAGACTGCGTCGAGGAATGCTTACGTTTTGACCTGGTATGGGGTGACGGTTTGGGGCCCTTTCCAACTTATTTTTGCCCTTCCTGATATTAAATCCAGGCGTTTGAGGCTATATCTCTCTTTTGAACTTGGCACTGTAATCTATGGCTCCGACGAACCCGTGATCTGATGAGCAAGCCCCCACTACGAGATCGATAATGGCTGCTCAGCTTGTCGATGCCCTGGCTATAGTTGCTTGGTTTCTAGATCAGTGGCAGACTAATGCCGACAACCAAGTGCAATTCATATGCATGAGGCGATACCCAACCAGAGGTGTTTATGGCTTCCCTTCAAGACTTATTGCGTACCCTGGTCAAACACCCTACGAGTGAACTCAATGCAACCCAACCTAACGACATGCGTGTAGAATACTGTTGGGCAACTCTAATGGTTTCGGTGTACAGATAGCCCACGTTGAGATTTGCGATGCTTTACTTTGTACCATTATGCTGATCGACGCGTATATAACCCGCTCCTCGTCGCCGTTCATCTTCTCATCGTTTACCATTTCCTGACCAGAGTTCATCCCCATCGTATACTCACGGATACCCTTCAGCTTTAACATTTGCTTGATTTCCTTTCTACCCAGAACACTACTAACTTTCCGATATCATTCGAACATCTTGACCACAAGTATATGTGATACTAGTCCATACTACTATTGCAAAGCATCACATAACGAGAATGCCTTCAATCAAGTATGCTTCACCCAGTTCTTTATTCAAGGGATTATCTCCATATTGTTCCAGGCACTGTCCTTCTATAATGATTTTAAATCTCGAGGTTACCACAGCTACCCCCTTCTAGCGGACCTGTCGACTTATACAAATATAAGCATATATGTATACAAACAGGGCAGGGTTGTCTCATGATAGTTACATGGACACAAGTTCTAATTTATACTACTGATAGCTCTAAGCACGTCGAGTGTGGTGCCTCTACGTCAAGGAGTTTGTCTTCCTGCTCTGGGAGCTATGATCGCCCTAAGAGCTCAGCAGAGAAACAGAAAAAGAAGTACAGCAAGAGTAACAAGAAGGACAAGAAGAAGGGACAACAGGAAGACCTTCTTCACATTGGAGCACAGTTCAACGCTCGCAGGTCAGTCTCACATACCACATCTATCCCTCTTACTATGATCAAGCTATACTGACTTCGTCCCACTGTATGTAGTACTTGACAAAAACTTCTATCTTGCAGCCGCTTTTCGCTATGGCTAGCTATATGAACGGCGTGTTGGGTTATTGGGATGACGCTAGCAGTCACGTGACAACTACTGGCGCCCTTACTTCCACTTCAGCCAGCACTCACCTTAGAGTAACCTTCTAGATAGTAACAACTTCACTCAATCAGATAGTCAATTCGGGTCTCTGCGTATTACACACAGAATCTAAAACGCTGCTTCATTGCAACGTGGTAGGCTGTCTTGGGTGCCACCACACGGCGCCATACGATAGGACTGGCTAAAGATGCGGCCGGCTACTAAGGATAAACTTGTGTATCTGTGAGTTCGTGGTATATGTAGGTGGTATAGTGGGCAACAAGGCGTGACGTGAAATTTCCTGATGGATTGTGGATGTGTGTGCACTGTCACATAGCTGAAGACGTACACGACTCTGTGCTTCATATATAGGTTCTGTAGGGTAGCGTAGCTCAGCACTAAACCGACAAGTGGGTTTTATTGAGGCATGAATATCTGAAGCAAGCGAATTCGCTAAATTTCCTGATTCTTCGACATGTATTCTATGTATGTTGAAGTGACTGAGCTGACCGGCAATGAGGTGCCTTCACACCTACCTGTTAATTTGTACCAGGGGTTGGACATTATGTTAAAGCCAATCAGAAGAGGGGAAAGTTGCCTTTACGGAAAATTTGCACTCTACAGGTAAATCAATCCCTAAAGGGTGAGTCCCGTCACACTTGTATTCTAGCTTAGTAATATGGTGATATATATATGTACCTTCTTTATAACTTCGTTATAACACTGGTAGCAGCACATCCGCATCATTCCATGATTACTTGCATAGAAGCTTCAGACATGCCAAGGGGAAACTGTCGGTACTGTATGGAGGACGAAAATGCAACTCTTGTCCGGTCACAACCTCTCGTCTCCTATAATACTGCGGCAAAGTTGAAAATGCAGAAGCAGATGGAGAGGTAGCATGGGAGGGTCGCATTGTTGGCTGTGGTAGCCATACAACTCGGCGAAGAGACCCACTGACAGTTGCCCCGAAATCCTTTGGAATGAGCTTAAGGCCCTAAAGGAGGTGTATATTGGAGAACATGTTGCATTTTTGGTTACAGTCAAATTATACATGGCACAAATGACTTGCATAATCGAGCACTTTTGGGTTCGCCTAGAAGCTCCTTAACACTAAGCCGCTAACCAACGTGTTTCGAGCATAGGGTGGGCCATTCCAGTCCTCACCTGTTATCCACTTAACTCGAATCATTGCCGCATAATCGGCGCCAGCGTCCCCCAGAATGCGCACCGATCTCCTTGGTCATCAGGCATAAGCTCAATAGACACATTCCCAGTCTGCACAAGCAGCCTCCTGTCCGCTTGTCCCCAGCTCTGCCACACCGGGGTATCCATATATCTCGTACGTGACGGATCTAGCGTTCTGACGAACGATATCCAGTAGTCCATCATGATGGGCACAACCCCTGCGTTATATGTGTAGTAACTCCGAGGACCACCCATCGGTCCAGACTCACTCTCCGGTCCGAGAATGGCCCACGATGAAAATACGTGTGGCACACCTAGGCCCGCGGCGATCAGATCGTCGTCGTGGACGTCGTATCGATAACCCCATGCTTTGGAACTGTTCAAGTGACGGACGTAAGAGTTCAGGATGTGGGCACCGGGACATATGAATGTCGTTTCGCCATACGCCCTAGCTGTGGAGGGGAACCAGATATTGTGATTTGGGAGACTGTCTAGCTGGGGATAACGTTCCAAAATCGCGCTGGTGTTGAACTCTGATAATCGGGGGTAGTTACTTTGCAGAAATTTAACCATTTCATCTTGCGTTGCAGCGTTTACCGCAAATACCGTGCCCTCTATACTCGTGTAAGCGTAACTTAGGACTACAATGAATCGGCGCGCGTGGGAAACTCACCATCTGTTGTGCCCCCCATCATCACCGGCACATTGATGAACTGGCCCTTTTCGAAGAGAGTATACGGTAGGTCTCGCAAAAGCTCGCCGTCGATACAAGGCGTCCAAAAGAAAAGATCAATCGGCATATCTGGACCCCCAGGGAATGGCGCCGGGAAATTAGCCGCCTGCAGCACCTCAGTGCTCAAACCCCGGAGACAAGCTATTGCTTCCTTATTCTTGTCATCACATCCCGTCCGCTGCAGCACGAGATCGAACTGCCACTCCAGCTCATCAAGAAATGGCTGCGCAGGAAAGAACACAGACTCGCCCACAGCGCCTGCGAATAACTTCTCCCCGGACTCGGGATCCGTCGCGTTGCCACCATGCGCGAGCAAATGCAGCGCCACGGATCCAGCGCCCGCCGACGCTCCGTGGATCACCACGTGGTCGGGGTCGCCGCCGAACTGCGCGATATGCCGCCTCACCCAGCGCATCATGAGCCGCTGGTCAAGCAATCCGACATTTAAGTCGCCGTCGGCGCGCACGCGCTCGCTCGCTAGAAAGCCCCAGAGGCCGACGCGGTAGTTGAAGCTAACGAAGATGATGGAGTTGCCCGAGTGTTGCACCACTTGTATTCCGTTCCAGTTTGCGTTGGCGTTTACGGTGTATCCTGTACACATACATAATCCTATGTCAATATGGGTTATTTGCGATTGGGGTAATGATGAGAATCATTAGAATATCTTAAAAAAAAAAAAGAAAGAAAAAAAAGGGAAAAAGGTAGAGAGATAGAAAGTGAGTGAGTGACAGAGAGTGCGAAAGAGAGAAACACACCACCACCCTGAATGAAAAGCCAAACAGGCAATTTCGACTCAACCGTCGCGTTCGCAGGCGCCCACACATTAGCGTACAGACAATCCTCGTCCTGCGCGTCATTGGGGTACGGCGCCGAGATCCCGAGACATGCCGGGCCGAACTGAGACAGCGGGGGTCAAATAAGCTTAAACTTCCACGCTTCAAAATGCTAGGGATTTATGTCTCAACGGGGGGAAAGAGGCAGTTTGAAGCAAGGGAGACAAGAAATAATGAACATACCGCATCAGCTTTTACCTCGCGCCCCTGTCGCACTTCCGGATCAAGTGGTTTACGAAAGCGCAGATCACCGACGGGCGCACGGGCATATCGCATACCTAGATACTGCGCGACGTCGCGCCTGTCGCCGACGAGGGTCCCGCGGTAGGTTGCATATCCGAGATTCGCGCGGGGGATGCGCGGATCTGAGGCCTACTTGTGAGTACATATTAGCGACGTCGGATATCACCCAAAACATTACGCGAATGTAGTTTTATCGAGTAAACTGAGTGAGAAGTGAAGAGGAATGCGATCGCGATGAAAAAGTGGATGAAAACCATGAGATAAAATGAGATGAGATAAGATGCGATGAGAAAAAAAAAGAAAAAGCGGTGGGATGACCCTATAATATAACATACCTTCGCCCCATCTCCATGCCCATTCTCATTAACCACAATCAACCCGATCGCCAATCCAACGAGCAGCGCCAAGCCAACGACTACGGCGACGAAGAAAGTGAGTACCCATGGACGAGTAACGATGCGACGCCATAGAGTTTGAGGGGCTGTTGGGAGGGGGGAGGGGGGGTTGTTTTGCATTCTCTGGCCATTTGAATCAATTGGTCTGATGCGTCAAAGTGAATCCAATTCAATATCATTCAATGGGGTTCAATTCGCTTCAATCAAGTCGATCCAGCTCAATCTGACCAACGCAATTCAATCTAGGATGTGATTATGGATGACTGGTAGGACGGGATAGCGTTGGCGGGAACGTTGGGGATGTTCCGAAGAATGCGACAATTAGTGCGAGGGCGATGCGATGCGATGTGATGAGAAAGAAGCAAAGTGGGAATGAATGAGGAGAACTGAATTGAGTTGAGAAACAAACAATTTCGTTTCAGCTCGCTCTGAAACAACGCGCATCGCACACCTCCACCACATTGCGTACGTAATTAATTAAGGTGAGTTACAAAAGATAGCAGCGGACCGGTGATCGACTTGCACTAGCTCCGCCGATCACCGCCGAGCCCATCAACAAAATAAACAAACAAAACCATTGCTCATGGGTTAATTATAATGTAGGTAGCTCACAAGTACAGAAGATATCAATAGATAGCAAAACCAACAAGATTTGAACATATGCTTTATTCATAGCAAACAAGAAACATATCATAAAAAGAGCTATTCATCATATACGATATCCACCAACAGTATACTCTCAACTCCACCTTCAACTTCAACAGCGACCACCGCACTCTTACTCCAATACCAGCCCTTCCTCCTTCCTCTGCACCATCACATAAAACCAGAAAAAAACACGAAAAAGACAATCCCATGTAAAACCTCCCAACCCAGCCTAACCTTCCCAAGCTTTGTAAAACGCCACATAAAAAAGTGCAGAACAGAAAATTGTTGTTTCATCAGAAGTTCTCATAAAGCATGTCGCCTATTCGCTGGATCCCGCCCAAAATGTTCGTTGTGCGAAGAAGCAGAAAAAGGGGATGCACGAACGGCTCAAAATCCATAAGTACCGTATGCCTGTTCAAGTCAGAAACGCCGACGCAATATGCAGTTGATTGATGTAAATGATCCAGTCGTAGCATGGAATAAAATCGTCATCGTGAGTAACAGTCCGCGAGATGTGAGGAGGATCGTGGGGTGTATTAACAAGTGTTGATTTACGCAAGAAAGTACCAGGAAGCGAAATGGAATTGGTTTGGATGGATCATTTAGAAGTTCGAGTCAGGTTGTTCAAGTCACGGCTGTTCTACATGGCCGAGACTTTGCGGACAGCCGAGTGTGTACCTGCGGTAGCATTGATGCTGCCGACGCGCCCGCTCGTCTTGCGTACCCCTGAAGATTCCTTGCTTCGGGCAGCGGCGTCTTGGGTTCGCTTGCTGCTTCGGACTTTAGTCAATACACCAGAAGCGCTTGCTGCGCGAGTGGGGGAACCCAGAATGCGATCTGTTAACGCTTTTGGTCGACCGCTGCCGATGTTTTCGGCATCGTTGGAAGCATCATTGTCAATGACCTGGTAAATTGTCGTCGTGGTAGTCTGGCTGTATGACCGGGTCTTCTCGCTGCGTTCAGGTGACTGCGATATCTTCCGGCGGCTGCGCATACGAAGCATCCATTCCTCTTCTGATACGGAATCATTGGATTCGGTATGCACACAGATTGTGTCTGTTTCCTGGCCAACCATTCCCTCTTCCTCGACAGTGGTTTGGATCTGACTGCGCTGGTATGGATGATGACGATCAGCTCTCCCCGTCTTTCTGGGTTGTCCTGGCGTAGGGGCTGGGAGGTAGTCGTCTTGACTACCAGCATTGCGCCTCTCCTGATCCATCTCACCAAGCGGTGTGCGGTTAGAGGGGCTGCGACTCGGCGGTGTAGATGCGGCAGGGTTTCGGCTTAGTGATGTTTTCTGCATAGCTCTAATAGGCGTGCTTGGCTGCGGGTTGGCAGCAAGTAGCTCTTTCCTCAGCTTGCGCTCTATTCTCTCTTCAATCCACCATTCTCGGAAGACGCCTTGGTTGATATGCAACCAGTGTTGCTGGGGACCGACTACCATACCAGGTCGCATAAATCGCATGAAGGAGATGATCTCGTCAGCAGTGAATCCATGTCGATATATCAAATATGCACCAATTAGGCAGCCAGTGCGCCCAAGACCAGCCTTGCAATGCACTGCAATGTTCTTCTTCTTGACTGTAATTGTCTCGTGTGCGAGTCTGATGAATTTTCGGACGGTGCTAAGAGGTGGGCAAGTGCCGTCCTCAAATATCATATCCAGATGCTTGATGCCCAGGGCTTCGAAGAATGACGGAGAGTAAAGAGGGGAGTTGAGGCGGACTACGAGTCCAATGTTCCGTTCGGAGAAGTGTCGGAGCACATTTTTGAAAGGCTGCGGTAGAGTTGGGTGGAGATCCACCTCTGCAAGAGTCTTGGGCAGCGCAGCCCACGCGTCCGAAGACTCTGGAACACGAGCGACGGGAGTGTGCTGAGGAGAGGCAAATGCAAGGAAGTGGGGAGTGACCCAGTTGAAATCGCCTTGGTCAACTCGTTCAAATCTCTCATACTCATCAAGATCAAAGTTATCCAGCGCACAGCAACCCTCTTCCTTGGCCTTCCATACACCATAGACTACATCTTGAACAGTAAGGCCGTAATCAGCTTGACTGTAGCCAGCGTCACGGAAGGGCATCAAGGGCGGGTCAACCTGGGCAATGGGTGCTAGGGCTAGATGAGGTGGCCATGATTGAATCAAAACCATGTAACATGCGAGCATACACGCAGCGTTCGCTCGAGCTAGATATCATTGTCAGTTGTGTGTCCGGAGTAGCTTTCACTGGTTGTAAAGACATACATTTAGGGTCAGCACGGCTCCAAAAAACAATAGGCCTGGATTCATTCTCTTTGGCGCCTAGGACATCGTGAAAATGGAGGGCAAAGCGGTAGAGGTGACCGATGTGCAGCGGGCCAAAGTCATGGTGGAAGGCGTTGTAGAGGAGAGTGTCGTCTACACTAAAGTAGTAGGGTGTTTGTCGTGAGGATTTCGTGGGCGCAGCCAATGGGCCATCTACGGCTCTCTGAGAACGCTTGCTCGGGGATCCTTGACTCTGTGACTGCGAGTATGGGAACACGGTGCTCGCTGTGGGCTTTTCGTTATAGCAACCGAGGTAGAGGCGGTCTGTATAGGTTAGCAGGGTGACTGGGATGTTGTGGAAAGGCGGTAAGAGGGGCTGGAAGAGAGTGGTGGTTGTAGTTGAGTAGAAAGAGCCAGATAGCTCGACTCCCTTGCGCTCGGCCATTCGAACAGTATAGTATAGTGTATGTTGCGCCAGACAGCCAAACACACAAAGGCAACAGGCAGAAGAAGCAATTGTATGTGTGCGTGTTCACGGCGTGGCAATTGAGGATGATGATGCAGTATGCGAACAGGTGAAATGGAGAGGCGAGGAGACAGTACCTGGGATATACTCTATGACGAGCCCGCCATTTGAAGCTCGCGACGGCATTGTAATAGCTGGTGACTTCCGGAAATGTCGGGTCAAGGGGTATGAATATATCTAGGAGGAGGAGGAGGAGGGGGGGAGAGGGCAGCCTCAATCCAGCGACGGGGCTCCTCTGTCTACGACGTGATCTACCTGTTGTAGAAGTGCAGTCGCAAACGGCTGGTCCGTGAGTGAAGTAGTTGGCGTGGTATGAATGCTGCAATGCAGATGCTATGATGCGATTCGAAAGGCTGTGCGGCAGAGTGGTGCTGTCAGTGCATTTGAGAACAGACAGGGCTGGCTTTGGACGATGATAATGATGACGGTGACGACGATGATGCTGGATGCTATGTTTAAGTAGACAAACACCAATGCGATGCTTCAATCATTCGACAATGCACAGATGAATCGAAGGAGACGTGAGGATGAGGATGAGAAAGAGAAGAGAATGTGTTGTTGTAAGGTCGAGAAGTCGCAAGCCCGGTTGATGAGGATGACGATGTTTTTTGTATCATGGGTTATTGTTGTTATTATGGTCAGCATCCCGGCCACTGCGTCCCTGTCTCAGCCGACCCCTTTCCTGACTCGGCATAGCGTCGCACTAGGGCATGCTCGGTGCTGTTTACGGAGGCTGTTGCTCAGCAACCGCTTAGCTCCCTTAGCGCTGCAGAGCCGCCTCCAAGCCTGTCCAACTGCCCAGCCACAGGGCTCCCAGGCTTCAGCCGTACTGAGTGTAACCCTATAACCCCCTGTAACCCTGCACTGAATGCGACGAGGGTCTGTCAGAGGTGCGCTAGAGCCTTCCGTCCAGTGGCTGAGGTCCCCTAAACCCTTTGCTTTTGCTTAGGTAAGTACCTACCTATTCCGTCCTTATCTTATCGGCCTAACATCTCATCTCCTCTTGGCTTGGAGAAGCTGCGTCAACCAGGGAAACCATCAACCCACTCCCCGCCTTGATTGATATCTTCTCCAAATCAACCCTAGGACTTCAACAAAACCGAACCACCTTTTGCCGCCCGTATCCAGATCCCTAGATCCCTCCCTGGTCATCCCGCCAGGCATATGCAGTAACAACAAGCCTCCATCCTATACATCATCCTATACAACCATCCATTCACCATGACAACAGCCATAGATCCTGACTTTCCCTGCGCGTTGTACGTTTTGTTCCCTGCTCAAATCTCCCGCACGGTTACCATCATCCTTGCAAGGTCTCTCCCGCAGCTATACTAATAATAATCATCTTCAACTCTCAACAGGACCATCGACGTGCCATTCCCCACACCCCGACTGGCTTCAACTGCTCTGCAGGCTCTCCAAGTCGATAAGGAACTATCTGCCCTCGTATCCCGCACCTTCACCCTCGTCCCCTCGCAAGACACTGCCGATGCAAATTCAGATGTGCAAGTTCTCCGGACACACTACAAAGCTACTACGAATAGGATGCTACGTGTTGCTGTCAACTCCTTCATGGAAAGCCTGAGCCTCATTATAGAAGTCATGGCCGAGTTGGACGAAGATGTCTTGGCCGCGAGAGCGCAGGATGAGCCGGCCCAGTGATGAATACCAATGACGCTCATGAGAGTTGCCTCACAGACTTGGGGTGGTCTTCAGAAGACTCGTGTCACTATTCCTCAAAAAGCCGTCCTATCCTATAGCTTGTTTAACCTGACCTGTCACAGTCGCCGTCATCACTACACTCAGGATGCGTCATTCGCTACAGGGTTTGGGATTAGTCATGCTTGTGACCCCTGTGCTGCCTCATCGCCCCTCACAGCTATGCAAGTGACACAACAAACAATGCCCCTCACGTATAACCCTCTGCACTAGAGGAATCACTTGGAAAGCTTTAGAAGGAATCAGAGTAAGTTTTAGGATAACTATGCGACCTCATTTAGTTGTTTATTCTTTATCAAGCGTATTATCTTTCAGTAGTTTATCAGTGAATCAGACTAATAGGAGCTGCGTAGTTCCCCTATCTCACTGCTTACATCTATGAGCGATCTTCTTCCACGTGGTAGTATACCAGCTTGCGCCCGCCTCTTCATACCTATGGACTTTTGAGTAGGGTGTTACGTTCAGGTTAATCCTTTTCGATCCCTCTATAATTATGGCATAAGGGCTCTGGCTGTGTGACACAATGCGACACCAACATGAAAACCCGCATGACAATCTGAGTTCATAAGTTTGTTTAAGCAACCATGTCGAGAAATAAACGCTACCTTTGGTTCATTAATGACGCGAGGAAGCACTCATGCTCTAGTGTATTGCATCGATATCAGCTATCATCATGCCATGTCAAGTCGGTGCGGGGAGACGAGATATACTGGACGTTTGAGCTCGAATGTTAAGACACTGGGTTAGATTCATCTTCTACCTCTCGCCGTTATAGCTAGAATAAGAATCAAATATCTAAATCCATCCAGCTCCTTTTATATGTGTTATTTCGAGATGCCTGATCACCTTCCCTTCACGGCTCGCTTCTCCAAGGTATCTTCAACCCTACATCTTTGATCTGGAAGGGAATATCCTATGAATATCGCCTCTGTTGATGTGTAGCATGCTTTTATTACACCATGGTTAAGGAATGATAATATCGCTCGAGTCCGTCTTGTGATCTTCTTCTCCATCTTCTTCCTTTTTGTCTTCTTCTTTCTTGGTCACCGTCTTTGCTACCTTTCGTCTGAAGCAAGGAGGTACTAATCAGCATTCGTTCCTCTATCTTACGTAATTGACCATAGCGGTCTGTACTTTATGATAATAATGATGGGAAACCTGGTCTGACTCACTGTGGTTCGTGCTTGATAGGCGGGAGCTTGCTGCAGTCTGGATGTCCGCAAACTGTCCAGGGGTGGAAGAAGCATTTCACGCAGTCGCTGTCACTATCGCTGTCGTTCTCTGCTTGACAGTGCTTGCACTTGCTGAACTTCATAGTTTCTTTTCTTGTTTTCTTAATTGTCCTGGAATGAGATCTTTGGAGTTGCGTTTGAATGACTTGTATGGCGTGCAGAGGCAATGGGAAGAAAAAAAAAATCTGATGACGGAGATTTGATGTGTTGGGTATTGGTAGAAGAGATGAAGAACTTAATGGATATGGAGGGTACTGCGTTTTTATATTTCAGAAGGAGAAAAAAAACATGCTTTGAAATACGACCGCGTTTGGCCTGCGGTTTTGTCTAAGGTGGTCAAGACGTCTCGCAAGGCTCCAACGGTCCTACGAATTACCAATCACTGAAAGATGCCTATCTACTCCTACGTTGGTGCCATGTTACACAGCATAACCTGCGTAGAACAAAGTGAGTCGCAAACATTTGAGGAAGGGAGCCGGCTAATCTTATCTCGCATTTTGTGCTTGCAGAAAGAATTATATCGTCCACGATTACGGAGGACCCGGACTATCATATATATGTGATAATCTCCATGGGATTAACGGTGTCGTGTGTCCCGTTGGCATTAAGCTACTACCCTCTAATACCGTCTGAGAATTGTAAGCAGGCATACAGGTGTGCAACAGTGTCAGGTTACTCCTCCCTTGATACAACTCGAAAGGTTGCACAGGACTCATCCTCTATGAGTCACGACAATAAATCAGCTGCGCGTGATGTGTTAGCAAACAACCTGATCAAAAATGCAGGGCTACAATCAAACTAGATTGGCACGCCAGCCGAGTTGACTTATCTTGTATACCTTCGAGGCTTTCAAAATGAATTTATTGGTAATACAGTAACTACAGAAGCCTTAAGCCATAGAGCAGCTGTGATGGCTCTATACCTACTTATCTGTATAGGCTCCTATAATTTTTCTAGGGGCGATTATTAATGAATTTGATATATGGGCAAAAATAACCTCTCTCGATCGGGGAATCGAACCCCGGCCACCTGCGGGCTTGTGTGGTGCTCAGCCCAAACATGAAAGACTTTCAGTGTCGTCAGAGGTCGGGGCTGAACACCTCACAGACATTGACAAGCAGGTATCTTCACCACTAGACTAATCGAGACAGTTTAACTCCATTAGCATCTGATGAAGGGTGCAAGTGATATTACGCTATTAGATTGTGCTCCTTACCTCTATGAGGCGGTAGCGTACGTGTGGGCTACACAATACCCCGATTGTGTGTAACTCAAACGACAGATAGACAGAGCTAGGCGGCTACCTATAGCTGAATACGAACGACCGACCAATACCATATGGCACATACATCAACACATCAATCAATACAATTCATTCAACCCAATTGTATGCCATCGCTTATATCTGAGAGTTACAAAATTTTCAGAACCTCGTAAAAGTGACACGCCCCGCTTCAACCCGCTCGACGCGGCCGGAGGCTCCGGGACGTAACAGAGCGAAAGCGTTAGGCGTAATGCTATGCTAACGAGATTACAAGTCGGGCATTACAATAGAGAGCCGACAGAAGCGCGTGGAATACCTTTATTGTTGAGATATCAAGAAACTATGAAAAAACAAATAAAAGCATTATTGCACTTCGCATCGGACAAGACTCGATGAAGTGATCGCCACCTTCACCATACTGGGTTGTCCTGCGCATGCCACAACTTCAAGAGCATTTCCTGCAGATCACTCACAGGCTCTGCCATTTCAAGGAGGTCTTTCCGTCTTTTCGTCTCTTCGGCCGGAGACCTCTCTGCAGTGCTCGAAAACATGCGTACAAAGGAGCGAAAGTTTTCTCGTCCTGCTGGACCCCAATGTTTCTTGAGAATAAGTTAGAAAACCGGTATTCACTATAGAGTGGTTCCTATTTCCTATTTATAGTGGCTTAACTCACTCCAGCAGTCTCAGGGATTTTCCGAAGCAGTTCTACTACAACCTTGTGATTCTTTGGCCATGGCATTGTAAACTCAATTCCACTGATCTGGCAAAGGGCAGCGCGCGCAGTGGCCTGCTGCTCCGGGGTGTCGAGTGGTGCATCTAGAAAAGCGGCGAACTCGGTCCTGACCGATTTGTCTTCTGTGAGCTCAATTGTCGTCTCTAGGATAGTCTGAGTTTCTGCAAGCGGGACGATTTCGGTCATGAAGTCTTGCAGTGCCGTTCTGAATGTCTTCACGGCGTCTGTGTGTCCCTTCTCTTCTAGCTTTGACTGGTTACAAGAAAAAGGAAAAAGTCAGAAGATCTGTACACTGAGCTGTTTGCTATGTAGAACAAATTTGAGTAATGCGACATACCTCCACACGGGCTGTCAAAGCTTCGGAACGAGTCATGTCCCTATCTAAGGTCTCGTGGTCCATAGCGACTTTGTCCATGAAGTGCAGCAAAGAAAACGAATAACCATCTATCTCAAAAAGACGAAACTCGAGTTTGGATGAGTTTTAGAGACGGAATGATGATGTTGATGGGAGAAGTACAGAAGGCTCAAAGTCTGGGAAACACAGGTTTTATATATCCCGTCGAGCAGTTCTCATAGGAAGGGAGGCTGTGTCATCATGTTGGGCCCCTCAAGAGGGTGTAAGACTGCTAAGACCCTGCATGCTTGGCTATGTGGCGCAGAGCGCTCATTGATTATTGATTGGTCCAGGCATCTGCATGTTGGTTGACAGGGAAATACGCCGCACATATGCAATCCTCCGTGTTGAGTACCACCCACTAGGTATCTCTGACCACGTGTTATATGTACGGGCTATCTTAGCTAGGGATAAATTGGAAAATCTCAAGACCAACTACAGCGAAAGCATTTGCCAAGGGTGTTTTCATTCATAAAGAGCGAAAGTATCTCTGTAAAGTATTACTGGATTAGTATGGCACCCTACAAGCCCCTGAGAGGCGCTATAACGGGTAACAACTGGTGAGGAGTGGACGTGAAACGCAACTCAATTCATCACCGCCTCCTACTACATACATCTAAGAAACGAACAAAAAGGAATGAAAACTAATACAGAACGAGTGTGAATAAAGAAACCCCTAAAATCAGTCCAGAACCCTCCCCCCAAAATATCATAGCACAAGTCCTGGCCACCGAACACTCTCACGACCACTAGCATGAACGCGCCTATGAATACTTTCATAAAAGCTTCTCTTTACTGATTTCCGTCGTAATCAATGAAGATCTGCTCTTGAGCCTGAAATACGGCATCATCAGGTGCAAAGTCGTCGCCAAAGAGGGAGCGATACGACGTTTGCGTTCTCGATTTGCAATAGCCGGCGGTTTGAGACCAGGTCAAGCAGCTACATCAATGGCATTCCGTTAGGTCAACTCTGCATAAGTATAAGATAGGAATAAGTCATCTCACTAATTAAGTTTGAGAACCAGGGACCTGTCGTCTTCCCTCAAAAGTCCATAGCAAGCAGCCATGGAAATTATCTGTACCAGAATAAATTTAGCAATGATACCTCAATTATAAGGGTTGAGGGTTTCAGGAGCCGCCTTCTAGCAGATTAGGACAAGAGCACCTACACATTGAGCTACGGGGATCGTAAATACTGCCCAGCGAGCAGCGATGGCAGTTCCTTCGTCCCCAGAGTCGGGCTGGGGAGCTGGGCTAAGACGGATCAGATGGAAGCCCCTCAAGCTCTGAGCTCACGACTTACAGTGCCGACATCCACTCCATAGCCAAAGTAACATTAGCTTTCAATTCATCAAGGGTGGGGCGGGTGGTGTCCCGTTTTGCCACCGTGACCATGGATGGGCTTGAAGTCGCGTTGACTGGGGGGACGTTCGACCAGACATTGTCTGCAATCTTGTAACGATGTTCTTGCTGTGGGACGTTGGAGTATACGTTTTCCGAGACCTGATATGGGTGTCCTCCAAAGCTAGAGTCTCCCCGTTGTAGGAGGGTGCCCGCCGCGACAAGGGAGGTGAAGAACAAGGCAGAGACCTTAGAGAAGTGCATGTTGACTTGAGATGGCAAGAGTAGAGAGGGGCAGAAATAAAGGGATCAAACAAGAGGTGTCGAGACAAGGGAAAGGATAATGTGTGGTAAGAGTGTCTGTTGTTGTTGTTGTGATTGTTGTTGAACTGCTGTGATGGAAGAGCCTGATCGAGGAGCGGCCGGAAGCCCTTTTATCCTCCTGACTTACACCATGCTCCTCATCTGTCTCTTCTCTTCTGCACTAGTATGCCACTGAAGTTGCTGGCCATGTTGTGCTCAGTGCTCTTCATCTGATTGATACTATTTTTGCTTCATTCTGTTGGTTTTTCTTTGATCAATACATAGTTGTAAGCTAGAAAAAAGGACCTAGTCAGGTATTCTTGGCACGCTAGCTCTCACGATGACTCCGCAAAAAGTACATCGGCCTCGATTTTGTAGTATACTTCATGGAAAAACTCCCCTGCGCAGCGGGGCCCTTGGCATCTCGGCGTTGAGAGTACCTGACAAGGTACCGTTAACAGGGGGGGTTAGGGGAGCGAGGAGAGTAACTAGGACGCAGCCCCACGGCTTCCAGTTTTTGATCCCCTTATTTTTTTTCTCGTATGAGCTGTTAGAGAGTCCTTCGCAAGGATCTCCCATGGCATTCTGTAAGATCACACTATTTTTGGTGGAAGAAACATGGCACATTGAGATTGTCTACGGCACAAGCCAACATCACAAAACATCTAAAACACACCAACAACCAACATCGCTAACCCGGGGTGCCAAAATCTCAAAAGTCTTACCAACACTGACATCTAAGCCATCCAAACCAGAAATTTATGTTACCTCCGCCGCATAGGATGCTTTAAGGGATTCAATTAGCTTCGTGCTTGATTCTAAATATGTCACGCGACGTGATGGTGTTTGCGCCGGTCTGATAGTTGTGATGGATTCACTCAACATCTTGTCCGTGCGGAGGCACGTGAGCTCTTGACTGTTGGAATACCTGATCCTTCGGACCAAGTCGACAACACTAAAATAAGTTTTGAGAGAGTTGGCACAAGACGCAAAGGCTCATGAAAGGGCACCTACCGAATATAAAAGCAGAAAATCTTCACCTCAAAGGTTCAAATCGAGAACACCATCACAGAGCATCATCTCCTCATCTTCCTCGGACAAGCAACACTCTCAGCATCACTTTAGCCCCAACAGCCAGCGATATATTCCCCTTTGAACTCTTCGTCACTCAATTCCACTTTTACAATGCATTACTCAACCGTCGCCACCTTCCTCACTCTAGCTGGTCTCTTTACCACCGGATCAGCATCGTGCTACGGCACTGGCGAGATAGGCAACTATGGCAAAAACCTCGATGCAGTCAACGGCCTACAAACAGCTTGTTATCTCCTGACTGGCACTTATGTCGGGGGCGAGTCACGAATGACCTGCGTCGAGGAGAGTGGTACCGGAGTCAAATGGAGCTTTGATTTGAAGGTATGCGTTCCAAGTCGACCCATCACTTAAGAATGAAGCTAATTGCATGCCTTCGTAGCACATCTCTGGTGGCTCTCGCTATATTGGGCTAAATGAGTGCTTGAGCGGAATGTCCAAGGAGGCTCATGGCTGCTATCGCGGTGGTGACTCCAAGTACTGGAACTGGGAATACAAGTAATTGACTTCTCCTTTCTTCCCGAGATTTTCTACCTCCTGCTCTAGGTTGTCTTTGATGCTGATATATCTTCACTTAACAATAGGGCCGACCCTAACACCGGCAGCTGCAATGAGATCCCCATCTAGATTTTCGAAAGAAATGCCGGTATAAGGAATGGCCATTGTTTCTCGGCTCAGTTTTCACTCTGCTTGAGTTAAATGGAATCTAGATCTAAGGTTTGGGGGAGGGTAGGAGATTCTGGATGTTATATTTGTTTCAGATTTACTCTTTTGCTGTTTTCGTTTTCCCTCATTTCCTATATACTATTTCAACCTGTTTTTAAGTTCTGTGTGTTACATGTATGAGTTAACCTATCCGTTCGTTTATGGTATATAGAGAGGCGATATTTCAATTCAACCTTTTGGTGCAATAAACATCTGCGTCGTGATTTTAAGCTTATAGCAAAGTTGGGTCATTGGGATGACGCTAGCAGTCACGTGACGATTACTGACGCCCTACTTCCACTTCAGCCAACACTCACCTTAGAGTAACCTTCTAGATAGTAACAACTTCACTCAACCAGATGTCAGTCAGGTTGTGCGTGTCACCTGTATGTCATATGTGAGCCGATAGGGCGGACCTCCGTAGGGTGGAACCCCACGACAGGTCTATATATTGATGAATTCCTTTCGGTCTGTACGCGTGCCTGAAACGCATACACTTGATTACTAAATAATATATCCATTCATCCTACGTTCAGGTTATCTTCTACGCTGCTTACTTGCGTATATATGCGATTACTTAAGCTAACCCACTTGACCTCCGAGAGGTCTAGGGTGTTCCGCGAAGGGGGTGAAGGAGGGGGGTTGGCCTAATAAAAAGTGGCATCGTTCGGGGCAGGATGAGCAGCGTAACCCGGCGGCTTGACGGTTCCGTTTCCCTCAATACGGTCCACCGGTGGAGTCAACCTGCCGAGTTCCTGATATTGCTTGTGGATGCCTGCTGGCTTGCACACGTCTTTTCAAAGGGTTTCTTGCAACAAAAGGCCCAGAGTATAACCGAATGGAGCTTTGTTGGACTTTGGGTAGCTGTTACGATTGCTTGTCTTTTGGCTCTACTCCTTCTATGGCTGTGGACTTTGTTTAAATGGATGTTGACGCATGTGACTATCGCGCCGCAACGGCTGTGCGGCCATTTCTTTCAATGATAGGCTGCTGTGTAACCGGCGTGTGCAGCAAAGTATTAGGGGAACTGGAAAAGTTCGTATCTAGATGAGAAACTCTATAAAAGCGGCCAGCTCTCCTTTCATGCCAATGCTATCTGTGCTATCAAATCCGATCGGACGGATGAACAGGGCCATCGACGGCGCGCTGGATGCGTCTCCAGACCGCACCGAACCGGTCATCATCCTCTGAGAAGCGGCACATGGAAGTGTGCGTGCCACTGAGCATCATGTAATCTTCGTGTTGTAACGACATAGTAGCAGAATCTTTATCCACAATCTGACCCAGGAGTTAGCATACCCGCATAGCAAGCATTATATGTGGACAGGGATGCATAATCCATACCACTTTACCCCAAATGCGGTTATACGCATGCTCCTCATAAAAGCTGACAATAGCATAGTTGGAAGCTAAATGTCTGAAGTCTTCGGACACCTTGTAAAGCCCTTCAGAGTTTTTCTTGAGAAAATTCATGAAGCGAAAATGTGCGAGAGGGAAAGCATTTCCCACGATCCTAGTTACCAGCGCGCCCCAAGTGGCGGCGTCGGCACCTCGGTGTGGTGTTCCAAAGAAGACCTATGCGGGTGGCGGTAATTTATTGTTAAAAAATGAAAAAGATTATCGTATCAATATGTCGAAGCACGTACTATGCCTTTAGTTTGTTCAGTCATGGCTGGGAAATCCGTTGGGCTCTGCTCTGCAAGCACCAGGGCCTTCGAGTCAGACATGTGTTAGAATGAAAGATGTAGATCGCTGGTATCAGATAAGAAGGGATACATACCTGTTTAATCACAATTCCGCCGAGGCTATGCGCAATGAAGACGATAGGAACATCCTAATATGTGTTAGAAGAAGGCAATGCCAACCAGTGACTAGTAACAGCATGTGAATGACTATAGCTTTATATACTTACACTTTCTCGTTTGTCCTTGAACTCCTGGGTCATCCTGCGTGCGATGTCTCGTACTGTTCCAACCGCCATACTCTCGACGGAGGCATCGTACTCATAGCTCATAACGCGGCATCCGGGCAGTTTGAGGGGTAGGAGATCTGACAACCATATCTTTGCAGCTGATGACCCAGGCTTGTCCGTCCACGTATTCCGGTAGTGGCCATTGAGGCCATGGACAGCAACAATACTACTTAAAAGTTAATTTATTTCACTTGCCATAGGAGGAAAAGTAGAAGTCACTCGCTCTAGCGTATGAGGTTCATTTGGGGTTGATAGTACATGCAACACCATTTTGAAGAATATGACTTGGTTAATATCTTTGAGACGTGTGTTAAGGAACAGAGAAGAAAGAATGGGAGAAGGGGAGTCAAGGTAGTATCTATCCTCCAGGCCCCTTCGTTAGGTATCTGGATAGATACCTAAACATGCCACGTCACTCGCTTATTTCAAGGCGATTAATGCTCAATCATTTTACTTATCCCGCAGAAATGATGTCATAGTGGTATTGCAGGCACCCCTCCAATATCAACAGCACGCTGAAAAAGATCTCATCTCTTATTTTCCCAGTTCTGAAATCCAGAATGATATCTACTAACAATATCGAGGCAAATATTTACGCTATTTACACTACCCCTTTTCTCGACTATCGTAATGGTCCTGAATTTCTTCCCTCGCCGCCAGCCGTCTAAAGGAGCTACACCAGTGCATAAACTGCAACTCCATGTGATTTATGACCCGGAGACTCACGGGAATAGTGTTGCAGAAATTGAGTAAACTCTACCGCTAACCGAAAACATGGATCATCAATTCTCTTATCGCAAATGCTAACCTACATTGGCTCCAGTCTCGTACTTGTCCACGGATTTGGCGGCCACTACATGGACACATGGACCTCCAAACAGGGTGATTCCAGCGTATTCTGGCCGGAAGATTTGCTACTCAAACAAGAAACGCAACCGCCGACGAGAATTTTGTCGTTTGGGTATGATGTTGGAGAGTTGGTGGTGGCCAGCATTCGCAGCTACGCCCAAAGCATGCTGACCTTCCTGAACGACCTGCGAGAGGGGATTGAGAGTAGGCCAGTGGTCTTCCTAGGCCACTGTCTCGGAGGTCTTATTGTCAAGCAAGTAAGCTAGATGGTTATTGTGTTATTGTATTATCAGTGTTGATATCATTTAAAACACAGAACGTTGGTCGCTAACATCTATCGGTGGACTAGGCTATGCGATTCGCTGAGAACGAGCCATCGCTCAAATCGATCATTTCGGCCACTAAATCGATCGTAAGCCTGATTACTCAGATTTTACAGCCGCGTCCCTTAACAATGACTAAGTACTGACTTCCTGTTCACATCAGATGTTTTTTGGGACCCCACACGGTGGTGGAGAAAAGAAAGACTGGCGGAAGCTTGCCACTTGCTATAAAGAACTTGGATCTAAGTGCCAGATGATTGCCGTTCTAGGGAAGAGCACGGATGACCTTACAGAACTTGATGAGGATTTTCTCCGCTTGCAAAATAGGTTTACTATCAACAATTTCTTGGAGCAACGTAAAATGCCGGGTGCGAAAAGGCTCATTGTGGATCAGACGTCCGCAGTGAAGTTCTCTGGCGCTGGTAGTACTGGCGTAGATGGTGACCATGTTACCATGTGTCAGTTCAAGGACGCTCACAATAATGCGTTTACTAGGGTGTGCCGGATCATCAGAGATGCAGTCTTCAACGAGGTAGCTACCAACCATTTAATCACTCCGCAGACACCCAGGGTAGTCGACAATCGGGTGGTCATCAACCAAGAGTTCGTCTTCAACCAAGTGTTTGTCGTTAACGAGCCGCTGGTCATCGATGGGCAAGCAGACATGCGGGCGAATCACCAAGGGGCAGCGCCAGTAGGGGTGGTAGGGACGCCAGACCTGCCAGCTTCGATAGAACGCCAAGGGGTATGGTCAGTTGCCAATCGGCGAATGCTGGAGCAAAAGAAAGAAAAAAACGCCATTGAGGAGCTTTTTGAGAGTTCAAATCGAGACTGCGGAGAACAGATTAGAGAATGGGTCAGATCTAGCCAACGTGACTCTAAAGTTTAAACCACCTCTTACTGCACCTTAACGTACGTATGCAAACACGAATGGCTAGGGGGGCGAAGACGAGAGCGGGATTGAGATAAAGATAGATGTTACGAATTGCAAATCTTTGTTCTATACAGAAAGTGCAAATAAGAGAACATGGCACAGCCAGCCGTATACGTATGTGCGCCGATTAGCAACAGCTACTTGTTTAGCTCAGGGGAGGTTGAGTCATTTGATTACGGGTTCGTTGGGGGCGTGTCGGCTTCCGCCCATTTCCTAATGCCCCCCGCCTCCTTTCTCTCAGTATCTATCGGCATCATTTTCAGAAGTGCCAGGAGCTTTGTGCTGTCCTCATTCATCTCCGTCCTAGCTTTTTCCAATTGGTCCATCAGCCGTTTCATTTCTTTTTTCGCATTCTGCATAAATTGTTCCACGCTGTCATTGACAGCCGCCGCAACAGACCGATGTGTATCAATGGATGCGTTGATGTCGTAATTATCTTTTTCTCCAGTATACTTGTTGTCGTCGAAATTGTCGAGTTTGCGTAAGTCACTCTCCGTATAAGGATGCGTCATCTTAAGTGTGAGCTTGCAAGATTGCCGGTATTAGTCAAACAACATTCATTGCTAATATATGCTGAAGATATGGGAGATACAGGCTGTAACTGAACACCTTGGTGAACATACCTTTATGTGCTATTCTCGTAACCCGAAAGCCTTGGGTTGAGCTTAATTAGTAGTCGATGAAGGTAAGATAATTGTCTATTATAAGACTTTATTATGCTATACGGATTATGACTTAAACTTCCAGCTTAACTCCGGGATACTTTAATTGGGTCTTAAGTATCTTTTAGCTTGACTAACAGATACATATGTAAAAGCTTGAAACTACCTAACTTTCACTGGTGATCTATACGCGTTTAGTGTAGCATTAGGTACTTCTGGTATTAAAGCCGTTAAGTACATATCTAATATGATCTAATTGGCTATAGAGAATCTTGGCAGGTTGCGGAGTTGAGCTGGAACTTAAGGGGATATGCCAACTAGTTATTGATCAGCAACCCCAATCGGGAATAGGCGAACCGCACCGCATCAGCTGGCGCTTAGATATCCCGGGTAAACCCCTGGTTAGTCCTGCCCGGGACCAATACCATCAACCATCAACCAATGCGGAGTACCATCGCACTCAAACAAACAACGTTCATGCGACCCTGATCCACCAGCTGAAGACTGCATTTACAATAGGTTGAGCTTACACCCTTGTTTGGGCTGGGGAGAAAAGAACAATCAGGGGAAATGGAGGTGTTACTATCACGAAATTCCTGCCCCTTGTGGCTATGGCTATGTAGGAGTTATCTGAATCATGGACTATCTGTATATATATTCAGCTCCTAGCAGTAATAGGAGGTTAGAGCTCTTCGGTTGACAACAGGTAGGTATTCAGATTTCACCCTTACCTTACCGGAAGTCACGAAATCTCACCATGATAGAGTCCACTATGCTTCAAGTTCGTACCTCAAGTACTTTAGCTCCTTCGGAGCGACTGCTGAACTGAGCTCGCAGCCAATAAACAAATCATACCTATCAACCGTTGGGTACCTGCCCAGCTAGCCGAAGAGCACACAGCCTCCTCGCCGAACTCAATAGGATACGACAGCTGGAGCCGTAAGATGCGCATCTTTACCGTAGCTACACTGCCACGCCACGTCATCAAGTGTACCGAGTAAAACCCCTGATTAGTCGCCGAGCGAGTATTCTTCAGCCTACGAGGTGCAGTATCTACAGTAGAGCAAGCATGATGTGTTGGCAGCTAGCTAGGTAGCGTAGCGAGAGAGGCATATCGCTTATCCATCCGAGTTTGGTATTTACACCTCACACGGCCAATTTTGGCCTGGTGGGAGGGGGGGAGACTATGTGACTCCAAACATTGTAAAAAATAAGAAGCTGAATAGCAATAATCCCACTCTTTTACTCTAACCATGCTTGAGTATAGGTGTGTATAGAGGCTATCTGGCTGTAAAATATCTATTCTTTTCGAGGCGGTCTCCGACCCCGAACGAAACAGTAGCATCCTGGGGGTCGGAGACCACCTAGTACCCTGTCCTCAGACGTGTCAAGAGGTAACTGCCCGAGTTCGTTTTTTTATCTGCGCCTTGATCGCCTCTTGGGCCACTGTGAGAGCGGTTCTTAGCTTTTGTGGCGGGGTTATCCAGTCTTCCAAGGGAATGCTCTTCTCCAGCGTTGACTCGAGTACCTCGAGCGCATGAGTGTGGTCTTTGCATTTGTTTTCCAATTCCCATTGCTTGGAATATTGCTTTTCAAGCTCCTTGCTCAATTCTTGGGCGGTCCTTTCAGCTTCTTCTTTATCTGCTTTGAGCTTTTTAAATTCCATCTCCCACTTGTCGAATCCTGCCATGAGATCTTCTAATCTTGATGGTGAGGGTCGAGGATCATCACCCGCAACCTCGTCGCGTTGTTCATCCATGAAATAAGTCTCTTACTACTGCAAGCCGTCACTTGCCAGAATCAGAAACCTAACGAAGCCTGTGTTTTATTTCAGGCTCACTTACGTAGAAACTTAAGACGTAATCAGCCCGCAAGGCTATGACCGTGATTAGAATTTCAAGGAACGAGGGGCTCAATGAAATAGGTATGTCGGAATGGTATCGCATAGAGTTATCATCAAGTGTGAATGCATGAATCCAAGGGCAAAGCCAGTAATCAAGATCCAACCATTTTTGGCCACCTACTTGGTATTATTTAATAAACCTACCATGTCTTCGAACACTTGGTACTATTGTATGCATACGCACATTAATCCCACCCATCACCACTCGTGCAAAAATGGCAATACTATTGCGCATTTAGGCAGCAATGAACTAAGACCCGTGACTAGGGCTTCGGCTACCCAACCCGTGCCACGTACCAGAATTATCGGTTGTCACGATAGTAAGCAACAGCATCTACTAATGACTGGGCCCCTCGTGTGGCCCCTCTCACAAACCAGTGGAGCTCTGTGGGAGGCGGGGTCGGCGGCTCTGCTGGTCGAGTTGTCATGTCATCAGTCTGTGTTGGGCTGGCGTCTTCGGCGGTGGCGGACTTCTTCGCCACATATGGCCGGTGCAGGATTGTGTCCCTGGCAGAGCAAAGCTCAAGCTTGGGATGGTCCTCTTTATGGTAGTCGTGAAAATAACACCTGACATCCATCCAGCTATCGGCGTCGTCTACCAGCTTCTGATGTCGCTCCCGATCCACAGCCATTATTCTGCTGTTGTTGCTTCCCGCCACCGCAAGATCTTGGGCCAGCCTTAGATGCTCTGACCAATGCAGTGCTGCATACCGCAAGAACTTGTGCTCTTTCATCCTTTCCTTAACCGCCGCCTGCCAGGCAAACCAGGTTTCGCATCCCGGCCGAACACGAACAGATTGGTCCAAACATGGTCGTGCTAGATAAGTAGCGCAAAGGTTCCCGAGCAATGCGTGGCTCGCTGCTGGCTCCATATATGATTCTGCATGGTAAGGCAGAACATTGTCTCCATAATCCTCGTCGAGCTGCTCTGGCTTTGTGGTCAGGTATTTCATCAGACTGGGGTGTATCAGTTGGAATTGGCCATTTTGGAGCTTTACCAAATGACCAAGAAATCGGTTTACCCAAAGCTCGGTATCATCGTCGCGCAAGCTACACACTTGGTCGTAGTCAACGCTTCCGGTAGTGTCGTCTCTTGCTTTTGTAAGAGCTCGTGCAATACCCAGTTCAGCAGGGCTTAGCCCTTCTCGCTGAAATGTAATCCACGTGAGGACATGCTTGACAGATCTCCTTGTTGACCTATCAGCCCATATATGCCCTAGTATTTGATCATAGAGAACCGCAGTGCTCTGTAGCGTATTTCTCTGTAGTTGAGTTCCTAATAGTTCCTTCAAGGTGCTTTCGTCGTATTTCGTGCGCTTCAAACTCCCAAGCATCACATCCGCCCGAAGACGCTTTAGGTACCCCTTCTTCTATCGCTTTCCGCATCTTAGGAGTATACCTATGGATCCTGCTAAGTAAATCTATGCGCTGTGTAACGCTCGCCTTGATTTCTGGTCCGGTATCTTCTGCTTTATCAATAAGATACCGGATAAATTTGTATTCCTTAAGGTCTGAATGAATGGCGGAGTAATCGTTGGATAAGAAGAGTAGCCGAAATCTGCCCCGTATTGGCCATTCAATCCCAAATTTCGTGAGAATGTCGAGAAATGTCTTTTGGTCTTGCCTTTCCATTTTGTCGAAACCGTCGATTACGACTGTTAACACGGGGCACTTACTTAGCGCTTTGGCCATGATCTTTGGCCAGAGTTCTTGTAGGCGATTCAGTTTTAAACTGTGTGATGGATTCTCCGATCTTAATATAGGCAGAAGGTATGTATCAATAGACTCTGGTGTTATCTCTACAAGAACTTGCCGAATAGTTGAGGCCAGTAGACCATGCAAATTGTTCTCTGTCGGATGTGACTCTTCATTCCGCTGCGATCCAGCGGCTAGGACCTGGTTCCGAGCATTGATTAATAAACTCCGTATACTACCAACCTTTTGAGATGAAGGTGGTTGGCGGGGTAGCATAGGCTCAATTTCTAGAGCTTGCTGAAGAATCTCGGACATCAGATGCCACAGATCGACTGTCGGACCCGGCTCACGCAGAAAAGCGCAAATGACCGGCTCGTCCTTCTCACGGAGCTTATCAACGACATTCTTGGCGAGGTAACTTTTCCCACAGCCCGGCTCACCCGTGATCCATAGCCTTGGCTTTGTCAATTTCATATCCAACCACATCTGGTACTGCGGTCGATTAAAAACCCACTGCCCTGTGCCATTCGCCAGTTTGTTTATCATCATAGATTGACAAAGCGTGTCGGAACACAGCAAATCGATCGCCTTGAGGCGATTTTCTATTGACTCCGAATATGGTGTTAGTATAAATAACAAGGACAAGTATACTCTAAAACTTGCCTTTCTGCCAAGGTGAGTTTGTAATCATCTCCCTGATCCGTTTCTCAACTATATGGAACATCGTCCCTTGTGGCTGATCTTTTTCGAACTTGCAAAGACTGAGATGGTCTCCTGATATCTCTATACACGCTGGTCTCTCAGCGGTGAGCGATCCCAGCGTTTTATTGACGACCTGCAGTAGAATATTATATTATTAGAAACAATAATACTCAAGGTGCCCGTCAACTAAACTAGGCGTACTTACTAATGCGTCAAGTAGCGGCTTCTTGATATGTAGCTCTTGGAAAGTCTCAAGGCTTAACTTGTGGAACAGTGGAATAAAGTCCTTTGAGAATGGCTCGAACACCTCAGGGGTTTTCTTAATCTCTTCGTACATGCCTTTAGAAGGGGATCTAACTACTACCGGCCATCTATCTCTCTTGATCTGACTGTGGCATTTTAGCACGTCCTGCAAAAATACCGCGTACTCTTGTCTAGTACCCCTATGCATAGTCGCAAAAAATATCTGAAATACCTATGCGTTAATAACTGCTTATGTAAAGGGCAGAAAAGGCATAGGATTAACTTACAACACCTAAGATTGACTTCTTGATAGATCTAAATCTATAATCATTATAGGCAATTCGGATTGCCTTTATTCCGTTAATTAGACTATATTTAATATAACATAGAAACTGTAGAAGTTATAATTACCCTTTTGATAATAACACCCCCGAGACTATGGCCCACGAAGATAATAGGCCTAGACTTATCGCGCTGGTCCTCTCGCTTGTCGTACAGGTATTGCAACAGATTATGTGCAGTGTCATCAATCCCAGCTCGACTACTAGTGCCCATAATTGACCCGCCATACTCAAACGATAGGACACGAATGCGAAGTCCGGCTTGCTTGTGGAGCGCTTGTGGCAGGAGGTCTCTCGGCCAAACTGTATCGTCTTCAGCCTTCCAGGTATCGACGTAATCTCCCATTAGGCCGTGAACTAGTACAATGCTTGAATCCATTGCTGGTTAGAACCACGAATCTATTTATGTTGCATCTACATTTGGGCATGTTTTCACCCTTAAATTGAAAGGACATACTCTGCATGGATATCCCCAAGTTTAGACACGCCTAGGTCTAAGTTGGGATCAAGCTCGTAGAGCATCATCTTCACATTGATGACCAGTTCAAAGCAAAATATCACTGAGTGATACCTAGATGACTGATCTTGTAGTAAACAAGCTTTTGAAGCTGATGTTGGACTGACGGCCTCTAGAGTAAACGAAGAGCTACTCGTAGGTAGCAAATAGGTCATATATTGCTAGGAAGGTAGAGTGTGGTGTAACAACCTCGCCATACATTACCTGAGAGGTATGGACGATGCGTTAGGGTGTTTTAATTTCGAGATAACAATGAGCGAAGCAATGGTGTTGTTCGTTAGGGTGATATGGGTGGAATCTCTGAGGACTTCACTTAGAAATGAAAATACTCACATCTAGTACTGTGGTGGCGGAGTAACCCCTCTTTCGACAGATAGCTAGGGACACGCACATGTTACGAACCAAAAAGACGGGTCGCATGATGGGTCAATTCCAAAATGACAACCACATGAGGCTGGACCAGGAGACAAGCCACAGCCAAGCTATGGGCTTAAGGTCACGCGATTGGCTCATGGAGCTCGCCTTACTAATAGGAGAACGAGCCATACATATGAGATAACGGCTCATAGGACTTATACCCCTTGGTTGTGAACGAGTCTTGAGAGTCTACTAGGAAAAGATGAATGAATAACTGTCAGATTAGGCGAGCCAGTTACTTGAGAGTGTGTCATGAGGTGTATTGTTGCTGTTGAGCAGAGTCTGCTCCGCCCTGGGTCCTAAGTTAGTAGACGCCTTTGTACTGAGTGTTCAATATTGCGCTAATGACAGGTATGAGGCTCGAGAATGAAATCTTTTACTTATAGACGCCCATCTCATTCAAGGAACCCTTAGGCGAAGTAGTTCCCAATATGGCTATGACATTAATTAAATGGACAAAGAAGCCGAAGCGGCGTTATTATATCAAAGTTGTGTCTCGGGTGAAGTGTACACTGCTTTGACTTCTGAGACAGCAAGCTTGGCGTCTGGACTTCTCAGCCCTTTCCCTCCACTCCATACCCTCAAACCTCATATTGATCGAAAACAGAGCACAGCTAGAGTTCATGCAAATTAGCTGATAAGATACTGGTGAGTTTGTTACACTGGAGTGGCAGACATGTTGTTCTGCTAGTCTCCACCTATATCACCAGTCACAATATATCCACCAATTGCCACCAGTCCGGATAAATCCGCACCCACCAAAGCACTTATCTCAACGGCCAAGAAGATACCTAGAAAAACATAGATAGAACCGCCAAGACTGATCGTGTACTCAAATTTACTAATTCCCGCGCTTTTCAGGGAACATAATTAACAGAGAGTGCGTTGAAAAGACTTTGAATTACCAGTACGAACAAGATGAACTGGTTTTCTTTGGCGGGCTGGGCGTGGTATAGCTACGGGGTGATGGCAGGAACACTGGCCGACGATCCCAAGCAACCAAGCGCCGACGTATCAGCCTGCAAGCTAGCAGCTGATCAAAACGTCTACCTGAGCGCGGGATTCGGGTATGAATTGAACTGCGCGCCGAGCGTCGGCACTCTAAGCGCGTTCATGATGTTTGTCGATTTTCCCGATCAAGGTGCTACCGAGAGCTCTCCCGAGGTTCTGCGGAATTTCTTCCTCCCCAACGCGGCGGACTGGTACTATCGGTCGTCATACGGCGCGCTCAAATTATCAGTGACGGCCGACACGTCACGCTTCTACCGCATGCCCGCCACGGCGGCTAGTTACAATTGGCAGCGCGGGCTCACAGCCGAGCAGCACGCGGTCTATATCCATGATGCGCTGAAGGCTTACAATGCCCCTATACCCTCTGTAGACGTGCTGTACATCGTTCCTACTGCCAACGCGACTAAGATTTCCTACAGCCCGACTTATATGGGTGACGTGAGGACGCGCGATGGGACCTATGTCGCGAGGAAGTCTGTGACCTTCGGCTATGATGGCTATAAAACTTGGGGGTATCTCGTACTCAACCATGAGACGGGACATACTATGTGTCTGCCTGATTATTACCCATTTAACGGGAGTGCGACGGGCTTGTTCATCGGCGGCTGGGATTTGATGGGGCTCATCAGCGGGCCGAGCCCGGATTATTTCGCATGGGACAAGTGGCGACTTGGCTGGCTGGCCGACGATCAGATCGATTGCGTGAGCGTCGCTGGAACAACCTCGCACACACTCTCCTCGCTTGAGGTCGCCGGTGGGAAGAAAGCTGTCGTGGTAAAGTACAATAAGACCAACGCGCTTGTTGCCGAAGTGCGGTCTTCGGAAGGCCTTGATTCAGCGTCGTGCGCCACGGGGGTTCTTCTGTACACTGTTTCCACTAAGACTAATACTGGCGAGGGCCCCATTGTGGTGTTGGACACTACGCCTGGGTCTGGCGGATGTGCGGGCGATAGATTGAATGATGCTACACTAAGACTTGATGGTGTTAGGTCGTACATAGTAAACCGCTGGGGCATCAAAGTCACAGTAGTGGCCCGGGACAATGAAGACTATACGATCGAGGTGACTCGTCGGTGAGCGACGGTTCATCTTATTGCGGTCTATGTCCTTGGTACATCAAAACGCAAGAAATATTGATACCGTAATGACAGACTGCCATAAATCGCGAGCGGCCTGGACTCGTGTTGATATATAGCTTCAAACTGTCGCTGTCATCTCGCTTATGTGCCTAGGCTGGATAGACGAGTCTGCTCTCCATGAAGAATATAAGGAATGCTAGGTAAATGATTATATGACCATCAAACTATGTGCATCTCGTAATTAATAGAGTAATGGCTTAGTCCGTGCGAGGGACTTGATCTGGAAACCGCAAAATATCGGTTTAAACCCGTCTCAGGCTAATCCTTCGCGCTTCGCATCAACGATAACTCCAAATTTCTGCTGTTATTTAGGGTTTTACCTTTAGGGGCTGCGATTTCGTTCCCTTACCCCTTTTAAAGGTTTGAAAGAAACACGTAGCTCCGTACCCATTCGACCCAGTTTTAAGGGCCACAATATCTCGCTATTAGCGCTACATACTTGATACCAGAAATTGCTATATATTTGTGCCTAAGACAAGGTAGCTTGTTGTAGCAGCTGTTAGACCCTTTCTGTATCGATTCAGGAAATATCGTCAATGAGCTGGCCAAAGCATCGTGATGAGCAACCTCCCAAGTCTTGTGGTCACGATCCCATCCAACCTCGCCCCTGTCTCCCGATCACAATCCCACATATGTCTGTGCGAGTGGACACATTCAGTATAACGAGCGATACTGGTATGCGAAAATTGCGTTCCGGATCAAAATGTCCGGCAGGATAGGCCAGCTCTTGGTGGCACACTATCCGCAGAAACTACTGGACAACTACGCGGCAATGCGGTGAGCAGGGGTGACCGTGTTGGCAATACATAGTAATGTTCAAGTGAGTGTATCTATGTCATGTCTAAGAACGGCACAACTTAACGTCGTGGTCGTCCATAGCAACGTGTCGAGACTGTAGCATTGGGAGTGGCGATTACTGCAAAGCCGGTAGTCGCAACTGTCACCGCTGGTGTCGCGCATTAGATCGTACCAGAAGATCGGGACTACATGTAGACAACCGCCAAGTTAGCTAGTTCGCCCTCGTTCGGCCTAGCCTCAGGCAAGACACCCACACGTGGTAGGCAAGCTGGAGGCGAGCTGGGGGCTACTTTAGCCTCAAGCCTAAAGATAAATAGACTATATAGATGCCAGGGCCCAGATCTGGTCTATTTACTAGCAAAGAGAGAGCCCACCAAGCACTAGGGCTAGTATAAGTAGGATTCGAATCTAAACTCCGTGATTCAGTAGCCTGATGCTGGCTTCTCAGCTTGCAAGATCGAGGCTACTCTGGCTACTCTAGCCCTGGATCTGGAGATCATTGTCAATGGTTCTAGTATTAGCTCACAATGGCGGCCAGGCCGTCAGGCTGTAGCTGTCCAGTCATCATAGAGGCCTGGATGACAAGTTATTCGATGACTCCCTAGAGTATATAAACATGGCCGATCACAACCAGATCTTCTTGTCCATCATCAGAGCTCGGGTACACTACTAATTTCAGACTCAACGCCATCTATAGCCACTGTATCACACAGGCAATCCTCCAATCGCTACCAATTAAATCTCGCAATGAAATATTCGTTTGCGTTCAGCGCCCTTGCTGCGCTCTGCGCCGCCCAGGAGCTTCCCTGGGATATCAGTGAGTGCTTTCATACTACATTCACTCACTGCCTGTCCCTCTACTAACGAACATGTTATAGTCCAGTCGGCCGATCCGCCTCCTACAGTCACCGTACCTTGGGGTGCTGCTGGCGCAACTATTATTCCCTATCACTCAGAGACAGCTATTGCCGCAGTCGTAGCAGATGTTGTCTCAGATCCTCTCCCACAAGCTACAGATCTGCCCGATCTGCCCGCCATTGTCGAAAAGAGAGATTTAGTCAAGCGTGCCTGTCAGGCCCAAACCCAGGGAAACGGCCCCATCCCTGAAGATGACTCTGCAGAGGGCTTCTTAGCTTTTTCTGCCTTCAAGGAGGCTGCTGAATCAGCCAAGACTCCTAACGGATACGCCTTGAATTATCGCAATCTCAACTCTTCGAGTAATGCCTATGGCTATATGGGCTTCGCATTGATGGATAGTTACGATACAGAATCTTGCGCCAGCCAATGCACAAGTATCTATGGATGCCACTCCTTCAATATCTTCTTTGAGAGAGACCCGGCAATTGTAAGTACATCTACAAGACCCTGAAAATCTGCATCATTGACTTACGAGCCTTTTCAGCAACCCGGAGATGGGTGCCCTAATCCTAAGAGCACGACTCTAATCAAGTGTGTATTCTGGGGCGGCCCTACCTCTACCGACAATTCGAAGAATACTGGCTTCCGTTATTACGGATTTGATATTGTCATTGCAGGCTCGAACGCCTATGACAGTGTTACTGCCCCCCTTGAGGAAGGGTATGCTGCACCAACATCACTGGGCAAGGCTCAGCTTAATGCCCCTATGGATTGTGGCGGATTCGACACCTACTTGGGTTCAAAGATGTTCACAGATGGACCGTTTGACCCTGCTCTATGTGCTGCTGCTTGCACGGCCCAGTCCGAATACAATATTGCGAACCCACCGCCAACGGGAGTTGCACAAACATGCCAGTTCTTCAACACTTATTTACTTCTCAAAAACGGTCTCCCAGAGGGACAGGTCTGCTCAATGGTAAGATGAGTCTTTCATTACTCGACTTTAAGATTTATTTACTAATAGTTTGCCAAGTATACAATGAGCTGGGATGCACAATATGCTCCGGCTAATCAAGGACAATGGCGAGACAACGACCATTACTCTTTTGCTTACAGCTTCACTTACGCAAACTTAACGAGTCCTGGTTCTCCCAGAATTCCCTGTCCTGTAGTCAGTGCGAGCTCGGTCATCGCTGCTTCAACTCTGGAACCATACTGCAACACCTTGTTGGGCTATACGACCCCTGTTTCCACATCGACCCAGATCAATACTGTGACTGTGCCCTCCACCACCGTGCAATCAACTTACACCCGAACTACCACTATCACGTCGACAGCTAAAGCAACCGTGCGTATTACCACTGGTACTCCCATTGTTTTTGTCCCAGGCCCAACCGGAGTCCAAGCACTTCGCCGTGATGTGTTGGCGACCGATGTGCCTGAGGCTCTGCAATCATTCGACGGTGAGTTTTTATCTCTGTATGAACCGTGTAACCAGAGGACAGTAACTGACTTCAATAGCCGATGTTGTATCTTCCGCATGCGCTCTTCAACCTGATGTTACACCGATAACAACCACGTCAACTGTAATGGCCACGGCCACTAGCACGGTGACTGAGGGACAGACTGTCGTGGTCACAACCGCCTTGTTCGTAAGAACCACATACACCACTGTCACCACGACAGCCACAACATATGTTCCTCCCGACCCGACGAACACCCTATGGGTCAGCCCTGCGGCTAACGACGCTGGCAAATTCTTGAAGATCGGTCCCACCTATGGTCTTTTAACCCAGAGCAACTTTGTGCCGGAAGGACGGGAGGGGTTCCGCCTCACCTCAGACGGTTACTTATACTCTACAACCAATGGGAAGTGGATTAGTGGAAATATTGATGCCATAGATGGCAAATATGGATTGCTTGGTCTCTCCGCTTTTGCCGATAAGGCCCAGGCACGACCTATCTGGCGCGGCACTGATAACGGCGACGGCACTACGCGGATTCACCTGGTCAACCCTGCAAATAACCACGAGTTCCAGCTTTGCGCGCTGATCAACGGCATCGGGTCCCCTCTCAATGATTTCAAAAGTGGTTACGGTGTTTTCGGATACTCGTCGGCGAACTTGGGGAGCGTTCTCATTCCGACTATCATGACTCTCCGGAACGAGGCTTAAGTCGTCTTGTGGTCTGCGATGTTGGCATATTTCTAAGAGTTTCGTGTTTATAATTTTGTTGTCTCGTATATAAGACATCAGATACCTCATACATACTTAGATTAATGATATAATAATAATACAAAATAGAGTGGTACTGATTACCGCCGTATTTGAAAGTCCGAGATTGAAACCCCTGATTGATTTACCACCTAGCTAAGTCTGAAGTGCGCCACCCGGATATTTGTTTCAACTTTAATGCTTAACTCTATATAAGCCTTCATCACCCTCCCTTGCGATCTACGCTCATCATTCTAAGATTCACCTCCGCACCGCTCTACGCTTACGAAGCGTACCGTGATGGCCTCAGGCCATTGTGACCGCCCTCGGGCGGGACGGGGGCGACCTGGATCATCCCGTCGTGCGGGATCATGGCGACCTCTCTCCCGCATTGACTGCAGTATATATGGATGTTCTCGCACCATCCTGCGATGCACGGCAGGCAGACTAGGCAGATGCATACGAGACAGCAGAGGAACGAAGCAAGTCTGGGAGATCGGGGTTAGTCCCTACCTAATACGGATGATTGTAGTTGTCGGATAGTGAAGACACAGGCTTGGAAGAAAAGGGGTTGAAGGAAAGGGGACCGTACGCTTGCTGCGAATCGCCCTGCCTAGTCGATCTCGTCTGAGCCCTTTGCTTGCAGAATGGACAGTCGATCCACGCCGGTTGTTCTGTTAGCGCCTGTAGAGGTGTGACTAGTCGTTGGGGCTCCTTTATCGCCGCGCTCCCTTGTTGGGTTGCTGTGATGTCGACCGCTGGTGTGATTGAGGGTTGCTGTGGGTTGCTGTATAAACGAAATAGCGTCAGATCTTGTGTGTTAGTGGGCGATTCTGCAGTATGGAAGCTCACTATGGGTTTGTCGCGACGGACGGCTGATATGCTGGTGGTGGAGGGCCATCTTGAACTGTCTGGTGTTCAGATTTACCGCCTGCCGCCGCAACGCTAGACTGGCCAGCAGCATCTTGCACGTTGATGGTGGTTTCTTGTTGAGTTGCGCTCATTTTGGTCGACCTAATTAGACGAAAATGAATAGTAATGGTTTCGCAATGATAAACCGCATTGCGAAAGTGCTGATGTCATTGCATATTAATGTGTTGGAAGGATACATAAGCAAACCATTATTTCCTTACCAGGTGGGCTCATCTCGGTGTGTATTTACTCGTATATGCCGGATTGCGGCGATTAACGTTGTTAGGAGTCATAGGGCGGCGAATCACATCACTAGGCAGCTCTTCGCAAGGCACATTCATTGGGCGGAGTAAGATACCTGAGGCATAGCTGGAATACTACCTCAATGTCTGTGGTCCGGCCAAGCGCAACGCCACATAGGAATGTAACATTTGGTTACATATCTCGCAACATATGGACTGATTTAGGTGGTTTGATACTTCGCCACATTTCTACTATATATTGTACGTCAGGAACTTTACTGCTAATAGTTCCAAGACTACATTTCATCCAGCGGTTTGGTCGAAATACTGCTGACTACGGCTAAGGTACCGCTTAATGATATTCTCGGAAGTTGGCGGAGCATTTACAAGGCTAAAAACGAAGCTCTATATTGGTCTATATCTAATTATCTAGATTACCTTTTCGTAAGTTTCGAAAGCTCCCTCTATATATCCGTATGTTTAGTGGCTTAACCTTTAAAGATTGTATAAGGCCATATAAGACTGTAAGAGATTACCAGGGGTCACCCTAGGTGAGCCCTCTGATTACCATGGCTGTTGAGTTGCAGTTCAATACGCCACAGAGTGGGAAGTAGGCAAACGTTTTCTAATTTGCTAAAGTATAAACTCCAACTATATAGAGTTAAGAGTTAAGTATCAATAACTTAGGCATACCTTTCTCTCTTAGAGAGATACTAATACAAAGTCTATGTTACTAGCTATTATTTAAATAGCCGTTTCATTGTATTGTAATTAAAAGGGAAATGGCCCACTTGTGGTTATGCATGTTGGGTCCTAGATATCCTCAATGCAGGTGCTTGGCACGAATCCCATTCAGCCCTTTTATCTTGAGATGCGACTCTACCCGATAAGAGGAGGTACCTTTTTTTCCCCTTTAAGACTCCGTTTGTACAATTTATCATACATTGCCATATCAATAGAGTGCTGACCTTTTTCTGATTTTTTTGTTCTTTTTTGACAAGGATTTCATACCCGGGCCGGATTAAGTATTTAGTCATGAAGTACATAGTAGTGACCGGAGGTACGTCTTAATATTGGGATAATATATTTTCAGTCGGCAAAGCGCTCGCTAATGACCAGGTAGGAGTGATCAGCGGCGTTGGAAAAGGCACCATCGGTATAGACTACTCGCCATGATTTGAAGCCTGAAGGCTTTCCCGGTTCGAATGAGTCTAATACGCAGAAAGCCTCTAGCATCGGCCTTTTGCTCAAGACGACTGGGTTGAAAGTTACGATGATCAAGATTGATCCCTACATGAACGTTGACGCGGGTACTATGGCTCCCGCCGAGCACGGCGAGTGTTTCGTGCTTGCTGACGGCGGCGAAGTCGACCTAGATTTGGGCAACTATGAACGCTACTTGAATGTTACCCTCACCAGCGAACATAGTATCACCACGGGCAAAATCTACGACCACGTGATCAAGCGCGAGCGAAAGGGTGACTACTTGGGCAAAACAGTCCAGGTCATTCCCCATCTTACGGATGCGATACAGGAATGGATACAGCGTGTAGCCTCCGTCCCTGTCGATGAGACGTTCGAAGCGCCCGACGTTTGCGTTATTGAGCTAGGGGGCACCGTTGGCGACATCGAGAATGGGCCATTCGTTGAAGCCCTGGGCCAGTTGAAACGAAGAGCTGGGAAGTGTGACTACTTGCACATTCATGTCTCGCTCATTCCCATAGTCCAAGGCGAACAGAAGACGAAGCCGACTCAGCAAGCAATTCGCACTGTGCGCAGCGCTGGCCTAAATCCCGACTTAGTAGGTCGATTCTTTGGTGGAAACCGGCGAATTGTATTGGGAACTTGGATACGTCAAGGGCTAATCGTCGTTGCCATAGATTGCGTGCCGATGCACAGACAAGTTGGACACTTTGACCATAGGTAAAGTTGCAAACTATTGCCAGGTCAACCCCGACCAGGTCATCGCTGTTGCCGATGTTGCATCCACCTACCTTGTCCCTGTTGTCCTGAAATCACAAGGGCTGATCCCCAGCATGTCTAGTATCTTGGACCTCCAGTCTCTCGATACACCACTAGAGCGCATAGAACGAGGTGCCCGCAGATGGGCATCATGGAAGACTTTGACAGCGCCGCCAAATCACCCCAAAGCCGTGACCATTGCATTGGTTGGAAAATACACGCGCTCCCTCGACGCCTACATGTCTCTAGTCAAAGCTTTGCAGCACGCCACTATGGCCTACAAGCGTAAGCTTGACCTCGTCCTCGTCGACGCCTCGCATTTGGAATCTCCACTCGCCAGCACGTCACCGTCCAAGACCGCCGAGTACGAATCTGCGTGGCGCAAAGTCTGCGAGGCTCAGGGCATCCTTGTGCCAGGCGGCTTCGGCGCCAGAGGATCCGAGGGCATGATCGAGGCCGCTAAATATGCTCGCGAGAATAAAATACCATTCTTGGGGATTTGCCTGGGCATGCAGATAGCCGTCATCGACTTCGCGCGCAACGTATGTGGCCTCTCAGGAGCTAACTCAGTCGAGCTGGACCCGGAGACTCTAAGTCCTGTCATAATAAATATGCCTGAGCTCGACTATTCGAAACTTGGTGGCACGATGCGGTTAGGTGAGCGATTGACGCATTTTCAGCCCAGCAGTGGCGCGTGGAGCAAGGCCCGTGCAGTATATACCAGCTGTAATCCCCAACAAACATGCGACCATAACAGTGATGAACTGGTGATCCGAGAGCGCCATCGTCACCGCTACGAAGTGAATCCGTCCTACATCGAGACACTCGCCAGACATGGGCTAGAATTTGTCGGAAAGGATGAGACTGGCGAGCGCAGTGAGTTCATATTTCTGTTTTCGCCTTCCTTCTTTATACGATAGACAATCTCATAACAAATATCGTGCAGTGGAGATCCTGGAGCTACGTGATCATCCCTGGTTCGTGGGCGTCCAGTTCCACCCGGAGTACCAGAGTAAGGTTCTTGATCCCAGCAAGTCAATCATGGGCTTCGTAGCTGCGAGTGCTGGGTGCCTACAATAGGTAAAGATGCGAGTAGAGAAGCGGGTTTGAAAGCGATTCATGATTTACGGAACTACGTATTAGAGCTCAATAATAGTTTTTTGCCGGCTAGACCTAGATAGTGAGAAGTTGACGTAAAGGCTAATAAATACCGATGTTTCATCCTTCACTCTTTATGCACCCTTTCTCCCAGCCCCCTCATCCTATGACGCACAGCTGTGACTAATGGGCCTTCTTCAAGCTTAATGATTGTCCCGAGGCGCAAAATACTTCTGCGCAATGCCCTGAAACATGATTGCGCGCTTCAAAACCATACCTTCACTCAAACTACTCACTTCGCGCTGCAGAATGTCTTGCCAGGGTGTCTGACTTTCAGGCATACCATATCCCCCTTTGGCCTCCAACTCTTCTCGCCGAGCCTTTAACTCTTCCTCCGAAACAAGAATGTCGACACGGCGCCTACCTATGTCGACCCGTACCGTGTCCAAATCGCGGACTAGTGCAGGATTTCCACCGTTGGCTGCTTCAGGGCTCGCGTTCAGGATCGATGGTGAGCCGGAGGTCCTCGACTGTCGCCCGTCACCGATGCATGGTAGCTCTTTAATGCCTTGTTTCAGTAACCTCCCCGGCGCATGCATGTTGACTGCCTCGGCGGCTCCGGGATATATAGACCAATCCAATATAGTCACTGCCCAGGAAGGTTGCTACTACTATAGCCATGGCGATGCGGTTTCATTGGGGTCAGAAGAGTAAGCCACATGTTTTGACGAATTTCGTTTTGAACTCCTTCATAAAGGCAATTATGGCAATCGCTGGATCCACACCTCAATTCTAGAATATGGTCTTCGTGCGGCGGGAATGTTGAGTAATAACAATGGCAGCCTGTGCTGCCCCGATATGTGGAGGAGTCTCCTAGAACTATGGCCCATCGGGTATACTTGCATCGGAAAAGGAACTGCTCGGAAAAGTAGCATACCCCCCAATATCTCCATACCATTCTACACATTGAGTAGGATAGCCTAATCTCAAGAGACTCTTTTCTTTTAACTTCGGTATGACAACATTAGTATTTTGTGATAGTACTTACTGATACACTTGAGAGGGTTGTAGGTTATTGATCTTATCCCGTCGAGGTTCGTGGGAAAGAGTCGGAGAACTGCAACCATGGGGTTACTGTATTACACTTGTTGTTACATCATGGATTCGGAGCCTTGGTTGACCAGAGTAGGGCTATAAGCATAGCAAGTTTCTATGTCTTTAACCCAAGGATCGTGACACCTAGAAAGCTGAGTCGCAGCGAATTCTTTTCCCTTTTATAGAAGAATGAGATCGTGGCCACAGATATCCAGCATCCGGAAGACATAGCATTGAGGTACTGGGTAACAAAGTTTGTCTTCATTTTAGCCTGCTCTATGTGCCGGAAACCCTAAGTGTTTTTGTAAATTTTTACGCCACCATTAGAATACGAACTGCTAGATTGACGACTGATTGGTACGATATGAACAGGCCTCATCAAGGGATAAATCCCTGATCATCAGTAGCTGTTCTTAGCGGATGTTTGTTGTGATAACTTGAAACAAAAGTCCGCCACCAAGTCGAACTAAGGGATGTGGGATGAACCAAAAGGAGCCACCAATAGAACCATCTCCATGTATCTTCATTGCTATAGTAGTAGATACATGCGTTGCTTCTGCTAGACATAGTCCGACTACGCTAGAACAACCTCAGAAACTGTGATGCGTGGAAATACGATGATCCTGGGAATGATTGGAGTGTGATATGAGAAACGTCATTTGTAGCGCAGAAATAACGCTTGCCAATCGTGTAATTCATCAGAATGTTTGATACACGTCATAATAATGACAAACATCAGTGTATCATGTACAACTGGTGTACCCGGAGTACTGATTGGTCTTTCCCCAAGGTGTGTTATAGTTTACCGTATTACTCGGGGGTTCAACTAATATAGAGCAAATATCGGTCTGTCATCATTAGGTCACAGTCCTAGGGGCTACTACCATAGAAGCTAGCAGTTCTGCTCTGCGCTCAACTCAAACTCGAATTTCACATTATTCCTGCTTGAGCCCCTTTCAATGACCAGTCATTGATTGACTCACTCGCAAGTAACAAAAATGGGAAATCAGCGCACATCAAAGAGCATCTGTTGTAAATATTGCCCTAATCAAACCGCATGCGACTTTGACCAGCTCAGGGGTTCATGATAAGTAAATGAGGATCGAAATAAGTAGTGAGCGCAAGAGGCTGAAAAGGAGCATATGGTTGCTGGGCACTTCCCACTCATTTCAGAGATTGGTAGAAATATGCTTGCTTCCATTATGTATTATCGTCGTCTAAGGCAGTTAGACGCCATTCAATATGTACAGTAGAATTATGACATAGATGCTCAACCCCTTTTCACCGTCGCTTCGCTCACTTATCCACAACTCGTTCTCATGATAACATCAAAATCATCGCCCTACGAGTTCTTGGTAGCGTCGGGGTGAGCGGCGATCTCGTTGACGGCACCCTCTTGGAGAACATCGAAGAGCCTCTTTCCGGTGGCATTATAGCCGGGAACGAAGTGCTCGCCAAAGTCCTGGAGGAAGGTGTTGTAGGTACCAGCGGGCTTGGCACCGGCTAGGTAGGTAAAGGTCTCGTTGCTGCCACGGAAGAGGTAGACGTTGGGGTAAGCGGCCAAGATGGCGTTGTAGTCCTTCTCCGGGATGGCGGGATTACGGGGGCCGGGGAACTCAAAGCCAACGCTGTTAACGATCCACTGCGACTGTTGGTTCTTGCCAGAGATGATGCTCATCTCCGTCTGTAGGGAGATACCATCATACAACTTCTCGAGGCGAGCATCCGTCCACTTCTTCTCCTGGCAGCTGTCGCCTGCGATGGACTCCTTGACAAGCTTCACAGCACTCAAGCCACTGTCGACTTCGAATCGCTGATTCCTTTAAATATAGTTAGTTACTCGGTATTTGATTACATTAGCACACAAACAGGAGATGTAACTCACTGAGAAACCCAGGGAGAGTCCTTTCGCACTGTAAAATATTACGTTAGCATGGACAATCTCAAGCTAGAATGCGGGGAAATCTTACTATCCCAACCAAGATCGTGGAGAAGGGTGCCGACAGCGTGAAGTTCAAGGTCAATAGTGCTGTAGAGAGTCTCATTGGCGTTGATGGCAGCAGCACCGAACAGCCAAGTACGGTACAAGTGCTTGACAAGATAGGGCTGGAGCTCCTCGAATACTTCGATGGCCTTACGGGCATCACGAACAACCTGAGTGTCGACAACCTTTACACCAGCGACGGTGGTTGTTGCGTATTTAGAGTTGTTGATCTTAGCAGCTGCCGCACCGGCGAGGGTGAGCGCCGACAGAACACCGGAGAACTTCATATTGAAAAGATTAAAGTACGGTACTTGGTCGAAAGCTGGTAAGAGTAGAAAGGCAGAAAAGGAGAGACGATGGTGAGCGAGCGAGTGAGTGTGTGAATAATTAATGACAAACTCAGCTGGATCAACGCCTCTCTTTATCTATAGTTCGACATCTCGGCAATATCCATCGTACTAACATGATAGACCGCCGTAGACATGCATAGCGGCTCACCCATGCCCTCGGAAATGAGTACTTGCTGTACGGAACAAGGCTGTCCATGCACGTGTGGACTGCATTGGCGTATTGTAGCGTAAGGCTTAGTACACACTCAGCTGATATCTTGCCTATGATTCGTACCTGTAGCTGAGACATTTGTCAACTCTCGCCTCGGCCGATTGCTAGTGGAGCGAGATGACTGGGCTAGATTTGGAGTACAGGAGTGGGGAATGGGGTTTTGAAGTCCGAGGTGCGACCATATAGACGCACTGATTTTCACCGAATTCCAACTGATATAATATAGGCATGTGAATCATGCATATTGCACGGGCTGAGTTCAGCTGTGGCCAAAGTAGCAATCAGCGCCAACACACAAGATTACTGTACTTACCACGGGTTTTGCAGCGCATAATGGTCTACCGGTATTTTCAAGTCGACCTATAACAAGCCTCATATATCTACTTGCATGTGAATTTTTAGTACCGCAATACGTAGAATACTTAGGCAAAGACCTCAGGTGTGTTGCCGTAGCTTGCAATGGATTTCAAGATTATCAGGGCCATGACCCACTGACCTTCTTGATACAACTACATAGCCTCGGGATTCCATTATCGCGATTCCTGACCGCGCTGTCATGATGTTGCTGCTATGTGATTGGGCGCGCTGGGAAAATCTTCTGCCTACATTGTGATGTGACTAGTTGCGTATCCTAGCAATGCGTGTAAGTATGCAGTAGACCATAAACTTCTGACTCAGCATTAGCCAGGGGGCTCCTTTCTAGATCATAGAGTGGTTCGCGATGGCGTGTCGATCTGTGCTAGTTACATGATACCCTGCTACTTACTCCTTTATCTAGCATAACGGCTGTTACGTACCTAGTACATATATCTTTGGAGAAGGAGAAAGGTGACAATGATCGACGTGTAAACTAGCTTGGAGCAACGTAGCGTAATGTATAGTAATGTAGAGGTCCAAGGCACGCGTGTTAAGCTTGCATGTAATCTTATACAAGATTGACTAGTGTATATACACTACACATAGGATACTGAGCAATGTGCTGCTATTGTCATCGGTTTACATGAATAAGAGAATCAACAAGATCGAATGGTACACTAACAGTTACTATTTAAGGGTGTGGCACCTAGTATGGGGGGGGCAACATTAGAATATCGAAGACTGAGTGAGATCTGAATGTAAGCTCCATGGCTCTAATAGAATATTCCCCGGATACTCGGATAAAAAAAAAGCTTTCGGGAAGTGGGCGGAGTATAGATGTGCCGTATGCACAATGGTGGCACGACAAAAGTCGGATGTTCTCAAGGGCGTATCGTGGCGCGCGTATCTCATAGAAGGATGGGCAGCAAATTCTTTGATGGACGACACGTGTTGGTTCACCTCCTATGATGCACTCTTGTGGCCCAAGAACGGTCGCTCTAGTTAGCTACAGCCCTTAGACTACTGCATTCTAACTGTTAAGTCCATGATCCAACGCCCAGTCACTCACCTCCTAGAGTCCAAGAAGAGCCGCACAGGTCCGAATCCTCCTTGGCAACAGCGGGCTCTATCTTGGAACTACCGGTAGACTGTATTTATTATAATGTTCTACTGTGGCTGCGGTATTCGTATGGTCCTACCCCTGTAGTGCACTAATCTCTTTCTAGTTCTTCGACACAAGTAACGTGCCGAGGAGGTGTAAAATGAAACTGGCACTTTCAAACTACGTTTTGCACCTATAAAACTGCCAGTTTTTTCTTCCACCGCCTCGCGTGCATACTCTGTAGTCTTCTGCCCAGCCCCTAACCGGCGCCAATAAAGCTTAGCAGTCTAGGCAGAGTTCGGCCGTGTCTTGGCAGAAGGATGCCAAGTATGTAAGGACAGAATGGCGTGCTTTGCGTTAACAATGACCTCTTCTTTAGTTTCTTTAGCGCAAAGCCACTACTATCATATGTATGTACCACCCACACGTGGCTAAGGGGCACGCTACATTAGCACGAAAGACTTTCAGGAACTGGGTGTTAGAGTATCTCTGTAAATAGCAACTGAAGAAACTGTGTCTAGGTCGGCGAGTTTTCAATATTTCCCGTATAATCGTAACAGTGCTTTCGGACCGACCGTCTCCCAATGAAGATGTATGTACATTTCCGGTTCGTGCCGGCATACGATGAAGTAGGTGGTGTAAGTAAACTGGATGCAACCACATTCGCTTATCTGCTTACTCTGGCAACACGTCATACCTGCCAAATATTGATAGGAGATATACGGAGTATACCGATATTCCTTCAAACTTGCTAATAGCTAATCTGAATGAGGCAACCCTGTTGAAAGTAATAGCTATAACGAACCGATACACTTAGTGTATGTTACACTAATTTGTATATATCGTTCTAGTTACATACTTGCTTAGATTTCGTAGATGAACGGGCTCGAACAAGGGTTTAGGGAGGTAACACGCAGGGACGCACCTTTGATGATGCGTTCGAAAAGGCACCGGCGAGATCTACCTACGTATGTAAGCACATGGGGAGAAAATTAAGTACGGGGTAAGTAATCCAAGCAATGATTTGGCCGTTTAATCCCATGGCGGGTATACCAACTTTGTATGCATACACATTACGGGCACATCGTTTCTTATGAAAGAATCATCAGTTTTCTTTTCCATCAGCTATTCACTAGCCGGCGTGAAAATTGGTATTGTGGCATTCTGTATATTACTAAGCTATTTATAGAAAGTATGTGTGCGTAATCAAGGGGGATTGAAAATCCCTTGGAAGTTTGTAGTATTGCCATTTCGGCCTCGGAACGCCAAGGACACCGAGCAGGCAATCGAAGCCAACTAAAACAGGGTATTTGATCCGTCTCAAGGTTGATATTGGCGGTGAAAGAGATACTATCGCGCTTTATCAGGAGTGACGCCATTAGACGTACGAAGCCTAAGGGTTATTACCTACGTTCTCCAGCTAAGAGCGATGAATACTTCATCCCGCACATCCATCTCGTCGCTTACAGAATAATTAACATACCTACTACTCAAGTTTGCGAACATGGCGCCATTTTTAAGCCTGTTATACTTTGAACAACATGCTTGGGGCTCTTGTTTACTCAGTTTTAAAATTCTTCAAATTCAAGGAAGGAAGAAAGTCGGGATCTTATGAAGCCTTCATAGGTCCAGTATAACCAGCCGCCGTAGGTCTGATATCCATTGTCAATTGATAAGACTCAAGGTACCAAGCCCATAATACATGCATTCCGAGATGGAACCTGAAAAGTTGTACCTAATATTTCTGCGCATACTCCGTCTTGACAGAATGACCTACACCAACATGATCTGTTCTGTTGACCGGATCTGGGATGAGGTCATATCCAAACCACTGCTTGACGCGCTCTCTGAAGATCTCGTAGCCAGCGCCTATACGCAAGATGCGCATGCTCTCAACGTCGATGATGGTTCCCGACCGTTGGTAGCGGTGATACCGTTGTAGACTGTAGTCTACGAGCAAATCTGCCGACTCATAGACCTGCTCCTCGAGATCTTGGACGCGCAGCTTCTGTCCGGTTCCAGTGAGGTTGGCACTGCTGCCCACCATCAGCTGGCCGGCCTCATCATTCAAGCGGCCGAGTTCTCGCATGAAAGGGCTCTCGCCTATATTTATACCGATTGTCTTGTCTTTTGTCACACGCTTGAGGTTCTCGGGGCTGAGGTGCGCCAGCAACGGGTGGTCTTCCGGCGCAGTCTGTAGCGGTGCCACCACATTGAATGCTTGGTCCATGTCCTGGTTGAGGACGCGGATCATCTCAAACTTCTCTTCAGGCAGAGTACAGAGCTTTTTGAAAGTGTTGAAGGTGCCAATTGCCCCAAGGGTATGGCCTTCCACCCGATTCTTGGCTTTGAAAGACCGCTCAATGGCCTCATTGCTGGCTGACATAAGTCCATAGCCGAAGTCTGTGGGGATGATGATTACGCCACCGGCTTTCAGGCATTCGAAAGCCTCCTGGGCGTCACGCTTGTAGTTTGGTAGTACTCCAGGGGCTGGAATTATGCGCGGAGCCATTATGAAAGTAGCGAGTTTGAGCCAAGGTAATGTGGATCGGGTTAGGTAATATGAGCTGACGTTTGGGCAACTCACTTGCTCTACATGGGAAATGTCACCTTAAAAGCACGATGCGCATTCGGGCACGGGTTTGAGGCCGACGATCTGGTCCGCCATTAACCAGCATCTTAGTACAGATGTCGGACGACTCAAAATATGCTTGAATCTACTCCGGTATGTCTTAATTTGCAATTAAATTTCTGTTTTCCGATTTCCGAATTACATATGGCCAAGATAAGAGTTTCCCTGCTCAATGTGTGGCGCATTGCAGATAGGTACGCAGAACCAATTGTGAGTTGCTCTTCTCATAATGACAGCTTCTATGTAGGTAAGCTAAGCCTCCCTTCCTAGTCAAACTTGCTTGTCCCTCGTACACGGCAGACGTAAGCTTGGCCATACCTAATTCTCTAATGCCAAGATGGCACTTATAAAGTGGTTCGGCCCAACGCTCTAGCGAGGTAGTAATCGAGGGTCGTGCTGGTACGGCGATTCATGTACGTACCAAAGATCTAGTATTGAAAAATAGTCAGCAAAATGATCAATGATAAAAAGGTAGTATACACTGTATCATAAGCTCTGATCGGCAGCAAAATATTCACATTTGGCTGATTGACGTGGATGAAGATGACAATTATCCTCTTAGGGTCTATCTTGTCGCCTTTCGGCTGCCGACCACCGAAGTAGCCCTATCGTCCCGTGTGCCGCTCCGCGAGGGTGAAGAGAGCCGCTGTCCCCCACTTGGTACCCTACAATAGTCTAGTTACCATCCTGGTTAATTTCGGATATACTACAGTAGCGCAGATCCCTAAGGTTAGTGTAGTAAGTGTAAATAGAGGCTAGGACGGACAGAGACGGGGGTGACAGGAACTCGAGCTACACCAAGCCCAGCGCCAAGGACGAGTTAACAGCGGAACTGAACGGGAACTGACTTAGAGCCGACAGTAGTGTGAGCCAAGTAATGGTACTCAGATCTATGAGTATTGGCGAAGGCGCTGAGGCAGCGAGCGCACCAAGATATACTCACAAAATACCAGCACCTCCTCGCTCCCATTGGCTGTGTCGACAATTACAGATAGTTTGCCCATCTGCATATTACACCAAGTATTGCAACGTCGCAGACGGAGGGTCGGCGCATCGGTGGGTCAGCAGCTTTGAGTTTTAAGTGATCAAACCAACAATGTACTTGTTTTAATGTCCCTCGCCCATGTCATGTCTTGGCTTCGTCTTGTAGCATGGCCTCCCTAGATTTTCGGCAGAAATCGAGTGGAAGCTTCTTGCCCTGCCAGAGTGGATGACTGACCGACATACGACGACGTCGAGCCAAGCCAAGCTGATGACCATGCCCGACACTGCCCCAACGCCGTCCACGGCGTCTTCGACAGATGTAGAGGCTGTCGCGGTAAAACTGCCGAATGGTGGTGAAGAAATCGTGGCAAAGGAAACGAAAGAGGAGGAGGATGGTAATTTGGTGTCATGGAACGGTCCGGACGACCCTGAGAACCCCCAGAATTACTCTACGCCCTACAAGTTCTTCGTCACTGGCATTTGGATCTACGGCAACTTGTGCGCCACGCTTGCTAGCAGTATCTGGAGCAGTGGCTCAAAGCAAATCACAGCTGAATTCCATCAGAGTACGATCGTCGTGACTTTGGGGATCAGTCTTTTCCTGCTCGTAAATATCCCCTCACCCTCATCCCGTATGCGTCTCGCATGCTGGTGCAAGATGTCGTGAAGGCTCATCTCACTCGAACTTATCAACTGATACATGCTAGGGATTCTCCATCGGTCCTCCCCTATGGGGACCTACATCGGAACGTTTCGGCCGCAAGTGGCCGATGACCACGGGCATGCTTCTCTTCACCGTCTTCACCATTCCGGTAGCTGTCGGTAAGAACATTGAGACTCTCCTTATTTCTCGGTTCTTCCAGGGCGCTTTCGGCGCGGCCCCTCTGTCCCTTGCTGCCGGTGGCATTGTCGATATATGGAGCCCGGAGAATAGAGGCATTGCCATTGCAGCCTGCATTGGTACGATTTTCGGATCACCCGTCTTGGCCCCCATCATCGGCAACTTCGTCGCCGCATCGTACCTCGGGTGGCGATGGTGCCATTGGCTAAGCGCCATCATGGGTGGGAGTGCTGTGCTGCTGGTTCTATTCTGTCTGCCCGAGACACTGGCTTCCAAGATTCTGCAGGCGCGCGCCGTCAAGCTGCGCAAGTCAGGCGAGAAACCGGAGGCAAGAACGATATACGATAACAAGAAGCATATGGGCATGGCAGATGTCGCACGTATTTACTTCATGCGCCCGTTTGCCCTGTTAGCTACCGAGCCGATCCTCGTCCTCATCACAGTCTATCAGTCCTTCATCTACGGCATTCTCTACCTCGTTTTCGTCTCGTACCCCATCGAATACGTCGAGATCCGTCACTGGTCGCTGGGCCTTAGCGCACTTCCCTTTCTAGGCCTGTCGGTCGGCGTCCTCCTCGGCGCCGCGGGAGTGATTTGGCATACGAAGACGAAGTTTACGGCCTCGGTCCGCGCTAACGGCGGCAAAGTCATTCCAGAGAAGCGGCTGCCGACCATGATCATCGGGGGTTGCATCGTGCCCGCTGGGTTGTTCATATTCGCCTGGACCGCGAACCCGTCGATCCCTTGGCCCGGTCAGGTCATCGGCAGCATCCCCACGGGTGCAGGCATGTACATGATTTTCGTTCAGTGTTTCAACTACTTAGTCGACGTCTACGCTCCTATAGCGAATAGTGCGCTTGGTGGTAACATGCTTATCCGAAGTTCCTTCGCCGCCGCCTTCCCGCTCTTCGGGCCGTATCTGTACCATAACCTGGGCGTATCGTGGGCGACTAGCACGTTGGCCTTTATCAGTATCGCATTGATTCCTATCCCCATTTTCTTCTACGTATACGGAGCGCGCATTCGGTCGTGGTCCAAGAATAGCGTTTCAACGCACTAAAAGACGGCTTAGAATAGGGGTAGTAAATCGTCGAGTTGATTTCAAAGTAGCTTCAACTCGGTGCGTTATGTCCGATCTAATGAACGAATAAGCGGGATTGGTTATACGCATCTGGGAAGGATTAGGCGCAATTTATTGACATTAGGACATGCATAAGCGATATCTATAGAAATATGTTATCTATGATTGTAGGAATAGACAAGGCGCATACAGCAACGCAACACCAAGAGCACGTATCTCATCAGAAATTTGAGCTTTCATTTCGATCTCTCACACATCAAGCGCTACGCTAAATGCGTAATTTCATAATAGCATCACTGTGCCTTGCTCATCCATCTCTCCTTCCAGTTATAAATACAAATATACAGAGGGGTCGGCTCGCAAACATTTTCATAATAATGCGCGCTGTTGTAGTAGAGGACGGTTGATAGCTGATTGTGCGGCTCTATGTGTTGAACGTAGCTGGGGCTATATAATAATCGTTGGGCTGCTCGAACGTCTAACAGCGTCGTTTTTGACGTTCGAGACTATGAGGCCTCATATTTTTCTCTGATTAGTATCAATTACCCCATGAACCCTGCTGTGACTTCATCCAGTGTATTCCAACGTGGGCGAAATGAAGGTATAGAGTCCTTTGCTGCCTACAGGTCTGCCTTTCACTACCTGCCGCGGCTCAGTCACATCTGCTTGCCGGTGCATATGCTTCCTGCATAAAGCTGGAATAAAAGTTGATCCAGTCAGAATCCATCGACAACTGCCCTGGCGCAAGTTCTAATTGTGATTGTGAAGCACCAAAAGCCGTGACGTCACTCAGATGACAAGTCAGAGAGTTGGTCTCGGGTATGAGTTGCGTCTGCTCTATTTCCTGTCTGAGAACGCCGAATATTGCCATTTCGCCAGGTTCAGTGCTGCTGTTCTGGGTGGATAAGCTGTTCTCGTTGTGGGAAGGTAGTACAAGCTGCTGCTCGAGATATTGGTTCTCTCCGCTTGCGACACTGCCCACGTGCGGTACATCTAGTGCATCATTGTATGATAATTGGTGTTCAATAGTATTATTGTTATAGTCGATTTGCTCAAAGAAGTTATCCTGCTGCCTCTCAGGGCTGAGGGACGACGGCCTAGCAAGAGCCTCTGTGACTGTTTCAAGTATCTCTAGCGCCCAAACAAAGCTATCCATTCGACGAGCATAGAATGTGCACGTTAAATTATCAAACTGCAGGAGTTTGTATTTCTTGTTCACCTCCCGGAGAAGAGCAATGTCGGACAGTGCAATTGTATTGTATTCACGACCCGGGGAGTGGCTGCTGAGGTGGAATGTAACAAGCTCGGCATAAGCTACTACTGGGTACCTCCGAAACATCCGAGATAGCAATGCTAACCGGGTTATAGTCAAAGGTACGGCGCAGACTCTGTTGATCAGTTTGAGGCTAGAGCGGCAAAGATTGAGCATGGTGCTTAAGTTCGGCTCGTCTTGCTGGCCACACCGGAGAATGAGGATTTGTGACACTTGGTATCCGTACAGCAGTTCAATCCGCAGTGGACCTTGATCTATTGTGTCGTCCGGTATAGATGGGACCAGTAGTCTTGCATGGGTCTGTGCAAACCTGTCGATAGAGCTGGTCAAGAGGCGCATCTGTGCAAGACGTTTATCTGAATCGAATCGGGCTGTCCTTGGAGTGTAGAGGTTGAGGTAAATATCCTCCCAAATGGTCATTAAGTGGTCGAACGCGTCACTGATGGAAAATTCCTCGCCTGAATGTTTGCTTTCAGGGCCAAAATAGTGATCCGAATCGAACAGATACAGGTCACACGGTTGGCCTGTCATGGAAACACGTACTTTGTCCATGGCATATAGAATTCGAAATAGCCTGCCTCGTACATCCGTTGTACCGATTCTAGTGTCTTGGTGGTCGTCATTCGAAAGGTGAATTCCCATTATACGTCCAAGTTGACACGCCGCCTGACACACTCTTTCAGCTGTAATATTGCTGTAGAACTCCTCGGCAACTAGTGTCTATAGCATAATGAATCAGATCAAGTCTTAAATGTAGGCGGATATAGAATGTGGGTTCTAATACTTACCAAAGTCATTAGTGCTTGAAGGCTAATGATAGTAGGGGTCTTGAAATCGTCCAGTCTGGTGATGGCCCGATTACAGTTTTTGAGGAATGAAGGTAGTATATCGTCGTGGAGTAAATGTGAAGCTGATCGGAAGCCGCGACTAGCTTTAATCTCTAGGCCGAGCTCTAGAAGAATAAAGTTATTGATGATTAGAGAGTACGCTTCACTGCACTGCAGTGTTTCATCGCTATAATAAGAAGTTATGATTTGATGTAGGTTTCCGTCGTCGAAGATAGGTGTCCGCGTGTTGATATTTCTGAGATAGCCGTCGACGAAGAGATTCGCCATCAAGCGAGGAGGTGTAGTGAGGGGCTTCATGTCACTAGATATACCAAACTCTCGATATGATGAGCCAAAGGGAAATTCTTGAAGCTTCCGCTGCAGTGTGGCTTTCACAACAGGATCATGTATCTTACGACCTTGATGCGGGTTTTCACTCCATTGATCATCATTTGGCTGTTCTGAGTAGGCAAGGGCCTCTTCTGCTTGGCGGAATACCGTCATAATCAGAACGATAGGAGCTGGGTAGCTATATAGGCGCTCGCCGCCATGATCCAGTTTGACTGTCTCAATTAAGGGCTTGTAAAATGCACGTACAGGGCCCCTATCCTGACTGGAGAACCGCAGATGATGAACAAATCCCGATGCTACTGGCGGTAGAGTGCCTGGATTTTCATGGCTATGATAATTAGGAGGTGGAAATGTGTTTACAGTATTTGAATAAGGCTTTGAGGTACCCTGGAGAGTTATTTCGGTGAGGGTATCCAAAGCGTGAGCCACGTCATTGAGCCGGCTCATCACGTTGGAGAAGTCATTACGCCTAACCAGTTAGTACGGTGATATTTTTTATTCAAGGATAACGCACAATGATTTCACATGATTTATACGTTTGGCTATATTCGACGTGTGGCATTCGAGGTCACCTTTGCGACACTGGGAACACTTCGGCTGGAGGCGATCACATCGAACTTTACGGAGCCGACACTGGCCGCACGCCGCCTGAGGAGGGTCGGATTGATCATCTTGATCGGTAAAAAGCCGCGGGCGTTTTCTTCTGTTCTCGGGATATAGGATACTAGCTGAATGATTGGTATTGTCGGGGGTTAGTGGCGGTATTCTGGAATCGCCCTCCCAGTCACAATTGCTATAGTTGAGCATCTAATCCGCCGTGGGAATATTTACTGGAATGAGAAGAGCCGGGAATAACTATCTGTCGATACCCAAGCAGTCGCGCCGCCCATTATAGCTTGAAATGCTGAAGATTGACTAACCTAAAGACCTAACTTATGCTAGACTCGTGTAGTGTACATAGTAAGCTCAAGCATTAACCCTTGTTTTCATGGAATCTGACGGGGCTGAGCACGCCAAGGTTACCTTAGTAGGTAATTGAATCCCTCGTCCACCTCCAGTTATCGAAGGGTCCGATGCAGCTTACCATGCGTCGCAGCGTTGCATAGACTTTGACCTAACTTGAACTAAGCAAGCGATTGTCAGAAATTCAAAAGATTGAGAGTAAGGCACATATAAATAGGGTGTAACAGTCCATGTTTCCATGCATAATCTCATTAGTAGGTAAGATCTATAGAAAACATATCAACATGACTGATACATAGATAATTCGAAACGCCTTTTATGGAAAGGAGTGGCTGATCAGAGGTGACCAAATACAGTCTAGTGTGGTACGTTGTTTCTTGGCCATTCTTGGTGGAGGAAAGATGGCAACGAATATGTAGTCCACTACCTATCCATCTCAAACCCGGATCTGAGGATCCAAAAGAAAAGGCTCTTGTGGCTTCCCATACTCCTTCCAAGCCGACAGGTCCTTCGCCTTGAAGACCGAATTACTCAACATGGCGCGCTGGAACGCGCGATCGGCCAGACGTGATCTCTCTTCCACTCGTTTGCGGTAGGTCTCGAAGGCGGCTCGCGTGAGCGCGGCAAACAGGACGCGTGGAGTCGCGCCAATTACAATGGCCCCCTTCTGTCCAAATCCAAATGATGTCAGCATGAATGCCTTTATACCAGGGACCGCTGTTGTCTCTGACGGGTAAAGAAGATGTGGGAACGACCTTAAGGCCGCGTCGATGTCATCAGCGTTACGGTTCCCTGGCACAGCCTCATGCTCGAGTATTTGCAGACATCCGTTAAGCATCCACGCCCCAGCGGCACCCTTTGGATGACCAGTAAGATACTTCTGGCTAACCACGAGCAGCGGGTTGCCCTCAGTACGCCCTAAGTGTGTCATCTGTTGGTTGATGACAGAACTCTCGTTTTTATCGTTGGCCTTGGTAGAGGTACCGTGGAAAGAGGCCACACTGATATCATCAATGGTTAGCCCCCATACTGCCAAAGCCGCTCGTATGGGTGAGATAGATGGGTTGAGTTGACGGATATCTCCATTCCACAGCCATTGGGCGTGTGATCTGCGGCTGGCCGCTTCCGATTCGACTGCCTCATCATACTTGGCATTTTGAGCACCAGCATACTGTGACAACCGCCATTCCTCGATCATGGCGAACTCGTCCTCGAGCTTTGATCGGCGATACCGGAAGTCTAATAGAGGTGACTGTAAAGCTCCAGGCGACTCTCGTGCCGCCGTCAGGACACCCTTGCCTGGCGCTGGCACCGAACGGCCCACGCCGTCTCCAGCCAGTTGGGTGTAAGCAACGACACCGTAGATAGGAAGACCCATCTGTAGAGCTAGCTCGGCACTCATCACAATCTGGACACCGCAACCGGCGGACTCCACAAAGCCAGCGCGTGAAGTCGCCGTTGGCCGCGACATTTGGGATGGGAGGTAGCCTTTAGCAAGTTCTTGCTGCGCCACCATCGTTGCTTTCATGTTACTGAACTCGGTAGAAAGCTCTTCCTGTAGGTCATCTGTGCCTCCTACTATAGCGACTTTGACGCTCCGGGATCTAATGCTCTCACAAGCGACGTCGAGGGATTCTATAGCTGTCGCGCAGGTGCCTGTTGGGGTCTTGAGCGGCCCTGTCGCGCCAAAAAGAAGCATATTCGTCCAAGCAGCCATCGAGTTCAAGAATGTTTCTTGTAAGATGTCACCTTTGACAGGGTTGTCGCGGTAGCGTCGACGGTACACTAGAGGCGAGTGCCAGTCAGCGATTTACCCATTATCTTGGTAATATCCATGTTGCAGCAGACGCGCCAACTGTGTACTGAAATGACAAGGGACATGAATGCAGGAAATACTTACTGTCACGCGTAGATTTGAGACTACCCGCGCCGGAACCGATATAGACACCTAGCTCGGAGACGTGGATATGCTTGTAAAACTCGAAGGGGTCTTCAATACCGGCACTGAACATAGCTTCGCATACGCAGCATAGCACGTATAACGTCACGGGATCAACTTGGGCGATGATGTCCTCTGGGATTCCATAAGTAGATGCATTCCAGCCTTTAGGTACCTGCCCAGCGACAGATTGGTGGCCACCTGTCGACCTAGGAACGAGGAACGTGGCACCGCGCTTCAGTATGACAGTCCAGTTCTCAGAATCGGCACCTTCCGGGAATACGCTAACTTTGTCTCCATGGCGAAGCTCGAACGAACGTGCGAGCGACTCTGACGTGCTGAACGCTGGGAGATCCTCATCTAACACCACTTCTTCGAGCAATTCTTTCTTCGACGGGTCATATTCATCGAAGCCTTCGGGCTCCACGAGCCGGATGCCCGAGTGTTTTAGGATGTGCTCCCCATAGCGCGTTTCAAAGTCGTCCTCTTGCACCGGTTTCCTGGACTCTACGTCTAGCCAGCCGGCGTATAGCTCGCCATTGACTTGACCGTCATGATGCTTAACCAGGCCCATCATCCATGCCATCTCCGTTAAGCCATCAAGGTTGAGCTTGCCTGAACTTTCCTTTTGCCAGCGGGTACGTGAAGAGCCCAACGGCCCGAGCTCAGAAAACCCGACGATGACAGGAGTGCGACTTAGGTCCACCATGCCCTCCAAGCCCTGTAGATCTGAAGTCATATCTTGATGCGACGATAACTTCGGGAATCCTTGCTTAATGTTGGAGCGCTTCTTCTGTGTACTGAGCTGAGCTGTATCTGCGGCAGCGGGGGCTTTAGACCCCCGAAGAACCTCGTCATGCTTTTTCCTCTCGGCGGCAATCGCTTGCCACTGACGGCGTTTACTCGTAATACCTGTCCTGATGGCCGTGACCTCCTCCTTCAGGTTCTGGAAGCCCATAAGACCACCGCTAAGCTCGGCATAGACCGGTTCTAAGTCTGATTCTGCGATCATGGAGGGGCAAAGCAAGGCCAGCAGATTGAAAGCCATCTCCCCAGCTGTGAAAGTCATTACGCCTAGCTTTTCGATACCTTCCGCGACGATATTGTTTGCGTTCATCAGACCAGTTCCGCGTGTCCAGCCGATAACGGCACCAATAATAGAAAGATAGCTCGACCACCGCTCTGAGTGGTAGCGGTTGAACAGAGTTTCGAGGCCGATCTTAGACTCAGAGTAGAGGCCATCGCCGCCAAAATCGCCGTGGTTAGGTGATAGTGGTAGAAGCACCGTCGTCGGCCGTCCGGTGTAGTTCCGCTTTTCCTTCTGCCGCTTGATGCACCCAAATAATCGCAGTACATTGGTCAACATAGCTCGATGCGCCAGTTCTGAACGTGCATCGATCTCATCAATCTCGCGGCCTGGCTCGGGGATGGCGGCGAAGGGGACCACGAAATCCAGATCAAGTCCCAGTCCCTTATTGCTATCATAAATGTATGCAACCAAATCCTCAACATCCTTCTTGCTGGCGGCATTGAAAGGAAGCAGGATAAGCTCAGAGCCGCGGGCACCAACCTCCTTGTATGCCTGAGCCATGGCTGGCCCGGAAGAAGCTGGGGCGCGGCTCGTCGTAACAATCACTCTAGCGCCGCCAGCCAGCAGACCCCGAACCACCTCCATGCCAATTGAGCCGGTACCAGCACCAGTCACAAGGGCCGTCTTGCCGGCATAGCTAATACCAGATGTATTTCCTACAAGTATGCCATCGAGATACGTGTTTGTGAGCTGACGGTCATACTGCCACGTACCTCTAGTCTTTCGAAGACAGTGGACAAAGCTACTGCAAGGGCCATTACGGCGTGTAGAGCTCACGACATCGTAATACGTGACCGGGTCGGATGTCGTGGCTGAGCCTGTAGACCGGGGCTTCTCGCTATAGTTTATCCGGCCTTCTTCATCAACGGATGTATGAGGCCCCATTGCCGGCTCCGAAAACCGGAAAACGGGCGACGCCGCCTCTTCAGTACTCGGCTTTGCCTTCAGCAAGGCTTCCGCTACCTGTCTGCCAGAACCTTTCTTTGCGCGATGCCGCAGCATCATTTCCAAATCTGACGTCCACCTGTTCTGAAGCGCTTGAAGGCGCTCTGCTGTGACGCGCGATGTGCTGTCTTGCTGCAAGAGTCGCACTACATCCTCACGCACCCAGTTCCACCACGATGAATACCGCCTTTCTTTCATGGGGTCGAATATTCCTTCCATTCCCGTATAGAATTCTTCACCGAGCTCCGCATAGACTTTATCAAGATGTTGTTGAAGCTCGTTACTGTTCTGCAGCTCGGAGGCTGCACTCGGCGTGATTTCAACGCCAAGATGCTGGGCTAGGACTTGTAGTTGCTTTCGCAAAACTGAGTCCTGCTCGGTCTTGAGCTTCTGAAGGCTAGCATCGTCTACCATTACGGTAGAGCCCTGCACGCTTTGCGACGTCTGACCGGAGGACGTTGTAGGAAGTGAGAGACCTGATTTCTTGGCGTATCTTGTGACAGCTTGGTCGAGAAAGTCATGCACCTGGGCTGCATCCGAGAGCCTAGATGGTGGTTCTATGGTCACGCAGAAGCACTGAACCGCCAATTGACAATTGGGCCCCAGACCCCAGCGTGTCTCCAGGTAGGTTGTCACCTCCTTCTGGCCAAAGCCACCAGGCATTTTGGAGGAGAGGAGTCGCTCGACTAGTCTCTTCGACGACTTGCCTAGCTTTCCGGAGAAACCAGATGCGAGCTTTTCGCTGAGACTTTCCAGCGAGGTACCCTCGCTGCCGTCCGGCATATCGCCAAACTCTGCCCCGAGATCACCAATAAGCTCATTTTGAAGCGTAGACTTTCCTGTTGCACACGTTAAAATCTTCCAGAGCCGTTGGAAAAGTATGTATAAATCGACTTACCACCTGATAAAGCCTGGATGGTTTCACCAAGAGGTACTTCATCATATGCCCTCCTCAATTTCTGTGCTACTAGTGTTAATATTATATCAGTAGGTGTGAGTGGTGTGTCGACAATGCTCCCCGCAGCGGCGACAGGAGGCGCCACCGGAACTGGAACCGGTGCCGCGTCGGCAACCGGAGGAGAGGGTTTCGGAGAGGGTTGAGAGGATGGAGGCTCATTTTTAGCCGCAGATGACGTGGTGGTATTTTCATCATAATCGTAATATATCTTTCGCGCGTCGTCAACGTTGGTAATGCTGAGGAACTCTCGTTCAATTCCCTGTGCAACATCTCTTTCGCCAACGAGCTTCCGGGCCGATTTCTTAGCCATTGGCGCCAGGACGCCTGCAGGCCCTATCTCAATAATGCGTCGAACATCTCTCTTGGAAGCTAATAGCTGTTCTTGAGTGTTTATCCTTATATGCTAGTTAATATCGGAGCGTGCTGATAAGATATGAAGACTGGGACGAAGTACTTACCATTGTACCGGGAAAGCAAATTGATAACTATACAGACATGAGTCAGTTACGTGTCTCTCATTGCAATTCGACATGTGATTGTCACTAAGGAGAATATATGTCTAACGTTAAAAGTTCTATCAACAGATTGTAGGCTATCTGTTGCTTCGACTCCTCTGTCTCCTCAGTAGCCCGGCTCGGGTCGGCGATAGTAGTGATGGTCATAGTGGATTTTTCGAGTGCTACGCAGCTGATTGCAAGACCTACTCTAATAACGGGGAAGATATTAATAAGAGGGCAGGTGTCAACTATATTTCGAGCTTATACAGTGAAGGTACAATCACAAATAATATTTAGCAACGTGATGGACATGTCGAGGCTTCTAAGTAAAAATATATCATTCTCAATTCTCATATCAAGTACTACTCGCAAGATTAATATGCGAGCTCCGGATGCATGATAGACTGATTATCATGAGAGTACAAATGCTGTAATCAGCATCACCAATTAGACCCCTGTTTCCCTAATCAAGCAATAACTAATGGGGACAGAATAACCTGCACGACGAGAATTAGAGATAAGTAAACTAAATAATTTGATAATGTGGGCTTACTCGTCTCGGCGCTGATCAGTTGAACCGGGTAAGTCTTCGGTCGGCTTTCGGTGGCCGTCACCGAAGATGGCCGCGGCGCGTTACAACCGGCCGGTTAGCAAAGCATCTACGCCGATCGGAGATACAACAACTATGAGCATGATGGAGGCCAGTCATTCTATGGAGAATTCAAATGATTCCAAAGATTGCAATTGATAGCGTATAGTTATATAGAGTGCAAGCAAAACGTCAGCCCGGGGTGAAGGTCCCTATGTCGAATCACAACTGTGACCTATCATCATGACTTCTGATACAGCTCCAAAGGTGAACGGTGTCAATGGCGCCAAGGCCTTCAATGGCGTACACTCCGTTAAACAGCCTCAGGGCGATGTTCTGCACATAATTGACAGTCGAACAAGACTACACTACACAGTTGATATTCAACAAAATTCCATTAACGCAACTGATCTTAAGGCGATAAAAGCGCCAAAAGATGAGGAGCATCCTGAACACCAGAACGAACAGGGGCTCCGCGTTTATGACCCCGGATACTCAAACACTTTAGTCAGCGAAAGCAAGATAACGTACATGTCAGTAGTCTCCTGGATACCCCTCCAATTTCGCAACTCACGCTGGTTTTATGCTCTATCCTGCTAACCAGGTGACTAGTGATGGCCTTGAAGGCACAATTCAATACAGAGGCTACTCGATCCATGATATAATAGGTAAAAAGAAGTTCGCGGACCTCTCTTACCTACTCATTTGGGGGCACTGGCCGTCGCCACAAGAGGCGAAAAACTACCAAGACCGTCTAAATGAGGTTCCTCTCATTGATGACAATGTTCTGAATGTTATTAGATCTTTCCCGTAAGCCAATTACAAGATAATCACTTAAGTAATAAGGAGAATCATTACTGATCATGACTTATACGAGACAGAAAGAATGGATCTATTATAGGAATGATGATCGCTGGGCTCAGCGCTCTTCAGTCATCCGACATGGATGCAATTCCAGCCCACGCAGCTAAGAACCTCTATCTCGGCCAACCTGAGAATGTCGACAAGGAAGTTATCCGGGTACTATCGAGTCTGTCAATGATCACGGCTGCTGCCTACTGCCACCACACGGGCAAGCCTTTCACTCCTCCGAGGAAGGACTACTCCTACGTCCAAAACTTCATGTTAATGACGGGGCTGGTAGACGAGAGCACAGGGGAGCCAAACCCGCGCTACGTCGACGTGATCGAGCGTCTCTGGACTACCGTCGCTGACCATGAAATGACGTGCTCTACCGCGGCTCTGTTGCAGACTGCCTCTGCACTACCTGACATCATATCATCCTTGATCTCCGCTATCTCCGCCACTTACGGCCCATTACACGGCGGTGCTATCGAGGTTGCATACAAGAGCATCGAAGAGATCGGCAGCGTCGACGACGTGCCAGCCAAGATCGAACGCGTCAAGGCGGGCAAAGAGCGTTTGTACGGCTACGGTCACCGTGTCTATCGCGTGACTGATCCGCGCTTTACATACATTAGCGAAATATTGAATGAACTGACAGATGAGGCCTCCAAAGACCCTCTGCTACAGGTCGCGTTCGCACTTGACCGTGCAGCTGCTCAGGATGAGTACTTCATCTCTAGGAAACTCAGACCTAATGCCGACCTTTTCGCTGCATTTGCGTATAAGGCGCTGTAAGTTGGGTCATATTGGAGCAAAGATGAAGTATGCTAACATGCACATCGCAGTGGATTCCCGTCTAACTTTATCCTTCCCATTTCAGTTGTGTCAAGGACACAAGGTTTTGTAGCACACTGGAAAGAAGCGATGGGTTCGTATACTCTTTTTTCTATGTCATAACACTACGATATTCTATTTGTTACAATCCTGTTTCAGAGAAGTTGACTAATGTTTTTTTTCTGCAGAGGGGAAACCCCGTATTTGGCGCCCAGGTCAGAAATACACCGGCAACCTAAATATGAAGGAATAGGATGAGCGAAATAGTCACAGCTAAGTCTTATCTATTTGGCGTCTGGTAAGGACTACTGCTATCGTAGTACTTTATATAAACATAGAAATATACAAAGTTTAACTTCGTCCTAATGTAATTCATAGAGTGATTTATCTTAACATTTCATGAAACGCTGTACAATATGTCCTACTACAATTTCGACGCTATTGCTGGCGTCATCATTGTTCAATATCGTTTGTTCACATGAGTTCTCAATCTTGCAGCATCTGCAAGCAATCTACTGATCTTTAGTTTAATATATTCTATATTATTAGCCGAAAATTATGCGGAAACTCTTGATCCATTATACGTTCACATTTTATCGATTGGGTGTTAAAGATTAAGTAATGTGTAGGCTTCAACATAGTCATAGCAACATGTGCGCCCCCTGTAGATGTGTACCAGAAATGGGTATGTTGCGAGTGTGTCTACTAGTTTCTCAAGGCATTGCATATAACTTGAGAACAGTGCGTCAGATCCCTAATACTAGTGAATCCATTGTCTCCTCTATGCTATCGCTGATAACATTTGAGGCAACATGCTTTGCCTTTTCATTTGAAATTACACCTTCGAGACACATAGCAAGTAGAGCAGCCCACCTTAGACTAGGCGCATATGCAGGGTAGATTTGCTATACCTAAAGTGCACACTAATCAGCCTATCTACCGACTGCGCCACGACGTAGATCGTTGTAGGCATTTCGTTGCCTTCACGAGATCTGTCGAAAATTTCGGTGCCCGGCGACCGAGCAGAGGATTGCCTGTTAGGTAAACGACTACTATCTAACTATCACGCTTCCGATATCCGACGGACATGACAAAAAACGCTCCATGCGTTATATCAAATATTCACGTCGACCAACGATGCTGTCAGCAGTGTCTAAAAACCCGATATTGCCGGGCGCGAACGGCGCAGTGGTGAATAGCGGTAACCGGGTCGGCTTGGAGATCCCGCGGGGTCTTACGTGCAACTAAGCATGGAACAAGCCGCTCGACACTGTAAACGGCACCGAATGCGGATATGGAACGCGATGCGGAAGCTATGCCTTATTGCATAAATAATGAACCCGGTGTAATTACGTGCACGAGAGGGACGTCGTCTCATAGACATATCATCAAGGTCGCATTTGAGCTTCATCTCAGCGCCAACACTTCCATAACTCCATAATAATGGCGAAACATAGCGAGAACGAAGTGTTTGATGAAACCAATGATGAGAACAGTGGTGTGACGGAGACCCTGTGTAAATGGATCGTCGGCCTAGAGAAGAAAGATATCCCAGAGGACGTGTTAGAAAGGGCAAAGCATCTCATACTAGATGGCATTGCATGTGGGCTCGTTGGGGCTCACGTCCCATGGTCGGAGCAGGCAGTGGACGCCGTACTAGCCTATGAGCCTGAAGGCCAATGCAACCTCATAGGATACGAAGAAGTGAGGCTTTCCCGCGTCGAAATTGTGCGTAAATTGCTCACTGACGACGCGTCTTTTAGAAACTAGGTCCTCTTGCAGCGGCTTGCCTAAATGGCGGCTTCATTCAGGCTACTGAATTAGACGATTACCACAGTGTTGCACCGCTGCACTCAGCTAGTGTAGTGCTTGGTTCCCTCTTTGCTGCCGCACAGGTGAAGAACACCAAAGTGCGCGGCTCTTCCGCCAGTGGACAGAGTAACGGAACTCAGGAGCCCGGCCGTACAGTACCCGGTATTGATTTCCTCATCGCCGCCGTCGCGGGGTTCGAAACTGGACCCCGCTCAGGCATGGCAATCCATGGCACGGATCTCCTCGTCAGGGGCTGGCACTCTGGAGTCGTCTTTGGTTGCCCCGCTGCGGCTGCTGCATCTTCAAAGCTCCTTGGTCTATCAGCCGTCAATACTGAATCAGCCATTGGCATTGCCTGCACACAGGCCTGCGGTCTCATGGCAGCCCAGTTCGAGGGAATGGTCAAGCGGATGCAGCACGGAATTGCGGCCCGTAACGGTCTCTTCGGTGCTCTTCTCGCCCGTAATGGCTACGTTGGTATCAAGAAGGTGTACGAGCGTAGATATGGTGGATTTCTGAACATGTTCAGTCAAGGGAGCACCAAGACGCCCAGATACAATGTCCAGGAGGTCGTCGCAGGGCTTGGCGACGTGTGGCACACTTCCCGTATCCGCTTCAAGCTACATGCTTGCGTCGGCGGTTGTCATGGACTGGTAGAAGCGGTAGAGAAACTCCAGAAAGATCATCCGCAACGGTTTGCTCGCGACGCCCTGAAGAACATTAAGAGCATCAAAGTTGGTTTATCAGAAACTATATTGCACCACGATGGCTGGGCACCCCATGAAAGGCCCCTGACGAGCACGGGATCGCAAATGTGCGCCGCTTACATCAGTGCGACGCAATTGATTGATAATCAGGTCCTGATCGCCCAATTCGCCGACAGCCAGCTGAACCGCGACGAGGTCTGGGAGCTAGTGAACAAGACAACTTGCCATCATGATTCTCAATTCGATTACCCAAATCTTGGGTGTGGCGCCCATGTCACTGTTGAATTTCAGGATGGCACCAGCCTCGAGGAGACAGTTCGAATGCCGAAAGGTTTCGACCCGCCCATCACTAATGAAGAGATCCGAAACAAGTATCGAAGGCTGGCCACCTCGGTCATTGATGAGGAGCGGGTAGAGAAGATTGAGAAACTTGTGTTGACGATAGATCAGCTTCAAGATATCTCGGAACTCCTGGCGGTGCTGGCAAAGCCTACAAAGAGCGGAGTGAACTAGAATATGAGGGACATGGGCACAGCGTGACTATTATAGAATTTCATAGTTTCGATGTTCAAACGCGATATCCTATGAACTTGTGCGAATAACGGTCACCGTTTAATGGTTATTATTCATTCATGGTTCAAGTATGTCATTTACCCTTCCGTGTGCCATAACTGGTGCTTAGTAGGTGTTGCTGAGAGCCCTGTCACGAAGAGGTAATCTGCGAATAAATGGTGTCGAATGGCAGCATCGCAATTCAGGATCATTCTGAGTGATGTTTATATCTAAGCTTGGAATGAAATCTTATTTATTTATATTGTTTACACTATTTGAGTTCTTCGCGTCCCTCACCCCTGAAATAGATCTATAAATCTGCTCACGGCTAAAGAGTCGAAACTTGGTTGGTCCAAGGTTTCCATGATCTGAGTAACTCCAGCCTTCGGTAACTTGAGTTCTAGGTTGCGGATGGCCTTTTTCCGCACCATAGGAAAGCTTTCTTCATTGCGCGCTGGATGGCCTAGGGGAAATTCAAGTCTTGTGTTGAATTCAGTGCCATCGATCAGATGGAAGTCGATAGAACAGCCCACGCTGCGGATCTCTGGATTATGGTAGTCTCGCGTGAATTGGGGATCTTCTTCCATTGTGATGATCGACCGCAGTGCCTCAACTCGAGGGTCATTGGCAAAGGGGCTATCATCCTGGTAGTCCTCCGTCTCTACCTCGGTACCGTTCTTTAGCAGAACGACGGCCATTATATACCTTAAACAGTGGTCTCGATCTGCTGGGTTGTGTAATGGTCCCTTTTTGTTGATAATAATCATGGCCGCTTCTTGCGTGCGCACGTGAATGCTTTTAATGTCTTTGGTGGCATCAAGACCACGCTCTTGTAGCTGCTTGCTCGCTGCCATCGTGGCTTCGACTGCAGTCAGGCCATGACCTTCAGCAGTCAGCACCTTAAAGATAGCGTTCTCAACCACCCATGTGCCAAATGGTCGTGGGAGCTCGAATGCATTGCCTTTGTTTAGTACTTCATAGAATCCCCATCGGGCAGCCGTCAGCGGCGTCTTAATTCCTGGCTGGCCGGCTCGCGCCACAGTGGCTAGGTGCACTGCGCGCATACATGCATCACCGGCTGACCAGCCTTTCCGCGGCCCTGTGTTCGGTGACTGGCGGAATGTACGTAGCGGGTGCCCATCTACCCAGGCGTGTGAGACTGCTGAGCGCGCTTGTTCCCGTGAGAGGCCCATTAACCAAGATACTACAGCTGTGGAAGCGATTTTGACTAGAATAGTGTGATCTAATCCAACACGGTTGAACGCATTCTTGACTTGAAAACAGCCTTGAATCTCGTAAGATTTTATGAGACCGACCAGAACTTGTTTCATGGTGATAATCCCCTCTTCTTTCCCTTGTGCCAGTGCCTCCCTTGTCAGTACATCGGCAATGACGAGAATAGCTCCAAGGTTATCTATACATACTGATCAGCCATTTCTTGTCGAACGAGACCCAAATTCATCGACATTGGTGAGTGATGAAGGATATTCTACTTACCAGAGGGGTGACCCCATTCCGCCCCAGCGAAGGCATCGTTATGATCGAGATATCGAATCATTGCACCCATGTTGAACGCCGCCTGTAATACGTCCATTTGATATGCCGTTCCTGGCAATTTGAAACCTCCACTGACAGAACCGGCGCCAGGAAGTAGCGGTTTGACTAGAGCAGCACATTCACTGCTCAGGGATAGACTCTCAATGGCTACTCCAAGGGAATCGATCAGGGCCATCTTGGCTCGAGCTAAGGCCGGCTCTGACACAACCTCATAGTCGTAGGCGTAGTCGACAACCTTGATGATAACCTCATCGTATGGCCTTTCTGAGTTATCATCTGGCTGTGGGACATGCATACTGTCTGGTTCTCAGGCTTCCAAACTAAATGACGTGCTCGGAGACTGGCCTTCTAAGCTGCATTAGTGACGTGAACAAAGACCGAGGTGGTCCACCTGACTCACACTTATACGTTGTAGCGCTTTCAAAATGCACCTTGTGAAGAGCAAGGGTCAGGAAGACATGATTAACGAGAGCTTCCCAGCCACTGTTATTATCTGCTCATATCGCTTATTCTCCAATTGAGTAGGAATCGGCTGTCTCCCTACTGCGTGCAGGCGGCTTACTCAAACAATTGAGGGTCCGCTCGGCAGTCGGGCCCGGACCCGAAGTATGCTCGGACCCAGCTAACTTACACCAAAAGATCGACGTCCGAGTCCTCTCGGGTACAATGCGGCCGAATCCTGTTGCATACAGGACTGCATGGATCTTGACGTGCAAATGTCTGACAGATTAATCAAGCGACAAATTGTCAGCTAGCTTCTTATCGCGCGCGATCTGTTGATGAGCACGCATTGCCATTGAAGATTGATTTGATACGTTGGACAAGATCTGATCGTACCTGCTTGTTCTGTACATATGCGTAGATTTTATCTTATGATAGCCTGGTAACTCTTAAGTATGATTCTAGTGCCATTTAACCGCTTCCCATATGTGTTGATGTTGATTACTTCAAAATATATACCATCCTTCTTCCACTGTCCCCTTAACATTATATCGAGTTATACGAACGCTAAACTCATCTAACAAATGATATTACGATTAACTATTTCTCACCCCTGATTGGCTGCTCTCTGATAATCCTTCATCCCACCAGATCTAACAAATCAATTGAAGTGCAACATAACCCTAAATTTTCAGGATGAGCTCAGAAGGAAGCCCATCGTTATTCGATGAGATCAACCCAACACCGGAGTTAACTGAAACCCCCGGTAGATTCACAATCAGCTACGAAGATGTCGAGCAAGAATTACCCCTGGGGTTATCAGATGTATATCATCTCAGTCAACACCTCAGACCCTTCCTCGCCTCATTAGCACGACCGGGGGCCCAGAATGATGGCAAAAAGTTCATGTCTGGCGCTGCTTTAATTTATAGCTTCCTTGAATACCTGCTGGGACGGAATGTCCCGCCGGGAACGTTAATACGTCTTTTTTACGCAATACATTCCGAGATAATGCAGAAAAAGGACATTCACAATTTCGTACGCGGGTTACCTGATGGCACATCTACTCAAAAGTCCATCTTGCGGACATTTATGATGCTGCAGTCGAAACTGGCATTTCCACTATTATCCAGTCCAAGTGCTCTTCCGAAACTGGCACAAGATCCGAAAACCTCTATAATGGTGGTTTTCGGCGGTCAAGGCGCAAATAACAATGCCTGTGTAGACGAGCTCGCAGAGATATATTCAGTGTATCAACCCCTTGTCGGGTCGCTAGTCACATCTCTCAGCGCTGCACTTAGCTTGCTATCACAACATCCCGACACAAAATCATTCTACTTAGGCCGAGAAATAAACGTGGTAGAATGGCTCAGCGATTCATCAACACGTCCAGATAAGACGTTCATAGAAAGCGCTGCAGTCAGCTTTCCTATCATCGGTTTAGTGAGTCTACTGCAGTACGGCATTATTTGCAAACTGCTGGGGAAGACACCAGGCGAGATGGGAGACCTCCTCTCAGGAGCAACAGGTCACTCTCAGGGTATAGTCATTGCTACCGCCGTTGCAAAATCGCACTCCTGGGAATCATTCTTCGACGAGGCGAGATGGGCTATAGAGCTTCTCTTCTGGATGGGATATGAAAGTCATGTAAACGCGCCTGGTTCTCCTATCAACACATCGATAGTCAATGATAGCATACAGAACGGCTATGGAACGCCGTCCTACATGCTGCTGGTACGTGGCATTCCTCGAGGACGCCTAGAGAAATTCATAGCCACCAACAACAAACACCTCCGAAGTCATGAACAGCTTTATCTAGCTCTGATCAACAGCTCGAAAGATCATGTCGTCGCTGGACCGCCAAGGAGCCTCTATGGCCTCATTTCAGCACTTCGCCAGATTTGCGCAGTAGATGGGGCGGACCAAAGTCGAATCCCTTATAGCAAGCGAAAGCCTGTCATCCTTTTCCAATACCTACCTATCAGCTCTCCTTTCCACTCACCGCACCTACAATTAGCTGCAGACCGCGTCAAGGATAGAATGTCCAAGTCGTGGTCAAAGGCCGCAACAATAAGCAGCCTACGCATTCCCGTCTTTCACACAAAGGACGGCTTAGACACGCGAAGGATCTACGCTTCTAAGACAGACATCACGGGGCTGGTCATCGAAGCCGTCACCACCAATATTGTAGATTGGCCTAAAACGCTAGAGTTCGGCGGCGAGAAGCGTGCTTCGCATATCATCACTTTGGGATCTGGACGTTTCAGCGACATGGTTCACAAACTAGTAGACGGGTACGGAGTCCGCGTTATAGATGGCACGAAGCTCGACACTGGCGATTCTTCCATCATAGGAAGCAAGGCCGAACTATTCACACAGAATCTTTCAGACTTGGCCACACCTGCAGCCTCATGGCGCGAGAGGTTCCAACCTCGACTTGAATTATACTCGGATGGCTACTATCATCTCGAGACTCGGCTCACTAGTGTCTTGAAGGCCCCGCCTATTATCACTGCTGGTATGACTCCGACGACAGTTCCCTGGGACTTCGTTGCAGCTGTTATCAACGCTGGATATCACATCGAACTTGCTGGTGGCGGGTACCATAATGCGGCGGTATTTGAAGCTGCTATAGACAAAGTCGTTTCGAACATCCCGGCAGGGCGAGGTATCACATGTAATCTGATATATGTCGATCCGAAGGCGATTGGATATCAGATTCCCCTGATCCGCCAGCTCATCCGCCGGGGGGTGCCTATCGAAGGTCTCACAATTGGTGCTGGCGTTCCTTCTCCTGAGATAGCAGCAGAGTATATCGAAACTCTTGGCATTAAGCACATCTCCTTCAAGCCTGGGTCTATACGTGCTATACGAGAGGTCATCGAGATTGCAAAGCGGCATCCCACATTTCCCATTATTCTCCAATGGACAGGCGGTCGCGGAGGTGGGCACCACTCATGTGAGGACTTTCATGAACCACTTGTAGAGATGTACAGCGAGATCCGACGCCACGAGAACATCTACCTCGTGGTAGGCAGCGGGCTCGGAAACGGCGCTGGGATTCTGCCCTATTTGACCGGATCTTGGTCTCTTCAATTCGGCAAGCCGTCAATGCCATGCGATGGAATCTTGCTAGGTAGTCGAATGATGGTGGCCACAGATGCGCATACCTCTCCAGGCGTAAAGAAACTCTTGTTGAAGGCTCCCGGCGTTGGAAGCGCAAAATGGGAGAACAGTTACCTCCAACCGGAAGCCTCAGGGGGCGTGCTGACTGTTACGTCTGAGATGGGCCAGCCTATTCACAAGTTGGCTACGCGCGGCGTCCGCCTCTGGAAAGACTTAGATGACACTATTTTCAACCTCCCTAAACCTGAGAGGAAACCGGCCCTCTTGAAGCGAAAAGCCGAGATCATTCAACGTCTCAATGCAGACTTTGCGAAGCCCTGGTTTGGTCAAAACGCCGCTGGGCACCCGGTTGATGTAGAAGACATGACCTACGCAGAAATAATCTCGCGGTTAACTCAGCTGATGTATGTTGGCTATCAGCGCCGATGGGTCAACCCATCTTACCGCGACATGGTGAGTGAGTTTTCTATGCGAGCGCTTGAAAGACTCGGCTCTAGAGCCCTAGAGACGTCTTGGCTCGACGAACCAGAGAGCTTAGCCCAACGGCTCACCAAGGTTTGTCCTGACCTAGCAGTTCACCTTATCCACCCCGAGGACGCTCGTTACTTCATCCAGTCTTGCAAGAAGCGAGGCCGCAAGCCCGTCAACTTCGTCGTGGCTTTAGACGATGACTTCGAGCATTGGTTCAAGAAAGATTCGCTTTGGCAGTCCGAAGACTTGGACGCAGTCATCGGCCAAGACCCGGAACGAGTCTGCATCTTACAGAGCCCGGTCTCCGTGAAATACTCTACCAGAGATGACCAGTCAGCCAAAGACATCCTGGATGAGATTCACGGCGACTTGGTAGCTATGATGCGCGGCATGGCAGAATACAGAACCCGTCCGAAACTGCGTCTAGCGACAGCGCTTACATCGCGTCCTGCTTCGCAAAACATTCTCATCGACCAGATGGAAGACCACACCCTCTATAAGCCCACCCCAGGCCACGAGCTTCCCAGTCTAGAAACGTGGATTGAATGTCTTCGATCCCATGTTAGCGCATCTGTCCTTGCCCTTATGCGCGAAGAGACGATGTTCGAGTCAGCATCGAAGCGCAGCCGGCCAAATCCATTCCGTCAAATATTCGCTCCGCGACACGGCTATTCACTATCTCTTGGCCGTGCCTCAAAGGAACTCCGCCTTCGCGATGAATCTACCGGGAGGAGCGTCGTTTCCATCAGACCCATTTCATCAAAGAATTTGCGGGTAGAGGTCATTCACAGAGACGCGTCAGTTCCCTCGGGAAGCGCCTCGCTCGTACTAGAATGGGAATATGACGAGCGCACACGGCAACTAATTGACACTACTGAGAGCCGCGACCGACGCGTTCAAGACTTCTATGCCCATCTATGGCTCGGAAAGAGTGGCGCGGGTAGCGAGGGCCGGTTGACTGATACATTCTTTGGTGGCAAGTTTGAGCTTACGCGGGAATTGCAGAGCTCGCTGCACTCCGTAGTGTCACACGCATTCATAGGCGCAGCGCCTACCAGCCCGACAGACGTCCTCCCATTGGAGTCCGCGGTGATCGCGTCGTGGGAAGCTCTCATGAGACCATTATTGATTCATGATCTGCAAGGCGACCTTATGCGCCTCGTCCATCAATCAATCAATGTCGAGTACGTCTCCAACGAGTCACCTCTGTCGGTGGGCGACTTGGTCACATCACAGGCTTCTGTCCGATCCATCGCGATCGAAGCCTCTGGGAAGTCCATCGCCGTGGAGGCCAAGCTCTTGCGAGAGCGCACCCACATCGCGACCGTCGCGTCCAAGTTCTTCATTAAAGGCAAATTCTCGCATGACCAGACCACTTTCCAGACGAAAGACGAGCCGCTTATCGAGCTAAAGGTACAGTCCGATATCGACGAAATAGTCTTACGAGATCGCAGTTGGTTGAAGCTTGATGACCCATCTGTCCCGCTAATTGGCAAGACCTTGGCATTCCAACTACACACTAGGAGCCAGCGGGCAAACCAGAATTCCGCCACCAACCTAGCTGTGCGAGGCACCGTCGAAGAGAAATTATGGAATGGCAATTGCAGGAAGTTGGGCGCTGTAGAATTCGACGCGCCAAAGAGCCATGGAAACCCAGTGCTGGAGTTCCTCTCGCGGAAGGGACAATTTATTGATGGTAGAGTACCGCTGAAGAATCCAGGGTGGACAGGAGACTCGGAAGTTTCTGTCATAGCCCCGTCGCACACCCACCTCTACGCGAAGCTGTCAGGTGACTGCAACCCGATCCACGGGTCTTCTGTCTTCGCCGAAATGGCTGAATTGCCTGGCCCGATCCTGCATGGCATGTACACCATGGCTGTTTCGAGACGAGTGGTAGAGAATGTAGTGACCCCAGGGCAGCCTGAGCGTCTGCGCCGATTCGATGCCTCTTTCGTCAACATCGTCAGGCCAGGGGATAGACTGCTGGTGAAGATTGCTCATGTCGCGATGAAGAACGGTAACATGATCTTCGATGTCGTTGCTCAGCTGGAGGAATCAGGCGAAGAAGTGCTTCGTGGCGAGGCAGAGACTGTCCAGCATTCGACTGCGTACATCTTCACGGGACAGGGTAGCCAGTCTGTTGGAATGGGCATGGCTCTATATGAGAGTTGCCCTGTCGCCAAGTCCATCTATGATGAGATGGATCGTCATTTAAGGAATCTCTATGGTATGTGGGCTTTGTTTCGTCCTTTTTCTCATTCACACGTAATCATTCTCCCTTTCTTGTATCCCGGTATGATGTTAACTACTCCTCAGGGTTCTCGATTCTCAATATCATCAGGGAAAACCCCAAGGAAATCACCTTACACTTCAGAGGCCGCGAAGGACAGAAGATTTTATCGAATTATCTAGATCTGAAGACCGAGCTACCTACCGAGGATGGGCTTCGCATTTCTGCCCCTATCATACCAGGTCTCACTCGCAACTCGACATCATATTCCTTCTCCGAGGCTCGAGGGCTTCTTTACGCGACGCATTTTGCCCAACCCGCAATTATCCTCGTCGAAAAGGCCATGTTTGAACATATGCGATCGAAGGGACTCGTACAGGAGGGTGCCATGTTCGCCGGACACTCCTTGGGAGAGTACGGTGCACTCTCCTCAATGGCACCATTCGTTGATTTCAAGGATATGCTCAGCACTGCTTTCTACCGTGGCTTGATGATGCAGTTCGCCATTCCACGGGATGAGAATGGCCAGACAGGCTACAGCATGATGGCTGCAAACCCTGGCAGGGTCGGGAAACGTAAGACTTCGGCTTCTGCCCTTGTCAAAAGTCAGGCTAACATTGTGGTATAGATTTCGATGACAACGCACTGAAGACTTTGGTGCGGTACATTGCTCAAGAGAGCGGTAAGCTCCTAGAAATCGTGAACCTCAATGTCGAAGGTGACCAATATGTCTGCGCCGGGCACGTAAGTAACGATACTCGACAACTCCCTTAGCACACTTCCCGACTAACATACAACAGGTACATAACCTCAGCTGTCTCACAGCAGTCCTGAACGCCATTGCAGAGCGAAAAGTACAACCAAAAGCAATTGAGGAGTTCCTAACGGCTCCTTCGCCTCAAGCCACAATGTTCGGCGCGACTATCGCACAGCACATTGCGCAGTCAAAGTCCCTGCCCCTCGACGTCGAAATCCCCAGGGGCAGAGCGACAATCCTTCTGAAGGGCATTGACGTGCCTTTCCACTCTGCCCGCATGCGATTCTGGATCCCCACCTTCAGGAACTTCTTCCTCGAGCACGTCAAGAAGGAGGATATCCGCTTGGAACAGCTAGCTGGAAATTTTGTGCCTAATGTGCTTGGGAAGGTATTCTCTCTTGATAAGGGCTTTATCTCAGAGGCGAGCGTGATTACGGGAAGTACTATCTTAGAAGGTCTCGTGCATTGATTCTAGATATGAGCTATTAGCATTGATTTGAGCGATTGTATTTTTGGTTGGGACCGGCGTTATGTGGTTGAGTCATCACGGGAGAGCGATTATTTTCACATAACGAATCAATTGACAAATGAGATATGAATAGTTTATACAGGTTGTCGCTTAGTACTCTTGAGTGACCTGTGCCATTCAAACGACGCTCTTCACTGCTAAACGTCGGCTATATATTAATATTATAGTAATCTTCATTAGGGGTTGCTCGCAAGGCATGTAACAGTAGTCGGAGGTAGGGAGTTAGTTAAGGATGTTATTATGTATTACACGCGTACAAGCTGTACTAGCTGAATATTCAGTTCGCCTTGCACTGTATGAAAGGCCATTGAAGGTTGTTCATGATCTTTCGGAGACATGCAGGCAACATTGAAAGTGAGGTTATACAGACTTCGCTTCTCGAAACAGACCCCAGATACCTAGGCGGCTTGGGCTGGCAGACCAGTTGTATATAGAATCGAGTCAAGCCACCAACAACCAAGAAGGAGTTGGTTGGTCAAGGACTCATGCAGCCCTAGTTGTTCATTATAATCTGAATTCCAAGTTCCAAGCCCAGTATCTCTGCCCTTGTTATATAACGTGCCCCTCATTCTGCATCTAGAACACCATCCAAGTGCTAGGTAGGTCTTGTTACGTCCTCAATTTTAAAGTAATTATAAATGCAAATCATATATCTTGAGTAATGATCTTTCTTGTTCCATTATTTCTACCTCTCGCTACTTATTCCTACAGAATAGTAAATATTGAGTACCATAGGAGATCTATAATGACGATAAAGCCTGAGAGTAAGGAGAGATGCCGCCGACCCCCTACGGAAAAAGGAAGCAATGTGTGGATTCAAAATGATTATAGAAAACCTTACAGATTATATATACCTAAACAGTATAGGTCTTATCAGGTAGATTAGTGTAGGCCAATATTATCCCGTATGATCATTCGTCCCATCTCCATTGCTATATAGCCTCAACAATCTCCACTTGCCTATATTGCTTACGCTTTATTAAATTCATCATAAGCTTCCATCTCAGTTCACTGGTCCTTCTAGTGCTCCTTCTAGGGCGGCGGTGGGACCTACGGCCCTTGCAGTGCACACGAGGGATCAATTCAAGATACTATTGAGTGCTCTAGCTAGCTAGGTTCTATCTCATAAACGATTGAGCGGTATCTTCGGACCCTAGTTTACCCACTCCTTAACTCCACCTACGACTGAGAACATTGAATTCTTTCTAACTTAATTAGCACATCTAGAAACACCTTCCAGTCAGTATTCCTGACCACTTCCATTACGGAATCCTCCGTGAACTGGGAAAGTTCTCCCCGCTTGTCAATCAGTAGGTTTATCATCTCTGCCGCCCCAGGCGTCCCTCTGCAAAGATCCTCTCGACGATCCGTGATTGCCTGTATGGCATCCTCTGCGAAATGGTCTTGCTCCTTGCTTCCCGACAAGAGCATCACCATAAACTCCTGGTAATCATCCCTCTTAAGTCGTATCTTTCTCATGATATCCTCTGTGACTTGCAATTTCTTCCCCACCCTCTCACAAAGTAGAGCCATACACTCTTGGCCGCGCTCCCGGTGTTCTATTGCACACACCACGTCATTCTCGGTGACCTTAATTTCCTCCCCCCTCCTGTCGAGAAGCAGTCTCAGTATCTGCAAATCTCCCCAACTTAAGGCACAAGTTATCGGCCTCCAACTGTTATGACCAACCGATAAATTCACGTCACAGGTGGGTTTATCAAGAAGAACTTCAAGCATATCTGAAAGGCCACATTGGCATGCAAAGTTCAGTGCTGGCTGATAGTATTTATGATCTGCACGATCATTGGCGGCCTTTTCATCGAGCAAGGCATGGACTACGGACTTCAATCTGAGTGCAACCGCCATGAATAAGTCTCTTGAGGTTCGTTCGGCCAGATCGTATTCCAGCTCACATTCTCCGCAAAACCACATCTTAAGCCATCCGATACTATTACGCATGCGGTATAAATCGCGAGCTTTTGTAAGCAGGTATTGACCATGAAATCCCTCTAAATAATGGGTGTACCAGAATACGCGTGCATACTCCAAGAAGGGCCAAGAGTACTGCGTATTGTCGTTCTGTTCGTGACCTTCAGTGGGTGAATTTAGCTCCAGAAGGGATCGGTATTGAATGCAAGAAAGCGCCATTGCACTATGACATTCAGGCAGCTTAAACGTCCCTGCCCATTTCGATTCACCACCCTCTTCCGAATTCCCAGTCAGGAACTCTCTCACGGTTTGGTGAATGAAGGACAGTTTCGAATCGTGGAAATCAACGAGCAGCCCACATGAATTCTTCACCATTTTCTTAAAAGGGTCAATGTTATGTATGCCCTCCTCGAGCTCTGAGTGTGAAACAGGTGGGTTCTCCGTTATCATTTCGAATGCACACAATGCTTCTCTTTCGCTCAGAGATTCCTTCGCAGCGAGCATTAGCTGGAAAATATGCCGAGTATGCTTTGTATGTTTTTGCTCGAGGATTTTCTCATACGCCTTAGAGTGTTCGTTGGGAAGCTGGTCCAGTAGAGTCGTCACATCAGAGGATTCGTAATAATCACTAGGGTTATTCTCTATTATGTAGAAGGTCAGGCGTAGCCAGAGATAGGTACGATTGTTCATGCTTTTGAGGCGCTCAGAAACAAGGCGCTGGTCACGTGGTGAAAAATGGGTGATCAGTTCAGGGAGCTTGGCGTCAATGACACGGTCTATGTCTTGGTTGATGGCAACTGAGTGCTCTTCTCCATCAATCCTCAAACTCGAAGAGTTCAGAAAGCTCTCGATCAATCTCTCGATCGTATCGTAAGGTCGACTCGTGACGAAAAATTTCAGTCTTTGAGTGAAGCTCGACGACGACCGCGCCTGAAAAAACAAATCCTTCAGCCTGTTGATCAATTCGTTCCTATCGTCTTGTCTGCATTCATCTAGGGCGTCAAGAACACAGATGATCTCTCCCGCGTTCGGGGTATTGGCGCAATGAAGGAGGGTATCCCAAAGTTTAGGGAAATTTGTAGCTAGTTTCTTGCCGCACTGGTTATGTTGAGATAGGGCGTGATTTGTGAATTTGCCAGTCAGATCTTGTATGCAAAGCTGATGGACGATGGCAGACAGAGCATTGGCGCTGCGGTTACGTCCCTCGTCATCATCCTTGAAGAAAAAGTAACAGACAACAGAGGTCGCAGGAGTAGTAGAAAACTGCCGCTCATCGATCAGAGATTTCGTAAGCACCGATTTTCCGCATCCAGGCCCAGCTGACACCCAGAGGAAGCTTGACTCGTGACTTTCACGGAACGACCGGAAGCTCGAGTCTTCTAAGAACCACTTGCATGTGTTTTCGACCTTCTTAGGATTCCTGTCCTTGAATTCCTCGTGATTTATTGCTAGGTCGGCAAGTAGTTCGCGTTGGCGGTCATTTCGTCTTTCCTCTCTCTGCTCATTCAAACTCGCAATGATCTGCTGAAGTACTTCAAATGACCTATCCACCTGCTCCAGATAGTGATCGCTCTTGCACTGAGTGTCTTCACGCTGAGTAATGTCCATCAAGCCTTTACAATGGTTGCTCCGCTCCTCCACATCGGAGGACTTCTTTTCCCATTCATCACCACCAGCGAGTGCCTTCCATGCACGAGATAACTGTGCGCTTGATAGATGGCATATGATCAGGGCTTGATATTCGAAAATGTAGGAGTACAAATCAATTAGACTCTTCCGTAGTATAACACTACTGTGGGAGCAGCTCTGATAAGGGAATGTGTCTTGATAAGACTGCCAGTAGATCAGGATGCGGGTAATTGCATCAAAGCCTTTAAACATGGCCTCGTTCTGAGTAGTAGCGCTCCCTAGAAGCTGTATCCCAATTAGAATCTGCGTGAAATCCCGGTGGACTTTACATACTGGAAGAAGAATCGAGACACCGGACCAAGCTAATGCCGCGTATGGTTGCGCACTCAGGGCATCCTTAACGATACCATTGCTCCATACAAGGACCTTCAACAACTTCTCAGCTTGTGTCCGAATATTTATGTCTTTGCCGAGAAAAGTGAAATGCCACTGTCTATTCTCTCTGTCTTTCTGCAGTTGCTCGACAGTTGACCTTGCCCAGTCGGAACCCCAGCACAGAGTACCGGTGATGGTGGTCAAGTGTGTTCTGTAGTCCTTAGCGAGGCCCTCTTCTCGAGCAGCGAACTTATTGTATGCGGCAGTCCAGACATCGTTCTCAGTTTTGATCGATACTGCATCGACGGTTGGGACTGAAGTAGGCGCTGAGATCTCTTTCGTAGCGGCTGGCGAGGTTGTAGTTGCGGCAGGAACGAGAACAGCCAAATCAGACGGCTCAGAGTCGTTTGCGTTAGCATTAGGGCGGATGTCTATATCCAGGCTTCGAGTAGCTCCAACGAAGTTCTCAAGTGGTTGTGGTGAAGATACTCTACTAGCTGTCAGGGAATCGCCCCTTTGTGACTTCCACTTGCCCTTGATCCTAGAGAAACCCTTCCTTATATGTCTCATAGTGTCAGTCGTAAATGATGTAAGTGGAAGAATCCGTGTAATAGTCGATTTAAGTTAGATTTTGTTGTTCTGTATCTCAAGACAGAAGTTGTTTGGGCAAGGGAAAGAGGGTAGTTGAAAGGAAATAGATTAGGTAGGAAAGCTAGCCAGAAACCAGCCTAACCATACACCTAGGTACGGTACTGCCGGAGCAAAGCTACCCAACAAGGGTGTTCGAAGTATCGCATTTACTGAGATTATATTATCGACATGCCAACTACGCAGCGTGTGTAACCATCAGAACGTCTACAAGGGGGTAAATATCGATGTTGAGCGGAGGCGTTTCGCGTTCATCTCAATGACAAAAGGCGGAGCCGATGCTGTGTAACATAGCCTTCACCTGATCGAGGACACTTTTCCACAGAATTCGCTGTGGAAATCGCCTCTTATTTGGTACGGGGGGTGAAGGTAGTAGAAAATCGTAGCTAACCAAGCAAAGGTTGTGTTACACACCAACAGCGCGTTGTTTATATATTATCGCCCTATGAATCAATAACTATTACTACCCCCTACGTATTAATTCCCGAAGCTGATGAACATTAAGATAAACATAGAAATGGATCATACAGCCGGTACTTCTTACATAGCATATGAGCTGAAATGCATATCACCTTGGCGCAGAGAAACTGGCGCGGCTGCTGGGAGGACAATTACCTTGAAGACTCTCCGGGATATTACACGTGGCGAGATGCAATGCTTCGTCGGGCAAGTAGCCCTTGAGAATGACGTGTACTATACTCCTACAGCTACCAACGGTGTTTATCCATCGATCTCAGTGCCACAAGAGATACTATACAAGTTGATAATTCTCGGTGCGGGATGGATTGCGAAATGAGACCTCCACCGTAGAAACACTGATGTAATAACAAATGCTAAAGCAAGTGTTCTGATCGGTAATGCGGCTCAACTATCCCCTCAACGTCTCTGCGACCTATTCATCCCAGTTTTAAGGGCCAGGTTATTTCACCCTTGCTTTTATCTCTATACGGTCAGTCCTAGAAATGATTACATATATATAACATTAACAAAGTAAAGATTCAGTGGCGTTCCGTCCCAGCTAATACTACAGTGCTTCTAGCACTCGCGAACTTACATGCTGAGTGCTGAAAGCGTTAATTGGCCGATCTTCTTCTTGGCAGGTCACGATGCTGGATGTTAAAGGAATAATGTAGTCTACCAGTACTCCGTAGTGCCCCTCCATAACCTCCATTGAATGCTAGACCCGCTACCCCACTGCGATCTCTCACGTCGAACATAAGTATGTATGCGCACATAGGACGGTCTCAGTAGGTATCAAGAAAGATGAAATCCACCAGTAACTAGTAACGTGAAGCCGTTACAACAATGGCAAAGCCCTCAAATAGTAGGCGCTAGATTATCGCGTGAACATTGCTTGAGAACTCTTCCAAGGTTATCAGGTTTTGTTGCCTTAGTAATAGAAAGATAAGTTTCAAGAATAGCATAAAAGCACGGGTAATTGAATAAGCATCATTCCTATTACTACCTACCTAGGTCGGGTACACTTATTCCAACATCACGGATTAAATATGGTTTCCTGTTCTCTCTTCACCATGAGCGTAAACATTAGATCCCAAGTTTTAATCGATGATGCTCGTTGCATACTGGCGCTTGCCATCACTGTCAATAGAAGTCAGGGAATTAAGCGGATGTAGCTGCCCACTCGCCCTTTGTTTCTCGCGCTGGTCCACAAAGTCGATGAGTTATGTGGGTTTTGGCACAGTGACGTCACCGTTGCTCGCGCCCGCCGGCGTCATCGTCAAAAAGACGAAGACCGAACATACCGAGGTCGTACAGAAATTGAGGGCCATAAATGTCGCCAGACAGCCAGTTTATGAGTGAATTGTTCGTTGAAATATAATAATTCGAATACTAATGATACTAATTCTTCATAATTAAACTTGACGAACGCACTGAGTGCCATTGCGATCACGACTTCTAACCCACGCACCCTGCATATCATCAACCGAGATTGCTGTCGTCGATTGGATACACATCTTGAGCGAGACCGATATCGACCGAAGGTCGGACGGTGTCGCTGAATAATCGCCCAACTCACATCCAACGCGCTCATTCATATCATTCGATCCTGGTGTAGTGGGCAGCCGGCTCAATCGTTCTCTCTCTCCTTCTCTGTCTCTGCCATTCCAAGCTATAGACATATCTCAAAATGGCTTCACAAAATGGAATAACACCAACGTTCTCATTGGGCGACTACGTCAAGTTCTTCGGCGCCGGCGCCCTAGCAGCCACAGCCACACACGGCGTAAGTCCACCTCCTCTAGACACAGATATAGACACACAAACAAGATACACCCATACAAACCCAAACGAAGACCCGCTCTAATCGCCGAAATGCAACCGTAACAGGCCGCGACCCCCATAGACGTAGTCAAAACCCGCATCCAAGTCGACGACGCAATGAAGGGGATGAACATGGTCCGCGCGGCGCGCCAAATCGTCGCCAAAGAAGGCGCCTCGGCGCTCCTCACCGGCTTCGGCCCCACGGCCGTGGGATACCTGATCCAAGGCGGCGGCAAGTTCGCGGGCTACGAGTTCTTCAAGAAGAAATACATCGACCTCGTCGGATCCCAAGAGACGGCCACGCGCCATCGCACGGCGATATATCTATCAGCCAGCGCGAGCGCCGAGTTCTTCGCGGATATCGCCCTGTGTCCGCTGGAAGCTACGCGCATTCGCCTCGTTTCGCAGCGGGGGTTTGCCTCGGGGCTTATCCCTGGGTTCATGCGTCTGGCGCGAGAAGAAGGGTTCCGGGGGTTCTATTCGGGATTCGTGCCGCTGCTGTTCAAGCAGGTCCCGTACGCCGTTGGTCAGTTCTCCGTGCACGAGGCTGCTGTCGAGGTTATTTATCGGTCGATCGGGTCCGAGCGGAAAGCGAAGTTGACGCATCTGGAGTCTACCGGCGTGGAATTAACTTCGGGTATTGTCGCTGGTGTTGCGGCGGCTGTGCTGTCGCATCCTGCTGATACGCTTTTGTCTGCGATGAATAAGGGCTCGGGGGATCCTAGCCAAGGCGCTACGGCGAGGATGTTCTCGCTTGCGCGCGAGTTTGGACCGAAGAGATTGCTGCTTTCAGGCCTGGGACCGCGTGTTCTTATGACTTGTGGTTTGGTAGCGGGACAGTTTGTTATTTATGCGCAGTGTAAGGCGCTTACGGGTGCGCCGCCTGGTATTGAGATACATAAAGAGGAAGCGTTAGATTAAAATATCGATGCGGCTTTAGAATGGCAAGCGTTTGTCGTAGTCAGACATTGGCTTGCGTTGGGCGTTTTCACTACTGTATATAGCTTTGGACTCATACTAGATGATAGACTGACTATTTTGTGTGTATTCACATGATTTTGAGTGACTGTATCAACGCAAAGAACTTCCTCGCAATGCCATCGTCACAATCACCTTTTAAACTATTTCCATCTATTCAACACGCCTATCGAATCCGTCCCTGCGTAGGCCATATCCCCATATGCTGCCAAAACCCCCTCCCATCCAACCTGCGTCCCACGAGCTTCATATCCCTAGGCAGAGCGCGAATATTCTCCTCCATCATCAATTCCCCCACCCACGCCAGCAAATCCTTCTGCTTCTCGACTTCCTCGGCAGACACACTCCCCTCTTCCGCACCGAGCGTCTGCCTCGCCCAGTCCTCCGTGAGATCCCACCAGTCGTACACATGCATATCGCACATCAGCCAGCGCTTCTTGGGCGTGAAATTGCGATGCAGAGCCACTACTGCCCGTGCGACGTCTTCGCCATGGATCACGTGGAGCGCGCCTTTCGCGCGTAGGGCTTCTTTCGAAGTAATCACGCGATGCACCCAGTTACGCGGCTGCCGCGCACCGCCGTACAGACCCGCGAGACTCAGCACGGACGCAGCGGGCGCCACACGCATCAACTCGTCTTCGGCTATGGCGCGCGCGTTGGAGGTGTCGTAGGGCGAGTTCTCGTCCTGCCAGTCTTCGGCCTTCCAGATGCTCGTCACCCCGAACTGGATGTACCGCACGTCCTGGGCGATATCGGGGTGTGTCGCGGCGTAGCCGGATACGAGACGCGAGGACTGCCCCGTGCCTTTGAGGGGAAAGGTGATGAGGATTGTCTTGGCGGGGGGAAGGGCCGTGAAGGGACTGGTGTCTTCGGACTCTGGGTCGAAGATGAATGGGATGGTCCCGTCACGCCCTGTTGTCGTTGTCGCGGCGTGGTTTATCCCCTCGCGCTGGAGCAGTGGGAGCAGGAATGTGGATGTCCAGCCTGCGCCGAGGATGAGCAGGCTTACTGCGCCTTGGCCGGGTAAGGGTTCATCGTGGTGGACGATCATGGTTTATGGTGTCTTATGAGCGAGGGTGAGAAGACTGAGTGAGAGCCGATGTAAGGCGAGCTCTTACTGGCAGCTAGTGCTGTGGATGTCACGGTTGTGGTGATGTTGGCGATAGGATTCGTCTATTCAACGTTTATGTATATACCCTGTATATGAGGGGTAAAAATATTCGAAACATACATATGTAGGAGGAATCGGTCATTACTTAGTTCGCGACAACTCTGGTTCGATGTATGGCGAAGCCACGAATGCTTGAGATCGCAAACTGAGATAGATAGCCAAACTAAGCAGTCCCCGCTTCCGTCATTCTCGGTTTCGCTCCAGCGCGATGTGGTCATACTTATACAAAACGCCCGAAAATACCTACCCATCATCATGCACTGCGTGCATGCATCTCAGCAGTCGCACCGCATTAACTCACTGTGTCACAATCGCATATTAAGTATTGCCAGCGGCCAGTTTAAAAAACAATAATGTCTACACATAAATGTTCATATAAGGCGTTGACACGTATAACACTTTCCCCATCTCAGCGGGGGTTTCCACGGCCGTAAGTGGTAATATGCTTAAGTGCAAATAAATCTTCTCATTTCTCATCAATTGCAGCATGGCTGTTTGATCCGCCTGAGTGTATTTGACAAGCCTCCCTTCAAAAACAACTCATTTTCCATCCCCGTAAAGATCCATCGCGAGGTCATTACGGGTATAGAAAGTCGACATCCGATATTTAGACTCACCACGGTACTGTTCCAGCTCACCCAGCGCCTGTATACCCTCCCGTTCAATAGTCCGACGGATCTCCTCACTTCGAGGGGTAATGCTGCATTCAAACAGTTGAGGTCTCATGTTGAGCCCGTTACTGCATAAACGTCATTAGTCAATTGACGTTTGCATCACATCACGACATGTGATTAGTACTCACGTGTAATTAAATATATCCACCTCAATGGGCTTCCCATCTGCACCCATCTTTCGCTGGATGTTGAAACCCCACAGAATCCTAGCTACCGTAATCCAGGTTCCCTGTTCCGCCAGTGCTTGTCCCGTGCAGACCCGACGACCCCATCCAAAAGTCATATAGCCCTTTTCACCGGGGAACGGCCGTTGGTCCGGGTGTCCCGCCAGGAACCGATAGGGGTTAAAGCGATCTGGATCGGGGAACTCACGCTCATTATGGTGAATGGCCCAGATATTCCCTTGAATCCACGCACCCTTTGGTATCAGCCAACCTTTGTAGTAGTCGTCCTGTGTAGGTGCATGAGGCTGCCCTCCGATGATAGCCACGGAGCGCCACCTCAGAACTTCCTTGACAAACGCCTTAACATACGGCAAGTTGTCTTCATCTTCCCAGGATGGGCTCCTGTCATGGCCAACGACGCGGTCTAACTCTTCCCATGCCGGCCGCACAGCTTCCGGAAAAGCGCAACAAGCGAGAACAAAGGTAATCAAAGTGCTGCTACTCGTGTCCGATCCAGCCCCGAACAGGTTCCCTGTCAGAGCAGATATCTCCGCCTCTCTCAGATTATACTTGGGTCTCTCGGAGAACAAATAATTCACAAAAGACTCCTCGTGGTCGCCTTTCTTGACTGCTTCATCTGCCAACGCATAGAAAAAATGGAACGCCCGTTTCTTCCCAAGACCGTATTTCCACGGGGCAATTTCATTGGGGAAACGAGCGAGAAAGGGGAACGTCTCCATGAGCATGGGGAATTTCTTGCCTGGCACGTTGAGGTCTGCTGCCAGGTGCATCATAGCGATGACCTCGGTGATAATGGGGTCGTCCCACTTTTCGACTCGACGTCCAAAGGCGATAATGGAGACCACACTGGTAGCATAACGCTCGAAATGCTTCACGTAATCATCGGGCGCCTTGAGCAAGTCGTATGCGACAACTCTGCTCTCGTTATTTTGGAAGTCGCGGTACCTACGGACCGACTGGATGCCAACGCCATAGTGTATGAGCTTGCGGTGGACGCGCCACCTATCACGCTGTTCTGGGGTTGTTGTGTACATGTTCAGGAGATTATCCTGACCTGCTCCTAATTCTGCAAACACGAGCATCCGCGGTCTAGAAGAATAGATCCCCGCCCGCTTATCGAATAGCTCCGAGGCCGCCCAAGCATCGTTGATCCAGATTGTAGGATTCCTGATAATGAAGTTGAGCTTTTCATGTTATCTCAGATATGAGTGGATAACGTGGCTTAAGCTTACCGTCCTATCCAAATTGTGATGAGTTGAGCATCGTATACCTTGGAGAGTTCTTCAAACCAGATCCACGGCTTATTGTCCGGCAGCATGAATGTATTACCAACTATGGGCCAAGGAAACGGACCAGGAGGCTAAACAAATCGGTTAACAAGACGTCTAGAGGCGACGAGGAGAACGAAGGTGATGGGAGAGAGGTATCACTCACGAGCTTAGACCGCATGTGCAACATGTACGCATAGTCAACTACGAGGGCCAAGAAGGCAAGTATTAGAACAGAAGCGCCCAAGTGCCACGACTTAAGCTGCTCAGGTAGTACGCCTGAAAGCAACCCTCCAGAGTGACCTGAAAGGAACTGATCGAACAACATGGTGACCTGAGTTTCAGTACTTCGAGTGACATTCAATCGCAAGTTGAATGCTGGATTCAAGTTGTTTTGAGTAGATGTCCCAATCAACGACCAGCTTTGAGGGTAAGGGGGCTGCCGTCTGCTCGGATCTCACCCATCCACGTAGATAGATATAGTATCCAGTGCCGTAGTTGTCCCTGTCCTCATTTGCATGCGACGTCCAATGATAGCGTGGCACTTTAGCCCTGATGTTCTGTATTGGTCGAGGTGATCTGCCGGACTCCAAAAACGTGGGGTAAATGCAACCGCATCACGCTGTTCAGTGCATACTCCTCATATCCCCAGGAATAGTTCAGATTATCGAGCTACCTTACCCACCCTAGGGAAAGTGTGTTTGCGATGCCGGGTTAGAGAAGCATACCTGGGCAGGCTGGCTGGGCGAGCGAGTGGTGTTAAGAATGGATGACGTTTACCATATTTCTTCCTGGGTGCTAGATCCCATCATCTCCTTGTCCCATTTCGGTTAATCGGGACGATGTGAAGGCGAAGATCTAAGTTCCAGGTTTTACTTGGTGTCCCGAGTATCGTTTTCCTTTTCTTTTTCTAGAAAGCCCCGCGCGCACCCCCCCTCATGGGACGCTGAATATTACTATATGCAGTCATCATCAAGGGAAGCATATCATATGGCTCTAGTTGTCTGTCGAAGCTGGCCACTGGGCGGAAGACGTAGTATCTGACATCTGATGTAGATGAGGAAGCGCAAGTCTCGTTCCTCTTTTCGTCGACAAGCTACCTAGATTCGGCATCCACGTTGTGAGCATTTGCCTCACTACTTACCTGTCAATGCTACTGCAATTCAGCCCAAGCTGCCAACAATACAGCTCATCTGACGAAGAACCCTGAAGAAAGAGACAGTATCCACTTGATCGCATTTTATGGCATTCTGCACTTTGTTCAAAGAAAATCTTCAGAAGAAGAAGAAAAAAACAGCTGAAGATTCGGTGTCAAGTCAGGAATCTGCCCATGTCGATGCAAGGGACTTGAGAGGGTGGACTGCTGTTTTCCCCCGGAGACAGTGACTATACGAACTTAATACTGTGTTCGTACTGTATCATATATAGCAGGAATGTTATGCCGATATTCCCAGTAACAGCGGGCCAATGATAAGTGCTCATGTCGAAGGTCTTAGTGCATGCAGTGGTGCTGAATAAGTAAAGCATCTGCACTAAACAGCCTCCCCTGTCGCTATCGCGTGTACATAGCGCTGGCTTAGGCCTGGCTTAGGCCTGTCTTAGGTATCCAGGTTAGCGTTATTATTATTACCTAAGAACCTACCTACCTAACTTTACCTATCGTCAGCCCCCTTCGATCAAGGTAGACAGGATATCCTTGAAGTCTCAAGTCTTCAAAACTTGTGATTCTTTGGCACATTTGTGTCATGTAGGCAGAGGTAGTCCGTCCAACTCGTATATCCTCTTTCCTCCCTTCGATTCTGACCTTCCGCTCATTATCTTTAATTATCTGTCACTCTCTCTCACGCTTGTTTAGTAACAGCCAGCTCTGTGCTGAGCTAGACATCTCCCCCTTCTAGCTCCCTTGACATCAGCAATCCCGTGCCTCAACCGGCCTGTGTTGTTCTCTCCGGCGTGTCCTCCGTCGACCCCCACGCCACTCAATATTCGCCAGTTGTCACTTGTGCATTGCAGATATTGGGTCGAAACCGTTGCTATCCAGCTGAAGACGCCAGCGCTGACACACCATCATACGATCCTCCTTCAACCAACCGAGCCACGAATCCGAATCCCTTTCGACTACACCTGTTGCCCAACGCCCGGTTCTCTGTCGCATCTGTCCTGCAACTTCAGTATCCCAGTCGCTATTATACCGACCGACTTCCAAGCTGCCTTGGCGAGCTTGAACACGATATAAGGTCCATCGCTTCCCTTTTAGTCACGTTGACTCTCTCGATGTTGTTATAACCCCTGACTCTTATTCCCTAAAACCTTGTCGGATATTTTCGAATACCAGTGGGTTTCGCGTGTTACACGATTTGTTCAGTTGGTGGAAGGGGGTAATGCCCAAGGTCGTGGGCGCTGGGGGAAATGCAAACTTCCAAGGCTAAGGGTGAGGTGGTAGGGCGGAAGGCTAAAGTGAGTGCACACAGATACAAGAGCTTGTCACTGTCCTGCTATCATTTCGTACCAGAAAATCGCGAATAAAATCAAGTTGCTAATTGCTATGACTGGTTACAGCTCGCTACCTCGTACCAAGAACTCCTTGAGTAAGTTGATGTCAACCAAGGCAAATCCGCTGAGCCACTGCGAGATCGTATACTAAGACCCGCTCGCGGTTCAGCGAATTTTCAAACAGGGATCTGAAAAATGTCGGGAACTATTCTCTGGGGAAGCTGATAGGAAAGGGTTCCTTTGGGAAGGTCTACCTCGCCCACCATAAGCTCACAAATGGCTCCAAGGTATGTGGCTGAGATTGTGCTGGTCTTCGCGTCTCATCTTGTCTGACCTTGCTAGGTTGTACTCAAGTCGGCCAATAAGGATGACTCAAACCTCGCCCGAGAGATCCATCATCATCGACAGTTTGTTCACCCGCATATTGCGCGACTATATGAGGTCATTGTGACCGAGACCTTGGTATGGCTGGTTTTGGAGTATTGTCCTGGTAAGCTAAATGCGCCTCACGTCAACGCCAAATCTTAGCTGACTGGTCATTTATGACAGGCGACGAGCTTTATAATTACCTTTTAAATCATGGGCCTTTGCCTGTTGATAAGGTTCAGAAGATATTTTCTCAGCTCGTCGGTGCCGTCTCTTACGTCCATCAACAGTCGTGTGTGCACCGCGATCTAAAGCTTGAAAACATTCTACTTGACAAGCATGAAAACGTCAAACTAGTAGATTTTGGCTTCACCCGTGAATATGAAGGCAAATCCAACTACTTGCAGACATTCTGCGGTACGGTCTGCTACTCTGCTCCCGAAATGCTCAAAGGGGAGAAGTATGCCGGAGAAAAGGTGGATGTCTGGAGTCTTGGCGTAATCCTCTACGCGCTGCTTTGCGGTGAGCTCCCATTTGATGACGATGATGATAATGTTACGAGAACAAAGATTTTGTCAGAGGAACCAAGATATCGAGACCATTTAACAAGCGATGCTGTCTCACTGATCAAGCTTCTGTTGTCAAAGCGGCCTCTTCTACGGCCATCGCTGCCCGAAATACTCTCACACCCATTCATCGCGGAATTTGCTCCCCAGCAACAGGCTATTCTGAAGGTCCATCAGCCACCACCATTCGCTACCGCCTTGGAAAAAGATTGTCTTCAGAGAATGCGTAGCGCTGGTGTAGACATCGATGCCGTAATTGAGAGTGTCCTCGCTCAGAAGTGTGACGCATTAGCTGGCTGGTGGACCCTGCTGCTCGAGAAAGAAGAGCGGAAAGCGAAGAGGCGGGAGAGAAGACGTAAGGAGAAAGAAGCAGAAAACAGAAACTCGAGACGTTTTTCGGCAGCGTCTAGTAAACTAGAAAGGATGGCTCCTATTCTCGACGAAACCTCCAATGGTTACGGTCCTGGTTGGCTTGGAGAGCCACCGTTGCCTAGGACGCGAGGTCGTGCAGAGAGAAGAAGTGCTCACTATGCCGATTATGCTGTGACGGACCTGCCTAACCTTCCAGAAACAAAAGAGAAGGGCCCTCTTCCGGATGATCCTCTACCACCACCACCTCTCGACAAGGCTTCGGTCCGCTCGGTTAGTTCCTCTCGACACCGACGGCCATTGCCCCCTCCCAAAGAAGGGATTCTTCGAAGTGCGAGGTCTAGGGGCTCGACGCTTCATCTGGTCACGACCACAGGTGCGATCAACAATCACGGTGGGCGCGAACAAGGTCCACCCCAGAAGACGCGCAAGAACCCGTCACAGGCAATTGTTGCGACATGGAAAAACTGGACTCATTGGATTGTGGAGAACACAAGAAGACATAGACCGAATAAGCGAGGCAGCCTTTCTACGCCGAACTTGGTGGCCAAGGATGGGCAGCCTGGTGGGAAATCGCCCAATAATCCAAGTCCTCGACCTCAAACCAGCAAATATCCTGCTACGGTTTCCAGTCAACATTCTCGCAATGGGGACCATTCGCCAGACCTACCCAATGGCACCATTAGAACTCTTAAGGACATCCGCGGGACCCCGTCTAGGAAACCGGTGCCCGCGCCTCTGTCGACTGTCCCTGGTGTGGGACGTAGACTTTCCTCCAATTACAAACGCCAATCTCTTTCACCAGGCCCCATGACACCCAGGTCTACAATGCGGCGCTCGTCGACCGGGCTGCGGGGAAGGAAGTCGACCTCGTCTTCGCTATCGTCGATCAGGACGATGCCTCATCATCACCATACACACTCTAAGGCCAGTTCGACAAGTTCGAATGGATCTGTCTCGACGACGAAGACTCCTCTAGCAGGAGGTCGATCTCCGCACCACTCAGTCAAGGTCCTCCCAGCTACGCCCACGACGGCGTCATTCCCTTCTAACATCCGGCTGGTCCGCGGCCCACCGTTAGCACTCAACTTCAATGAAGGCATGCCTACACCGGATGCCCACAATCCACCAGGCTCGCCAAATCCGTTCTCCGGAGGGGTTCTGTTTGCGAAGCGCAAGCGCAACATTTTCAAAGGTCCGTCGCTCTCGATCCACGGCTCGGGAGGAGGAAGAAGTGGGTCGGGCTCAGGGGGTCATAGTCGCAGCGCGAGCACTAGCGGGTTAGGCAGACGAAGCGGCGAGATCACGATACAGGAAGAAGACGAGGAAGCGCTGGAATTCGAGCCCGAGGAGGAGATCGAAGAGGTGGAACAGTTTTCGCCGGTCCTGAGTAGACCGGGTGAGAAGGTTGAGGAGATCTACGAGAGCACAGCTGAAGATGAAGGCATTGAGGTGAACAGTGAGGTGAAGGGCGAGGAGATAAGGGTTGCTGTACGATCAGAAGAGAAGTCGAATTCCTAATGCCAGTCATGGACTGAATTGAAAGATACCCTGTGATAGTTTCTATCTATTTTTTAAATTTAGCCGTTTGGCCCCCCTTGCGAAGAGTTATTGGCCCAAGACGATACGTGATTTATAAGAACTGGGGTGACATGTTCAATTTCACTAGTAGACAGGTCGGCTGTGGTAGATCTGAGGTACAGTGGCACGATACGGTGCTGCTGATGATGAGAGAAAATAGTATGTAATAATTACCGTAGTTCATGTACATGAATGGAAGAGAGTAAGTAGGAGTCCCAGGTTGAGGGCATATAGTTGAGATAACTTCAGACTTACTACCATCTACGGTAACGAGCGAGGGTAATACATACAGATTACATCAATTTGGAGAAGATCTCTTGGCACCCAAGCTAAGCCGAGGTAAGACAGGTTGCTTCCTAGGTAAGCTACCTAAAGTAAGCTACTGACTGTCCATCCGTACCTAGTCGGTGACACCTTCTTTCCTTCGCAGTTTACATAATACCTACCTAAGTATATAAACACCGGCGATAGGGAATAAAGAAGAGTCACACTGGTATTATGCTTCGCTTTCCTCATACAGACACCATTGGCTAGAGCTGGATATATTCTCAACTACCGTCTATAGTGTTTGTCTCTTTTTTTTTTCCAATTAATTACCTGCGATGAAGCTCCTCCGCTTGCTCGCGAGCGCCCCGGTAGCTCTTGCTTCGATCCCGCTCGAGGCGCCCTCGTATCGCGACGAGCTGGTCGCGCTGCACAAGTCCCTTGTGGAAATCTCTTCCATCACGTACACTGAGAACGACGCCGGCAGCTTTCTCGTCGAGTATCTTACGCAGCGCGGCTTTGTGGCTGAAATAGAATTCCTCCCGCCGTGGAACGATACTGGTGACGAATTAGGTGATGGAAAGCCGCGGTTCAATGTCCTTGCCTGGCCGGGCCCTAAACATCATCCGTCTCCCGCGGTCCTCGTCACGAGCCATATCGATACCGTCCCGCCGCATATTCCGTACTCGCGATCCGATGGGGAACTGAGCGGGGACACGCTCATCGCGGGCCGGGGGAGCGTCGATGCGAAAGCTAGCGTGGCCGCGCAAATCATTGCGGTTTCAGAGCTGGTGAGGGAAAAGAGGATTAATGCAGAGGATGTGATGCTGCTGTTCGTGGTCGGAGAAGAGCGCTCGGGGGATGGAATGCGGTATTTCAGCGATACACTCTCTCACCTCGATCCCCCGCCGAAACTGAAAGCTGCGATCTTCGGGGAACCCACGGAAGCCAAGCTGGCGTGTGGCCATAAGGGATTCTTCGCGTGCACGATCACCGCGCGTGGCAAGGCGGGGCATTCCGGGTATCCGTGGCTCGGGAAGAGCGCGACGGAGACGCTTATGAGGGGCGTGGTGAAGGTGCTCGACGCGGAGCTGGGGAGCAGTGCGAAGTTCGGGAATACGACTGTCAATGTGGGGGTTATTGAGGGCGGGGTCGCGCTCAATGTTATTCCGGAGAAGGCGGTTGCGAAGATCGCGGGACGCGTGGCGATTGGACCTGAGGAGAGCGGTGGTGCGATTGTGGTGGAAAGGGTTAAGAGGGTGTTGAGGGATGTGGATGAGAGCGCGTTTGAGATCGAGTGTGTTAATGGCTATGGGGTTGTTGAGTGTGCTTGTGATGTCCCAGGTAAGCACATTTGCCCTCTATCCATTTTTGGCTTCATTCCGAAGCTCTATCTCTTGTTTTATTCTCATTTTCACTTTGATTTCATTTTCTATTCATATAAGAAAATTCTTCTCTGACTAGTGTTACAGGATTCGACACCGCGACCATGAACTACGGCACCGACGTATACAATCTCGCGGGAGACCACAAGCGCTACCTATACGGGCCCGGAAGTATCCTTGTCGCACACGGCGCGGACGAGGCTATCAAGTTGAAGGACTTGGAGCAAGGCGTCGAGGGATTCAAGAAGATCATCTTGCATACCCTGCGTGATGAGGCGGGAGAGCTATGATGATGATTCAGGGAATATGGTGGAGGCAAGCATGATTAATGAGCAAGATAAATGAAAAGCGTTGGTTTACAGTAAGGCTAGAGGTGGTGTACGGGCAAGGGTATACCGCGAGGGATGCTATCATGCGATACGCACAAAGGGAACTGACAGCCTAGGCTACTCTCACGACATGTGGGGGGAAAGGGGACAGCATTAAAGATACCCTTATTTAGCGTTTTTAATTCATATCAACTTGGCTTATTTCTCTACGACCGCTGCCCACCTCTCCGGCATGATATCCCGAAAGTCGAAAGCGCCGTTCTCACCCTTGACAACGACACCCTTTTCCGTCACGACGGCGTCGATGAGCTCGGCTGGCGTGACGTCGAAGGCGGGGTTCCATACCCCTATCTCCTGATGCGCTGTTGCGACCCTCGCGACGCGGGTGATGTCTACTTTACCATCGGACCCGACCACGGCGCCGCTGATTTGCGTGAGCTCCTCCGGCTTGCGCTCCTCGATCTTGATGTCTGCGCCCGTCGTCGTCTGCAAGTCAATGCTTGTCGTGGGCGCCGCCACGATAAACTTGATGCCGTGATACCGCGCTAGCACGGCGAGAGCGTAGGTGCCGACCTTGTTGGCCGTGTCGCCGTTGCGCACGACGCGGTCGGCGCCGACGATGACGGCGGAAATGTACTTCTCCGCTTTCTTGGTGGCGAAGAGCGCGCCCGCCATTGAGTCTGTGATTAGTGTCGCTGGCATGCGCTCGTATACGAGCTCGAAGGCCGTCAGTCGGCTTCCTTGGTTATAGGGGCGCGTCTCGGTGCAGAAGGCGTGGTGCAGGTTCCCCGCTGAGTGCAGCGAGCGGATGATGCCGAGGGCGGTGCCGTGGCCTGACGTCGCGAGCGAGCCTGTGTTGCAGTGCGTGAGGACTGAGACTTTGCCCTCGGGCGATTTGACGGGCGCATTGGCGAAGAGCCATTTGCTTCCGTGCTCGCCGATGGAGAGGTTTGTCTCGGTGTCTTTCCGAAAGATCTCCTCGGCGGCGGCGATGTAGGCGTCTATGATGGCTGAATTGGCAGCGGCTTGGTCTAGAGTGGAGGTCTCGACGGCGCGGACGACGGACTTCAGGTGTGTTATGGCGTTGGTCAGATCGACGGCGGTCGGCCGCGATTCTTTCAGGTAGTCTAGGCGAGAGTCGATGTAGGATATTGTTTCGGCTGCGGTTGATGCTTCTGTGACGACATGGCTTTAGTCGCAATCCATTTATTATGTATGGCTCTAAATTCCAATTGCCGGGGGAGTAGAGAGGGGATCCTTACTGCATGCCCCTTCATGTAATTCGACACCATGTGCGAGCGCTGCGACTATGGCGATTGCTGGGGCGCCTGTATGTGTGAAGATTAGGGTTAGTCGGATTCTTGGATGATGGTTTTGAGGGGATTCGTGATCAAAGGCGATGGTTACCTCTTACGCGCATCGCTTTGATGCAGTCGAATGCCTCCTCACTTGTCGCGACATGGTCGTAGTGGTGTTCGTGGGGCAGTCGGAGCTGGTCCAGCACCTCTAACTTGCCCCTCGTGTATCGGATGGCCTGAAGACCCGACATGGCGAAGGGTCTGTTGATAGTCGACTCACTGTCTGCTCTGGTGGCAGTCCGAGGAAGAAAGGAGGGCACTCGATAGAATGAGGAGTATAAAAGAAGAGGAGAGTATATAATATAGAAGAATGAAAAGTTGAGGCCCGAAATCTTGTACCTAGGAGCCTACCTGGGTATTAATCTCGACCAGTGCCTGCCTTAGCGGCTAATCACAGATTGAGTCCGCCAGGATGTTACACGGACGCTTAGACAGGCGCTTAAACAATTCGCCAACACGGCTCCCCTGCCTCGAACGAGGAGCTAGTCGATGGCGAAAATAAAATCTGCGGCGACTTCCCCTCCAAGCCCGGGCCTATCCGGCCCCGTCATTGGCACACACGCGCACGACATTGGAGATCTGGTGGAGACCTGTCTAGAAAGAGAAGTTCTGGGAGGGGGGCTTTTCGGCTATAGCAATGTCTTGCATGCTCATGATAATAATTAGAGCTAAGTAATAGTAACACTCGAGGTTCGATATCAACGTATTTCCTCCATCCTAGCACCCGCGCCAAGTTAACCCCTTGCTTCTTGGAGATTGAAGCTATATGCAATGATATGTTCTGACTGCCAAAAACTACCTATGTAGTCCATACTACACCGAAGCGTACAGAGAGCATGAGTACGAAGGTATTCAGATCTCCAAGTGAGAATATGACTACTCAAGCGCTCTCATCAAATTATCATTAATATTGTTCACCACTGCCGAATCGTCACTATCATACCCGTAGTAAGGGTCCCAGTGGTCGTCATCGTTATGGTTATCGTCATGATAATCCAATGCCAGGGCTATAATTTGTTATTAATCATTTCGACGAGGCTGAAGGAAGTCACTTACAACGACGTTTGACCTCTTGTACAGGCTCTTCCTTCAAAATTGCATGCTGTGGTACTCTGTGCAAACAGATATACGCCCCTTTCTTGTGCTGTTCTGCTTGGGGGGGGATCTCCACGCGCAGTTCATCCACAAGAGTACTGACTTTGAAGACGTAAACCTCATTGAGTAAAGATGTATCTATCGTGCATAAAGTCCAGTTTTCCGACCACCGACTATGCCAGAGCTCCATGTATGCCCAGTTCTCGGCATGGTCCCGGTCCGAAAAGAGCGAGATGAACAGAGAAGAATCTCGATCACTCGACGTGAAATGCTTCTCCACGGCTTGTCTGAAGAGACCTCGTTGGTGTTCGTTGTCGCCGTAGACTGTAGTCGTGTCTGCGGCCGTTAGTCCCTCAGCAGTATGACGGGTTTGACTTTCTGGATACCGCACCCGGTAAAGATACCGGGGCAGCTCCTCAGGTGGACAACGATACTGATCCATCGCGATGGCTGAGATGCTGAACTGATATAGATATTAGGCTCCATGGGTAAGGCTCTGTTGGAGCTCGATACATCTGCCCAACCTCTAATGTTACACAGCTGGTCATCATGTGATGTTGCATTTTGTCACATAGTCCGGGATCTCGTTATGAACACCTCTACCAGCTAGGCAATGACGCGTTGGGATAGAAACATGTTGAATTCATTGTAGGTGGCTACCTCTGTTTTCAGGTTACTTGCATCATAATCATCGATTCTTATATCCACTAGAAGATACCTGCTTGGCAGGGAATTACTGCCTAGGTAGAGTGGTCGGAAACAACACCTATATGAGCTGGCTTGTGAGATGAGAGAGTCGAGAGCTCTCCGTTGAGATGTGAATCTCAAGAATATACCTACCTACCTACAAATCTATCAAATACCAGCATCGAGATACTTCGTACTATGTAGATCGTACCTAGGTAGGTGGGGAAAGGGTTCGGCCAGTCAGCGCGCCAAGTGCCCCTAGATTATAGTGGGCACAGTACTTGTTACAGGTAGGTGCTGTACCTTTGCACATGCCGGGGAAAGCTCTCTCTCACTTCATTGCCAAATCCCAAATCACACCTACACGCGCTTGTCTACGCCCGCCATGAAGTCATGATCAATTCTCCAAGCTGTTCGCCATGGAACAGCCGTTTTCAACCTCCAAAGTCACAGGTATTTTCGCGACCCCCTCCATTCAGGAAGCTCGCCTGGTCCTTGGTCTTCCTCGTGCTTACTGGTTATAGTCGAATACTTCGACCCTCACGATGTCTTCAAACTCCTAGCTCCCGGCCTGGTGCCACGCCTTCCTCTACACAACCTTCACTGGCAATCGCATGCCGGGCCCTTGCGCTCCATCGAGACCCTCCACATCGAGCTGCTACCTTCTGGTGACAGGAATCCACTAGCATCTCCCATTACCTCGCCACCGCCCTCCTCTGGCCAACAGCGGCGGTCCGAAAATGATGGCGCCCAGTCCCAGATTGGTGCTGCTTTGAGTGCCACCCAGTCCAATGAGACCATCGACCAGTCATCAAACCGAAATAGTATCCCCGCCAGGCGTCACCAAATTCCCGGTTTGAGACAGACTCCCTATCTCAAAGTACTTTTGGTTCGGTGCGACGATAATGATTCCTACAAAAGTCATGTCAGGCAGGAGATCCGCGATTGGATCAAGACGAACACGCCACCTTCTACGTCCAAGAAGGCCAATGCTGCCGAGAACCACGATGCGTTCGAGTGGCTGATCGTACATGTTGTCATCCCCAACACTGTGGCCGCCACCCAGCCTCGCAAGTCGGACGTAGGTTCCGGGTCTGAGAAAACATCAACTGCCTCGAGATGGCGCCCGGGGTCAAGCACACTCCTAGAGAAGCTGAGGTCGGATTTCAACAGTTCTAGTAAAAATGCCACAGACCACATCTCGCAAATTCGGATAGGCGTGAATGATGTTCCCTACGATAGTCTGCCGCGTGTCGTGCCGGCTGTGCCTACTGGATATACAGAGACGGAGCAAGAGACCGAGAATGCTTGGACCGACTTAATATCAAAATTTCGTGGCTTAATCCTCTCTAGCTTCGATATGCGGGTAACTCAGTATGAGGAGGATATCAAAGAAAAAGATGCTCAAAGAAGTCTACCCGGCTGGAATTTTTGCACCTTTTTTATCTTGAAGGAGGGACTTGCACGTGGGTTCGAAAGTGTTGGCCTGGTTGAGGATGCCCTGGTTGGCTATGATGAGCTCAGCGTTGGCCTAGATATGATCATTAAAGACCAAAGTCTCGGAAGATCTGGGTCGACGGCGAATACTCTTCTAGCATATACCGAAGAATTGAAAAATCTCGCAATCAAAGCTAAGACGGGAGAGATAAGTTTCGAAGGGGAGCAGCGGGTGTCGGGTGGCATACAAGCGAAGGATTTATATGACGATATACCCATTAGTGCCAACAAGAAACCCTATCGTGACCTTATTGTCGCCAACAACGTCTCTATCTTCGACTTCCGTTGCTATATTTTCGCGAGGCAAATAACGCTACTATTACGGCTGGGCAATGCTTGGTCAACAAGGGAAGAGCTTCTCGCCAAATTGAAGGAACAGCAAGAGTCAGTTCTGCATGGTGTGGCGCCTCGAGCGCCACCGCCCAAGCATCAAGAGAATGAACAAGAAGATTTGCCAATGTTAGCTGAGATATGTCGAAGGGCCCTCGAATTCATCCCCTCCGTCTCTCAAGTCATGCGGAACGATCTACTTAGCGCCTTGTCAGAAACGTCTGGTTACACTACTGGGGACGATTCAGCCGCCGTGCTGCCAGTTGATCCTCTGACAAGTGAGGTAATTGATAATTTGGTAGTATCATTTGCATTTTCCACGGCTCAGCAAATACTGGCCCAGACTTCAACCAAATCACTACCTATACCCTCCTCTTCTCTTGACTCTCTCGGCGGACAGGAGTCCAAAGCTGCCATACCAGAGCCGAAAACAATGATGCATCCAGCTAGGAACTCATCATTAAGAGTGGGGACTGGGGGAGCCGGCGTGTCCCGTCCGCCGCCCAGTCCAAATGTTTTCTCTACCGGACGACCACAAAGCATGTCAGACCATGCTGGTGCACCTTCGTCATTCCTAAAAATTGGTTTAGAAGATCTCGCAGCTAGGAGAGCGGAGCTTTACACCTTATCTAGGAACATCTTGGAGGAATCTGGTAAGAAACGTGGATGGAGCAATGGGTGGGCTGACACTCCAGTTGTTGGACAGTCTATCATGGTCAACATGGTCGATATTGACCTCGGAGATGAAGCTGTTGCTCCAACACAACAGCCGGACGAAACGGTTGCTTCAATGGCTGGTATAGACAACAAGCTATTGAAGACTGCACTGGACAACAGCGATGACTTCTACCGCTTATACGAAATACTTACCGATAAGGCTCTTCGCCATTACACAGTTGCCGCTCATACGCATTCTATCCAGAGTACTATGGCTGATCTTGCTGTGCTCAAGTACCATCTCAAGGATTATGCCCCTGCTGCCTCCTATTTTTGGAGGACTACGCCTTTCTTTGGTGAGAGTGGATGGAGCCTTCTAGAGCTCTCTATGTTGATCATGTACTCGCGATGTCTTAAGCAGCTTCAACGCAAAGATGAGTACATCAAAGTACTGCTAAAGTTACTATCTAAAGCGGCCACTGCGGAAAAGGACCGACGTCGGGTGAAGCCATCACTTAGTGCCGACACACAGGACTATCTTGAAAGCGAAGAGATACAAGGATGTCTAGGCGACCTCCTCTCAGAGACGAAGACCATCCTGAACGAGATGCGAATACCACTGTCAAACTTTTTTGCATCAATTGAGGTGGATGAAGCCCCTCGATATGATAAGTTTCGAGACAGCCTGACTCTTCGTCTAAAGCTTGACAGCTTGTTAGTAGAAGACTTGAATATCGATTCAGCTAACCTGCGCCTCATTAACGCATCATCTAAGCCGATAAAGGAGATGTGGCTCAAACAGGAGGGACCCATAACTATTCGACCAGGCACGAGTAGGTTGAATCTCAAAAGTAATGTGAGTAAAAGTGAATTGCTCCGGTGATGCAGCTGTTCCTAATCTCTAAGTATAGGCTTTGATACCAGGCTCATACGAGGTTGATAGAATTGACCTAAGAGCTGGCAAATTGTATCTCTATTTTGATCGAGAGTTTGGGTATCCTTCCGATAAGAGCAGTCTACTTAGGTCTCCTCAGGTTTTCATTTATCACCCAACCGATACACTCGATGTGCGCCTCTACACGCCGAAGTCCATACAACTAGATCGTAGCAATAGCATTGATATTGAGCTAGACACTGGGTGGAACGATATTCAAAAGGCAGAAGTCCGAATCAAAGCTGCAACAGGAGGCTTACGACTCATTAGCAGTGAGGCAAAGTGCCATGATTCCTCTATCGGGTTTTCTCGGCCACCAGAGGGTGGCATGCTGTGTTTTGGTTCTATCCCCGCCAGAACGAAGTTGAGAATACAGTTTCCATATACCCTGGAGCAGGATACGCCCAACATTCATCTTCGCATTGAGGTGAAGTATGAGACTGAGCATGGAAGCTTTTTCTTTTCCAAGACGCCTTCGGTCCGTACCAGCCTAGCGCTTGGTGTCAATGTCCAAGATGTCTTCAAGCACAAAATTCTCCTATCTCGATTCACAGTGTCAACAGCCAGCCCGAGTCCTCTACGGTTGTTCAAAAGCGAGTTGATAGGGTCGAAAATGTTCGAATCCAGCTTTGGCGTTCCGCCCAGCGATACCGTCATTGTTTTCCCGAAACAACCGGCCAGCTTGCTGTATAAGATAAAACGAAAGCTAGGTGTTAAGAACGATCCGAAAATGTCTAAGACCATGTATCTTAAGTTGCATTACCAAGTTCTTCGTGATGAGATCGAAACGCTGATTGAAAATTCACTTGTCAAAGCACTGGAAGGCACCTCTTTACATCCTTTGTCGCGCCTTGTGGTGTCTACTGTGCTACCACTAGTGCGCAATGATCTCACTAGCATCGAGCTTGAGCGCGCCGCCTTGCTCGGGGTTATATACACCTCGTTCCTCTCTCGTATTGTCGAGGAACCCAAGGTGTTCTACGGCCTAGGCAAAGACGACGCAGGCGTGGACCTGGCAAAATCACTGACATCATTCCTGGCAAAATGGCAAACAGATAATCCAACCCTCGTCCTGCCGCCATCCTCGGAGCAGCTAGAAGCGCCATCCTCAATCCTCATCCCTGTTGACACTCCTTCCGTCACTATCGTCCACACAGCAGATATTCGCCTTCAACAATCTTTGCCAGATAAATCGCCGTCTTCTCCCGCGGCTGCTGTGTGCACACACCAGCTCCTCCCTGCCACACTACATCTCAAATGGACACGCATGTGGGATACTCTGACCCCACCGTCGTCTCAAACGGATGTGGAATTCAGCTATGAACTTTCCGCCCCAACGGACTCATGGCTCATTGGCGGACGGAGGAAGGGGCATTTCGTTATCCCGGCGCCTAGTACTGATGATGATGATGAGAAAGAACGCAGTTCGAGTGTTGATACTGAGGCGGAAATCCCGGTTTTACTTGTCCCGCTACGAGAGGGATGGATTCCGTTTCCGAGCGTGGAGATTAGGGAGGTTACTTCGGAGAGTGGAAATGAAGGAAGAATTGGTGGAGGGAATAGTGAGAGTTCATATGAGACGGACGCGAGGAATTTAGGCGAGACGGTGAGGGTTATTGCGGACCGAAGTGAAGTTACGCTTAGTCTTGATGCGAGTGGTGCCAGCGGTGGACCGCTAGTGCTTGACGTTAAGAGAGGGGAGGGGGAAAGGGTTTTGGTTGCGTAGGGGTGTGTATGTGTTGGGGCGAGCGGGTTCAGTTAGAATAAGAAATCACTTAGTAATTACAGAGCGAGCGAGGATGGCAACCGATTTTCATGAATGCAGCCGCATTTAGTGCCAGACGGGGCGTTGCTCAAAAGTGTTATGACACAAGAAGCTGTGCTCCTCAAACCCCTAACAGTACCCCCTCCCTTCAGCTCCTTTGTTTTGTGAAAAGGTGTATTTTTGCACCTCGGATTTTTCATCATTCCATTATGGATTTGCTTTCTTCATGGCTGAAATACCCGCTGTTGGGCTTCAGCGAGGCACTTACAAGGCCTAAACCGAAGCTTTATGATTGGTCTATATGTGACTATCTAGATTACTTCGAGTAGTTCTCGAAGGCTCCCTCTATAGCTGTGCGCTTGGCGATCTGCCCGCCAGAGATTGTACGAGACCATATAAGCTTGTAGGGGTAAGCCCCACCCTAATTTGATATCTGCTGCAAAGGTAAAGCTGGAACTAAGGAGAAACTATGGGAGCCGTTAAACTTAATGAACAGAACTAGACTTATTAACAAAGTAGAGAAGAGATAAAGGGGGTCACAACCCCCTTATAAGTTAAAATATCACCATTTATTAATTATTAAAAATTAATACATTAACCAGTTAGTTGAATCCATATTATATTAACCATATAAGAACCTGTAACCTTTGATCCAGATACTTCATTAAGAATTAAACCCGCTTATCCGACCAAACTACCGCCCGCCTTTTAGGACAGCCTGTGGGGAGTTCCTTTAACTGAAAACGTCTTACGAGAGCTGAAATACTTAGGATTCTTTACAAAAACAAACTCTCAATTCTCATCTGCCTTGCTGGCTTAGTACACAACCGAAGACTGCACAATATCTCGACTATTATAGCCTAACCAATAGAAAACGGATTAAACGCTTTGCAAGAATAGGAGGTCCTAACCTATCTGTTTTACAAGAAGGGATTCAAATCTTTAATATCTACTTCCCCTATTATATAGAGTCTGATATACTTAGTTAACTAGTATTGCTATAAGCTTAGCATTGTGCTCAAGTTAGACATGAAGTGATAATACACATTCTCGTCTGGGTTATCGAAAATGTGGCTTGGCTTCCGCTTCCCATGAACAGCCTGCAATGGCCTTTCGTACGGCCGAAGTGCAAGGCGAACTACATATTCAGCTGGCACAGCGCCTTGTGCGTGTGACAATAAGGCATATACCTTGCCTTCAACATATTACGGGGGCCACCTGGCGATGCGTGCAAGTTATCCTCTATTACAACGGGCTAGCCTAGATATACCTCTCGAATATGCAATGACGCAGATCAAGGCTTATGCGTTGGATAGCGACGTCGATACCTTCAGGGCGGGCGTCAGCGCGTATCGAAACGCAAGAGACTAGGCAAAGCAAAAAAAGACACGAAGCAATTGAAAGAGCAAACGAAACAGCTGCGCAAAATAAACACGTCGTTAAAGTAGATGGCGATGTAGATACATGTACAGATATAGATATACTAAGCGTGTTCGAGGGGCTCTTAGGTAGTGACATAGCTACGACCTGCCACTACTACTGTTTCCTACGACGTAACCAGCATGGCATCTAAGAAGGTCACCGCAGTGGACATGAACTCGAACAAATAAGACTTATCCAATCAGAGCGCTATTATTCTTGGGCCCTTGACCCCCAAAATGTGATGCAAGCGGTGAGGCACGGGTCATCTCAACTCCCTAATATCGAACTAGCAGCGGGGTAAGGCGAAGACTCGCTCTTCTGAGGCTCTCCAAGACCATTTGTGCATTCTAGTCAACCAAGCAAGCAGCCCCCCCTTTTAAATCCTGCAAGAATTGCACCCCCAGTTTATATATGCCTTGTTGTTCTTTTACTTGACAGAGCTACTATAGCAAGGGCAGCAGTCCGGGCTTGGAACTTGACACTATTCACAATATAGTGATCAACTAGGGCCGCATGAGTCCCTGACCAACTAATTCCATCTTGGCCTGTTAGGAAACATGGAGGACAATGCTACAGGCCCCATATCAAAGTCGGGAGTTAGTACTACCAAGAGATAAGAGTACAGTGGGCGGGGGGGGGGGGGGGGGGGGCGGGGGGGGGGGGGGGGGGGGGGCGGGGGGGTGGGGGGGGGGGTGGGGGTGGTGGGG